CCTGTTTAGTCAAGCACTACAGGTGACATGTACATAAATTACATTTTACAACTCAGATCCAGGGTTTACAATGGATGTTGAAAGGGGGCGGGGTTACTATTAAATTGGGGGAGGTCAGCCTTTTTTTTCATTTACATGTAGTGTAGTTAAGCACGCATTGACAACATGATTGTGGTAGATTATTTTTTACAAGTTTCCATTCTTTTCTGTCTTCCTAATTCCTCAGAATTTATTTTTCATTCATTATTTTATTTCATTTTATTTTATGATGAACAAGGAAAGTAACTCCTACAGGATTTGAACCCGCAAACTCTTGGAACACAGTACCGGTGCTCTACCAACTGAGCGATCCAACACTTGCTTGGTGGTGTCTTGACTTGTCAATGTCTTTGCACACCAGCCTTCCCGCTTAATCTTTTGATAAAAAAAAATTCACTTTCACTTTCAAGGTTGTTAATTTTTTTTCTTCCTTAAAGGCAATGTACAACATTTGCAAACGTCAAAAAAAAAAAAAACTACCAAATTATTATGAAATACTTCACTTGACGGTAAGTGAATTACAGTCTCAAGCATCCTGTGAAGTTATGGCACCTGGTGTGCTGTCATTTTCTAGAAAAGAGGATTTTTTGTATCAATTTCCAACGGTGGTTGGCCGACCATCGCTGGAAAAAACTGATTTTTTTTCTTCTTCAAATAGGCCTACTGTCCCAATTACAAAATTTAGTTGCCATATTTTGTCTGCAAATCAGTTACACATCCGTGAACGGGTGCAAGCCAGCTAGTCTGGTTCCCTGAACTAACAATTCCCCAAGTCTATAAATCGCTGTTTTGTCTGAAGTAGTGCCAGGGAACCAGACTCCAAGAACAGCATGTTTTCTTGTTTTTTTCCAACATCTATGAACACAAAACAGGTCAGTGTAACAATATTTGCTATAAAATACTTATCCCTACCCTGGTACATTGTAAATCCATCCATTTCTGATAATTACAGCAAAACCAAATGTTGAATAACCTTTACAGAAAAAATAAAAGACTAGGATAACAGAGTTCGTTCATGAATTTCAAATATTACATGAAAGTGGATTTATCCCAAACGACAAATTAATTTGTAAATAAGCAGTTTGTGTCACAAAGTACAGTGACAGCATGGAAATATTTTTTTTTAAAGTGTATTATGCACGTACGTATAGTTAATGAGGAATACCACACATACGTGATTACTTGCAGGTTCAAGGTCTCCATACAGTCGGTACAGATAATTAAATTGCCTGTTTTCATAAGACACATGTTGGCTAATATGCTATCCTTGGGAATAACATGAATGATGGCAGTTATTGTACACTTTGGCCAATTCCACGGTTACTCACGTTACGAAAATGTAACGTGAGTAACCAATTTTGTGAGTCTTGTTTATCATACATAACACATTTTTCTGGATGTCATCTTTGGTGCTTAGGTAGGTCTAGGTCTACTCTATCTACCATGGGGATAACAGATATTAAACCTTTTCGGTAAGGTAATTACAGCCCAAAGAAACTCAAAGTACATCAAAAATGTAGCGTGAGTAACCATGAAATTGCCCTTTACTTTTGTAGTTTGTCCAAGTAAAACAAATGATACTCTCGATACTAAGGCTCCCAAACCATACAACAGCTTTTATAAACTAATGGACACCATAATTTGCAAAACTGTGTTTTGGGCCGATTCAACAACAATACAATAAATCTGAAACGGGTATAAATTAAAAACTGCAACCTGTCACAATTTTTTAGCTCAGTAGATGTCGTGCATGTTAATACTTTTTGAGAAAAATGTGAAAAAAATGCAAACATCTTCATTTTTCTCGATGCAAAGAATAAACAGGTTTCCATTTTAAGCACGATGGTTTGGTCTTAACCATCATTAAGAAATGACAGTAATTCCTCTTTCCTACAAAATAGATAAATTCTCCCCCCCCCCCCCCCCGGGATATTTTGTACAAAAGGGCATACATTCAACCTCTTCCCAAAAATTTCTGGTTCTATCAGCACAGCGTGTATTCCTTTTCTCAACCTTTTATTAATATAGGCCTACAACACCTTGGCATTGTGGCCCTATTTGTACTTAAGCAAACCCGGCCTTCCAACATAAATTTAATAACATACGCAGTGCAACCTGACGCGTATATTAAATTAGACAATTTGTCAAATGTTGCAATATCTGGATGTGATGTGTACACTGATTCAGTATCAGTTTCATCATGCATACATCATATAATAATCAACTAAATATTCGTGGGTATTATTGAAGATGACATTTGTTTGTATTCTAGATACATAAACTTGTACAAAAATGTGATGCAGTACCGAAAATATTTATGAGTGCTGATGTCAATTTATTATGTGGACAATTTATGTGAACCAATTTAAATGTGCTGATCAAGTTTTAATTTCTTTAAAATTTAAATTTACGTCAGGTTGGTGCAGTGCTCGTTACTTTTCTCGCCTTCCAACGCAGTGACCCGGGTTCGATTCCTGCCCCGGCCACATGTGGATTGGGTTTTCAGTACCTACATGTGTATGTACATGTACATGTGCCTGATTCCGTGTGATTTCCCCAGAATATTCTTCTGGTGTTTTCCTCCTACCTCTAAAACTGTAATTTCTTCACATTGTCTGCTCTCCACAGGTTTCTTCAGGCTTGGCAGTTTTCAGTGCCTAAGGCCAAAAAAAAATAATAATTGGTCTCTGGTCAGACCGAAGTTCCAGAATTGATGCGGCGACGCGTGTTTTTTTTTGGGGGGGGGGGTTTGGGCTTTTTTTTTTTGGTGCAATTTTCCCATTCATTGGTGCTCCTTGGTACAAAAAAATTTGAGGTGCGGCATTAGAGGGCGCTGTTGTAGCTTCCGTGTTAATTTGAAGAAAAAAAATGGTTGACGCGTATGATTAAAATCGACGCGCACGCTGACCAGAGACCGAGTATTTTATTTTTTGGCCTAAGGTGCCTTTGAGGATTCCTTGGTATCAGTAAGAAAGATATAATATAATAATCTGACCGTCCCACCTTGCAAAAAATTAATAAGATTTGAAGGAGAAGGGGTCTTGAGGGGTCTTAACCTCCCTCTTGGGCCGCCAAAAACTATGCAACACAGCAAATGTCTTCTAAACCCCCTTCTTGGCAGGTAAACCCCCCCCCCCCTTTGATCCACAAGTGGATCCGCCCCTGCCCATTGAGTGTGAAATTAAATGCCTAAATCAGACTGAGAATGACATTTAACATTTTGGCTCCTGTCTAGACGACGCCATTTGAGTCACATATTTTACTCCCAAGTGCTGATCCAGAGGGGTTTTTTTTTGGGGGGGGGGGGTATTTTGGGGGGCAACCCCCCCCCCCCCCCCCCCAGCTCTGTCCAAAAAAAAAACCTGTTTACATTTTCAGATTTTTTTGCTGATGAAACCCCCCCCCTGCGAAAATTCCTAGATCCGCCCCCGACTCCTTTTGCAAAGAATGTTCACCATCACTGTCAGCATTATTTTTTATCCATCATCACCAAATAAAATAGTTCAAATAAAAACTGAACAAAAATTCCACTCAATAAAGAAAATGATCACAGAAATATTCTTAATAATTAAAAAAAAATAATAAGATCGTATCAGCAAAACTCTGAATCAAGACCATCTGACCATCCTTCCTCCATTGACATAAAAAAAAAACATTTAAGGGTCCTGCCAGAAATTTTGACACATTGTGTCACTGACACTGTTTATTTTATAGTGAGTGTCATTTCAATTCACTTTTTTCATTTTTTTTTTTTTTTTTTACAAATTAGGCTATCAATTGTCGATGTCATGTTGATATCAATTATCTTGGATATTGTGTTAAATTGTAGGCAAAATATACTCACCACTCTTTCAAACAATCCCAAGCAGTCCTACACAACGCAGGATCTGAGCAAGAAACTGCGAATTTTAGCACACCTTCTTATCACTAAAGTTTCACCGTGGTTTATAATTTTCCAGTGGCACTGGCAGTGTCAGTGAAGTGCCGGCCGGCGATGCTGCACTGCACGTACATGTACCCGATCATGCGAGCTGCTGCATTCGGCAGAAAGTGCCGGTCCGGTGCTAGCAAAAACCACTAAATAATAGCAACAACTTCGACACCCACATTCCAGTCAATCATAAATACCCCAAGGCTGATGATATCCTGATCGATTTACTAACGTAAATCCGGCATTACTTGGGTATTTCAGGTGATATGCGGGCCGATTTATGGAAGGTTGAAGGCTCGTCGAATAAATCGATGAAAAAGCAAACAGGTGTCAATTTTGTACAAAAACAAATCCACGGTGTTTGGGTAGCCCGCCCTCGTGCGCTGGGAAATTGCCAGGTTGCTACTTTTTAATCTTATAAGGATTTTTTTTTTTTATTTCATTATCCTCTTAAATAATTGTGGAGAAATCTAGTGCTAAATAATGGCACATCTCTTCGGTAATATATAGAAGACAATGCACCATTCTTCATTAAAATCAATAAAAAAAAATCTGTCCTCCAATTATATGAAGGAATAAGATAACAAGGCTTGGAGCGCAAAAAAAATATATATACGTGCCGCTTTGATATATATCCTCGTCGTATTTTCCCCTCAAAATTAAAAAGTATGATCTTCAAATCAAATGTAAATAGTACTTAACTGATTACGATTGTTTTCAGTGAAAGACAAGAACTTTTTTAGCCGAATTTTTTTTTTGCGGTGGATTTCTCGTAGAAGTTATAGGGATACTAGAAAATTAACTTTGATCATTGGTCTCTTTTTAACTGACCAAATTAAATGACAAAACTTCCAAAATTGAACTGCTGCAAATAACTGCTGCTAATTCTGCCATTTTTAATTAAGTTTTTAATTTGTTTTAATCTGTTCCTTGCTCCATATGGTTATAAACCATCACTACCCGCCGCGCCCACAAAAATAAATAAATTGTCTTACATTGTAAGTGCGCCCTCTCTTGTTAACCATTCTAGAATCTCACGGTAGACGTGGACCACCACAGAAAACAGCAATCGCAGACGTAAAATGTCACATAAAACACGGTGAAATGATCTGATTCTTCCTTTCGTCTGATATATTTACCTTAAATATGGTGAGTAGTGAATATCCCCATACTATAACAAAAAATATAAAAACAGAAGAAAAATGCTAAGGCAGAAATTGTAATTTAATTACATGAATAGGGGGCCTAATATTAATAATAATTGCCCAGTTTACGGACACTTCACTTTAGTTGCGCGATTTTTGTGTGTTGACGTTAGGTCTACATTAATACTTAACCTACCTTGAAATATCGGTAAACCTTTATTTTACTTTTTTTAGAGCAAGTATTACAGGAATTTCAACTTTTCGAAACCTTAAAAAAAAACCTGATATTTTTATGTAGGCCAAGGGCTAGGCCTAGCTCTACTGAGTGGAGGGCTGAATTACGGGTACCCCTCCATACTAGGAGGGGTACTCGTAATTCAGCCCTCCACTCAGTAGAGCTAGGCTAGGCCTAATTAATTTTTTTTCCTGATCCAGTGTGAACGTTGAACTTTTCTTTTGTATTCAATTAATTTTAATGGGTCAATTTAATTATTCAGTGTTTAATTAATCCTTTTTTTTTTGTTCCCCAGTCTGCCTTGTTCAACTTCCAGAGTTTACTCAGCGTTGTGTTGCTTCTGATCTGCACCTGTGCGTACATCAGAGGTCTGGCACCACGCCTCCTTGATAAAAACAAGGAAGGGTGAGTATCACAGGAACCACAAAGAAAACAAGTTGTCAAAATTTGCCATTTTTAAAAGAAAGTGGTTATTAAGCCGGCGCCACAGGTGCCAGCTTTCTTTCAGTAAACGATATTAAGCTGGCTAGATTGTACAGCGCCCTCTTTGATGCTTATACGAGTAGCCCACATAATCACAACATCATTTAAGCAGCACCTTTGGCCGAGTGGATAGTGCATATACATGTACCTGGTTCTGCTTAGAAGCCTGCTTTAGGTTACTGGGCCATCTGCCTTCACATGTCTTGCTTCAGGAGGCACAGTAGATATTCCTGGCCCAGTGACGTCACGCTCGAGCGAGGATACATATTCACGACCTCACTTTCTCATTTCAGCTTCCTCGGCATCTTCTGGAAGTGCGCCCGCATCGGTGAGAGGAAGAGCCCCTACGTCGCCTTCTGTTGTGTTGCCATGGCATTCAGCATCCTGTTCTGGTCATGATGATCTGTCGCTGTGGCCAGATCGCGACTGGAAACCACGCAGTTGTCACTGATAACTTTGAACTGAAAAGGCGAAAAACTATCCTTGCATATGATGCAGCCTGAAAAGCCAGCCTACCACTGTTTCCCTCAGTGACTCACAGTAGGCAGCAGCAGCAGCAGCAGCAGCAGCAGCAAACTCTGACTGTTTTCTGCCATGTTCATGGACTCCGTTCACAAGTACCCTCTCCACGATTGCAAATGGAGAGTTAGGGGAGGAGGACCACTGGGTGTGACCGTTGAAAGCATCAGCGTCAGCGCCTGATCCTCGCACAAAGTTACGAGTTTAAAACCCTAACCCCCAACAGGTTTTCTCTAGGCACCCTGCCAAATGCAACAAAATGCAACGTGGCTGAAATGAGAACCATGCTAAATGCAACAAGTTGCGACAGTGGATTATGTTGCATTGTGCAGTGAACTTAGTGTATACCAGCCTTGACACCAAGCAGTTACCCTGCTAAATACAACCAAATGCAACAATGGGGTATGTTGTATTGCCTTGGCAATATGAGCTGTTACCCTGCTAAATGCAACAAGATGCAACAAGCACGAGACATGAGTTGCATGCTGAATGCAACAGTATGCAACAACTGTTTACCTTTGTTGCTTCCTGTTGCATTTAGCAGGGTTAGGGTTTAAGGTATGCATCATTTGTGCCATACGCATTTAGACCATAACACGCACGCAGTGTCCCCCTGCTGAAGCTTCCCAAGTGGCAAAAAGTGGCATCTACTCTCTGTGCATGGAGTCTATAGGCATTTGGTAGTTATAATGTGTGGTCTTGAAAGTACATGTACATGTAAACAAAGGCCAAGATCTTAGGCCTGACAACATGGAGGTGCTTAACCCTAACCAAACACAACCCATAAAAGTTCAACAGCAGGTTTGTGTTTAAATCTGTTGGGATAGGTACAGTTCCCCTAAACAGATGGTCTTTTACACAGGGTTTGGCATACCTCCAGAAACTAAGTCCAACAGTGTGTGTGTGTGTACAATTTCCCATGTGGGTGTTGGAATTTGCCTGAATGGGTATGGTTCCTAGTAAATTAGGCTGGGGAGTTAGGGTTAAGGAAAACTGAAGACTAGAAAAATCCCCCTTTTCCATAATCTCATGTGCATGAATCTGTGCTCTGCATCACTGGATAAATACCACTGGGAGATGTTGGTGTATGAAGACAAATTTCAAATGAGCATCGAGGTAAAGACTGTCAGTGTTAAGCTATTTCTGGACACTGAGTTTTTCTTTCAAAATCCTTGCCACGAAAGAAACATTAAGGCCCATGGTGTCCATGCTTATTTGAAATCTGTGCTTGAATGAAAAATCATCCCTTCAAGTTCACGTGAACTTACAATGTATATCTCTAAGGTTATCATTCCTAAAGCAAACTACAGCCAAAAAATTAAAAAACCAAGCCGGTCAACAATGGTCCATTTATATGCACCCAACTTTCAGGTACTTTAATGCTCTTTATTCTATAAATGTATCTGTACAATCAACACTTTTTGATGCTATTCAGTCGACAAAGTTCCAATAGCTCTGAATTCAATTTGAAGTCCAACTTTAAACTTTAATTTTTTGAAATCCTTTTAAATATAAGTAGAGTAGATAAACTTTCTGAGTTTTCTTTAAAATCTAATGTATAATTAATAAAGTACTTTTCAAAATGCTGTATCGCGCCTTGTTAATATGTTTTGTGAATGATCTATTTTTTACAAGATTCTTTGAAGATGTTTTATGGATAAGTTGGGAAGAGGTACAGTACTCGTATCTTTAGCCTCAAAGATTGTTACGCACTTGTCGGACAAAATGGAAAATCATAGTCTACAGGACTAGGCTAAATAAGGCAACAAAAAAAAAGTCTTCGGTTTCTGGTATGGAGCTTGCCCAAAAAGTGGTGTGGCGACGCGGTTTTTTTGTTACCTGTTTTTTTTTGCTTCAAATGTCGGCTGATGACTGCAAATGGTGCCCGACTAAACTTAGTGCAAATATTATGGGAGACCAGAGAGGCCACATAAAGCCTATTCTCGATCATAACCCCATCTAAAAACACATTAAAATTGTGCAGCAGCAGGATTCCAGTCAAACCAGTGAGTTTGGCGGTTTTGAGACATCATCTTTCATTGAAATTTTTTTTTTCTCCATTTTGCCGACGCGCATGGCTACGGCGACGCGCGCGCATACCAGAAACTGGAGACTTTTTTTTTTTGGCCTAAGCCAGTTTGGTATTTCGATGAAGTAGTCCAGGTCAAAGGTCATTTGGGCAAAAAATTCTGACAAGCGTCTTGTATGAGAGATGTTGCGCAAATGCCATTCTGCTTGTTATTAACGTGAAGCATCATGCGACCGTCTCCTTGCACGTTCATGTGCCTTCGATAAGCGTTTGATTATCCCAGATATCCTGTGACCCATGTCATTGTGCGCATGCGCAGTTAAAGTGGCCAAGTGTCAAAAAAATTAAGGATTTCTTTGGCAATGTCTCTTTAAAACCTTAAAGGCAAAAACTAACTGCCAGCAAAAGTTGTATATTTTTTTTTTTTGTTACTTAACTCCCATTTTCGTGTGTAATCCCGGAAGACTTTATTTCAGACTCTACTTTCGATAAGTGACAGTTACTATACATACACAAAGTGTAAAGCTTTAGTTTTTCACTGCATCAGTCCTCTGGTTACCATGGTTTTGGGTACCATCATCAATCTCATCTTTAAGTCTAACATCCTTTCCAGCTTTCTGTTCCTTGTAACGCAAGGTTTTCAAAATCGGGATCTGCGAAAACTTCTCTGCGTTGAGTTTCGACCACACAATACCAGACGGCTTGGGTCTGTCGCAGTCGCAACGGATGGTCTCTGTCGGTGTGAGGATGTAGTCCACTGTGAGGTCATGTGACCCAATCAGGTGGTCCGGTATATCATCCATCACCTGACAGTCGTGGACGGTGGTCACGACAACCGTGTTCTGGTCAACGGCCCCCATGGTCGACATCATGGCGAACTCCATGTCGGCGTAACCTTCGCCTTTACCAATTCTAAAGCCTGCATTCAATAAAAAAATGCAGACTATCTATTTTAAAAGGGTAAAGAGGCTTGCCTATGGACATATGACCTGCAACGGGATCCAAAATCTACCCTCTGATGAGCTCTGACGAGTCCCAAACATTACTACAGGTTACCATGTTATAAGTCACTAACTTGTCCTTAATACATTTTCATTTACACTGTACTCTCTTGGGTAGAGACAGGCAAGTTGGGTAAAGTGGCTTGCTAAAGGACACAACCTATGGCCAGCAGCTGAATTTGAACCCCTGACCCTCTAATCTTGAGCCAAAAATTCTTACCATAGGGCCACACTCCCCATGTTATAAGTCACTAACTAGTTCAGAATACATTATTGATATTGCTGGGTAGAGACAGGCAAGTTGGGTGGAGTGGCTTGCCCAAGGACACAACATATGGCCCACAACCAGATTCGAACCCCTGACCCTCAATCAGCCCAGAAGACAATGGCTTAATTCCTTTTTCCCCCCATTACTCACCTTTTCTACTGACCGCTACAGAGCCAATGATGACAATATCCACTGTCATTTTACTGTCCAGACCAACGGGCAGGCTGAACTGTTTGACACCCTGTTCAAAGAATGAAACATTCATAACAAATTTTATGATGACTACAATCAATTAAATAGCTTTAGTACATTCAACTTCTGTATAATTAACTCAAACAGACGTTGGAAGTTCTTGGAACTACCAAAGTTTCTTGAAGTTTCAGTAATTTGCCAAGTTGTACCTGAGAGGTGGAGCATTTCCTCAAGTCCTCTTTGTTAGGGTTTGGAGGCGGTACGATGCGGTTGAATAAACCTGAACGCAGACGTGGAGTCGGCACAAGCAAAGTTTTGCGAGCCTGAAGATTACATCAAAAAAGGATAACAGTTTAAGCTCTCAGGGAAAGAACTGTTTATCTTTTTGTTTTTAAGACAGAATACCATGACGCCTTGTCATTGCTTCAATGGGAATGCATCTTTAATCACCACCATCATTAAAACCATTGTCACTGATGCCACTGTTAAAGTCCCTTTTTGTGACCAAGTAAAGGAGTACTAAGAGTCCTAACAATGTCTTTGGTCAACATTTTTTGGGTTTCAACCAGACTTTGACCTTCAATGCAGAAAATTCCCTGGAGGGTTAGGGTTTTAACTGTTGGTACTCTCATACACGGTATTGAGAGTCTCAAATTTTCAGACTAGTTTTTCAACTTACTTCCAGAGTGAGGAACCTAGCCTGTTCCTGCGGCTTGTCAGGGTTGACCTTCACAGTTCTAGCTGTCTGGAAAGCATCGAGATGTTTGAGCCTCTCATTGGCTGCTGCGGCACCCTAATTATGACAACAAATCACCAGAGACCCAATCACATTTACCCCATACTCCCTCACTTATTTTTTGGCCTAAAAGTATCAAAATTGGCCAAAATACCAATCTGTGATTATTACTAGGCTGTGAAGCCATGAATCCATCAGAGGTCTGTGTACTTTGTGTCACTTCGTTTGCAAGTGGAAAGGCAAAATAAAAAGTATTCTGTTGTCCTTATTTCAACACAAAGAAATTGCATGTATTCATATTGTCATCAATGCGAATAAGTTATTGCAAGTTGCAAATATGTGGGGAAAAAATTGATTTAAGTTAAGTTAAACAGTTCAAACTTGCTGCAAAATGCTTTGAAAAGTTCAAGTCTCCAGTGGCCATTGTTCACAACTAACAAAGTAGCATATGAAGCAATAACAAAGTGGCTATCGTTACGACAGCTGTAACACATTTTTCGAATACTATCAGTATCATTACAGCTCTGTCAAAATACAACGAACATATTTTTTAAATAGATTTCTTAACTTTTAGGTTTTTAAACAAATTGTTCCATTTATTTGAGTAAATTTAATTTTCTTCATTGTGATCAGTGGTTTTGGAGGATTTTTAAAAAAATGGAAATAAAAGTCTGAGAACCATTTGGTTGATAGTCTGTTTCCAACAGCCAAAGATCATGACGTTGAATACTATTATGCCAGGGAACAAGACAGTTCCGTAACGATAGCAGTTTAAAGTCACGTTACGGCTGCCGTATATGCGTATTAACGATAGCCACTGTGTTGTAATAAAATATGTGTAAATGTTTTGTGGAAAAAAAAGCTAGCTGTTGAACCTTAAAATTTGGGATGCGATGGTGAACTGGTCTGGGAAAACAGGCTATATTCTTCTCTTCCAGAAAGTTCCACACTCTCTGTCTGATTGAAGCCTTTGTTACGTCTGTGAAAAGAAGGTATTACATTTAATTTAGTGTAAAACTCAGCTGGACAAAATTGTCGTCATTTCACCATGTTTAGGCCTACTTCCAGAACTGTAAGGTTTATAAAACCTTATATTTCTGGACGTAGTTCTAGGCCAACAAATAATTTTCTTCAAAAAATCAAACTTCTGCCCTCTTTCCATGACATTCCCGCAATACGTTTCATCATTAGCGAGTCCAATAAAATAAAAGTTTTGTTCTCTTTAATATAGGATCAGGATAATAAAATAAAGTAAGAAGCTTCAGGACGCCCAGTGCCACGCCCACCTTTGCAATTGCATACCTCTTTTTAACTCGCGCCCCCCCCCCCATCCTTTCCCAGCCGGCCTGCAAATTACAGCTCTTTTTGAAAAATGAAGGGACTAAATTACATCTTTTTCGTAGAAGAAGATAAAGCAGTTCATACTCACCCATCTTGAGTAGCAATGTCAAAGAACAATATGCTTAGGCTTGTGCCCATTTACTGCTTGTTTACGTGAGTTTGCATCGCATCCAATGATCCATGCATGCAAAAGCGAGATTGGGATAGCGACTGAAAACTCTTGAGGGCGCTAGTCATTGTTATTGTCGCCGCACACACAAAGGGTGTGTCCGTCAGGAATTTCATGGTCAAGGTGAATTTGTGAGTATAAAATGATAGATGCTGTTGTTTTACGAATTCTGATTAACCACTTACATTATGTCTCTTTCTTGGCAAAAGTGCGTTTATCCAGAGGTTGAAAATCCACTGTTGATTCAAAATTATTGAACATGATGATGTTGTCTTATAGTTAAGCTTATTTTTATGTGCATATTGTGCAATGCGTTTTTATACTGACAAATTTCTTCGTGTGTCTGTCAATGTCATTTTCCAGGTAATGCAAAGCTTTTGCAAGTGCTTCTGTTGCGATGGTCATGATGCGGAAAGAGGGACAGCTTTTCAGCTAGCTTTTTAAAGACTAGGATCATGTCTTCTTGTCCGTGGCAAATAGAAGTCAAAACCTCACTTTTTGTACAAGAATAAATCAACATTGTTGACTTAGCTTGCAGAGCTAGGTCAGCTGATCTGAGTGAATGATCAAGTAATGATCAGCCATGATGACTCGACACCAATGTGATGTTTGTCGCATGACCTTCACGCAGAAGAGCAACATGAAGCGACACAAGAAAATCCACACGGACCACAGACCCTTCACTTGTAGCATCTGCTGCAAGTCCTACACCGACCTTTACAAGCTCAAGAAGCATACCAGGGTCCATACCGGGGAGAAACTCCACACCCATACTTGTGAGTTTTGCGACAAAACTTTTGCAGATTTGAACCACCTGAAGTGTCACCAGAGGGTGCACACAAAGGAGCGTCCATACCCGTGCGGGATTTGTAAGCAGTCCTTCGCGCTGACCGGCACGCTACAGTCTCACCTGCGTATCCACTTCAACGAGAAACCATTCCGGTGCGAGATATGCAACCGGGCCTTTACGCAGAGGGGTACCTTTAGGGCACACCGTCGCATTCACACTAAAGAGCGACCCTTTGCGTGCCGGTATTGTCCAAAGTCCTTTGCCGTCAGTAGCAGCCGCAGCAAGCACGAGTCGGTTCACAAGGCTGGGAAGCTGCTAATCTGCGATGTCTGCCACAGGGCGTTTGATGACAGCACCAAACTGACAGAGCATGCTAGAACGCACGCCGGCGAACACCCCTTCCAGTGCGAAGTATGCCTCAAAGTGTTTGGCTATCACAGCCACCTCAAAACTCACCGACGGATACACGCCAACGACAGGCGATTCCGCTGCAGCGTCTGTCAGCGGGGCTTCACCGACAGCTCCAACCTGATCAAGCATGAGCGAATCCACACCAACGAGAAGCCCTACACCTGCGACGTTTGCAACCGAGCTTTCATCGACTCCAGCAGCGTCAAGAAACACAAGCGAACTCACACCCAAGAAAAGCCCTACGTCTGTGAGCAAAAAACCTGCAAGATGGCTTTCTCTAGCAAGCATAATTTACAGAGGCACGTGCGGATTCACACTCGAGAAAAGCCCTTTGTTTGCAAGACATGCGGGAAGACGTTTCGGCACAGTAGCTCCTTGAAGAGGCATTGCGTTGTTCATACCCAGGTCAAACCGTTCTCGTGTGAAATGTGCAATAAAACTTACAGGCAGTTTTGTAACTTGAGACGACATCAGAGGTTGAACTGTTGCAGTATAGACTCATAGTCATAAATTCAGCAGTACTTGTTCCAGACCAAAACTTTGGGACTCTCAATACTGTGTACTTATTATTGATTAATAATGTCAAGATGTGATTAGATATATAAATTTTGTCATTTTACAATAAAATTATTGTTTGTTTTTAACTTTGACTTCAAGTATTTAAGGCTATCATGGTAGTCATCTTTTTGTAGATATTGTGATAAGGCCAAAAAAAATAATAGTTCTGTTTCCGGTTTCCCTACCTACCCTATTCTGACAGCCCCTACCCTAATTTTTTTATTGGAAAAATGAGAAAAAATTACCCAAAACCATCAATTTCTACCTTTTGCCCTTGACTACACGCAGACGCCTCCATATGATTGTACACAAAAAAAATTGGCCAGAAAAAATATTTCCCTACCTACCTACCCTATTTTCGAATGCCATGTAATCGGAAGCAGAACTATTTTTTTTTTGGCCTAATCAAGAATAGCCAATAAAATTCCAAGTACTGATTAGACTAGGGCTGTGCTGCATTTTGGGCCGAATTTACAGAATATTTGAACACTCGGTCATCAACTGATAACCTGAAAGCATATTTTCTACTCAAATGTGCAATAATATGCAAGATCTCTGGAAGATGATAAAAAAGTCCAAGATTTTCCAATAATCTGTAAGTTGTGTGTTTTTATTGTTGGTCGCCACACTTTATTGAAAACCACTTTTCAGCATGTTTTGACATCTTCCCTGAGGAAGATTAGCTCATTATTTCTTCTTTAAAATTGCTCAATTTTCAGCCACTCCAGGAGGCTGTACCTCTTCTTTGTACATTTTTGTAATTGTAATACAAGTATTTAAAAGAAACATGCAGTGGAAATTCAGCTCATCTTGTTTTCATGCACATTACTATGTGTTGCAACAATACATTGAAAGTGACAAGAAAGTGGTAATTTTTCAATGATTAGCACATCCTTTCATCAGTACATGTAAGAGGGCGCTATTTTGCTTTTGTCACACAAGGTACTCCTTGTCAAAAGTGCCTTATGAGCAGTACAAACATTAGTCCTTCAAAATTACCCACAAAAAAAGTTTTTAAAGAAATATTGGCCACTACTTTTGTCCAAACAAGTTGTTTAACATGACCACAAAGTGGAGCTCCCCCCCCCCCCAAAAAAATGAAAACAGTTTTATATATTTGTACAAAAAGCTATAGTAGAGACATACTGTTCTGCCTTGAATGACATCACGCTTTGGCTCATGAATATGGAAATTTTCATTAGCATAAAAATGAAATGTTTCTCCCTTTTACTGCTTCAAAGGAGAAGAAAACAAAGGCATAGTATCGTGGCAAGAAAGCTGTTTTAAATATATTTACAGGGAAGATACAACAGTGCAAACATCTCAAAACGAAACGATCAAATTGTCACAAAATAACCTTAGGGAATGACAGTTTAAAGCATCCTGTAAAATCGTGGATCCTGGTGTGCTGTCATTTTCAAGAAAAATTGTATTTTTTAAAGCTGGTCGGCTGGCTATTTTTTCAAAAACTGCTCCTACTTTTTCATACGTGTAGTTAGTTATTCCACTGTTGCAATTGATTGCACACATGTGAAGGGGAAGGGGGTACAACTACAAGCCTGCTCAGTAGACTGATTCTCTGACCTTACAATTCCTCAAAGTCTATAAATTGCTCTGTTTCATCTTAAGTGGGGTCAGGGAACCAGACTACAAGAACATGATTGGTTTTCTTTGTTTTTCCAGCATCTACAAGCCTAAAACGTGAAACAAGTCAGTTTAACAATATTTCCTATAACATTTTACTAATCCTCCAAACCATTTATTTCTGAAAACTGCAGCAAAAGCAAATGTTGTACATTCCCTTTAAAGGTATTTAAGTCATAAAAATCCCAATTACGTGTTTCCTTTAATGATATTCATTTTTAGTCTAAACACCATTGGGGTTATTATCGACCTGGGCTATGGACCCGTTATGATATAATTATATCCCGGCTCAGTACGGCGGAAGAGCAGCAAATATAATGGTTGAATATTTTATGATAATGAGTCGACGTGCACGCGGCCGCGGCGAATGCCATGCACATTATCCCCATTTATACTGGCAATAGTGCGCGTCTAAGTATGTCGTAACGGAGAATTTCTATGCAAAACCCCCTACACCGGGGGTTTGTGTAGAAAATATCAGACGGTTATTTATTACTCCCCATCAGGTTCAATTACCTTCGGCAGCGACCGCAAGCCCCATTTGAAAGAAAAAGTGAAGACCGCATCAAGGTACCAACTTGTACGACAACGTGCTGGAAATGTATAGAGTGCATTGAACCAATTCAACCCCATTGAAAACAGTATAAAATCAACAAAGTTCAAGGCCAAATAACACGCAAGCCGACATCACTGGGGTTTCTCAAACAAAAATTAAATGATTGTCTTGTACTTTATCTTTTCATTTCTTTTCAATTTTGGGTGGACTAGCAGATTACAGTTTAAAATATTCACACCAAAACAAAATCACCCGTCCCGAAAAGTGATAGTTCCCAAGCCGTTTTACAAGTGGCGTCCTTCCCCTTTCTCAGGCAGATAGGACCCATTTTTCAACCGTAATTTTATCAAGCCTGCCCTCAGATGGAAGCCCAAAAACCAGGTAGTTGATCCTTGGCTACATTTACACAATATCACCGTTTTTTAAGGCCGAACGGTCTCCATTTTCAACAGAAACTGCGAGGTCACTTTTTATGCTAATCAGCTGGCGTAGAAATTCTCACTTGAATTAGTTGACAAACATTTCTAGCAGTAAATATGCAAATAACACGCGCATCAGTGAACGCATTGTTCAACTTCAAGGACCTTGTCATTGTGCGACAGAAAGCTAGCCTTTAGTCAAGTCCCACGCGCTTATTATACCCGGACACGTGACGCACCCCGGATGCTGACACGTAAAAAGACTAGGACGAGCGGCGTAGCCGCGAGGCCCTTTACCATCTCGTGGAGAACGCTTATGTTTTTCTTTACATTTGTCTACGTTCGTATTTAGTCCGGATGGTAACTCCATCCGCACTTCGATTAATTACGTCCACTTTGCGCAGTAAAGTAAAAGCCGTTCGTTTAGTTGCGCGCGGCATTCGCCACCACCGTGACCGTGCACATGGCATGCATGATCGGTTGGTTTGATTGGTTTGGTCATGGCCATGCATTACCGACAGTTCCCTGAACAATATTTTTATATCATGAAAGACGATCTACAGCAAGAGCATATCGTCAGACAGAGTGAATCTATTTAGATTTTTTTTTCGATCAGTTTTGTTCTCGGTCTTTCTCTCCTTCTGGGTTATTCCATTATTTTCAATTTTTACAAGGGGAATACCGGTAAATATGTTTAAGACCGGTTGGAGTCTGGGTGCTGATAACGACCCGAACCGAAGGCGCAACTAATCGGCATCCACACTCCAACCGGTCTCAAACAATAGGGTTTAATACCGTTCAAGCACACGTTTATTGCCACTCATAAATACCTTTTCGGTCATAAAAAGTGAACACTTTGCTATGGTGTGACCGTCTCGTGAGAAATCGTATAAACAAATTATGGAGATTGGCGCGCGCGTCGCGCGCGCTGCGTTGTACGCAGAACGCAGCTGTGCCGGTGTTGGCAACCCCACTGATCTCTATATAAAGACTGGATAGCTAATAAAGAGCCGCACAATGTACGAATTTGACGCCATATTGGTGAGACCGGCTGGTGATCTACAAAGGACAAGTTGCCGTCTTTATAGACAGCATGATTTCTTTTGTAACGTCGCGGCTCACTTGACTTATATTTTGGCCACCACCACTGACCAACTGACCAAGGTTTACTACAATTTTTCTAACGTAGTGGTTACTTTTATAATGCCGCAAATCACCTTTTCGGCGTTTTTGAAAAAATAATCACTACGGAAATGTGTTCCTTTTAGAACATCATAATATGTGTACGTGACCAAAATGCGCGTCAACTGTTGATACAACGCGCGCGTATTTACGCGTAGAACGTTCGTATATACGCGGCCATCTTCGTGAGACCGGGGGCGAATTGGTCAATATGCAAAGTCTACTGTGTGAATGTTGTATGCATATCCGCTATCCAGTCTTTATATAGAGATCAGTGGGCAACCCATGTAACCCATGTGCCGGTAACCCATGGTCGGAATTTCATGTATATTGGTATCAAAAGATGCGCAAGACTCGAGGCTAAAAAGTCAGGAAATCTCCGTTCCGGGAAAAATAGTTTTTGGAACGGTATCGGGAAAACAGCTGCCAGTGGGGAAGTCCATTGCCCCGGTCCCTTTAGGTTTAACAGAGGGTTTTGTGGCCTTGCACCTGATATTTGGAGCAAGTACGGGTCCAAGATGATCCGGACTTGGTACCGAAGTTTATGGGGAAATGTGGATGACCTTGAAGTTGAAAGTATGCGCTCGTCAGATTCACCGATTTAGTTTCGAAAGATGAATACGTCGGCTGCATGCCTGACGGAAGGCGGTTCTGACGCGAAAATCATTTTTAGGAAAATTGCATTGAAAGGCTCCAATGTTCCCCAACACTCCAATCCAATGTTCTCACACGCGTATTATACATCCAATGTTCTCCCATTGTGATTGGTGGTATGGTATGCACTTTGATTGCTGCTAATATCCTTTGATTATTGTTTTTTTCTCTTCTTTTGTGTCTCTTGCTGTTTGTTATTTTGTCTCTTGACTTTTTGTTAAGTCCGTGTATCCGCTCCGTTCACAAGTACCCCCTCACCGGCAAAGAGAGTACAGTTGGGGGTGACCGACCGACGCCATCTTGCCTGACTGGACATAGTACAAATCCCCTGGTGTACGTGCGTCACACACAAGGAACGGTGCGCGTCAACCAGCGAATTGTCCCGCCCATGGGACGTCGTTGCTAGGTAAAAGGGCGCCCTCTTAGCGCCGCACGGAGTCCTATAGCTTCTCCATCTCCATCTCCATTGTTTAAGTTAGCAAGATATCCTGCCGGATACATCAACGCTAACTTGCGCACTGAGTGTGGAAATAGACTACTGGTGGATATTACTGATATGTCCCTTGAATTCAGCTAGTGTTGCGCTGTTCACAGCAACCGAGGAGAGTGAGTTCCAGTGTTTAACAGTTGACACGAAGAATGAATCTTTGAAGGCCCTAGCTTTGTGACTGACTTGAATGAATTTTTGGTTGTTTCCCCTTGTATCTCTGGTATTAGGCTGAACATAGTTCGTTACAAATTTTGTTCCGCGTTTGTGTGTGGTTTAGTCCTTCCTTGATAATTGTCCTTCAATTCTTAGTTGTCTTTCGTTTTTATAATTGTTGTTTGTTCTTTTAGCAGTGTTTAATTTTGGCTCTTCTGGCCGCCCATACGCTGTCGCCTGCACGCTTGGTCACTCGGGCACTGCATTAATAAACAAACTCCATCGAACCTTTTCAGTAGTTTGGTGATCAATGCCAGTGGCGCTCCTGGAGAGGGGGGGGGGAGGTTGTCAATTTTTTTTGTGGTTTTGGGGGTCAGTTTCTTTTTCTTTTTAGTCCCACGATTTGACTGTGGTGATTTGTGTGATGGTCTTTTTTCGAGTAGTATAATAGGGGTACAAATGGCGCCACCAACGTCAAAATAGTCCGTCAACCCCCCCCCCCTCACTTTTTTTTCAGCGGCCAAAAAGTTTTGTAAATTTTGTCAGTGGCGTACGTGGTTAATTCGAGGTCGCTTCGCCAAAACGTGAACCCGAATTGGCATCACGTATTATTTCATGACATTGCGTGTAACAGCGTCATTGCACAATGATTGCACACCATGCAACTTTACCTTCATACGCGGTACACTGCTGACATTAATATTACACCCCGCCCTTCACAAGGAAATTCACTTCGCGGAGTGATATACAAGGGCGTGTGAATTCCTCAACTGCAACCAAATATCATAATTATTACATTTTACGTTGACGAAGTCTTGTATTATGTAAGACTTAAATGATGCATTTACACACAAAATGAGGGGAAAAAAACTTTTTAAGGGGAAAAAACACCGCATGAACATGGCACTAGTTTGTTTTCGCGCAGTAATTAAGAGATTAAGTAGTGTACTTGGTATGCCATACCCTAGAGCCTGCAGTCGTTTTACTCCTGGTCCTGTACGCGTTTGAGTTAACAACACGCCAAGGAATCCGCAGTTGTCTTTTATTCCTCCTTTGGTCCATCTTCTTGCACCTCTTTGTGGAATACTTGAGAGCCGAATCTTGTCGCTTTCATCATCTGCTCCTGTTCCGAGTTTGAACTGAAACTGAGCATCATGCAGGGCCTTCTGCTTTCACTTTTGACGCTTTCCATGTGTGTTGGTGAGTGGCCTTTTCATTTGTCTATTTCTGTCATGTGCCTGTACAGTCATGGAGGTAGGAAACAAGAAAGGGGGAAAAGAATGTTGCGAACTGACGCTGTTTTTTTCTTCATATATCATCTCACTGAAGATCAGTCATTGCAGAAATGATGATAAGCCATGAATCTGATGGGACTGAGAAAAATTTCCAATTTTGTTAAGGAAATACTTAGAAAATGTTCTTGACTCTCCGTAGACTTACTACACAACCGCCGAAGTAGCGTCAGGTACTAGGTTGCAACATTCTTTCCGAAAGGGAAAACATAATTTATAGACAAAGGTTGACAGACGGTGGCGATAACAATCATTGTGCGGCCCTTTTGGCGTGGTAACAGGGCGGCTCAGGAGATTAAGTAGTAATATGTGAACTCAAAAGGTTACATTTCATTCAAAACATCAAGTTAAGTTTCATCATTGATCATGTTCAGATGATATGTGCATGGATTGCGTGGGAGTGAACTTTTAATCGCAGCAGTAAATGGGAAAGAATGTAGTATATCCAGACGCCACTTCAACGGCTATGGCAAGTCAAGACAGTTTTTTTTGGGGGGGGGGAGAATTTACGATGCTCCAAATCCAATACTATATAAAGACACTAAACTAAAACTACGGCAACACAAGGCACATGGGCAGGCCAGCATGGACATTCCAACCTTTCAAGCATTATTCTATAGTCCACAAATTTTCCAGTCACTATTGCGCACTTCGATTTGTTGGATTTTGCACCCTTTACTCATTTAGTATATATTTGTGTGTGATGTATAAAGAGATGTTAATCGGTCCTGTCCAGTAAGTTAGATGTGAACGCTTCCATCCTTCGTATTTTGCAATAATCGTGGAGCTACACGTATGCTATAATGGTAAAACGAAGGGGGCCGTATCGTAAGTCCGACGCCTCATTATGTCCGACCCCAAACGAAGAAGTAAAAAAACACACGTCATTTCACTGCTTATCAGCGCCATATATACCGAGTAATGGTCTTAGACAAACGATCATGCAGATGGTTTGTTGCATCAAAGAATCCCACGCTAGGCGTCGCCTCCCGCCACGCGCCCGCACAGCCAAATCCGCGCTGAAACTCCGGGAACATGGGAGCAACGGTCAGTAGCATATCCAACTTTTGTTGTCATTCATGGGGCAACCGCACAAGGCGCCGAAATGTAAACATGGTGTTTTTTTCTACGGACACTTGACCTCCGTAAACTCCACCATTACAATATAATGCATAAGGAATATCGCTTTTCACGGTTTGGTTTTTGAACTAGGTTTTCTTTTTTGGTTCATGTCAGAACTCGCGTACAATTTTATGGAAATACTTTCTGAGTGTGTCACGGTCATAATTTTTTGCCCGCGAAGAAACAATGCGGGTCGCCGACCGTACCATTGATCGCGCGCATTTATTTTTCTTTCAGTGACCGTCGTGGCTGTTACACCATCCGCGTGTCTGCCCCCTGCATGAGCACTTTCATTTCGTCCATGCTGCACGTGCTCCCCGCCGGTAACGGAGGGGTTGTGTTTCACTGCGATATTTCGTGGGGGTTGTACACCAGAAAACCTTGAACTTATTGAAAACACCATCTGCGCGCTTTGTGTGTTATGATGGCCTGAATTGTCTTCATAGTAAACCACAGACTGTAGCCTTGTGGAGTCTTCTCTTTGTTCTCGTGTGCTAAAGTTGTTGATCGAGTTTGAAAGTTTCAAAATGCTCCTATTTGAACCAGAATTAATTTCCTTTTAATTTTTAACTTTTTAGGAAGACCTCCCATATGGTTTTTTTTAATTCTCGATCATTGGGGACCTTCCCCTTCTATTGTTAAACGTCCCCTATTGAATGCAGAAACAAAATCACATACACACATTGTGTTTATGGTGTAAATCGAGGATTTTGAATTGTTCCTCTTCCCTTTTCCTTTGTTTATGCAATATGTACTCTTCTTTTTGCAACAGCTCTCAATGGTTTTATACACATTTTCCAGTCGAGGTCGTCCTCGATTTGGTTCTACACCATAAACACGCACCACAAAACCTGCTTTCTAACCAGAACAAAATATTGGCTACTAAGTAAATGGAATGTAGCTGAACAGTTTCTATTTGAAATCACAAATGTCCCAAGCTATGTACAATCGGCCGGGCATGCGCACAAAACTGTACTTCGTCTTTCATAAGACCAAACGTGAAGATTGTAGCTCACAAATTTGTTAGAATCTGAATGGCAGTTGGATGTTCAGCACATGACCTTGAGAACTTGACTTTGACGCTGATGGAAAATTCCCAGGCAAATTGAGGGTGTGAACCTGAAATCGAAAGTACAAGCAGAGGGCCAGACTGTACCTGGCGCCAAAAAATGCAAAGTCCTTGGCGCCAACATTGTGTAAATTATACAATACATTGTATAATTTTATGTGAAAACATGTACTCAACAATGTCCTTTATTTGCAGTTAGGCCACACGTCATGACAAATGAACAGAAACCGTTCATGAGATACGGTATTTGATTGATTTCTTTTACCAACTTGCGTCATGCGTCATTGATACTCTGCTTTGTATTTCACGGCTCGTTTGAAGTAAAGCGACCGTTTTTCATTTGGGTTGATTTTCTATTGAGAAAGCCATGAGAAAAACAGACTTCCGTTTTTTTGTACTTGACAAAAAAAACTTGTGGACCTGCTGGCTTTTATAAGACACAACATAAAGGCCAAAAAAAAGTCTCCGGTTTCTGGTATGCGCGCGCGTCGCCGTAGCCATGCGCGTCGGCAAAATGAAAAAAAGTTTTTTTTTTTCAATGAAGGATGATGTCTCAAAACCGCCAAACTCACTCGTTTGACTGGAATCCTGCTGCTGCACAATTTTAACGTGTTTTTAGATTGGGTTATGGTCGAGAATAAGCTTTATGTGGCCTCTCTGGACTCCCATATATTTGCACTAAGATTAGTCGGGCACCATTTGCAGTCATCAGCCGACATTTGAAGCAAAAAATCAGGTAAAAAAAAAAAAGCCGCGTCGCCGCACCACTTTTTGGAGCTCCATACCAGAAACCGGAGACTTTTTTTTTGCCTAATAGTTAAATTCGTATATTTAACAATTGTTGACTGCTGTGATGTGGATGTGACGTTTTGAACACCCGATGGGCGCATAGCACCCGAGGCGAAGGGGGACGTCTCTATAGTTCGACGTCCCATTGGTCCGACGGCCCATGGCTCTATACGTTCCATTGGTATAAACGTCCCATTGGTCCGAAGTCCCATCGGTCCAAAGTCCCATCGGTCCGACCGTCCGACGTCCCATCGGTCCGACGCCCCATATCAGGGTTTCAGTCAACCTGAACCAGTGGATGTTTCGTCGGACCAAGGGAAGTCGGACCAATGGGACGTCGGACCAATGGGACTTCGGGCTATCGATCTATTCAGGCGTTTTCTACATGAAAGCCGCGCTGCCGTATTGACCTATCGCAGAAGAATCGCGTTAGAAAATTCCATAGGGTTGTCTACTTGGCGTGGCTAACTCGTACTCGCTAACGGCGATAGGACATGGAACAACGCGGAGAGATTGTCTGGCGCCATTTCGAAGGTTTTATTGACATTTAATGACTATTTATAAATTATAATAGGCCCTTTCATTTGTGAATCACTTACCCTTCACATAACGCGTATCAGCCATTCAGCATGTGTTTTCAATGTCAATTTGTTTTCAGAAACAAAATTTGTAATCGCTGCAGGGAGCTGAGTATTCGTTCGTTCTGAGGCGTGGCACTACCATAGTCTGGTTTCCAGACCAAAAGATTCTGACTATTTCTGATGAATCTTAGGTCAGGCAACCTCCGTGGCTAAAAATAAACATGACGACATTGGTGGCCCTTTTTCAAAGCTCGGCTTCGTTTCGCAATATCATACAGTTATGATAAATACAGTTTGATGTTTCTGTAAGATAGCATTGACTAATGTTGATCTGGAATCTTCAAAATAAGGCAACCAAATAGCACTGTTAGCAAGCGGAGCCGAATGAAGACCGAGTTTTGGAAAATCTCAGTAACGGTCGTCAAATTCAAAATTGTACATGACGCAGCAAAAAGTTCGCCCATACGATCCGAGTAATGCACAAAATCGTCGTTGAATTTCAAGTTTTCTAAATGAAAGCAATGAATATTAATTATCAACTCATTTAAAAAAAGTTTTATATGCTATTAGCAGTTAATTAAACCTATATTATATTCGGAAATACTCGGGCGCTATCCGATTGTCGACGAAACGAATTCGGCAAACTACGGAAATTTTAGGAAAAAGGAGGAATTCCTCCCGTTTTAGTCACGTGACGTAAATTGTAACACAATGTATTACTGGAGGCTACCGGACCTAAGATTCGTCGGGAATAGTCAGAATATTTTGGTCTGGGAACCAGACAAGGCACTACCAAAAACAATTCTGATATAGTTTCTGGTTTTAAGGGTTACCAAAATGTTGAGAGTTTTGTAATTGATCCCGATGTAACCGATTTTTAATTATAAATGCGAGGCTTATAAATGTGTTATACCAATGTCGCACAAGTACATGAATAATTTATTAGCTAACCTGAAAGCAGCTTTTCAAGCTCGAGCAACAGAGCTTCTACAAGTCACTCTGGTGTCGGTCGGTCGGTCTGTCGGTCGGTCGGTCCCCCCCCCCCCCCCAAAAAAAAAAATTTGACCAAAAAACGAAGCCCCTAAGTGACCCATAAAACTGTAAGCACCAAATTGTAATTGTCCAAACAAAATATAATACCGGTAAGCACCACAAAAATTGTTTGTAATAATTCGTGGAGTTGTTTACGAAAATTGTGTTCACGGAGAGAAAAAAAATGTTGTAAATTTAAAAATCACGTTGTATGTACTGCGCTAGGAACTTCGGGGTTTCTACACACCTGTGAATGTAATCACCCCTGCCGCTGGCCCTGTGCCAGGTTTTGGGTCTCCATGCCCTATGGGGATGAGGCTTAAAAAAAATAGTTCTGCTCCCGATTACATGGCATTAGAAAAGAGGGTAGGTAGGTAGGGATTTGTTTGTGTGGGGCTGTCAATAATTGACAATCACGACAGAAGGTGCCGTTTTATGCAAGACTTTCATGCGAGACGGCCAGATTGTGCAATCGCACTTGTTTGTAGTAGAAGAGGAAGCATATTAGCATATACCTTCCTGTAACTTGAACTGTCTGGTAGAGTCATATTGCTGGTCGTCATCTAGTGTTTATCTGTCCTTGGATAACACTATTTCCTTCCTCTTTCTTATCCTTCTAGTCAGGCCCGGATAGTATCAGGCTAAAAAAAAAAATATTCGGTCTCTGGTCAGACCAAAGTTCCGGAATTGACGCGGCCACGCGGCTTTTTTTTTTTTTTTTTGCTTTTTTTTTTTTTTTTCAAGCTTGGATTGTACAGACAAGGTGGGTCTATTTTGCTTTTTTGGTGTCCTCATGTACATTGGTGTCCTCCATAATTTGCCTTGGTGCTTTCGATCATTTGCCTTGGTGCAATTTCCCATTCCTTGGTGCTCTTTGGTAAAAAGAAATTGAGGAGGTGCGGAAATAGAGGGCGCTGTTGGAGCTACCGCGGAACATTTTGGAAAAAAAAAAGATCGACGCGCATGATTAAAATCGACGCGCGCGCTGACCAGAGACCGACTTATTTTTTTTTGGCCTGATAGACCTTGATCATTCTGCCAACATTTCAGTCATGTTCCCTGTATCCAGTATCGGTACTGAATGATAATGTTTTTGTGCAAAAAGGAGCCAGACTATTTTTCCTTCCAGGGCCTTGCTTTGGGTACGTTGATTCGAATGTGAAAAAAACTCAAACTCAAATGATCTGTATAGGCACAGGGCCCAATTTCATAGAGCTGCTTAAGCACAAAATTTGCTTAAGCACAAAAAAACATTGCTTAGTAAAATTAGGTTACCGGCCCAAACTCCATGTGATATACATTGCTTGTTACTGGTATTTAGCTGTTGTTTACTTAGCATAACAATCGCATGGAGTTTTGGTGGGTAACCTGATTATATTAAGCAAGACGTTTTTGTGCTTAAGCAAATTTTGTGCTTAAGCAGCTCTATGAAATTGGCCCAAGTAGTGCCTGTAGGGCCTACGAAAAATCCGGGGTTTTTTTGTAAAGTTTTTTTAATGGTTTTAGGGCCTCTCTCAGAACTTTCGATATCACCAACCGACGCTGTACGTACAGGCGCACATGATAGGCCCTACGTATACAGTGTTATCCTTCTCGTTCTGAAGCACTGTGCCAACAACCTTGGGCGTCGAGTCGGTGGGGGACGGGGGACATGTCGTTCCCCCTCGTCCCCCCCCCCCCCCAAAAAAATAATATTTTCGTCGCCGAATAAAAATATAAAAAAATTAGCCTACATTTTGAATTTTGATTCTGTAGCTCAGCTGATTCAGTGACTCCAAACTCGAAAACGACGTGTAATTAATGATCTTTTGCTAAATAAAAAAAGGGTTAAAGTGGTGTTTCCGCAAACTTTTCATTCAACAATCGATGTCTGTCAACGTTTTAGTTATAGATGTCTATGGCGCGACAACGGGTATATAACCGAAGACCCGATATAGAAAGCGCCCCGCTGAATGGTTTCAATCACGAGGTTAGCGCCCCGCTGAATGGTTAAAATCACGAGGTTTAGTCTTCTCGCATATCATGGGCCTTAGTTCACGAGTTGGCCATTTTTTTGTCGAGTTCCCTGAATGTGCTTCATTAATTGTTAACTGTTGAATGGGATGGCGACATACTATTTATGCAGGCACAATGCAGTCTATTTGCATTGGCTGTCGCTTTTTTAATATGGCTTTAAACATAAGGGAATGTTTAATTACAAATTTTAAATTATTCATTGAAGCCGAGTGGAATTTATTATAAATTAACTTGCTTTCATTTCTCTTCCGAAGTTCCAAAAATTAAAATTTTGCCTAATTCAATTCAATATGACCGAGTCTTGAATAAGGCCCATAGACCCTTGCTAGCTTCGCAAGTGTCTATAATACATAGACTAGTATCCCCATTCTTATGTGGAAATTTAACCGGCATGTCCTTGGCTAAGAATCAAAACTTTGGTTTCAAGTCCTTGGTCTGATCTGTGGTCCGAGCACGCCGCTGTTAATCCGTGTAACGTGTACATGTAGTAGACCTTTTGACTGCAAAGCAGGCTGACCTGAAGCTTAATCCCGCTAGCATAGTCCAAGGCTCGAGCGCTAAACTGTCGCTATCGATGAAAGTTGGTTGTGCGTTGATAGCATAGCCAGCTGCATAATATGCATGCATGAAAAAGTCCAGCGTCGGGTGCATGCATTGAAGAAGGTCGTAATAGTCCAGACAATGGCGAAAGGTCAAATTCAGGCGTGTTTTTTTCACGGGTAAGGCCAAAAAACAAAGCCTCCGGTTTCTGGTATGGGAGCTTGCGCGGTGCGGCGACGCGGGTTTCTTGTTTTTTTGGCCCTACTTTTCGCCGATGACGCACGCTTCCATCCCCTTAAGGCTCTCAACAATCTTTCAGGGTAGAGCTTGAGTGGCCTCAGTGAGGTCATAAATAAGGCTTGTGAATGCTACACCAACTTACCATCTCGACCGACACGAACATTCTTTGGGAAATTTGGATAAGTCAAGACAAAATTAAGAGAAAACGGTAATGTCAGATGCAAGCCATACAGCGACATCGTCATCTGTACAATTCAAGCTTGAAAAAGAAAAACACAACCCCCCCCCCCCCAAACCGCGTCGCCGCATCAATTCCGGAACTTTGGTCTGACCAGAGACCGATTATTTATTTTTTTTGGCCTAATCCCACTCGCTTATATACTCGGGGCATAATATGCTCTGTGTCCGCCAAAAACGTGCCTACTAAATAAGTATCATTCAAGAAGGCTGATACAGTACGGTTTCTGACGGGCCATTATGCATGCGACCTTGGGTTCAATATCAACGTGTTGTGTGTGATGTGAACCAAGAAAAGGTCAGCGTACTGGGTACAACTTGAAGGCAGAATTGCGCCAAAAAAAACACCATTGACCAGCTGATTGAGACCTTTGTCCAGAAATCAGATCTGATCAGGCAATGATGGCATTGTGTCAGTGCCATGGCGGCGGGCCCTGCAGCTCTTTATTAGCATTATTCACTCTGTGTAAATGGGAAATTATAATTTTGGTAGTTTCGCGAATCTGTTCTGTTTCTATTTCAAGGTCAACTAAGTTTGGGATCTCTAAACTGTATAATAACAATAATATTATGTGGATGTATTCGTTGTGTGTTTTTGTATTGTTGTCGTTGTTGCCGTTATCTCGTCTGGTGGTTGTTGTCGTAGTTGGTTGTTGGTTGTCGTTGTCGTAGTTGGTTGTTGGTTGTCGTTGTCGCTGTCGTTGTTGGTTGATATCGTTGTTGGTTGTTGTCGTAGTTGGTTGTTGCTTGTCGTTGTCGCTGTCGTTGTTGGTTGATATCGTTGTTGGTTGTTGTCGTAGTTGGTTGTTGCTTGTCGTTGTCGCTGTCGTTGTTGGTTGATATCGTTGTTGGTTGTTGTCGTTGTTGGTTGTTGTCGTTTTTGTCGTCGTCGTTGTTGGTTGATATCGTTGTTGTCGTTGTTGGTTGTTGTCGTTGTCGTTTTTGTCGTCGTTGTTGTCATTAGGATCCTATTACGGTGTGATGAAGCAAGAGGACACGTACTGGGATCTTGAAAGGATTTTCTAAAGAGGATTTCTGAAAGACCCTTTGACAATCGAAAAATAAGAGGGTTCGACTGAGGCGGTAGCCCGCAAGCCAAATGCTAGCCAAAACAGCAGCGGGCTAATAGTCAAACTATTCCTTAGCCCGGCTGCGAGTCAAAACATATTTTGAAACGGATTTCAGGAAGCAAACCTGTATCAATTTGTGTCTAATTTTATTAACTGTTTAGGGTTATTATTAGATCTGTTTATTAAAACATGATGTAGACACATTGTTGTTCCGGTTCGTTAGTGTGACGTCATCTCCAGCACTTTCTGCATGATTGGAACCGGAAGTTAACGCAGCTCGAGCGTTTGTAGCCAATGGGCGCCAGTAATCAGTGCTGCGCGCGTGTGTATGACGTTTTCACTAACGAACCGGATAAAAGAAAAAACAACATGCCGGCTAGTGAAAACGCCCGCGGGCTAGTTAAGAGTCTGTTTCAGTAGCTCGGCTGGCTAGTGCGAAAAAGAAAATTAAACTCGAACCCTGAAAAATAAGCATGCTGACAATAATATTAATTCTTTTTTTCCCCTTTCTCTTTTTTGATTCGCAGCTGGCTCGTACGCTGTTCAATGTTACGAGTGCAACGGGGTCATTCAACCGCTCACGTCGAATACCTGGTGCAGTGACCCCTTCGATGCCGATTCGGCCGGTGCCAAAGCATCCATTAAGTCCTGCAAGGGACCTTGCGTGGTGAGTTCAGGAGTTAGGAGGATCTGATATTTATTGTAATCTTTCCAGGGGCGTAGATCCTGCCCCCCTACTTTTGGACCAGAGTGGGATGGGCTATTGAATCATCCCCCTGCCACTTTTTCGTGATGAGAAAAAAATGTGGATTTCGAGGTATTCTCGAACATTCAAACAACAGAAATGTGTTCAATAGCACTGAAAAGTGGAGAAACAAAGTAAAAAAGCTTTAAAACTTCACCTTTTGATGTAAGCGGAGTATATTGATATACACCTATATCCTGAAGAGCGCCCCTAGTGTAATGTGTCTAGCCATTTTATGTAAGCAGAGTATACTAAGGCCAAAAAAAAAGTCTCCGGTTTCTGGTATGGAGCTTGCCCCAAAAGTGGTGCGGCGACGCGGCTTTTTTTTTTTTTTAACCTGTTTTTTTTTTTTTTTTGGCTTCAAATGTCGGCTGATGACTGCAAATGGTGCCCGACTAAACTTAGTGCAAATATATGGGAGTCCATAGAGGCCACATAAAGCTTGTTCTCGGTCATAACCCCATCTAAAAACACGTTAAAATTGTGCAGCAGCAGGATTCCAGTCAAACCAGTGACTTTGGCGGTTTTGAGACATCATCTTGTATTGAAAAAAAAACTTTTTCATTTTGCCGACGCGCATGGCTGCGGCGACGCGCGCGCATACCAGAAACCGGAGACCTTTTTTTGGGCCTAAGGTTGTACTATATCCTGAACAGCACCCCCTAGTGTAATGTGGTGTCCAGTACAGATTGAGGGCGCCCTAGCTAGCCAACGCGAATAAGTTTAGAATTCTTCTCCTGTTCACTCTTTCAGAAACTGTACTCCAAAATTGGGAGCAACGTTGAAGGCTACGTCCGTCAGTGTTCCAACGACACTGATCAGTCCCTGTGCATAAACGACTGCGGAAGTGTCGGGGACATCTACTCCTGTGGGTACTGCTGCACCGGGGACCTCTGCAACAGCGCAGCCTCCGTGACCTTTAACCTCCTGGCAGCAGTCGCCATGTTGGTATCAGCCTGGGTCTTCACAGCGTAAAGACATTTGGCGCTGGCATGATGGTGCTAATTACCGGTTGCTCATTTTGGAAAACCATTGGGACCATCGGAAGGGGTGTAGACACAACAATCTTTTATTTCATTTTCTTTAACTGAAATACGCATTGGTACTTGACGCAACTTTTACCCAAAATTCTACTTACTTTTTTTTTGGCACTGGGACTTTGTTTTTTTTATGTTATAATTAATGTAAAGAATTTACAGTACTGGTGTTAGAGTTTGCGTGTGTGTGCATGAGTGCAGACATACTCAGAGCATGTTTAAATGCCCATTCCAAATAACATTACTGTAACGTCACGAGTGCTTGATGTTATTTACAATTATGGTCTGGCATTGAAAATGCTCTGAAAATGTTTGGATGGTGATGGCCACGCGCGCGTCTCAAATTATTCCACGTGATTGGTTGGTTTCAGTTATGTGATTATATTTGGTGGCATTGGGTGCAACTTAACTGTGCTTATGAACGTCAGCAGTTGAAAAGGTAAATCAGACTTATGGTGGACATGATCAATTAATATATAGGAGCTTTGCGGTGACACAATGTTTTCTGTTTTTGAGTTGTGTGGTTCTGAGAAGAACCAGTTGGTTCAACTCGACGTTTCGTTATCAGGCGACTGCCAGATTGATGTAGTAGCTTAAGTAGTGGATGGTAAGTTCAATGGACCGTACGTGTGGAGGCGGTGGATTCTGAAAGAGGATGCTAAGTTCAGCATCTTAATGATGACGAACAGAGCAAACGGTTTGAGACGTCGAGTTAAAGCAAAACGGTTCTTCCCAGAACCACACAACTCACTGAGAGATAATCATTCACATGGTGTTCTTCCACAGATCTTCCATTCATATATAACAGGGGTGTTAAAAAGCGTAATGTTGGTCTACTTCTTGTTGGGCCAATTGCATAGGCAAAGTTTGGTGTGTCAAACCCCCTTTTGGTATCTGGTTATTACAAATAAAGCAGTTGGTGTAGCCCGTTATAGTCTTAACGTGTTCTTTTTTAAAGTACATGTAGTTAAAATCGGCGTATATGGATGTAATTGTGTTTCTATTAGAAGAAATCGAGTACTTTCATCGGTTTTTTTTTACCATGTCTTCGTTTGTGTATGATAACGGAATTACTGATGTACATAATTTGTGCCGTCGGTAGTGATGATGTATTGAAAAAGTATGACTTTTTCGCTGCTGTTTTCCTTTTTGTCTGTGTTGATTAACTCTTGCAGTACTTCAGTAACAAGGAATAAAGTAAAACACTGTTATCCTCTTTATGTGTTTGTTTTGTTTTATATTTGCAGCTTTTAACAAATAAAACGACGCTTTGTCATGTTTTCTACAGTCTTTCCGGGAGTACCATGCAACTGTCTGATCTGATCTGAAAGTGGCGTGCTCTATTAGACCCAAATTACTGTTGCATTCTTTGTTGTAAAATATCAATGTCGTATTGTTTAGCTGTCTTCGTAATTTAGATCTGTTCTCCGACTTGGACAATGCCAGTTTTGAGTACCGAGTTCAGTTTCTAGGCCTACGTTATTTTGTGTGACGTCTCGGTGCCAAACACTGACTAGTCTGGCTACGGACTTTCTCGTCTTTCATCACATAACACTATGCATAGTCGGTTGACCAAAATTTAAGGTCACATTTCATTTGTCACTATGGTGTGGTCAATCAATGGCACGCTCTGTAATCTCCACCCTGACAACTTGTTTTTGCATAATTTTATTAGCTCGTCCTCGTCTCACCTTTTTTTAATAAGATGCTTGAAGATAATTTGTGAAGGGAAAAGTGAGAAAAAAAGAAACAATTTCCAATTTGAAAAGCTCATCATTTAGGGACGATCTCTCGCGGTTTTGTGAATTGAAATTATTGCAGAATTTATGCTTGCGGCTAAACTTTTTTTACTGTACGGTTTATTTTATACGCTTTATTGTTCTGGACTAAATATCAAGTCAATTATTATTTTTGTTGTTTTATTAATTTGACCGTAGTGGGCTACCTGTGCACAGTGTATGCCGTTTCTAGCAATAAAAACCCCTTGAGGGAATCGATTTAGAAAGCAGCAAAAAGTAATGCACCTCACATCCTGTGTTTTGTTATCACACCGACCGCGAGAAGTGATGCGCGATCTTACGAGAATCGTTATCATACAGGGTTGTCCAAAAAGGGAATGACAAACCTACCCTGAGACTCAATTTACCCAGTGGCGTAAAACCCGGGGATGGGGGAATATATCCCCCACACATTTTGACGGGGTGGGCTTTGAATCCCTCCCCCCCCCCCCTACACACACACGAACGTCCCAGCAACTAAAGTGAATTCTTATCAGTTTTTGATTGTCCAACCCCGCATTGTTTCACGCTTGTTTCGTGCTAACCGATTTTGGGTGATTTTGTTTTGATGTGAATATTTAAAAAATGTAATTGGCTAGTCTACCCAAAATTTTAAAGAAATGAAAAGGATGAAGGACAAGACAACAATTTAATAATTGTTTAAAAAACCCCAGTGATGTCGGCTTGCATGTTATTTGGCCCTGAACTTTGCTGATTTTACACTGTTTTCAATGGGGCTTGAATTAGTTCAGTGCACCCTATATGGCCGATTTTTATAGTACAAGTGAAGTGCGCCCTCACAAGACTATTTTTAATCATTATGTTATGTGTATAGTCTGGTTCCCAGACCAAACGATTCTGACTCTTCCTGATGAATCTTACGTCAGGTAGCCTCCGGTGATACATTGTATTACAATTTACAATTAAAATGAGAGGAATTCCTCTTTTTTCCTAAAATTTCCGAAGTTTGCCGAATTCGTTTCGTCGACAATCGAATAGCGCCCGAGTATTTCCGAGTATAATATAGGTTTAATTAACTGCTAATTGCTTTTCAATTTTTTTTAAAATGAGTTGATAATTAATATTCATTGCTTTTATTTAGAAAACTTGAAATTCAACGACGATTTTGTGCATCAACTATACTCGGATCGTACCCTGTATGGGCGAACTTTTTGCTGCGTCATGTACAATTCACATCGTCATTCTGTTGGTGGGTTACTATCTGATTTTGTCCATCGAGCTGTAGACTAAGCGTACCGATAACTGTCGGAGAAACATCATGAAGTGCTCAATGCTATCGCTGCTTATGTTTGGCCTCTGCATGGGTTAGTTCTCACCTAATTTTCTTAATGAATTGGAGACAGTTCGGGCTTAACTCGTCATGACCCGGTGTTGGCACAGTGCGCCCCACCCACTCGTACTTAAGTTAGTCCCGGAACGCTGTGAGTAGGCCTAAATGACATATTTTGAAACTTCTAACTTTTTCCGCAGGTTCAACTCAGTCAAGTTTTATGCTTTTACATAACATGTGGGCTTCACTTGGGTAACAAGTGAAGTCATGCATTCAATCCTATATTCAATATGAGAATGGGAGAAAGGGTTGGTTGGGTAATACATGTACCACCGTGCGAAAGTCTTTCGACGTAGAACACTTATCGTATAGCCGCTTGCATATTTATACAAGCGATATTTGCGCATATTGGTCAGTGATTAATTATGCAAAACAAAACAAAACCCAAGGGCGGATCCAGAACACAATTTTTTGGGGGACCAACACAAATTTAGGTCCCCCAAAAAAGTGGGTCAAAAAAAATTACGGCGTGGGGTTCGGGTCCCGCTTAAGGGCCCCGAATTTTTTTTGGATTCTAGATGCTCTGTGGTGCGATCTGAGGCAATTTCTGACCACTTTAACCAATGTTTTTTTGAGGAAAAGATGGTGGTGTACTCATTGCCTGCCTTTATTGCGATGTCACATAAAAAATAAAAAAAATGGTTTCGTTTTTTTTTTGGGGGGGGGGGCATGGCCCCCTTTGGCCCCCCCCCCCCCGCATCCTCCCTTGACAAAACCTGCGTCTTGACCTCCAGATTTTGACCATTCAGCGGGCGCCCATTATATCGAGTCTTCCGTTTTACAAAAACACAGCAGCCAAATTGACCAATCGACAGCTTAGCCCACATTTTTGATCGAAATGACAACACAGTTTCTAACGTCGACTCCGATTAGCTGGCGCGCGGCCGGGTCGCATAAAACTTGCATGCTAGGATATATCAGACGTTCGTTCGTGTTGCTCTCGGCGTCGAATGTCTGTGGTGGAAAGAAACATTAATGTTTGTTGGTCTCATCGTCTGTTTGTTTTCTTGCAGCCAGTGTCCAGGGGCTAAAATGCTACTCTTGTAGCTACACCAATGTTGCCCCTAGGTACATGTCGTTCTGTGGACATCCCTTCGATGCAAAATCGCCTGAGGCGAAATCGTCTATCGTTTCTTGTAACGGAACTTGCATAGTGAGTTCATTAAAACAAAATTACAAAATCCATTTATCCCCAAACCACCCTACCTCCACGTAATATGCGTACATTATAAAGCTTTACAACACTCACCACACGCAACAACACCTTCATCACCACGCTGACACCAATATCACCACCACCTTAACCCCACCTCTATACAGGGCGAGTAAAAAAAACACTCAAACCCAAATGTCGGGACTATTATTTTAGTGAAGTTCTGCATGTAGCACTTTCAAAATCTAGCACATGAAAGCCCAATTTCATAAGCTTTCTTTGAATACAAAAATCACTCATGCACTTTTGAATTTACGGAATTTTAAACACAACCACCGTTTGAAAGTTTTGTCCACGGATCACAAAAATGTGTGCGTTCTTTCAGCAAAATGTGAACTTTCGTTTTGCTTACCTTTTTGTGATCCGTGGACAGAACTTTAAAACGGAGGTTGTGTCTAAAATTCCGTAACTGAGTACATGAGCGATTTGAATGATTCTTGTACTAGAAGAAAGCTTATGAATTGGTCATGCTTATCCTAGATTATTAAAGTGCTACGTGCAGAACTTCACTAAAACAAAGGTCCTGACATTTGGGTTTCGTTCTTTTCTTTTTCTTTAACTCACCCCAGGCGCGGATCCAGGGGGGGGGGTCAACCCCCCAGCTTTGTCCACAAAAAAAAAGTTATCATACAAATTCCTACCAAATAAGTCGAGAACCCCCCCCCCCCCGCTGTGACACCCCCACCCCCCACGAAAAAATTATATTGTCATAATGTCCGCCTGTTCAAAATACTGTACACCATTCTGTAATCTAGTGTTAATAATCGTCGAATTTGAACAGTGCCCCCTATTGAAATATGTCCCCCCCCCCAGTGTTTGATTTTACGGAGGCCAAGTGTCCGGAGAAAAAAACCTGTGTACATTTTAAGATGTTTTGGCTGATGAAACACCCCCCCCCTTTTCGAACATTCCTGGATCCGCCTCTGCACCCTGTAAGGTTGTATGCTTCCTCCAAATCATCACCTCGCGCTAATCCCAAGCCCAAGCTTTTCTCTTGTCTTCACCCTCCCCCAGGCATCGAAAGGCAGGATCTACTATGATGGTGGCTACGTCGAAGGTATAGAGCGAACATGTTCTGACAGGGACGTCTCGACGTGCTCCAACGAGTGTGGATCGGTGGGAGACGTGGCAGGTTGCGAGCACTGCTGTGATGACGCTGACCTCTGCAACAGCGCATGCCCCGTGACCTTTAACATAGCAGTGGTCGTCACCATATTGGTTGTGACCGTGGCTTTTTAAACGGAAGGCAAATTGATCGTCACTTTCTCAATAAGTGCGTGTCATTGTTTGGTTAATTAGTAACATTCAGATATAAATATTCATGAGTTGTGACGATCTGATACACGGTACCTTGTGGAGACATGGGTATAATACGGAACAAAATATTGTACACGTCTCCACATGGCATTTTCTATAGGTGAATACGTTTCCACAAGGTTATCACGAAATAGATGTATGGATTTTACTCAAAAACTAGGAATTTCCAAGGTGTGTTGATGTGTCGCAAATAGAAGTATTTTATGTAAGGGATATTAAGACCGATTTCAGCAGAGGAAATTAATTCTGGTTAAAATAGGAGCATTTTGAAACCAGATTTTCACATTATAAAATTTTAGTACACGAGAACAAAGAAATGACTCCACAAGGATAACAATTTCAGTATAGGCCTATTTGATGTTTTGGTTGTTCTCAATATAAGAGGCCCTGACCCTACACTTTTAACAATTTAAGTGTGAGATGATTATTTTGGTATAAGAAGTAGAGAACACTGAAACGTTGTCTTCCAGCTATTTTTACATGTCAGACAAACTGGGTAAACGTAATCTTGCGGTTAAACAGACCTTTTTTTTTTTAAATATAGATGGTAATTTTGTGTTTATTGTAACTTGGGCTCCATTGTGAAATGAACCAATGATCAGATATTTTTGTCTAGATGGGTTGATTGAAGTGGTGTCTGCAAAGTTTCAAACTAAAATTCCTTTTGATACAAAATGAAAACGATGAATTGTCTGAGTGGTCATTGTTGGTTCTTGGAAGTTGATAGGTTCTAGACTATGTACAGTTCATGACAGAGAAACATTGTGGATGCAGGGGGGGGGGGAACGGGACCATGCGCGCCTTAGTGAAGGGATTTATTCGGCGATTGGCGGGGTTTGCCCGGTTACGTCTTCCGATTTATTTCCGAAAAAGTCCTTTTAAAGTGGTAGAAGTGAGGAAGTAAATTTCCGGATTGATATTCTATAGGGCAGAACTGGAATCAAGGCAGGGACTGAAAACCCCAATCCTCTCGGCCCATCAAAGGGGCCTCGTGCCCGGATCCCAGTAGCCTTTAGTCAAATCCCACGCGCTTACCCGGACACATGACGCACCCCGGATGCTGACACGTAAAAAGACTGTCACGAGCGGCTTTGCCGCTCATGCTAGTCTTTTTACGTGCCAGCATCCGGGGTGCGTTACGTGTCAGGATGGTCCGGGTATAGGCGCGTGGGACTTGACTAAAGGCTAGGATCCCAGCGGTGCATGGAGGGCTAGTAATGTACCGCTACGCCAACCTGAACCCTTTTTATTTATCATCATGTTGACGAAAAGTTTGTCACGAGCTAAGTGGCCCATCAGGCCGGCGTTTATTTCCGGTTTCAGTAGCATGAAACGACTGAGAATATTTTTTATTCCCCCTGGATGGGATGCTAGTCTATCGCAGGTTACTCCCGCCAGCTAATGCCGGTACCCATTTATACTCCTGGGTGGAGAGAGGCAAGTGGGGATGAAGTGGCTTGGCCAAGGATACAACATCTGAACAGCAGCTGGATTCGAACCCGTGACACTCTGATCATGAGTCACGAACCCTAACCACTAGGCCACACTCCGTGTTGACTAGAGAGGGCGCATTGTTCGATGAAATGGCGATGCATTGCTCATACGTAGGGCTGCAAAAAAAATCCCATAGACACTAGTGCTCAATGCGCATACTTGAAAATTCTTTTACAAATACTCTGAACTCTCACAGGTATTCAAGCTGCACAGAAAAATGATGATCAATGTGTCATTTTTCATTTTCTTTTCATTTTTTGGTGGGTTGACCATCGACTTTTCGAGATATTCTCTCCCAAAGAAGACGACCCCTATTTTTCCCAAAGCGGAAAAATCTTGAAAAAAGATACCTCCACAACAGGGCAAAATAGCGCCACTTTCGAGCCCAATAGCATCCAAAATGCTCAGAATTTGAAGCCCCAAGTCCGGGCCAGAGGTTCATTACCATATCTCTTCAATTCCCCAATTTTATGGCCCTAGCACTCCTGTGGTGATGGTGCTTGGCCTGCAGAAGAGCACAATACTACATGCGTTGGCATAGCAACGTATTGTTGCTCTTCTCTATTAGCGCTGACGTATGGTGTCCGTCTACACGGTTGGGTGAGCACAAAGAGAGTGCAGCTTAAAGGTACAGTCGGGGAACACAAATAGTGAACTTAAACATCGCCCTCTCTCTCTCTATATATATATTTTTTAAATAACCAAATAACCTCAACAATCCATTTGTGACTTTGAATATTTAACCCGATCCAAGTTTGTTTGTATTTTTTTTTTTGGAGGGGGGGATTTACAAATCGGATATAATTTTATGGAAACAGATGAATTGCAAGTCAGAAATATTTCTTTAATTATACCATGGAGGCTACATCCATGATTATACTGTCTGGAATTCATGCATTCAACCGTTTGGTCGCAATAAATGTAAAAATAGGAGTTGAATTAAATTTACAGTAATATTAAACTTAAACCGGTTGTAGCGCACCGATCCAAATATAAAGAAAATCATGCAGCGAAATTGCCTCAACCCCCACGCCCCCCCCACAAAAACAAACAAACAAACAAACAAACAAACAAACACCCCAACACCCCAACAACCCAACAAACAAACAAACAATAACAAACCACTTCGGAAATTTTACGGGCCGTTTAGGCGCAACAATCGCGTTGGAGTTAATTACAAATTACATGTGGTGTTAAATGTAGAGTTCAATTTGAAATAAATTTAAGGCCACCCGACTTGCGCTTTCAGCTGTGTCCTATAAGCACAATAGCGCCGTTTAGGTTAATAATAACTGAAAGGGGCTTCGCGCAGTGCACGCGGACCCAAGGCTATATATATGTGTGTAGCATAATGTTTATGCAACAGATCAATGAAGCCTCCTACAGCATCTGTATTAAATAAGCAACATGAGGTTTTGACGGTTATTTTCAACCAACACCTTGTTACAGGCCTGCACATCCGTTTACCAACCCCGAAATAGCTTCGTTAGTTGTTATTTTGTGAGTTTTAGTGTCAACTAGTCCGTTGCTGAAGATGTCGGACGTGTTGTTGATGTTGATGTTTATCTCTTCCGTGGGTAAGTGTTTTGACAACAAATCGATGCGAAAATCCGACTGCCATGTTTTATTCAAACGCCGTTCAAATCTGTGAAGAATCGATGATTCGATATCATGAGTATAGTGTCCAGTCTTTTCTGACAACATTTAAAATGTGTGTCAATTCCAAATATTTTCCTGGTTTTTTTTGCATTTGTACTAACCATGGTGTAACTGTGGTGAACAAAACACAATTATGGCAGAACATTGTACCATTCCTTTAAAATCTAGTGACTATGTTACACTACATTCCTTGTACCATAGATAATAAGAAATTGTACCTTGACAATTATTTTCTTGGTAGTTTCGCTTCAGTGATGTAACGTCCCCTCCAAAAAAAAAATAAAAAATAAAAAATCAGACACCATGATACAAGACGTCATCCATTAAGAAAGAATGTTGTATCCATATGCCAATTCATTGGTTGTGTACAAAGTCTATGGAGAGTCAAGAACATTTTCAAAGTATTTTCTAACAAAATTGGAAATGTTTCTCACTCCGCCCAGATTCGTGTCTTTTCAACATGACATATGATGGAAAAAAGTGACGTAAAGATGTAACTTTCTTTCTGTTGATTAAAATTCTCTAAACCAAATAAGTGTGCAATGTCATTCTAATGCGCCTATCATTATTGTTTCTCCCACCTCTCCCCCGGGCTGCCCCACCCAAGACGTGGCGATTGTCACTTTGAAGTGACAAAATTCCCACCCCGGGGCACACTAGTGAGTGCCTTTCCATAACAATGTAATTTGAGTGACCAAAATCTCCACCATGGGGCATGAAAAACGTGACCAAATCCCGACATCGGACCAGGGGCAGCGGGGGGGGGGGGGGGGGGGGGGGAATTTGATAGGCGCATTGAATGTTTAATGTATGCAATGACCATGAACCCGCACGTGCCGTATATTTTAGGTATAGGTGTCCTGGTGTAGTGTCGCTATGGTGATGGCGGCGCACCAAGCGTTGCTAGCCCCTTGTTGCTGTGGTGATATCCAATAAATGTTGAACATGGTCTGGAAAAATGCACAACATGTAAAATTAGTGTTGGTCTGACGTGTTTGCGTCTTTACAGTATACATTGACATGTACTTTTTTAATATAAACAAACTGTACTAAAAATGGATGGTGAGTCGAGTGCATGTTGAAAGTATTTTCTAACAAATTTGGAAATCTTTCTCAGTCCAAGATTCATGGCTTTTTAACCATTATTGCAATGATCTTCTTTGAGATAATTATAATGAAAAAAGTAGGGTCAGGAACTTTCTTCCCCCCCCCCAAAAAAATAAGAACTGCCAAAAATGATTGGAAAAATTGTGTTTTCGTCCATTATCAACAACGAATGATTTTGTGGGGCAATGTGAACAATTAGCTAGAATATTTTACAGAAACTTACCCCAAAAACCAAATTTCCTATTTGAGCCAAAACATGCCAAATTAACGTTAATGTTTTTATTTCTGGTAATGAAACCAAGGATTCCTCAAAAGCACCCTAGGCACTGTAGCTCGAAAGCCTGCATGACGAAACCTGTGGAGAGGAGACAGTGAGAAGAAGTAACAGTTTTAGAGGTGGGAGGAAAAGCCCAGAAGAATATTCTGGGGGAAAACCCACAGGATCAGGTGGGGACTGAATACCGAATCCACATATGGACCAGGGCAGGAATCGAACCCGGGCTATACCGCTGGAAGGCGAGGATCTAGGCAAGCCTCCACTGCGCCAAACTGACTCGCCAAACTGACTCGCCAAACTGACTCGCCAAACTGACTCGCCAAACTGACTCGCCAAACTGACTCGCCAAACTGACTCGCCAAACTGACTCGCCAAACTGACTCGCCAAACTGACTCGCCAAACTGACTCGCCAAACTGACTCGCCAAACTGACTCGCCAAACTGACTCGCCAAACTGACTCGCCAAACTGACTCGCCAAACTGACTCGCCAAACTGACTCGCCAAACTGACTCGCCAAACTGACTCGCCAAACTGACTCGCCAACATCTATTAATTAACTGTCTTCCTCCCCTACAGTCACAGTGATCGTGTCCACAGATTGCTACCAGTGCACGTACAACTCATGGGCGGAAGACCAGAACCTCTGTTTGGACCCGTTCAGACCCGGCCCGGGGGAGGTTACCCAAGCGACCTGTGATGGAATGTGCACGGTGAGTCACCCTAGTGTAGTCCGTAAACTGGGCACCGTCAGGGCATTCGGTTTTTCCCTCAAAAAAAGAGAAGAAACTTCTGCAAGACCGCACAATTTGAAGTTAGTTCAAGCCCAGTCATAATACGTATGCCAAGACATGCATGGCGATGGGGTCTACCCGATGTTCCCCAATACCGATCTTCCCCCAAAAATTCTTATAGGAATAGGTTTAGGGTTAGAGTTTAGGGTAAGGATTTCGGGGAACATCGGTATTGGGGAACATCGGTACTGGGGAACATAGGTATGCACCCCATGGCGATAGTAAAAACTACAGGGTGAGTGAAAAAAAAACGAAATCCAAATGTCGGAACCATTGTTTTAGTAAAGTTCTGCATGTAGCACTTTCAAAATCTAGGATATGCAAGCCCAACTCATAAGCTTTCTTTTAGTACAAGAATCATTCAAATCACTCGTGTAATGTTCAAGTTACGGAATTTTAAATACAACCACCGCTTTAAAGTTCTGTCCACGGATCACAAAAACGATGTGCGTTCTTTCAGCAAAACTAACTTTAAAACAGAACTTTAAAACGGCGGTGTTTAAAATTCCGTAACTTGAAAATTACATAAGTGATGTGAACGATTCTTAAACTAAAAGAAAACTTGTGAATTGGGCTTTTATATCCTATATTTCGAATGTACTACATGCAGAACTTCACTAAAACAATGGTCCCGACATTTGGGTTTCGTTTTTTACTAACCCTGTAGTGAGGGTTTGCGGTTACACCATGTGGAAGAATCTCTTTTGAGAAGATGTATGGTTTTTAAAAGAACCGGTTGGTTTTGAAACTCGAATTCCGATCAGTATGCTCTGATCGTCGTCTGGAGACCATCATACTTTCGATTTTTTTTTTCAACCGTAAAATGTCAATTTTCTGGCCGAGTCAGCTGTTGCTACGTGTTGCTAGGCAATATTGATAAATATTGCATGACCATCTAACCTTGCCGGCATCCTTTCTTATCCGATAGTATGTCATATAGACATTGTTTGAATAAGAGAATGGCGCAAAATGAAGGAGAATTTGGGTATTCTAATAACTGGTGTTATTTCAATTTGGGTAAAAAAAATATACTCAAATTTCCACGAAAGTGTCTCAGGGGAACGGGGGGGGGGGCACTCTTGTTGACACTGAAAACATAAAATGATTTTCATTTGAAAAGTTAGTTTTTCTTCCCAATTCTCTCTTTGTCGACACAGAAATCGATTTTTACAAGAAACGGCGACATCACATTCATGGCCCGGTCGTGCATTCCCTACGCCGACACCACAGACATATGTATCCATGGATGTTTTGAGCTGGTTCGTGACGACGCTCGTAGGTCATGCGTCTGGTGCTGTGACGACCTGGACTTCTGCAACAGCGCCGACTCAGTGACCTTTAGCCATCTACTCTGCGCATGCGTGTTGTTAGCGTGTCTTGTCACGTGGTTAGCTGGTTAGCTTCGAATTTATGATTGTAATATTTATAATAGGTTTACAAATTGAGTTTGAGGTTGAAATCATCATTCATCAGTTACACAAGCCGCAAGAATATTGACGGAGGAAAGAGTTAACAAAAATGAACTACCCTACCTAAAAGTTCTAAAAGGTTTAAAAGTTTTGGCGAGAGACTCTCGCGAGAGTTGTTTTTGTAACAAACAAAAAAAATCAAGATTGACTCTGCATCCTGCAAGTTATAGAAGTTTAACTTTTAACCGAGAGTCGACCTTGGCGGAAAATGATGGCACGCCACCCATAATGCTTTGTGTTGCCGTGGCAATGTGTCAGTAGTGCGGTGGGTGTGATGGGATTGAGGTATGAGCGTCAACGATGAAGGATTTTCTCCCAAACTCATTTGCCTTTCTGAATTAAAATCCCATGATCAGCACGCACTGGTCGCCATAAGGAAAATCGGAAGAACTCACATTACGAAAGTTTATTTTGTGCAATCACTCACATTGATTCGTACTCTGTAAATACACGTACATAATTAGCTTTCACGTAACTCAGAACTCAAAGCAATACTGTAAATACTGAATATTTAATGTTTATTCTTAACTAATTTTAATTAACTGCATTATTGTTTTGTACTAAAGGACATTAATGTTGCAAAAGTATTGGCATTGCCAGTTTAATTTGACGAATTGGGAGGGGAAGTAAAATCAGGAAATGTTTAATGGGCGGCGAAAATGACAGGGGGGGGGGAGAGGGGAGGGGGGAGGACTGTACCACCCCTCGCGTCATAGCGCTGTCGGTTGCTGAGGTTTTTCAAATGCATTTTCTCAGTGGGCTTTTAACAAATAACGAAAGGTAATGCACATTACATGATACAGTATTAAGTTCTACCATGATGAAATAATCACCTAAAAATATCAGTTTCTGTTTATGATTAATCTACGCTCGCAACCCCTAACAAAGTTTGGTGCCTTCCTCATTTTTGACAGGAGCAAATATTGGACGTTTTGTTTGTCTGTTTGTGTTTGATTTGCCGGATGAGAGTCTCATCTATTGTGTCAAAGACAGTAAATAAAACAATAAAATACCCTCGATGAAACCATAAATATAGATGTGTCCTAGTTTTATTGCGAAACATTGTTAAAAGTCAAGAAGTTATAAATCTCTCGACTTTTGGAAGTGATTCAATAAAAAAGGATTACAAGCAGACATGAACCTGGTACGAACAATAATTCAAACAAAAATTCAAGCTCTTGGACAAACTTGCAAAAGCATCAAAGGGGCGTTGTTCTTATCTCAATGTTCGACGGTGCCAGCCCTGGTACCCAAGTTTTATATCTCTTTGCTATGTGCCTAAGAGATTAGCCAGATACATAATCAAACTTCCAACGATTTTACAGAAATATGATTTAACATGTTGTAAAATCTAAGGCTGCTCATAGGCCTCCTCGCTAAGCGCCCGTTCAGGTTGCAACTCGGCGGTGCTGGTCTGGATGTGAAATCTGCCGGTGTCTTGGCCAAAAAACAAAGACGGTCGAATGATGGGACTTTTCTCAGTACGATAGACAACCCTGGGCCTTACCGATCAAACGCCGGGAGGAAAGGGCATCGAGTTGACTCTGTTTCTGCCTCCACAATTGATTGGAAATCACTTGGATCTGAAAGTCTGAGACTGGGAGAAGCCTTACGTTACCAGAAGACGTCTACCAATCTTAAAGCCTTCGATTTTGCCTCTTTTTGTTTTTGTTTTGAGAAACAATTGAAGTAAAATTAGATTATCTCAACTTGTTGGACCGTTGAAGTGGAGGTTATTCGGCTGATTTATCATGGGGACATCATGGCTCGCCATCGCGGGGTTTGTGGCCCTGCTGATGTGTTCCTGCTGTGGTAAGTTCCTTTTTTTTCATTCAAAAAAATAATACTGGTTTAACCCTAAAGGAGCCGGGTTATTTTGACCATGTCACAGCCGGGGAGGGGGGGGCCCTCAAATCTCAGCCATCGAGTGACGAAAAATTATGCAACTCGGTGCATATATTGAACAACTTAATATGAACATACCCAAGAAATATCACGACTAGAGGTTCAAGGGTTTCGGAATTATGGCTAATTAATTATTCATATGCACCAATCGTAATTCTGCTTTGTGTACACTATATATATTATGGAAATTCTTGTAATTTTGGTATCAAAAGATGAGCAAGACTCGAAGCTAAAAAAATCAGGAAAGCTCCAGTCGGGAAAACAGTTTTTTTTGCAAGGGTTTGCGGAAAAAGTTGAGGCGGGGGGGGGGGGGCGCCGATTCCACGGATTCCTTCCAAAATCGGGAAGGGTGAATACAATCATGCCAACTTCCCCCTCCCCCAAATAAAAAGAAATGTAAAAAAGGTAGGCCTAAAACTGCGGCAGGTGTATATGATTTCAAAAATCACCTCGACCGTTTTGATGTGTATGTTGCGAAGCAAGGGGGCTATCGCCTGTCAGTCGGACGGTCGGTGGGCTTGTCTGGCTGTGTGTCTGTTGCTATTGCAGCTGCTATAGTCCTTCCGATGCAAATTAATTTTCAAAGAAAATATACAAAAACCGGTCATCTAGGCTATTAATTTGTGTATTTCTTCTTTATCAAAGAAACAAACGTTTCCTTTTGGATAATTTTCCGAAACGCCATGAGAAGAACTCAATTTCCTCTCTGGATTTTTATTCTTCAGGAAACGGAACTCTTCAAACAATTGTAAATCAATTCTGGCCCGGGGTCAATGCTGCAATGTAAATCACAAGTGCGGTGTATTTCAGCCAGCTACAAAGAATACGTATCTGTAATACCGCCAAGTTTTCAAATTGACTCACATTAATTAAAGGGAAAATACAACATTTGCAAACATCAAAAAATAAAACTACCTAATCATTTTGAAATACCTTGCTGGACTGTTAGTGAATGACAGTGTAAATCATCCTTTAAATCATGGCACCTGGTATACTGTCATTTTCAAGAAAAGTGGTATTTTTGTATCAATTTCCAACGCTGATCGGCCGATCAGCGTTGGAAAAAAAATGCCTTTTTTCAAATACTGGCCCCAATTGACCATCGCACTTGTTTGCAATCGATTACACACCTATGAACGGGTACAAGCCAGCTAGACTGGTTCCCTGACCTTACAATTCGCCAATGTATGTAAACTGCTCTGTTTCTTCGTATATGGAGTCAGGGAACCAGACTACAGGAAAATGATTGTTTTTCTTGGTTTTTATAGCATTTTCGAACCCAAAACCTCAAAAAAGTCAGTGTAACTATATATATTTGCTATATATTTCCAACCCCCCAATTCCATCCATTTCTGAAAATTACAGCAAAAGCAAATGATGTACATGTATATTCCCTTTAAGGGGGAAAAATATTTATTTTTTTGTCGTAAAAAAGACGGGCAAGATAATAAAATTAATAAAAATTTACGATTCAGCTATGGGTTTGCAATAAGTAAAACACGCAACTTTATTGCATAATTACGTTTCGTAACATTGCATAGACAATATTTACAGTTACTGACAGTTAATTTACAGTGGAGTAACGAAATTCTTCCGTAAATCCGGGGTCCCTCGTAAAAATTCACCTTTGATCCCAGTGTTTACACGTGAAGCTTTCTATCAATAGATGTAATCGACAAGTAAACAGCTCAGTACATTGACTATTTTTCTTGCTTCACTGCGAAACAGTAATAGGCGGTGTTTTTTTTCTGCAGCTATGGATCATGATTATTCAGCTAGTTCGATGTTTATTCATAAGAAAATAACAAGACGTCACAGCTATCGCTCAATCATAATATATGCACTTACGATAAAGCATTTCGTCTAGCCACAGTGGCCTAGTGGATAGTGAAATGAACTGGATCGTAAGATTTGTGATCCGAATCTATGCCCATTTCATGTTTCATCAAGTTATTTTTTTTGGGTTGAGATAAGTTGAATTGAAGGGAAACTTTGAACACTACGAAAACCTAGGTATCTTTCATTCACACAGCGTGATAAATATTCATGTTAGGGTGCGTGATGTGATTGGTTAAAATACGGTGTATGCTGCAAACCCCCCCCCCTCCAAAAAAAAAACCAAACAGTAGAGCTAGAGGTTCAAAAATGCCTGTTCTCGAAGGGGCTATAATAATGACTTGAAAAGATGGTGCGGTGAGTTCCTCCAGGCGTGGATCCAGGGAAATACCACCAAATGATATCTTGAGCAATTATTGCCTCATTTCGTTTTCTGAGAAGCGCATAGTCTCCTAGATAGTAGAAGGAAGTTCAGTGACCCAAGGGGACTGTGCATAATGATCAAACTTGGCAATAGGGAACGTGGATATTATTTTGCTCTCCAGGAGTACTTTATAAAGATTGTCATTCCAACCATGTAAGTTTTGATTTCAATTATCAAAGATAATGAGCATCGAGGTGAAAGTTTCAAGTTTGGCGAAAAGAGTCACGAGAACGATCACGATCGTTTTGAACAAACTTAATGGCCAAATTGTTTTGCCTGTCGGGATATAAAAGGGACTGCTCTTCTTTCAAGAGGTCGCCACCGTCTATTCATAGAGGGCGCAATGCCTTTATTATCTGATGGTGGATAACCATTGAGGGCGCTCTACAACCACGTGAATCGAAAGCGGGTGTTTACGAAAAACTTGTTTAATTAAAAATGTGTCATTTGTATTAATTTGTTCATCTCTCCCTTGTTTTGTGTGATTTGTGCAGTTCAACTTGGGCTTGCCAGTGTGACTGCAGCACCAGCATCTGTTACCACACCACGTAAGTAATACTCGTACTCGTTCTAGTATTAGATTTGGAAAGAAATTTATTATCAGCCTGTTCTAGCCCCATAAATGTGGCCTATTTACTGGACTGCCTCCGTAAACATAGGCCACACATGACATGTACAAATATCGTGTCGACTTTGCCAAATTTTGATTTTCACATTTAGGCTTACTTTGTAGATTTTCTTTTGCTTTAGAAACATTCTCACCCTCTATATAGGCTAATCAGAAAGTGCTGCCTTTTTCAGATGTTTAATTTTTGTGAAATTTCATGTTGAAATTTTGATACGCAAACGTGTGCAAATGTATCTGGAAATTTAAAAAAAAATGGACATCTGAAAAAGGCAGCACTTTCTGATTAGCCTATATAGAGGGTGAGAATGCTTCTAAAGCAAAAAAGACGTAAAAAGTAAGCCTAAATGTGAAAATCAAAATTTGGCAAAGTCGACACGTTTTTTGTACATGTGGATGTGTGGCCTATGTTTACGGAGGCAGTCCAGTAAATAGGCCACATTTATGGGGCTAAGCCTGTTCATGCTGACTGCTGTTTTCAAATTTGACACAACCATTGACGGCACAATTGCAGATTGTCCCATAATGTGACGGTAATATTGGACTACCTCCATTGTTAAGGCAACGGAGCCGAAAATCCACTCGAAATTGCATTTATTTTGTCACTTTATACTCACACAATCATGCCGTCTACAACTGCTTAATAATAATATCGACAAAACATTAAATTCGGCACCTTCAGAGGTCTAGTTATCTTGTAATTTCGAGTTGAATTCGGACGACTTTTACAGCTTCATGAAAGAGTCGTGTTGCATGACCTCATGGGTTGTGATAAATCGCGCCCTCACTAGCTTGCATCAAATTTTGACAATGTGCATTTGTACGGCAGCTGTTGCCTGTCATTCAGTTTTGGCCAAAAGTGAATGTATTAGATTAAATTGTTATAATATGCTGTTTTACACAGAACCAACCGATTGGAATTGTGATTTTGAGCAAAACATCTGCAGCTACAGCCAGGCAAGCGGCGATGACTTTGATTGGACCAGAGACTCTGGGGGCACGGCTTCGCAGAACACGGGACCCGGCATCGACCACACCAAGGGGGACGGTAGGTGCCACTGAATGTCATTCAATTGGGGTCTGGGCATGGACGCCTGAGGGCGCTGTCCAACTCTTAATCCTAATTTGGATCGTATTGGCTTTTTTATTGGAATGATCAAACAACTTTATATTTATAAGGCCAAGTAAAAAAAATCAACATGTTTCTCAACCCGCCTGCTCCTTTTTTCCACCCAACTCCTTTTAAAAAATAGTTCATTTATTTACAATATGTTTTGCAGAATGTTGTCAGTTTATTGTATTTCATTTGTTTTCAACAAAATTGTTACATGTAGAAAGGATGACGGCTCCTTTTATCACAATTTTTGTATCAACAAAAGAGTCAAGAAAATGGAAGAACCCACTCGCCATCTTGGAAAATCTGTCATCTTTTGGGAAAAAGGACGGCTTCCTTCATTTTTCAATTGGCCCAGATGAGAAACTTATCATTTTACTCGGCCTAACTTGATACCCTTGGCGAGAGAACCAAATTATACTTTATATACTTGACTTATTTTTTCCTCTTCGAGTATTTCAAGAGGGTGCCAATAAAATTATATTTTATATACTTAAGATATTTTTTCCTCTACGAGCATTTGAACAGGGTGTCAAGCAATTGTCCAAACTGTACTGCGTTTTCTTTGCTGTTTTCTCATTAGCCACCGGTTACTACATGTACATTGAGACCTCCAGTCCGCGTGTCCAAGGCGACAAGGCCCGTTTTGAGAGCGACATTATCCCAGCTGTCACCAGCCAGAGAATGTGCGTCACCTTCTGGTACCACATGTACGGCGATCACATCCGGGATTTAAACATCTACCTCAAGACCGGCTCAGGGCTGGGTACCGCGGTCTGGACTAGGTCCGGAACCAGACTGAACCAGTGGTTTCGCGGGGACTTCAGCACCGCGCCGAGCGCAGATTTTCAGGTGAGTTACTTGGGCAAGATTACCATATGCGGAGTTCACTAATTTTCCTCTGTATTGACTAACAAGCCCCCAGATAGCAATTTCATGTCATCAAAGTCAATTTGAGCAGTGAGAAAATACAAGCATTTTCTTAGAAAACACTTAGAATTTTTCAGTCCAATCTCATAGGGTTTGTACACAGGGTGTTGAGTGAACTTTGATATGGAAATCTTTCCGTTACTTGTAGTGTCGGTTGACTTATTCTTGGTCTCATACAAGTGCTCCTCCTGAAGGGGGTACATAGTTTCAATCTGGTCAGTCACAAGCAATCGCAAGTCAGTCACAAATCAAGCACAAGTCAATCATAAGTTAATCACAAGTCAATCATAAGGGCAAAATCTCTATTGAAGCCAATCATAACGCAATCACAAATCAAGCACCAGTCAAATCACAAGTCAGTCACAAGTCAAATCACAAGTCAGTCACAAGTCAAATCACAAGTCAATTACCAGACAATCACAAGTCAAATCATAACTCAATCACAAATCAAGCACTAGTCAAAACACAAGTCAGTCACAAGTTAAATCACAAGTCAATCACCAGACAATCACAAGTCAATCATAACTCAATCACAAATGATTGAAGATAGCCGAACTCTTAGGCGAATAGTCGCTCATGATATACCCCTATTTCCTTATTCCCCATTTCATCCAGGTTGTTTTTGAAGGAGTCGTGGGCTCCAGTTTCCAGGGCGACATTGCCATTGACGACATCGTGGTGACTACCGGCGAATGCCCGTGTGAGTAGCCAAAATGGTAGCAGGCGATTTTATCTGAAATTGCAAGGAAAGTGAAAAAAGTTCGACCCTTTTTATATCAGACTTGCATTTAAGAGACGCAAACAAATCAAATGATTCCTAATAAAATTTGAATGAAGGTTGACTTTTGAAACTTCTGGAAGTGAGTTCACATGCATGTTACCGAAAGAGTGACTGTTACAGTTTTTTTTGGAATGACTGCACATCTGGTAAACGGCAAATGAATACATTAAGTTCAGCTGTCCGAACTGAAAGCTTTTTGGGTTGACTGAGGTTGTTCCTCATATTTATTGGCCTGCCACAACTCTAAAGTGCCAGTCTGACTCCAATGTTATGTATTAATTGATGAAAATTACAATGTGCAGTCTGAAATTCCTTTAAAAATGTGACTATTTTTGCTGTTTTTTTTTAATAGTGCGAGACTTCTGTGAGTTTCAGGACTCTCATCTGTGTGGTTATCTTCAAGATACTACGGACGATTTTGATTGGCTGCAGAACAACGGAGCGACGCCGACTGCCAATACCGGGCCGTCGCTGGATGTGTCTTACGATACAACCTACGGTATGTATTGATCAGCAATAGCTACCTTCTTTAGACTAATTCAAGTTTTAAATTTTGTTTTTACTTACTCTTTCAAAATGTGTCTTGCACTCCGGTGCTAAATGTTACTGTTCTGGTAGAAGGGCAAATTCTAGTTTGTCATAAAATTTTCCAGAAATTTTTACAATTTACAAGATAGATACAGTCTCGATTAAGTCAAACTTTAAGGGAATGGGCTCAAATTTTGAGTTAAGCAGAGTTTTGGGTTTTGAGATTTCCTTTTCAACAACAGTTGACAGGAATAAGTTTTGACTTTGAGTTAGAAGGGTTTTGGAGTTAGCAGATTTTAACACATCGAGATTTCACCGCATGAAATGAAAACCTTTTCTCGTAAACCTCTCTGAGTCAAATTCCGCCATTATATGAAAACGGTCTGTTTCTCTCCTGTATAGGTAAATACATGTACGTGGAGGCTACAGGACAATCAGCAGGGTCCGTGGCCAGGCTCATGACCCCTCTAGTGCCTGCCAGCCCTGGCGTCAGTCGTTACTGCTGGTACTTCTCCTATCATATGTACGGCGATCAGATGGGCACGCTAAATGTCAATGTGAGTGACATGTTTGGAAAATCTTTAGTGCTGTGCGTCTTTGAATAATTTAGTATTCAATTATTTGAACTGGATTTGATCGAATATTAAAATATTCGAACATTGACTTTGAGTTAAATAATTTGTATGTGTTGTATTTTTGTTTGTTTGAGATAGCTGACTTGCCGATTGATATTTAACAGATGTTAAAGATGGAAATTAGGGCTAATGTTCTCACGAAAGCTCTCAAATCGTGCGTTTAACCAGTTTGCATTGGAGGACGTAATAACATGCACTGGCTGTTTTATACACAGGCACTGCTGACGGGTTAAAAGGTCAAGATTGCCTCGACTTGCCTCCGGGTGACATCTTAATATGCTAGTCCCTTGTGCCTTTTGTACACACACACACAAAGTCTGTGAAGTCTGTGGAGGTAGACCGTGTGTTGATCTTGAATTGGCTGTTGTGCACGGCCTATTTTTTGACAATTTACGCTCCAGTGCACACCATGGAGTATTGAAACATATGAGGTTCGGAAAGAAATATCATACAAACACTGTTGAAATGACTCTTGTGAATCAGTCTGCGTTTGGGTGTATATCAGAAGTTGGCTGGAAAAATTTTGTCTTTTGAGAAAATCGAAACTTTCGGCAAAAAAAATCCCGGCGCAAAGTGGTTAAACTGGCTGTCCACAAAACGTGACAAACAAAACAACTTACTTTGTCGGAATACAGTTACATCAAAGATGTCTATCATCATCTTCTGAAGACAGCGCACATATTTTTTTGAATATTCTATTTGGTAAAATGCTATTCATATATTCGATGGATGATCGATTATACGGATATTCGGATACACTTGGCACAGCCCTAACATCTTTTTGAATCCCCCCCCCCAGTTGAACACCACATCCGTCCAGCAAACCCTGTGGACCCGCAGCAGTAACCTAGGCAACCTGTGGTCCGTTGGTAACGTACAGGTGACCTCCACCCTCCCCTACCAGCTCGCATTTGAAGGAATTGTGGGTACAGGAGACAGGAGTGACATTGCCATTGACGACGTCGGGTTTTACTTAGGAAGCTGCCCATATCAGGGTAAGCAAGAAAGCGGAAAAGACTTTTTTTTGGCTGGAAATTTCTGGTTTTGACGAATATTTTTGATACTCAACTACTTTGAATTCTGAAAAATCCAACACAGTTACGCAGCGTTCGATGGATTAGGAATGTGCTGTACTTTACTTGATGGAACTTTATTTCCAAGTGTTTATTATATTAAAGAGAATTAAAATTATGGATTTCAGTTAAAGACAGTCAGGAAAGATGGCCCCCGAATCAGGATATTGAATTCTGAATTTTTCTTTGGCTTGGTCCATAATCAGTAACATTCCGCTAACAAATTATAAACCTCAAGTGTATAACTGCACAATCAAAATTGTACCTCTTTCTTATGTCGCCTTATTCCCCCCCCAGAAAATTGCGATTTTGAGACGAACACATGTCTGTGGACGAACGATGTAACAGCGGACAATTTTGATTGGTTGAGACTCAGCGGCTCAACGGCCAGCAGCTACACAGGGCCGGCCGTCGACCACACTACTTCGGGCCAAAACGGTGAGTGCACATTTCCATTGTTGGATTTTACCTAGCCTTTCATTTCTTTGGTCCCAGGTTCAACTCCAGTTGAAGTCACAACGTGCACTCGTCAAAACTGGTACTCTGGTTCTAACACGCATGATTGCTGGTTCCTTTCACAGGATTCTACATGTATACGGAGACCAGTTCCCCGCGGGTACAGGGCGACCGCGCCATCTTCAAGAGCCCCGAGATCGTCCCCGGTGCCAACGACCCGCCGATATGCTTCACGTTCTGGTACCACATGTTTGGCGTGGACATCGGCGCGTTGACCATTTCCGTGGTGACGGAGCCCAATACCGCAAACGAGCTCGCCACCATGAATTGGCTGGTGAACGGTCAGCAGAGTACCGATGAGTACAATTGGCTGAACGGGCAGTTTGACGTGTCTGAGACGTTACCGTTTCAGATCGTCTTTGAGGGGGTTGTCGGAGCCAGTTACCAGGGTGACATCGCTATCGATGACATCGAGCTTGTTGATGGAAACTGTGATAGTAAGTACAGCTGTTCTTGGCGAGAGGGAATTAGGGTTAATACTCCCCCCCCCCAAAAAATTACATGTTTAAAGAATTTGCTAAAGTTCAGCAAAACTCACTCGACAATTTCTTAAAAGTCTGAAAACTAAACCACAGAGCTTGCACTTCCACCACCCGATTCGTTAAATGTTCTTTACTTGATTAATACTCCCCCCCCCAATTATTATTACATGTTTAAAGAATTTGCTAAAGTTCAGCAAAACTCACTCGACGATTTCTTAAAAGTCAGAAAAATAAACCACAGAGCTTGCACTTCCACCACCCGATTTGTTAAATGTTTTTATATGTCCTGCAGTCTTTCCAAACAATTCTCAGCAAGACATTCTTCTCAACCCATATAACCAAAACAATTGTCTGGTATCCTGAATTTACCTGGGAATTTACAATTGTCAAACTACCATCTTGCAGAAGTAATTTTTAAAATTAAAATTCCTGCCAGTAATTGTTTGCTTGTTTTTTTGCAGCTATTCCACGTTCGGCTGATCCCTACCTCTACGTCAACAACTGCACATGTGACTTCGAAGCCTTTCTCTGTTCCTGGTCTCAGGAGTCAGCCGACGTCTTTGATTGGACGCTGACCACAACATCCACACCCTCGTCGGGTACCGGGCCGACCGGCGACCACACTGGAGGTGATATATTACAATAGTTTATTTGATAGTTTACAATTATTGACTGCTGTGATGGGGGACATGGCATTTTCAAGTAACATCAAATATTCAAATATTCCAATGCCATATAAATATTATTTGAATATTCATTTATTCACTCGTTCTTATCAGGGAGTTACTACGCCTGCATTGCCAAATTCCTCTTCAAATCAGTCAATATTCGAATGACCTTTGAATATTATTTGCATATTAAATTATTCACTCGTCTGTATCAGGTGGTTACTTTGCCTTCATTGCCAAATTCCTCTTCAAATCAATCAATATTCAAATATTCGAATGACATTAGAATATTATTTGAATATTCATTTATTCACTCGTCTGTATCAGGTGGTTACTACGCCTTCATTGCCAAATTCCTCTTCAAATCAATCAATATTCAAATATTCGAATGACATTTGAATATTATCTGAATATTCAATTATTCACTCGTCTGTATCAGGTGGTTACTACGCCTACATCGAGACCTCATCGCCCCGCGTCCTGGGTGACACCGCCCGCCTCATCTCCAGCGACCTTTACCCTACGACCCCTGGGTCAGCCTGCTTGGAGTTCTGGTACCACATGTTCGGTGGTGGGATGGGAACCTTGACCCTCTACACTTCTACTCCGAGCGGTCGGGTGGCCTTCTGGAGTCTCTCCGGCTCCCAGGAAAATGCCTGGAAGCTTGCCAGGGTAACAGTGTCATCGCCCGTCCAATTCAACGTGAGTTGTTTTCTAGAGTTTGGTCCGGATCCAGAAGAAATACACGCATGGAATGTTCTCTTAAATATGTGAGGCGTTCTGGCAAAATGAGACAGAACTGGGCAGAGGTCAAAATGAGGGTTTGCAGGTATTAGGAAAGAGAATAAAATTCTCCTTACAATACAGTTTGTTGCACTTCAATCGGACCCGTTGACCATTTATGGCTGTTTAAAGTTCACATTTATTGACATGTCAATACAAGTAAAATACTGTGTAAAAGGCCTTTAAACTTTTGAATTTTTCATTTATGAAAATGAATACCAATTGTTTTTCCTTAAAAGTACTTTTATTCCACTTTTAACATACTTTAGTAGACAAAGATCTGAAAAATTGAGAAAACCACCCCATTCGTGTTTTGCATTTTTGTTCCACTACGACCTATGTCCGTCTTATTTTTGCCAGAAAACCTCACATATCGAGGTTTTGTGATTGTTTTGTTTTGCAGCAGACCAAGTCGGCAATAGCTCACGAGCATATCAACCCATTCTTAATTTGAGGCGCCTGTATTTTTTTAAACCCTACTGGCTCGTTCCTACCTCTGGATATAATCTTGAAATTCTTCCGTTTTTGGTTACAGATTGTTGCTGAAGGAGTTGTAGGTACAAACTATCAAAGTGATATTGCCATCGATGATATACTCTACAAGCTCGGAGCTTGTCCACCAATCAGTGAGTCCAAACATATTTTTGACGAAAACTTTTTCAATTTTAAAGAATTTTCTTCCATTTCAGACTTTTATTCCAGTCGCGCAGAACCAAGTTATTCTAAAGATTTGACTTAAAAGCACAAAAGGTGCTTCATTAATATTCCCCTTCCAATTTTTCAACCAATCAGGAACGTGCACGTTCGAAATCGACAGCTGTGATTGGACGCAGGAGACCAGCACGGATGATTTTGATTGGACAAGAGTTCAGGCCTCGGCGGCCTCGCATTCCTCCAGCCAGCTTGTCGACAAAACAACTGGCACGTCAAATGGTATGGTCGATTTTTTTATAAAACTTATTACAGATTTACTATTGTATGAAGGCACTCAGTATACATACTTGCTAAGACCAGCAATGTTTGAGTAATCGTTGATTATTGTTATAATATTTTTGGTTAAATATGTAAATGATGTGTTGACAAACTTGTTGGAACATGTTTTGTGTGTTTTAGGTTATCTAATGTACCTCAATCCTTCGCTCGGGCAAAACCAAGACCGAGCCATCATGTACTCTGGCTACTACCAACCGTCCGCGATCGGAGAATGCCTGAAATTCTGGTACCACATGCACGGTGCTGGCGTCGGTACCCTGCGAGTCTACACATACATCAATGGAGCCCTGGGACCGGTGCTGTACGAGAAGTCAGGGGACCAGGATGACGTGTGGCGGTACGTCACAGTGACGCTGATGAATTCTACGTATGAATTCAGGGTGAGTTTGCTTGCTAGTTGGCGGATATGGGCTCTGTGCACAAGTATCTGCTTAATATGGTAAGAAAGGGAGTGTTGGGGTAGACCACTGTGAGAGACAGTTGCACGTCTTGCTGACGATGCCTGATGCTCACGCGAAGACACTATGGAGTTGTGCATACTTTGCACTATACACGTGCGAGCCAGTATACGCGCGCACGTTCTGTTCTGTCCATGGGGCTCTCAAAACTTGTCAAAGAGCCCCCTCTAATGTTTGCTCATAGAGCCCATGGACTACGTCGCATCTGGTAACAAAACTAATTGTTGTGGTCACTTTCATCCTGCTCATCTTCCATTTTTTTTTTAGGCTGCCATCGAAGGTACGCTGGGTACCGGCCAAACCGGTGACCTAGTCCTGGACGATGTGGATATAAAAGTCGGACCGTGCAATCCCCCTGGTAAATATTTCAACCTAGAATTTGCCAATCATGTCATGAATATTCAAAAGCAATGAGTATTGCAGTATTCAATGGTTAATAATTTTTCAACTAACTTGTTGGGTTAGGAAATGTGTAATTAATAATATTGATCGAGGCTTGTTGGACTAATTTTGTGCAAAACCAAGACTTGAATACAAGACCTCTAAACTGGCATTCTTCAACTTTTCTTTCAAATAGACCGCAAAGGGGAAAATAACCAGGCTCAATTTTAGCAATATTTGGCTAAGTATGTGCAATGTACTAATTTCCAACTTATATGGGTTTTTCATTATATTATTTGTTTTTATTAATGTTTACCATGATTTTGATGTTTTTAACATTGTAAAATATCATGCAATTAACACTTTGGGTCACGATGTGATAATGTGAATAAATAAATGTACCATTCCATACCATGCTAATAAATGAACTGAAGCAGTTTTTTTTTTACCTGCGACCTCCGGAACACCACACCAGTACTGTACCAACTGAGCGATATGTTGGCTTTTTGCCAAATTGTCAATGTCTTTGTTCATGTTTACTAAAGATGAACCCTAACATTTTCACAAACATTCCTTTTTTCCCTCTTAATCTCTAGGTTTTTGTGACTTTGAGTCCGACATGTGTGGCTGGGTGAACGAAGTGGCCCAAGATGATTTTGATTTTGTTAGGACGCGCGGAGCCGACGCCTCCTCCCTGGCCCCGCCCATTGACCACACCTTCTCCAGTGATCTCGGTAAGTCAAATTACAATCCCTAATAAGTTAATAACCCATTATTTAGTCCCTCAACTGCCCAAAACCACCCTGCCTGTAACTCCTTGTAATAATAATGTGAAGCTCAATTTACAACAATTATTACCCCTGTTCATCGTGCCATGAGACAACTTTTGTTAACACATTGATTTCTTGATCACAATAATCAATAAATCGAACATTTGGTTTGCAGGATATTACATGCTGATCGAGACGGCCACTATCCCATCTGGCAGGAAGGCGTGGCTGAACAGTGAGCATTTCAGCCCCACCCCTATCGGTGCCAGCTGCTTCACGTTCTGGCTCTACATGTTCGGCAGTGGTAAGGATTTATCTAGTAATATCTGGGAAATGCTGCGGACAACAGACCTAAGACCTAATGACGTAATGGCTTTGTTTACATATGCGCTTTCCTGTGGCAGTGAAGTCGAGACGCCAGACGAAAACCCAGTGAAAACCCAGGAAGTTTGCATAAAGAAACACTAGGGCAAACCCCTTCTCTTACCGATAAGTGTTACTGGATTCCTTTATGTACATAACAAAGCGCACGGGACCTGCGGCTTTACGTCCCATCTGAAAGACGAATCAATAATGGTTAAGTGTCTTGCTTAAGGACACAAGTGTCAAGACCGGGACTCGAACCCACACTCTGTTGATCAGAAACACCAGAGCTTGAGTCCGGTGCTCTTAAATGCTCGGCCATGACACTCCATATAAACACTGGCCTGATGGGCCATATTGGCTTGTGACAGACTTGACTTTACTTCCTTAAGAAGACCTATTTACAGAAATTGTCCTTATTTCTTGATTCGCTGGTTCACAGGAGTTGGCACAATGAATGTCTACGTCAGAGATACAGCATCGGGGACCATGCAGCTACTGCACACAGAGTCCGGCGATCGCGGTAACCTCTGGCATGAGGTATCCATCACGGTCACCAGCAGTGCCGAGTACCAGGTCTATCTGGAGGGTATAGAGGGAAGCAACGCGACTACCTCGACGATGGCCGTGGACGATACGCGGCTGGCTAACGGCGCTTGTATGAGTAAGTGGAATATTTTCAACATTGTGGTTTTCATTTTTTGATAATAAAACCAAGGGTTCTTAAAAGTGCACATGCACTCTAGCTGCAGTTTGTAAAAATATATGGTTAATACAGCCTAGGATCCAGAGGGGTGCAGAATGAAAAACAACCCTCCCCCCTCCCCCGGCACTGACTAAGATTTTCTCAAATAAGGCCATTTTTCACTTGAGAGAGAGAGCCCTTCTGACCCCAGCATCCCCCCCCCCCCCTGCAGTAATCTCTGGATCCACCCCTGTAATAAGCCGTACAATCATATAGTTTAAAAGAATTCAGAACAAAAAAATTCAATTTCAGATATATGAATTTTGGTCAAACATTAACCAAACCACCCTTACCTTATTTGCATACAGTTCCCACCCAGTTCGACTGCGACTTTGAGAACGACATCTGTAACTACACCCAAGCATCAGACGATGATTTTGATTGGTTGAGGTCCAGCTTCTCCACGCCGTCCATTGACACTGGTCCATCCATCGATCACACCACGGGAACTGGTGAGTTCCAAGTTCTTTCAAAAGAACAGGGCTGATCAGGTTGTATGCACGCACTCCAGGCTTCTTTGGATCAATACGGTTGCCAAAATGCGCGCAGGCCTTGTTTTTATAAATGCATGTGATAGGTGCTCAAACGTAGTTCCCCCTCTAAAAAGGCTTTTGTTTGCTGAATGAGTGTATCAAACTCAGTCATGTTGGAGAAACAATGAGTCTTTCTGTCATAGGGTTATTGCAACCCTAACCCTGCTTATTGTTGTCCTATCCAAGACTTTATTCAAAAGTGGTCAACATTTTCTGCCAAAATGGGAAACTGCTTTCCAAGTAAACCTCTTCAACTTCTACTCAGGCGCTGGCTTCTACGTCTTCCTCGAGACCTCGTCGCCTCGTGTCGCCGGCGAAAAAGCGCGTCTGGAGAGCGCCCTCGTGCCACGGACGGCGGAGAACTGCCTGGAGTTCTGGTACCACATGTGGGGTGACGACGTGGACACGCTGAGCGTATACGCAAGGCCAGACGGCGCTGGCATTGGAGCGCCGATCTGGACGCGAGTGGGAACCAGGGACAATCAGTGGTATCTGGGACGTGTGGCCCTTACCATGGCAACATCATACAAGGTAAGCAATATATTTTCCACGCTGAGCAAAAATCTGTGCTTAAACAAAACAGCTTCATAAAATTGGCCTGTAGCCGGTGTTCGACTTGTGTTCGACTTGTGTGCCGTGGTACATGGGTTCGAATCCTGACAGGAACATTGTGCTTGTGCGCTTGGGCAAGGCACTTTACTACGATGCCCTCTCTCCACCCAGGTGTAGTAACTGGGTACCTGGTAGGGAGAAATTCCTTCAATGCTTGAGCGCCGTAATGGCAGCCGTGCTAAAGCCAGGGTAATAATAGAGTGCTAAGAGCGTCAATTTGTGACAAACATGAGTGCTATACAAGAAGCCAATATTATTATTATTATTAAAACATACGTTGATTTTTTACATTGCATTGATGACGACAAACATTTTCTGCATGATTTTTCAGTATGTCTTTGAGGGCGTTGTTGGGACAAGCTACCTGAGTGACATTGCACTGGATGACATCAGAGTGTACGCTGGACCCTGCGAAGGTAAGAACTTGGTTTTCCTTCTTCAATTTTTCCAAGACGTTGGAAATGTATTTTAAAAAGCTCTTCGTAATATTGTTGCTTGGCTGCTATGATTTCATTGGCCTAGAGCAGTCACATGTTTTTAGCTTACAGTTCAACGTGGACAATCAGTCAGGTTGACGTAGCGGTACTTTCCTCGCCTTCCACTGCTGTGTCCCAGGTTTGATTTCTCCCTGGGCCAATATGTAGATTGGGTTTTTCAGTCCCTACCTGATTCCGTGGGTTTGCCTAAGAATATTCTTCTGGGGTTTTCCTCCACGTCTAAAACTGTAATTTCTTCACATTGTCTTCTCTTTACTGGGCCCCATGGGAGACCAGTGGATTCCACTGAATGGGCTACCCAGTTAAAATAATAAATGAAATAAAAATGAAAATACCAATTTTAAAAGTAATTTGAAAAGAGGCAGCCATTTTTGATCGGGTACTTTTCCCACCTTTGCAGTTCCCAACCTGTGTGAGTTCGAGGAACCAGACTTGTGTGGATACACCTCAGACCTGACCGCCAATTTTAACTGGACATGGAATGCAGACAGAACCCCTACACTGCTGACAGGACCCAGTATAGATGTGTCTTACGGCTCCGCTAATGGTATGTCGGTCATTCTATCAATTTAGAGTCCAAAGTTACGACATGTTTCCTTGTCCCTGTTACCTTGGTACTTTGTCCTTTGCTATCCGCTCCGTTCACAAGTACCCCCTCACCGGCAAAGAAAGTACAGTTGGGGGTGACCGATCGACGCCATCTTGCCTGACTGCAATATTTTGCCGCGAAGCACAGCCACTGCGTGTACATACTATAAATCCCCTGGTGTACGTGCGTCACACACAAGGAACGGTGCGCGTCAGCCAGCGAAATGTATGTGTCCCGCCCATGGGACTCGGTTGCTAGGTAAAAGGGCGCCCTCTTTTGTTGGCGCACGGAACCCATCCAGGTATCATTAAGAATGATTTCAATCTATTGATATTTCGTTGGGTAGGTAGTTTGCTATTCATAATCACTCTTGGAGGACGACTGCATTAAGGAGTGCATCAGAATTACAAAATCATAGACGTCAGATGTAACAGGGCCGGAAGAAAAAAAAAGTGGAGGCAAGTTTATATAAAAACCTGTGTGGAAACTACTGCAGGATTTGGAGAAAGAGCTATGAAAAGGGTGTGTATATAAGGAAAGTAATTTACATATATTTACCTATATTTACTTATATTTGCATGTATTTGCATCTATTTGCATCCAGGTCATTACATGTACACTGAGGCAACCAATCAGCGTCCAGGTGACGTCGCCAGATTAATCTCTCCGCCTTTCGTCCCGGAACAGAGCACTCGGACCGCCTGCTGGAGGTTCTACTATCACATGTTTGGTGACCAGATGGGGACGCTACGTGTGAAGGTATGAATAATGCATGAATTATCTCGTGAATAATTCATAGCTAATTTGCATCAAGCTGAATAATTGTTTTGTTTTATTCAAGCAGGTAACAATGTAAGATGGAAGGGCTGATAAGAGTATATGGCCATGCAAAATCACTCTAGGTTGCTCAGAGTTGCGTTTCCAATGCTCTTCAACAAATGTGACTTTTTTCTATTCATAAATTGTCAATTTGTATGTAGTATTCCAACCCAAAAGCCTCCTTTTTATCTTTTTTTGGACATCTGCAACTTTAAAAAAAAAAGGGTTTTGTGTTGGGGAGTGGAAAAATATTCTGTCATTTCATGCCACTGAAACTGGAGATAAACACTGACCTTGGCTCGTGACTGACCGTACTATTTTTATGTAACAGGTAAACGGCGACCCGACCACACTGTGGTCAATGAGCAGTAACTTCGGTGACCAGTGGTTTCTGGGCGAGGTTGAATACACCAGTCAGACTGTTTATCAGATGGTCTTTGAAGGAGAGATCGGCAGCGGCGATCGCAGCGACATGGCCATCGATCAGATCTCCAAGCTGGCTGGACCCTGCCCTGTCCAAGGCAAGAAACATGTCAAAGATTTTGCAATAATACATCTTTGGCATTGGTTAACTTTAGGATCAGTAGTCATTCTTATTTTGTATTCAAATTGTTTATCTTTTTTTTTACCTAAAAGTGGCTTAAAAAAACAGGATCGAAATTGTCATGAAAAATTAATTTCAGTTGTTCTGTTGACAGGATAGATGGTTTTAACAGGATTTTTGCTCTGCATTTTTTTAGAAGAATTTAAACTCAATATTTAACATCCAGTTTAAAGTTAAGAACAATCCTAGCTTTTAGTGAAAGGTCAAGCAAGGCTCTGTCTAAATAGAATGCATTTTAGGAATATTCACTGAATTATACAATAAATCAAAGCTGACCCTACAAAAAAGCTGATTTTGACACATTCTTAGAAGTGAATTCTCTTTGTTGGAAAATATTTTGAGTGTCCTGTTGTGGTGTTTACAGGAAGTTGTGATTTTGAGCGAGACACATGCACGTGGATCAACAGCCAGGCCGACGTGTTTGACTGGGTTCGATTGAACAGCGACACGGCCAGTCAGTACACAGGCCCCAGCTCTGACCACACTTGTGGAGTATCGGGGTCTTGCTCACCAGGTCAGTAAAATTGAATTTTTTTTTCTCTTAAAATCTCAATTTGTATGTTTTGTTTTATCGAAGAAAAATACATGTACTTTAGTACAATTTTGGGCATCTTTAACCCTCAGAAAAAGGGAATTCATATTGCGCACAACTGCGTTGCGAGAGCCGAATTGGTGAAGAAATAATTCAATAACTAAACATTGGTGGATATTTTCTTTGATGTCTCAGGCCAAAAAAAAATAGTTCTGCTCCCGGTTTCCCTACCTACCCTATTCCGACAGCCCCTACCCTATTTTTTATGTGGGAAAAATGAGAAAAAAAATCAGCTAAAGCCATCAATTTGTACCTTTTACCTTTGACTACACACAGACAGCTCCATATGATCGTACACAAATAAAAATTGCAAAAAAAAATAAATAAAAATTACCTACCTACCTACCTACCTACCCAATGTTTAAATGCCATTTAATCAGAAGCAGAATTATTTTTTGGGCCTCATCCAAAAGTGAATAACTTTTCTATTTCTACATGTTCTAGGAATGTAGCAATGGAAAAAAAATGTGTTTTTCAAAGTGAAACTTGAAATTAGCATGGGGAACGTATCTTTAACTCTCACTTTGTTAAACATTGCATTAAGAAGAAACAGTTGCATTCAGAAGACAAGTTCTTTTAGAACTTAAAGCAGGACTGTTCTTATCAGAACTAAAACTACTTAGCAAAAGTTAATAATAAGCAGGACAAGTTCTTATCAACTAAATATCTACTGAGCGATAGTAGTTATTACCACATGGTGTTACCGCAAACCGAAACGATAAGAAGAGTCCTGTCCACATACGTCTCTCTTTCTCTCCACAGGATTCTTCCTCTACATCGAGACCTCCTCCCCCCGCGTTGCCGGTGACTACGCTCGTCTCAGCAGCAGCTTCTTAACCCCCAACCAAGACTTCTGCATGACCTTCTGGTATCACATGTACGGCGCTGACATCGGCGAGCTCTTTGTGCTTAAGACGGTGTCGTCCCTGGAGACCGTGGTGTGGTTTCTGTCCGGCCAGCAGAGCTCCAACTCGACGGATTGGAAGTACGGCCAGATTGGGGTGACGGACACTATCCCCTTCCAGGTACTTTTTTAAAAGTTTTTATTGTCCTTTGCCACTGAAGATCTGGATCATATGGGATGCGATCAAGCTAAATGAGTCGTTTGTCGGGAATTTGTATTTGGAGATTCAGGCCAAAATAGGCCACTTCATCACATCACTTCATCACATCTCTTGGTGTTCCGACTTCCATAATTTTTTAACTAAAGATGGTATGAGCATGCGTTTTTCACAGCAGTGATGCTGAGATTGTGCTCTTTTTAAATCTGTAATATTTTTTTTTTTGACCAGGGTCGACAAACGACTCAATTTTTTGTATACCCAATTGCAGATAGCCCTTATTTTCATTTTACTGAACCACTATCATGTGACTTTCCATGTGACATACGTGATATTCCGTGATATTAATTTTCTCATCAGATGATGTTCGAGGGTGTCGTAGGCAAATCCTTTGCGGGCGACATCGCAATCGATGACGTCCTGTTCCTTCCTGGACTGTGCAATGGTATGTCATACTTCCATTTGCCTTATTTTGTCTCAGTTCCTTAATACTCAGGATTACCCAGAAAGAGATAAGCAATCACTGCAAACAGGATTGCTCAAGGACACAAGAACCCTGTCTTCCAGGCTGGGCTCGAACCCACCGGCTGTAAATTTAGTTCTCATATTTTAAAAAATGTTTTCTGAACAGCTGTCTTATCAGTCACTGACTCGGCCCACTAAAACCTCAATGTCATTTTAGAAGCTTGTGGCAAAGTAGATTGCTTAGGGACACTAACACCCTGGTTCAAACCTTCCACCTGTAACTCTTTTTTTATATTATATTTTTATTGTGGAAATCTGTCTCAGTCACTGCTGACCCATTCAATTAAATGCCACAGGAACTCCTTGTGGTAAAATAGATTGCTTAGGGACACAAACACCCTGGTGCATTAGTTGGAATCGAATCTACTGCCTGAAACTGCTGACGAAAGCACCCTGAATCCGAGTTCCCACGCTGGATTCAAACCCGCCAGCTATAACTCCAGTTTTCACATTTTCCTTCTTTTAAATTTTTTTTTTTTACAGCTTTCCCATCAACAGCTGACCCGGCCCAGTATGGCTTCAATGCCTCCTGTGACTTTGAGGCGTCAATCTGCTCTTGGCAACAAGCCAGGGACGACGGATTTGATTGGTCGCGCTACCAGGGAAGCACGCCCTCTGTTGACACGGGACCAAGCGGCGACCACACAACTGGTTCTGGTGAATGTTCATCCTAATTCTTGGCTTAAAAATTAATTTTTTGGAGGGGGAGAGGGGCACATAACATGCCTGAACTTATTTGCATGTGTATCACTAATTTTCATCTGAAATTGCAAGAGTAGGTTTCCTAGGTTACCACATCTACATTCTTGTTTGACTCGGGCCTTTTCCGTTTCCTAGGATACTACATCTACACAGAAGCATCTTCTCCCCGTGTTGCTTTGGAGAGAGCCCGCATCACCACGCGCCCCCTGACACCCACAAGTCTTCTCGGCAACTGCCTCTCGTTTTGGTATCACATGACCGGAAGCACCATGGGAACGCTCAACTTGTTCATGACGTCGCTGGCGAACGGCACGGACACCGCGCTGTGGTCCAAAACGGGAGAGCAAGATGGTGATTGGCTGCCGGCTCAGAGAACGATTCGCAGCGACCAAGATTTCACCGTGAGTGATCACAAGACTAACTTCTGCAAAAAAAACTAGATCAAGTTTATAAAATAAACTCACAATGGAAAAAAAAGAAGAACTTTCTGTGAAACGTTTTGTCTGTTCTTGTCGACAGATAACTTTTGAGGGAATTATCGGTTCCAGTTACGAAAGTGACATTGCTCTTGATGATATCGTATATACTCAGGGTTCGTGCCCGCCACCGCGTAAGTACCCACGACAACATCCTTTACATCTGTGATTATCTGTGATTATCTGTGATTATCTGTGACTCTCGATGATCAAAAGTAGGCGTTTGTATTTTGTTCAGTTTAGAATGTTCATTTATTGAAAGAAAAAGTACTTTCTGCCATCTTTTTTCCAGGTCAGTGCGACTTTGAGCTGGATTTCTGCGAGTGGTCGCAGGTAGCGACCATCGATGATTTTGATTGGACGAGACCGAGGGGCATTGATATACACCCAGGTCAGACAGGCACTAGGCTGCCAGACAAAACAACGGGAACTTCCACAGGTAGGTAAACTAGACCGGACGAATTAAGGACAGATCAGGTTTTCTGCTGTCTTACGGGTTTTAGCCAAAATGTCAAGACAATTTCCAACAAAAATGTTTTTCTTTTGTATTTTTTTTACATTTTAGCTTTGATTATCAAAATGTCAGTTGAGAAGCTGACTGACTGTAGTAATTTTTGTTGGTTGCCCCTATCCCATCTTGGTTATAACTTGCTCAACCTGTTTGATAGTTGAGTTTTTTTAAAGTTTGTTTAAGCGTATATTGTCAAAATAAATGATAGTTTAAGATCATGGGGGAGTGTGGCCAAAGTGGTTGGGGTTTGTGATTTGCGATCGGAGAGTCAGGGGTTCAAATCCAGTTGCTGGGCATAATGTTGTGTCCTCGGGCAGGCCACATCACCCCACTTGCCTCTCTCCACACAGAAGTATAAATGGGTACCGGCATTAGCTGGGGAGTAACCTGTGATGGACCAGCATCCCATCCAGGGGGAATGGAAATATTCTCGGTTGTTTCGTGCCACTGAAACCAGAGAAAAATGCCGGCCTGATGGGCTATATAGGCTCGTGACGGACTTGAATTTATTAATAAAAATGACACTTTTCCTAATTGCTACATAACTTCCCCTCCCCAGGTCATTTTGTATATCTTGACGAGACCTCTCAGCAAGCGGGCAACACCGCCGTTCTGATCAACCCTCACTTCCCGGCGATTCCCGACGGCGAGTGCCTACAGTTCTGGTACTACGTCCACGGGACCGGTGTAGGCTCCCTGGAGGTCTTCCAGTATTTCCCCAACACGACGAGTCTGGGAGCCAGGCTGTGGGGGAAAAACGGGGACCAGGGGGACCTATGGCGGCTGGGAAGGGTGACTCTTCAGGCTAACTCTCCATTTTTGGTAAGCACAGAATTGTGCTTAGCATAAAAAATATTACTTAGTAAAAAAACGGGTACCAGTCAACATGTCATGCAATGTATATTACTTATGACTGGCTCCCAGTATTTTTGTGGTGTATGAATTTGCTCAGCACTAAATTCTGCTTAGCAGGGAGTAACAGGAAGAGCGGTTTTGGGCGGTACAGCGACTATAAGCAAAGCTCAATTGTTGTTCTATACAGGCTGCATTCGTGGGCACCGTGGGCAGTACCGGTCAAGGCGACGTGGCCATCGATGACGTCGAAGTGACCATCGGTTCTTGTCCGCTAGCCGGCTACTGTGACTTTGAAGACGGCTTCTGCTCCTGGACCAACGAGGCCACACTGGACGACCTGGACTTCGTGAGAGGCAGTGGTTCCACGGATAGCTTGGAGACAGGACCTTCGTTTGACCACACCAAAGGAACAACGGACGGTACAAATTTTCCTGGGTTTAAGATTTTGCCAATGGACTCAAACTTGAGAATTGAGTCCGAGCTCTTTGTAAATATAATAATGATAGTGGGTATTTATAAAGCGCATGTATCCACCAGGACTGGTGCTCAAGGCGCTACATCATTATTCCCCCTGCTCATTGGGCACATGAATCATTCCAAATACCATCTCAGCTCCGTGGGGAGTATACAGCTCGATGCTGCCTGTTAGGCGCAAGCTAATTCAATCACAATAACCATCTCTGCCCTCACAGGTACCCATTTACTCCTGGGTGGGGAGAAGCAATGAGTGACAAAGTGCCTTGCCCAAGGGCACAAGCACCATGACCCCAGGCTGGACTCGAACAACCTGCAGCTTTACCCACAGACCACGAATCCAATGCCCTTAACTACAAGGCCACAGCACTCCAAAATATGTGCACGTGTCCCGCGGAGTTGAGGATTAAAAATTTACCAGTATATATAACCCCATGGGTAATTCCATGAGAAAGTAGACACAGCTGAAAAGTGGAAAATTTATGAAATCTGTAGCACTACTAGCACTACAACCTCAAATGTGGTATCAAATGAAAGGGGACAACAAGACCTTTCTTTTTATTTGTGGTTTTCCAGTGAGCTGGAATATGGTTAAGTGTTTTTTTTGGTAAAATCTTTTTTTCCCCTCTGAAATGATGGATTTCAAGTAGTCAATTTGGCACCATGTTTTTACATGCAAAGTGCAAGTTTTATTGTGAGGCAGAGCAAAAGGTTCAAAAGATGCGCGGAAAAAACTGAGCAGAACAAAAAGCATTTTAGACATTCTCACTTCTAGGCCATCAGCCTCGGTCCAAAATTTTGGCCACCGGTATCAAATGAGGGGAATAATCATCATAGCGATTTTTGGCAAGGGATACACCTCCAGAATTGGAAGATATGTGATAGCTTTGCAGCGGTGGCAGCTTTTTGGGTGTTATCACCCTTTTGTTGAAAATGTCCATCAAAATGCTTGTTACCACTCTAGGGGCGGTATACTTTGCGCATGTACACGATAATAATTTATGCCCTGATTTGATACTGACCAAACCCCCAGGCTGATGGCCTATTCATGCTGTTTTGGACTTGTGCAAGGACTCGACTGCAGTACTGTCTCAGATTTTACCAATAATTTGTCGCTTTTTTGCCAGGCTATTACGTCTTCCTGGAGACCAGCGGTTTCCTCGTCAACGAAGAAGCCTGGCTCGTCAGTGAACACCTCGACGCAACTCCGGGAGACTGCTTCATCGTCTGGTACCACATGTACGGACGCGGTAAGTAATGATTGGACAATGGCGACTTGTAAATAGGCTGGTTCCTACTTTGTGCTAACGTGAAACGACAAACGACAAACATTCATGACATAACTTTTACGGAGTTGAAATGTTTTCAACTTTGTGAATTCGTAGAGTAAAATACTAGATTTGCATGTAAAGTCATAAACTTGTGTTTGCTTTCATGCTTTCTGATGAACATGTCTTAAATCAAACATAGAACAGAAAAATTTACAATTTTATCCTTATTTAGTTTGACAGGTGATTCCATAGTAAAACCCTTGTATATTTATGAAAAAAGGAATCATATGTGTAGCCTGCACTGTGAATTTGTCTAGGACAAAAGATTAAAATCTCAAAGTGTAAAACTTTTCAGGAGTCAAGCAGTTGGACGTCTACCAACAAGACCCCGACACACAGAACAGAGTCTTGCTCCAGTCTGTTGTCGGTAACCAAGGCAACGTTTGGTACGAACTGGCGATCAACGTGACCAGCCCGCTGCAGCCCTATCAGATGGTGATTGTCGGCGTCGTTGGGTTCAACTACACCAGCGATATCGCCGTGGACGACATCTCTGTCAGGCCTGGGTTCTGTGGAGGTGAGAAATCACTTTCTTCATCATAAGACGATGGATGTTTTTAGTTCATGTCTAAATTACTTTATTAAAAGGCATAGCATCATTTGCATTTGTCATAATTTCAAGAAATGGACTGATATCAGGTTTATCAATTTATAAAGCTGACATCGTTCCACCAAGCTGTTCAGTGTTTTATGTCCGTTGGTGCTGGGAAAAAAAGACACACATTTTTTATTTTGTTCACCAGCAAAGGGTCACAGGACACAGGGAGTGCCCAAGTGCCGACCCTGTCGTGGGAAAGTAATACATACATATAGCTAGCGTACCTGAGCGTACGCATGAAGTCAATAGCTGGTTGTTTTATAACGGTTGTAATATTTGCAAGAAACTTTTCGCTCTCTGCGATGTTTAGGTCCTCACTATCGTTGGTACTGATACAAAGTTTCTCTTTTATTGGTTATTGAGAATAAAAGCATACTAGGCTGAATGATTTCACAGGATGTTTCATACTATTATTTATTTCGTTTTTACTGCTTTCCAATTGCAGCTTTCTGAAGATCACAGGAATGTCTTGAGTTTTGAATTCATTGCTTATCAACGATTATACCTTTTTGCCCCCAAATGTAGTTCCTTCCGCCTACGACTGCAATTTCGAGCAGGGCCTCTGCTCTTACACCCAATCCCAAGACGACAATTTCGACTGGACCCGATCGCGGGGCGCAACTGCATCCGTAGACACCGGTCCCTCCAACGACCACACCACGGGCACCGGCCAAGGCTGGTACCTGTACATCGAAACCTCGTCAACCCTCCAAAACGACCGAGCGCGACTAGAGAGCCCCTTCGTCTCCAAGAACAACAAAGTCTGCATTGAGTTCTGGTACCACATGTACGGCTCGAACATCGACACGTTGAGCGTCTACGTGCGGCCGAATCAGACAAGCTTGGGGCAGCCGCTGTGGTCAAAATTCGGGACATTGGATGACCGATGGTATATCGGCCAGTTTCCTGTGACCAACTCAGGACCATTTCAGGTGAGTAAGTGTTCAGGCCATGGGCGTCAACAGGATGGGGCACTTGCGCCCCCCCCCCAAAGCAAAAAAAAAAAAAAAAGAGGATGAAAGAAAAAGAAAAAGACGTGTTAAGTCAGATTTGCTATTAATTTAATACACATTGAACAAAATGGGCGTCTGCAGGGGTGCCAATAGGGGTGGGGTAGGTAAATGTCCCCCGCCCACCCTCAAAACAATGATAAATTAAGAATATGCTAGAGAAAGTACATACAAGCATTTTGGAAAAAAATGTGCTTTGCCAATCCCCCCCCCCAAAACAAATCCAGGCAACGCTCATGATTCAAGCTATGGCTAGCTGCCAATTCCAAAACAAATTGCCAATTTAATAATTAAACAACCTGGTTATCCTTGTTTTATTGCAGATTATTTATGAGGCCGTTGCCGGGGCGAGTTACCAAGGTGACATAGCGCTGGATGATCTCACTCTCTATGATGGCGAATGCAGAGGTTTGTATGTCCAGGAATATTTTGAGAAAAGGAACATTTTTAAAGTTCTCGAATATCACTGCTTTTTGGTATCTAAATATCATGTAAATTTATGTAAATTTTCATTTTTTCTTTCCACCAATCAGGAACTGCCATCTGCTCCTTCCAGGAAGACAGCCTGTGTGGTTACCAGCAGGACACTACCGATGATTTCGATTGGACGCCGCTCAGCGGACCAACACCGACACAAAACACAGGGCCTACGACTGACGCCACTTACGGCACTGCATATGGTATTATATTCAATTTTCAAACAGTTTGTCAATAAGCAACTGTTCGTCTACAATTCTTAGACCATTGCTTCTCTTTCTATTCCTGTATCCCTAAATATCACTCTTCTTGCAGACATGATAACCACTAATCCTTTGATCCAACATTAATCCGATAATCCCTAGGTCAGTACATGTATGCGGAAGCCACTGGTCAATCCACTGGGGATGTTGCTCGTCTACTTAGTCCGGTTTTCACCCCTGGTGATGGCGTGACTGACGTCTGCTGGAAATTCTTCTATCACATGCTCGGCTCAGACATGGGGACTTTGGCATTCTGGGTAAGCTAGGAGTATTTTCTGCACTTCTCTAAATGTTACAATATCAGTGATAAAAAACAATACTACACTGTTTTTCATTTTTTTTTTATTCAGCCCAACGGTGATCTCAACCCTTCATGGTCTGTCTCCGGTGACAATGGTGATCAGTGGGTCCGAGCCCAGGTCAACATCCAGAGGTCGACGCCCTATCGGGTGGTCTTCCAAGCCACTAGGGGCAGCGGTGACCTGTCAGACATCGCCATCGATGATGTGGATTACGTCCCTGCCGCCTGCCAAGTTGGAGGTAGGGACAACCGAGGGCGCCGTTTCAAGTAGCAATGGTTTCCTGTAGGCCATACTCACTAATCAGGGTAGTCTTACACACGTACGCAAGCCCGGATTACCCAATAGGCACAGTAGGCACTGTGCCTAGCGCCTACGAAAATGTTTTGGGGGCCTATGAACAATTTGAGGGCCTACGAAAATACCGCAGTGTGCTATAAAACACATACACACCAACACACAAACACACAAAAGAAAAGTTTTTAAAAGTTGTAGCGTGGCTCTAAGAATTTCAATTCACCATCTGATGCTGACGTAGCTGCATGTACGTATAAAATTTACTTGTAAAAGTTTGTTGTTCTAAAGCACATTGTGCCAAAAGGCTTTTTGAGCTACCATTTTGGCCTGGCTTGCTTAGTACACTTTAGCATAAAAGTGGTGCCAGTGCCTAGGGTGGAGTAGGGCCTACAGAACACTGGTGCCTAGGGCCTACAGAAATAATCCGACCCGGCATGTACGTTGTAAGACAGTTCCCTGGCAAACCATGCCCATATCTTCTCCTATTGTGACCTCCTGAGATTAATTATTCATGAAAGCCTCCAAATATAGACTGACATAACTTTTGACCAATCAGATTGCTCTTTTGCAAAAGCTGAGCAAAACAAATACCAAAAATATGTCAGTGCGCCGTGGCATCCTGAAAAGCTCTTTCCTATTGGCTAACAGAGTTGACCCTACAAATCCTGAATATTCAGTGCGTAGGTTAAACCTCGCGAATTCAATGCAGAAAATCTGATTGGTTGATGATGTCGAGAGAGAGGTGGGAACCAGTTGGGAGAGAGGCGGGGTTTATGCTAATTAGCAATGGTGAACTTTGACTTAAACAGTTAGTTGAGTGAGAACCTAATACTTGGGTTGCACGACCATTTCCTCTGATTTGTACATTTTAACAATTTGCGTTGCTCTCCTTTGTGGGATTCAAACCCTTGAGGCATTGAAATTTACCAAATATTTTTTATTGACACTTACCAACGTTTAATAGGTAACTGTGACTTCGAGAATGACATCTGCACATGGCGTCACTCGGCCGACGGCGTCTTCCAGTGGCTGAGATCTCGTGGGACCACACCTAGTGGTCTAACCGGACCCTCTATCGATCACACCCTGTCTTCTGGACTTGGTAAAAGAATATACAACTCTTCAATCTAATACAACGTTATGTGAAGTCTTTCCCTGTCTAAGTAAGGCACTTGGTATTTAACTTTAAAGAATTTGATTAAAGAGAAACACTGGCTTATTACTAGTTTATTGAAAAAAAAGGAAATTTCATAAAATCTTGACCCTCATTTTGAACTTTTTTGTTTTGTATGTCTGTAGGTTATTACGCCTATATTGAAACAAGCTCACCCCGCGTCGTGGGCGATAACGCTATCTTGGAGAGTCAAGTGTACAGCCCCACTGATCCTGTCACTGGAAAATGCTTCACGTTCTGGTATCACATGTACGGGGCAAACATCGGAGACCTTGTCATGTATCAGGTACTAAGTTTCTTTTTTTTTTCTCCTGGTTATAAAATCAAGGGTCTCTCGAAAAGCACACAGGCACTTGGTCAAGAGGAGCCTTAGAAAGTCTAGGGGAAAAGACGAAGAAATAAAGGCCGCTTTATATTTCACGTGCGGATTTTAGTGCGAAGCAAATTTGTTAGGGTAACGTCGAACATCACAATGAAACTTCAGTTGTTGACGTTAGGAAATTTGCTTCACTTACAAACCGGTTTTAAGAGGTGGGAGGAAATTTCCTGAATTATGTTCCAGGGGAAGATTAGACCATTTCCAGGCCCCTCCTTATGGGGACTGGTAACTAGCTCCCATTTTAAGCCTTTGATTGGATTGGCACTGCACGCGCGCGCATCACGATTGTTTATTTTTGAATCGCTGGTTGTGCATGGACGCAGCGCCGGTGATTGAACTCACGATTATCAAGAAACTCGCGCCTGTCTCACCACAAAAAGTACACAAAATCACCAGTGTCTCCATGAAAGCAATTTTCAAGCATTTCAACTGCATAGGTTGTACAATTTGACCAGCAATATTTCAGAGACGAAATGAAGAGAATTTCAGAGAAGAAATGCATACGTAAACAAAGCAAAGAAAGTAGGGATTAAATAGATTTTTCATGTACAATTCCAATATCAGGTTAAAGATCTCGGGGTTTCCAGGGCCGCCTCAGTGCTGTGGACACTGATTGGACAACAGAGCACCAATGAACTCGATTGGAGGTTTGGACAGTTCCCGGTTACCAGTGATGAAGACTACCAGGTAAATTCTCCCATAATTATCAAGTATTGATTTTACTTCTTTTTAATTCAGTTTTGTTAATTTAAAAATAAAATTGTAGTTAAAGGTTTATTTCTAAGTTCTTACGATTTTCCTAACAGATTCTAAATCAAATTAGGTTTTGCCCTTCACCGACTTTCAAACACTGTATACTCAGTGTGTTACCTCCCGAGTGAAAGTTGGAAAAAATCACTCGGGTGGGACTCGAACCCACGACCTCCTGCTTTCTAGTGCAGATGTCTTACCACTCGACCACCGAGCTAACGGGATCGGGTGGCTGGTTCGAATCTGATGTACACAGCAGCAGGTACCGCATAAACTATTATAAGATGGAAGGGCAAAACCTAATTTGATTTATATTACCCCGACGCAAAATTCCATCTTATAACAGATTCTAATTGAAGGGATTGTGGGAATTGACCACCAAGGAGATATCGCAGTGGACGACATAGAAATCACAGACGGCCCGTGCATAAGTGAGTATACCATAATCGGTTCAATCTGGTTCAGTCCAGTTTAAACTGGTCTCAACTGGATTAATCCTGTTCACACGTACATTCATTGTACTCTCTACTGCACAAGTATAACACAGTTTACGATTTTCTTTTCACATTTGACAATATTCTTATACCCAATTTATATGTTGTAGTTTAAACCAGTTTGAACTGGTCTGATCCGGTTCAAGCCTGTTCATACTTGAGACTGAAGAATGGATATTGTAGACAATGCTTCTACGAATAACTTCACAATTTTACTAAATATGATTTTGCCTGCAAAACTCTGATTGAGTTTCTGTATAAAAATGGACGTCATAATCTTTACCCATCTTAAAAACTGCTCTTTTTTGTCTCTGTGCAGCTCAACCAGCCATTGCGGAGCCCAGTACGGACGTTGACTGTGACTTTGATCGGGGCCGATGCGGCTGGATTCAGTCCGCAGCCGATGATTTCAACTGGGGGCGGGCTGTAGGTTCGACACCCTCCACGAACACGGGACCCCCCTATGACCACACAACCACTCAAGGTAACTTGCAGTTTCAGTTTTCTTAAGATACTTCTCTTGTTTTCATGCAGAGTGACCTAGGTTTGAGTCTCATCCAGGCCAAACATCTCTTTCGTAGGATGGGCCAATTACCTGGAGCTGCTGAGCACAACAATTTGCTTAGCATGAAAATTCTGCCTTGGCCAAAACAGGATTACCAACCAAATGTGATGTATATTGCTTGTGATTGGTATTCAGCTGTTGTTTGCTTAGTATAAAAATCACATGGAGTTTTGGCTGGTAAGCCAGATTTTTTTTGTGCTGAGCAAATTGTTGTGCTTAGCGGCTCCATGTAATTGGCCCAAGTGGGATTAGATAGCTCAGAAGGTAGAGAACTTGCGCAGTGTTTTGAAGGTTATTGGTTCAGATCCAATTGTTGTCAATTTACCCTCACAAGCTTACTCTAGTGGGGCTTAATCTTACGACTTCTGCTTACTTTTACATCTCCTGAAATTGTATTCTCATGGAAACTTTGGGAAGCCTTAATCTAAGAATATTTTAATGGCAGCTGAATGATTTTTAATTGGGGGTGGGGGGGGGGGCACAGTGCATACATCTCTTTAGTGAGGGATCCAAAAGTGGGTCGTCAAAAGAAAAAAAATGGGAGGGGGCAAGTACATCCCTGCTTGCTGCCTCTGCTGTCTATGTGATTGCTGAAGAACTAAAACAGCCAAAAAGTACATGGTGCTACCACAAACTTTGTAACTGCACAAAAACCCAGTTTTAAAATTCATATACCTAACAAAAAATCATATGTAATCCTAGTTCTAATTTTACTTTTGTCATTCTCCAGGGTTCTATATGTACACAGAAGCCTCCTCCCAATCCCAGGGCAGCAGGGCCCTGCTTGTCTCCCCCCTGCAGACAGGCTCCAACAATCAGATGTGCTTCTCCTTCTGGTATCACATGTTTGGTGGGACTATGGGCACCTTGAATGTCTACTGGAGGTAGGTTAAGTCTTTCATCTGGAGGCTTCATGCTGCCGTCTTTGGCTCGAGTAGAACCCACTAAACTCAGACCAGATCAACACTACTCAGGCCAAAAAAAAATATAGCTTTGCTTCTGGTTTCTCTACCTTCCCTATTCTCACTGACAGCCCCTAACCTAATTTTTGTACTGGAAAAATTTAAAAAAAAACACCCAAAACCATCGATTTCTACCTTTTACTCTTGACTACACGCAGACGCCTCTATATGATCGAACACAAAAAACAATTGGCACAAAAAAAACCCCTACCTACCCTATTTTTGAATGCCATGTAATCGGAAGCAGAACTTTTTTTTGGGCCTAATTCTAACGGTATGCCTACATTGATTTCCCCTTGTGTAAAGCAGTCTTGAGAAGTGAAAGACCTGTTGGTAAGAAAAACCCCAAAAATCTTGAATCTTGCTTGATCTATTCAAAATTGTGACGTGTTGGTTTTCAGGCTTATGACCAACATTGTCTTCTGCACTTTTGAGGAATCTCTACTTTTACTTAGAATATCAACATGGTTTAACCACACTTAAACTTCAATGGTGATTTTTTTCTTTGCAAATCTAAAAGTCTGAATTAGTTTCGTCTTTCCTCTCTGTGATATATAACAGGACCGCTGGATCCAACGACACCCTAGTCTGGTCCCGGTCCGGTGCCTCGGGAAACACCTGGCTAGAGGCCGGACACACTCTCCAATCGGCACAGGATTATCAGGTGTGGAATTCTGTACATAAGGCTGCATCCGCAGTACATGGCTACGGCTTGTAGTATTAAACACACGTGTCTATGGGAAGTGGCTGCAGCCGCTTACCATAGGCGCATGTATAATTGCTAGACATAGCCAAGTAATTCGGATGCGGCTCAGCAAATCCTCTCCATTTGCTCCTAGCATTACAATAGAGGGCGCTGTTGAAATCATGAAGTTTGAACAATTAACCAGGTTTATTTAATTTTGAAGCAGACATTTTCCAAGATAAAACTGACTTGAAGATATTTTTGTGCACTGTTTTTTTTCTCCGTTTAGTTGGTATTTGAGGGCATCATTGGTTCTAGCTTTGAGAGTGATATGGCCATCGATGACGTGAATATCACTACTGGAGCCTGCCCGCCACCAAGTAAGTTACATCTAAAAAATCTTCCATGTAGAAATTAAATGCAACCTAGAACTCAGTTTGGCCTAGTGGTTAGGGTTCGCGACTCATGATCAGAGGGTCAGGGGTTCGAATCCAGCTGCTGGTCATCTGTCGTGTCCCTGGGCAAGCCACTTCACCCACCTAGGCTGACAACGGCTAGAATTTCTCAATCCTTTCCCACTGGCCTAGTGCTTAGGGTCTGTGACTCACGATTAGAGGGTCAGGGGTTCGAATCAGCTGTTGGCTGTTTGGCCATTTGACTCCCACTTTCCAACTCCACCCAGGAGTATAAAGGGTACCGGCATTAGCTGGGGAGTAACCTGCGATGGGCTAGCATCCCATCCAGGGGGAGTAGAAATATTCGCAGTCGTTTCATGCCAAGGAAACCGGAGATAAACGCTGGCCCGATGGGCCGTATTAGCTCATGGCAGACTTTACTTTCACTAGAATGACTGTTTTTTTTTTTTTTTTTCCCAGGATATTGCAACTTTGAATACAACATGTGCGGCTGGACACAAGATGGCAGTGACATACTAGACTGGTCCCGGAGTAGCGGTAATAGTATTGTGCCTGGCAATGGTCCAGACTCAGACCACTCCACCGGAGCACCAACAGGTACAATAAAAGAATTCTGCTTAAACTTGGGACCAGTTTATGAAAATCAGAACAAATGAGTTTATTGTTGGTTTTTCCATTTGTAAAAAGCAAAATTCCAATTTAAAACCCTAACTCCCTGGGCTTTTTTGCTAGGATGTAACCTCTAGCATGCACCCGCAATCCTGCAAAATCCTCCATTATTTCTTGAATATGGTCCTTGGTGGGTGACCACTGCCTCAATCCTGCAAAATCCTTCAGCAGTCACTGCCAATATGTTGAGGCAGAGCCAGTGATATCCTGGAGCAGTGCGGAGGATGTCAAGTGTAATATAGGCCTACATTTATGCAAGGCTGAGCATAAACAACACAAGGTCCGGCCCAAAACCTTGACACAGTGCGTCCTCCGAATCAGCCACACATTTGCCATGTAGCCTCAATCCTGCAAAATCCTCCATTTTGCAAAGAGGATTTTGGAGGCTTTGGAAAGGTTAAGATTTAAAGTCTAGGTCATCTTCCAACTGACAATTAAATACAATTATTATCTGTTTTTTGTTAAGGTTTCTTTATGTACGTCGACCCGGCCCAGTCCCACGTTACCTCCGATGATGCCATTTTGATCAGTCCAGCCTTCGACGCGACGCTCGCCGGCGATTGCGTCAAGTTCTGGTACTACGTCAGCGGTCCCAGTGACATATCCCTCAAACTCTGGTTGCTCAATGTTACTCCTGTCTGGTCGAAGACGGGGGACCAGGGAAACTTCTGGAGGTACGGATATGCGACGTTCAGCTCCAACACACAAATACAGGTTGGTTTACATCATTTTTTTATGGTATCCATCATTTTAATTGTGTTTGACGTTTGACCATCATTTGACTGGAGATGTTCACATACAGTGACAATATACATCACAAAGCATCTACTAGTCAAAAAGTTGTCTTCAATTGAACAGTGTAGTCAGAGAAGTGATAAGTTTGGGATAACTAAAAGTTAAAACATTTCACATCAACAAGCACTACAGAAAAAGAACCAAAACTGACTAACTTTTAATTATTTTTTTATTATCAAATTATTTCCTATTGTCTTAGGTTGCATTTCAAGGGATACTGGGCACCAGCAACACTGGTATCCTTGCCATTGACGACGTCGAGATCGCCACAGGACCTTGCCCACCCCCGGGTAAAACTGAACTTAGTTTTACTTTTCTGGCAAATTCTGGAAAAGCTTTTAATTTTGCGCTGATTATTGTTTATTTTTTCTTTTTCTTCTTCTACCCAAAATTCATAGACTTTGTACACACATCTTTCTTTTTATTGTTTATCCTGTCAACACCTTTGAGTATTCTACAATATCTTCTATAGAATATTTTTGTATTGAAAGTTTCCTTTCGTTTTCTTCAACGAAGGATCATGTGACTTTGAGGAGAGTCTCTGTTCATGGAGCAACGAGCGTCTTCTTGATGATTTTGATTGGTCGAGGAGTAACGGTGCCACTCCGAGCGTGGCAACTGGGCCGTCTGTGGACCACACCACGAACTCGTCATTAGGTATGAATTTTCAAGTTTCACTTATTTATTTCAAACCTAAAATTCAAAGGTTAAAATGCTGTTGTTTAGAGAGAAAAACCTGCTGCTAGTAGCAGAATTTGCTAGTGAAGATTTAAAATTACAGCTTTTGGCATTATTTTTTTCTGAACATTCCAAGAACGGTTAATAAGCTGTGAACTTTCAGCGACGAAATGCACATTTCGTAAAATATACAGAATTGTTCACTTTTAACTTAAAATAAGATGGAAAGAAGAAATCTTTTAAATGTTTATTTCAACAACCAAAACTTGCTGCAATTGTTTTGATGTTTCTTTTTTGTCAAGGTTTCTACGTCTACATCGAGGCTTCGTCCTACTCCACCGGCTCCAAGGCTTGGCTGGTGTCCGAACACTTCGACCCCATGACCCGAGGGTGCTTTGAGTTCTGGTACCACATGCTGGGCGCCGGTATCGGTGACCTGAACGTCTATACCAACGACCTGGACAATGCCCTCCTGACCACGATGCTGACGATCAGCGGTAACGAAGGCGACGAGTGGCACTTTGAGCAGGTGGACATTACCAACATTCAGACATTTCAGATTCTTTTGGAAGGGGTGATCGGAGCCAATTACACAAGCGATGTCGCCGTCGATGACGTCATTCTGAAACGAGGCAGCCAGTGCGCCCGTAAGTCAAACTACTTTTTTTTTATAGAGGTTTCAGTTTGAAATTCCACTAAAGTCAATATCGTTGTTTGACCTTAAATTGGTATAATATGAACCCAATCAGTATCCCATTGTAGTTTATTTAACGAGCTAAATTTTCTGTTTTGATGAAATAATTTATTTAATTTAATTTATTTGTTTATTCTGGTTTATAAAAATAACTTGTATCAAGCGGCATTATGCTAAAATTGTTCAAATAATTGACATAAAAAATAATTCACAAGTATGAACAACTAAAGAACAATAAAAAAATATTGATATATAAAAATCATAATTTTAAATTTTCTTTCAATTTTTTTTTAGATTTTGTAAAACTTTCCCATTGATTTAAATTAAACGTTTAGATGCTGCTTTATCCTGTTTCCTTTACTACAATAATACAAATTTTTTTCGTCTTTTTTTTCTAAACCATATTAATTTCTTCTACAAAGTTTGCATTCTCACTCACCATTAAAACAGACAAGCCTATGACAAGCGGACAGTGTTTGTCGGATGTGTTATCATTTCAAAACGTGCAAAAGATATCTCGCTTTTCTGCTCTTCTAGGAGCAAGTCTCAACTGCACCTTTGAGACGGATCTCTGTGGCTACATTCAAGTGCCTGACGATGACTTTGACTGGACTCGAAGCAGCGGTGGCACGCCAAGTACAACCACTGGCCCGGGGTTCGATCACACGTATGGCAACACATCAGGTAAGGAATTAAGTGGATGACAGTAAGTAGTTTTGCATGAAGCAAAATCACTTGTTCCGGGTTCGATCACACGCATTACAATACAACAAGTAAAAGGAGAAATCTATAAATCAGTGGTGGTAAACCTCTGGTCCTAGGTTCGATCACACGTATGTCAATACAACAAGAAATTTGGTGGGTCAGTGGTGATCCTCTCTGCGTAAACACTGGTCTGAAGTTCGATCTCACATATGGCAATATAGTAGATAAAAAATATAGCAAAACTAACTATGTAGCTCTGTTGGGGGAGCATCTAATGATCTACTGGTGGTCCGAAGTTCCAACCCTACCTGTGTCAATTTTCAGTGTTCAATATAAAGGGACTCCTTGTTTTTTACTTTTTAAGGTCATTACGTATTCATTGAGACTTCGTCCCCGCGAGTCATCGGGGACAAGGCCCGCCTGGCATCCATGTTCAACGAGCCGACGTACGACTCTCCCATGTGCCTGACGTTCTGGTATCACATGTACGGTCTGGCCGTGGACTCCCTCAACGTGTACATCAAGACTGAGCAGACGGAGACTCTAGTCTGGACCCGGTATCAGACGCAGGGCAACATGTGGCTGAAGGCTCAGTACACGGTGCAAAGCGATGATACCTGGCAGGTAATATTTTGCTTAGAATTTCTTTGCTCAATAAAGGGTTAAAAAAATTTACCAGAGCGGGTCCGAACCTGTGGCCTGTTGAACAGAATACAAGTGCTCTACCGACACATTGTTATCTTTCTGTAGAATTGTGCAAGCTCCTGATTTGCAGTGTCTGTTTTTTTCTTTTAATTTTAAAGCTTAACAGAGAAATTGACTGGGGCTGGGTTTGAACTGCGATCTCCGTATTGCCGTTCCGGGGCTCTACCGATTGAGCTATCCAGGCCTGGGTTGGTGGTTCCCATTTTGTCAATAACTTTGTTCAAGGGGTGCTAGTCAGAAGCCATAAACCTGTATATGCCATGTAGCCAGGGATCACGCCCAAAGTCACGATGCTAGCAACATTAGCAATGCCGCAAACCTGGGAAATAGCAAACGGGGATCACTCAGAAAGGACACAAATTGTTACTGTTTTATCGTTTGATCACTTATCACAAAACCTGGCTTTCACAATTACCCCCAACAAAATTAGACACATTTCAGCGAGTTTTAATGCAAATTTTGTTGTGGTTTTAGGTCATATTTGAAGGTGTCACAGGCAACACTTGGACTGGGGACATCGCATTAGATGACATCCTTATATATTACGGTGCCTGCCCAGCTACAAGTAAGTAATCCTCAATCTTACATCGACAATTGATACTCGCTCAAAATGCATGGCCCTGAACTTTTCCGCTGATTTCTAATGAAAAATTGCCACTTAGTAGATTTAACTGTTCAGCAGTAATCAACTTATTAAAACTGGAGTATGTGACCTTTTTTTTGCAGGGGATTGTGAGTTTGAGACTGGCCTGTGTTCATGGACCCAGGACTTCCGCGATGAGTTTGATTGGGTGGTAGCTAGTGGGAGCCAGTTGATTGGTACCCAGCCTAATGTCGATCACACATTGGGAACCAGCACAGGTTAGTACCCAGACTTCTTTAATGGAATTTGATTGGGTGGTAGCTAGTGGGAGCCAGTTGATTGGTACCCAGCCCAATGTCAATTACATGCTGGGAACCAGCACAGACTAGACTTTATTACTGGAGTTTGATTGGGTGATAGCTAGTTGGACCCAGTTGATTGGTACCCAGCACAATATCAATCACACCCAGGGAACCAGCACAGGGCAGAACCTAGACTCCTTTAACTAGTTTGTTTGGTATTCGGTAATGGACACCAGCTAACTGGTATTCAGGCTCTTGGTAACCAACACTGTATTTGTACCAAATATTACTCTTGCCAAGTCGCGGTTTGAATTGCAAACGAGTAATCAATTTATTTCTGTTCTTTAGGCAAGTATGCCCTAGTAACCACAAATGCTCCACGTCGTCAAGGCGATACAGCACGTCTCCTTAGCGCCAGGCAGACTGACACGTACGGTGAATGCGTACGCTTCTGGTATCACATGTTTGGCAACAACGTCGGTACTCTGCGTGTCATGTCATATGACCTTGTGACGAATGTGGACAGCGCCCCAACATGGCACCAGACTGGTAAGCATTTATTGAAAACGTTCATGAATATTTATATTTTACCAACGAACTTGAATGTTTTGATGAATATTCAAGCAACTTAATTGCACTGCTATGAATATTCATATTTACTAATGAACTCGAATGCATTTATGAATATTCAAGTAATTTAATTTCACCGCCATCATTATTAATTATGCAGGCCATCAGGATAATGTGTGGCGGTTTGGCCAGGCTACCGTGTCCGCTGGACACCCATTCAAGGTGGTTTTTGAGGCGGAGGTGGGTTCGAATCCCAACGGCGACATTGCCATCGATGACGTGGATGTGATTGACGGCAAATGCTCAAGACAAGGTGAGATGATGCGCTTACGCTCAGACGGTTTCAGGTTCGATTCCTCACATGCATAGATTGACACACTGGACTTTGCATTCAGAAAGTAGCAGGTTTGATTCTAACATGAATAATTCTTCACTTTTGTACTAAAATAAATTAAAATACTTGTATTTTTGATGATTTTTACTTGGTTTTTTTTTTATAGGCTTTTGTGATTTTGAACGTGACATGTGCGGTTGGACCAATGACGACTCCTATGACGTTTTTGATTGGCTGCGGAGTGCTGGAGCCACGCCCAGCCTGAACACTGGGCCCAGCGTCGACCATACCACCAACTCCGGGATTGGTAAGAATACTTTTCCCTTTTCTTTATGACAACAAGAATTAAAGTGTTGAAGCTTGCTTTTAATTAACTGAAATTACTTCAATATTTTGTTTGCTTATACTTACAAAAAACTGAGTAAATATCAACAACTGATGCCAGTGTGCCTAAGGCAAAATATCGCCAATTGTCCTTCAATATTGCTGCTCTTTCTCATTTTCTCATCATTGAGATGGTACTTGCACACAGAGTCCATAGTATTCCAGAAGTTATGGGTTCGAATCCACCCTTAGACACATTTCCTTGTTATTTCTAACTATAATTTTTATCAAGTCATTTTCCTGTTGTGATTAATTCAGTCATTTTGGGGACTGACTTTTCTGTTTAGGTTACTATGTGTTCACCGAGATGTCCACTTCCGGCTTATTTTTCGGCGACAACGCCTGGTTGGTCAGTGAGCATATGCCAGCAACCAATGACGGATGTCTATATTTCTGGTATCACATGTATGGCAGAGGTATGTTTTATGTTTTTGTTTAAATTTTCTTTGGAAAGATTGAGAATTTCAGGAAATTCAGTCAGTTTTTACGAGATGCTGTAACTTTTTCAAGTTTTCTTTCATAAATATTGCTACATTCGAAACATTATGCCCACAGTTGTTTTATTTGTATATTTCAGGTCATTCCACTCAGTAAGCAGTTTGCGGCAGTTGTATTCATGTTCTTGGTTTTTTTTTCATTTGAAATTCAAATAAGTTTCTCGCCATGAAACAGTTTTTCTGCTCATACAGGGTTGGAAAGATGAGTTGATAGAACACTGTCACATGTTCAAATTCTGCTCAAAATGTCACAGGTCCAAGTAGTCTTAGCATTTTCTTTTAACCTTAATATTTTTGAAATTCAAGAAATCTAAAAAAATTAGTGGAACAAAGTACCTTGCTTAGTCCCTTTGATAATCTGGAAGAAAAAAGAAAGATCTTTGTAAAATTGGTCCATGGTTCGATTCCTGTTTTAGGCGCCGGCGACCTGAATGTGTACTTCCTCGATAACGCTGGACAGACGAGCAGACAGTGGAGTCTCACTGGTGACCAGGGTGATGTCTGGCAACAGGGACAGGTGGATCTGAAGAGTACCAGTGATTACCAGGTAAAACGAGTACAAAGTAATTTTTGTGGCACAAAACATGTGTGAAAGCAATCTTGCAACGTAATGGCTAATTTTTACACTGGGAAATTGCAAATGGTGTTTTCAAACTGCAAATTTTAACAATGTTTTCTCAATGGAAATTCGTAGTAGTGATTTCACACTATGAATTTGTAACAGTGTTTTAACACTGAATTTGTAATAGTGTTTAACTGAATTTGTAATTGCTGAACAGTGTAACTCTTAGCAAATGTCACCATATACATATGTTTTCCTGAAGTTTGAACAAGAATTAACATATTGTTTTGTTGATAATGGACAACAATTTCGTTTTGATACAGATCGTTTTTGAGGCAACGTACGCCAGTGATATCGTCGGCGATATTGCTCTTGACGATGTCGACATTGAGCCTGTCTCATGCTACAGTGGTGTACCTGGCAGCACGCCGGCGGCTCCTTGTAAGTTGGTCTGCCTGTTTGTCTATCTGTGGTTGTTTTACAAACAGAACAGGGATGACATTGTGAAAAATCACAAACTGTCAATTTAAGAGCCATTTGTTCAGGTGAGCGTTTGTGGTCCAGGGATCACATACATAACACCCAAATGTTGGTTTGAAACCAGCCAAGGATCAATGTGTTGTGCCCTTGGGCAAGATACTTTACTGCAATTTTTCTAATACCACCAATAACTAATAGGCACAACTGGGATCCCATATGTTTATATCTTGTGAGTCTGATTAAAAAATCAGTGTGCTGACTTAGATCTCCACAATCTTATTTCTAGCCATGGACTGCACGTTTGAGGCAGACTTCTGCAACTACACCCAACTCCAAGACGACAACTTTGATTGGACGAGGCTGAGAGGCAGCACTGGCAGTACGCACACGGGACCAGACCAGGACCACACAACGGGATCAGGTCAGTAGAAACGTCTGGAATTTGCACATGTTGACAGCATCATGACTTTGGGCATGATCGCTGGTCAAATATGGGTTTATGGCTTCTAAGTAGCACACCATTAACAAAGACATTGACTGATTTGGAAACTACCGACACTAGGCTGGTAAGCTGAGTTGGTAGAACACCTTTACAATATTCTAGAGGTGACAGGTTCAAACCCTGCTCCAGTCAATTTATTCTTTGACCTTAAATGGGTTATTAACATCTTTCTTCGCCTTCCACCATTGTGACCCCAGTTCGAATCCTGCCTGTGCCAATATGTGGATTGGGTTTTCAGTCCCTACCTGATTCCGTGTGTTTTCCCCACAGTGAGCTACAGTACCTAGGGCGCTTTTGAGGAATCCTTTGTTTCAGTACCAGAAATGATTAATAATAATAATAATTAACCTAGTTGTCAGTGACAGAATCACGAAAGAAAAAATTAAAACACAAAGTAAAACTGAAATTGCAAGTTCCTCAACATGTTTCTCCATCAAGTAGATGGCCACAGTAGACAGAAAAATTATAAATGTCAACAGATGCGTTATTTCGATTTTCAAATTTGATTTTTCAATTTTTGATTTTGATTTTTGATGACAGGCTGGTACGTCTACATCGAAGCCGCCAATGGTGTTCAGGGGGACAAGGCTTGCCTGATGTCGCCCCAGCAAAACCCGACCCAGTCACGCTGCCTGACGTTCTGGTATACCATGTACGGCCGTCACGTGGATCGGCTGAACCTCTACCTGCGGGCTAACAACCTCGACACGCTGATCTTCACCAAGTACGGGACCCAGGGGAACCAGTGGATCAAGGGACAGAAGAGTGTCACGTCCGATGAAGCCTGGTCGGTAAGAAATATGATCTTGAAGCAAATTGTCTTGGACTTTGTCGATGGTGGTGGAATTGTGCTGATTGTAGTGGGAACGAATGAATGCTACACCCAAGACCTGTGCAGGTTTTCATTGTGAGCAGGTTTTTATTTCGAAATAAAGGTCTCTTGAACTGGATCACAACAAATTCATCAGATAATGTTGATCAGATGTTGCTAGATATTGGTGGATTAAGTATCGTTAGTTTTAAAGAGATGGAAGCCATTGATGGTATTGATTTTTACGGGGGAAAAAGGTTGGTGCTGAGGTTCTTTTTCCTCGCCTTTCACCGCTGTGACCCGGGTTCAATTCCTGTTCAGGTTCACCTGTGGATTGGGTTTTCAGGCCCTACCTGATTCAATGGTTTTTCCCCGCGAATATCATTCTGGGCTTTTCCTCGCACCTCTAAAACTGTAATTTCTTCATTAATTGTCTTCTCTCTACGGGTTTCTTCAGGCTTGTGAGCTACAGTGTCTAGGGCGCTTTTAAGGAATCCTTGGTTTCATTACCAGAAATAAATAATGATGATTAAAAAATAGACAGATAAAAAATATAAATAGATCTTTATTCTATCGTTAGGTTGTCTTTGAAGGAGTTCGTGGTCCAGCGAATCAAGCAGACATTGCCATAGACGACATCTTCTTGGAAGCTGGAGCCTGCCCAGAGTCAAGTAAGCAATGAAATGGAAATCTTTCTTCATTAATTTAGAAAAAAAATGTAAGCTTCATGATTATGAGAACTAATTTGTATATTTTTAAAAGTGATATCATATTTTTAAAAGTGATATCAAACTTTACTTAAAGCAATCTTCTTTCGATGTAAATATTGTCACAAAGATAGTTTAATGTTTCTCTGTTCATTTGCCCAGCTGTCTGTGATTTTGAGTTTGATTTCTGCGGCTGGACACAAGATCAAACGGACAACTTTGATTGGACGCGTAGCTTTGGCGGCACTCCTAGTAGCGGCACTGGACCGTCCACCGATCACACCACAGGCACGACGCAAGGTAAGCCAAAAAATGCTGTTGACAGATGTTGTGATCAAGTCACAGACCAGTCACTAGTTAGTCACAAGTTAGTCACAAGTCAATCACTAGTCAATCACTAGTCAATCACAATTCAGTCACAAACCAGTCACAAGGCAGTTACAAGTCACTCGCATGCCAGTCTCAAGTCAATCACAAGCCAATCATAGGTCAATCACAACTCAACCACAAGTCAACAACAGAGTCAATCACAAGTCATTCATAAGCTTCATTATTAATAGGCCGATCACAAGGTCATCACAAGTCAATCACAATTCAGTCACAAACCAGTCACAAGGCAGTTGCAAGTCACTCGCATGATAGTCTCAAGTCAATCACAAGCCCTTCACAAGCCAATCATAGGTCAATCACAACTCAACCACAAGTCAACAACACGTCAATCACAAGTCATTCATAGGCTTCATTATTCATAGGCCAATGACAAGGTCATCACAGGTCAATCACGATTCAGTCACAAGTCAGTCACAAGTCAATCACAATTCAAATCACAACTTTGTTCACAAGTATTAGGACTTACTTGTGATGACTTGTGATGACTTATGCGGACTTGATTTCAACTCTGCAAATAATACAATTTTCAAAGTAGCAAACTTCTATTGAATTTTTACAATTTTTTTCCCAGGCTATTTTGCGTACATTGAGACCTCCAGCCCCATCGTGACCGGCCAGATCGCTCGCTTGCTCAGCCCCGTCTTTGACGACACTAACGGAGAATGTCTTCACATGTGGTATCACATGTTTGGTGACGGCATCGGCGATCTCAAGATCTACGGTTACGACACGGTCACCCTGGTGGAAACAGGTCCTCTCTTCCAGATATCGGGTAAGAAATGTCGGCTTAGAAAAGATCTTACATCGTCACACTTAATGTCCTCCAGTATATTTTACTATCCTTTGAAATCGCGAACAGCTGTGCTAAATTTTTTTATAAACACTGTGCTCAAATGGTTCTGAAATTAAAGTATTAGGCCAATAGGCCCTATGAGATGAAATTTTGTAATGGGGTTTGTCCGTCACCGATTTTTATAAACACTGTATATTCAGTGTTGTCCGAGGACTTGGGAGAAAAAGTTCACAAGCTTACTCAGGTGGGACTAGAACCCACGACCTCCTGCTTACTAGTGCAGACGTCTTACCACTCAACCACTGAGCTTGCCGCGGTCAGCTTGCTGGCCACATAACGACGGCTTGACAGTGCGCTTCTCAATTTAATATCAATTCTCACGTCTTTTCGTAGGTGGACAGTACAATGAATGGCGTTTCACCGAAATCACGTTCCAGGCGGCTCACCGATACCAGATAATCATCGAAGGAACTAAAGGAAGCAACTACAACGGAGACGTCGCTGTCGACGATCTGATGCTGGCGACTGGAGCTTGTAATAGGCCAGGTATGGACTCTCCATGCGCAAACTAGAGAGGGCGCTCTGAGACCGTGCAAGCACAGCCCTATCTACGGCTGCTGGGCCCAATTTTATGGCTCTGCTTAATACCGTTAGTGAAAATTTGCTGCTTCAGTTGCTACAGCGGAAAATTCCTTGCTTGCAGTAAGTGTGTTTCACGGGTTAGCGAGGAATTTTGAATTATGCGCATACGTGCATCCCGTAACTAAGGATTTAACGCTTACTGGGTTAGCGCAGAACTTGCGCTGTTAGCACAGAATGGTGATTGTAAGCGCGGAATTTTGTGGCTAGCAGATAAATTGGGCCCAAGTTGGATCAGATTTTGCACTAAAATTCAGCCGAGCAAAAGTTGTCAATGTTTTTCCCCAGGTTTCTGCGACTTTGAACAGGACACGTGCGGCTGGACCCAAGACACCACCAACGATGACTGGGATTGGCTGAGGCGAAGGGGTGCCACTCCTAGTGCAAACACGGGACCCAGTGTGGATCACACCACAAACTCTGATAATGGTAATAGCGAGCTAGATCTTAACCTTTAGCTTTTAGGCAGTATGCAAAATGGGCTTTTAGGGCTACGGCTATGTCTGTTGTCACATTGCTCCCACACAGTTGTAAATGAAGACCTAGCCACAAGTTCTTGACAAGAGATAAGGATATGGCTTTCCAATGACATAGAATGAACTCAAACTTAGACATTTATCAAATATTTACCATATTTGTGCGACCAATTTTATGTGCATTCTAAGTGTGTTGGACAGTTGGCTTCTAAATGTGTTCAGTAGATTGTTCTAAACCTGTCAATATTTAATCTATTTGGAAGTTGAAACTGATGAATCTTTTTTTCTCTCCTCAGGATTCTACATGTATTTTGAGGCATCAATATCACCTCTGGTCCAGGGGGATAACGCTATCCTGATCAGTCAACACTTGCCGGCCAGTAACAAGTCTTGTCTCTCCTTCTGGTATCACATGTATGGCAGCAGTAAGTCATCATTTCAGAGAGATTTGGGCTTGGGCTGGGGTTATGGAGGAAACTGGGAGGTTTGGTGGTAGAGTTTTGGACGAGTCTATCACAAGTGATCACAAGTCCATCACAGATGGTCACAAGTCGACCACAGCTCAACCACAAGTTGACTAGAAGTCAACCACGAGTCAATCACAAGTCAGTCATAAGTTAAACACAAGTCAATCACTAGTCAAATCACAAGTCAATCACAAGTCAATCACAAGTCAATCACAAGTCAATCACAATTCAATCACAAGTCAATCACAAGTCAATCACAAGTCAATCACAAGTCAATCACAAGTCAATCACAAGTCAATCACAAGTCAATCTCAAGTCAATCACAAGTCAATTATAAATCAACCACAAGTTGACCATACTTTGATCAGAAGTCAATCATAGGTCCATCAGAAGTCAATTACAACTTAATTACAAGTCAGTTACAAATCAATCACAAATTAATCAAAAACCAATCACAAGTCATTTACAAGTCAAACACCAGCTAAACCGTAAATCACCCAAAAGTCAGGTAATCGAAACGATGCCGATCACAAGTCAAATCACAAGTCAAGTCTCAAGTAACAGTGGATGAACAAAGACAAAGAAACGTCTTCGGCACAGTTCAGTTAAATAGCTTTTCACTTGAACTTGAAGTGAGCGATACGTTTGGACCATATTTATATCCTTTAAGCTTAAAATCGAAAATTTAACTAGTGAAATTTGTGTTTACTTGCAGGCATGGGAGATCTCAATGTGTACACCAAGGACGACAACTTGGTGCAGACACAGATATGGTCCAAGTCAGGGGACCAGGGAAACGTCTGGTTATTTGGCCAGGCTAGACTGTCGAGTACCGTGGAATATCAGGTTGGTCAACTTGGCTTATTGTCGCGACGCAAAATCTTACAATAATAGAAGTTCAACATATTATTTGTCACAAATTTTATTTTTCCCTCATAAGGGCGTGAAATGGGCTGTAATTGTGAATTGCCTGCTTGAATGTAAGGAAGATATTGTATTTAATCGAAGGCGAAGGGAAATAATTTCATTTTTAAGATTTTCTGGGAGAAGTTATCCCCAATAAAATGGAAATAATTCTTTCCTTGAAGATCTTTTAAGACAAGTTTGGTTAAATAAAAATATCGCTTTTTAAAGGAAATCTTTCTATTTCAAAATTGACATTTGTTTGTGAAACTGAAATGTAAAAGCTTTGTGAATCGGAATAATTTTTTTTATTGTTATATATTATTATTTATTGAACTATATTCTTAGGTGCTTTTTGAGGCTGTTTACGACTCTGGCTTCAACGGAGATATTGCCCTGGATGACGTTGATATCGAAGCCACAGATTGCCTTGGAATTGTCACACCGGCACCGCCGACAACAGCGATACCAACGCATGGTATGTCTGTCTGTTTGTTTGGCTGTCATAGTGTATGTCCGTATTTGTGTTGGTTGGACAGCGTATGCGATTTAGTTTTGTTACACTTTTACTGTTTGAGTCATTCCATAAATTTGGGGTCAACTTTTTCCTGTCCCTGTTACATCTGACGCCTATGATTTTATAATTCTGATGCATTTCTTAAAGCAGTCGTCCTCCAAGAGTGACTCCAAGGGGAGTCAGGTTGGCGTAGCGGTACTTTCCTCGCCTTCCACCGCTGTGACCCGGGTTCGAATCCCGCCCGGGCTAATATGTGGATTGGGTTTTCAGTCCCTACCTGATTCCGTGGGTTTTTCCCACAATATTCTTCTGGGCTTTTCCTCCCACCTCTAAAAAATGTAATTTCTTCTCATTGTCTCCTCTCTACAGGTTTTGTCAGGCTTGCGGGCTACAGTGCCTAGGGCACTTTTGAGGAATCCTTGGTTTAATTACCAGAAAGAAATAGAATTAAAAAATAAAATAAAATTATGAATAGCAAACTACCTACTCAACAAATAAAAAATCATTTGAAGCCATTCTTAATGACACTTGAATAGTGAATTACAAAGTACCAAGGTAACAGGGACAGGAAAAATGTCACATTTTGGATCCTGAATTTACGGAATGTTGCATATTCAAATTACATTGACCCTGTGTCAAAGGTCATGAAGACAAAAACTCACTCCCTGTTCTCTGACTCTATATCTAAGTGAGATATCTGGACAGTTTTCAGGCCACATACACGATAATATACAGATTTGTGATCGACATAAATAATTCAGAGCTTTCTTGTGAATAAATTTTGTATGTTTGCATAAATTAAAAAGAGTTTGGTTTCGTTAACAATTTTTTTTTTCTGTTTTCTGTAGCCCCCAGTGCCTTTGACTGTGACTTTGAAATCAACCTCTGCAGTTGGACCCAAGAGACAAACGATGATTTTGATTGGACGAGACTCCAAGGCAGTACGGCGTCCGTTAACACTGGGCCACAATTTGACCACACTACTCAGAGTATCTACGGTATGCCATTAACAAATTTAAATAAAGTCCGTAGTTAAGTTGTAAGCCGACCCTTACAAGCTCGGTGTTGGTGTGGTAAGACGTCTGCAGTAGTAAGCAGCAGGTCGTGGGTTCGAGTCCCACCCAGGTAAACTCGTGAATTTTTCTCAAAGGCTTAGTCTATATTGGCAAAATCATACATTGTTAAAAGAATAATGCCTACAATTAAAATAAAAAAGATAAGTTCATGAAACTTAAAAGTGTCAGTTGTACCTGACAGCGATTTTGAAAGTTCCATTGGAAGGATTATGTTTCTTACAAAATATTTTTGTATTTTACAAATCCCCAAACTAAAATGAGATAAACCTCCTTTTTGACCACACATACAGGATGGTACATCTACATTGAAGCCTCCCCCCAAATCAACGGCGACCGGGCCCAGCTACTCTCTGCCCCCATGGTATCGGGCAGCGTCGGTAAATGCATTAGCTTCTGGTATCACATGTACGGACCCAGCATCAACTCGCTGAACGTCTACCGACGAGAGAACGGACAGGACGTTCTGGAATGGACGCGGATTGGCGACCAGGGTCCAGTGTGGAACCAGGGACAAGTATTCTTGGATGGGTCGTTCAGTGTAAGTAACAATTTTTACCACTACTTTTTAATAATTAATTTTGTTCAAGCTCCAATGTTCTTGGCAAGCTTCTTGCGATGGAACACAAGTCCTGTCACAAGTAAATCACTACTCACTTCAGGAGTCCAGTAATAAGTAATAGAGGATGAACGGTAACAAACTTACACCTTGGTCAGGTTATTTATAATAATAATAATAATATTTTGGGGGATGATCGTCCTTACTCACAGCTGAGAAGCTGAATTGCGAAGGACGCGGCATGTAAAGGTGCCTTAGGCGGCCGCCATACGACCCATGTCTGACCGTGGAGCACAGCCAGAGATCGAAAGTGTTCCTTTTTTAGAGGGAGGAAAACAGGAGAGCCCGGAGAAAAACCCTCGTGGCACAGGAGAGAACCAACGCACAACTCTACTCACATATGGCCAAAGCCGGGATTCGAACCAGGGCCTCAGTACGGTGGTGAGAGCCTGAGAGATGAGCGCTTTACGTACTAGCCACCCATGCCACCCAAGAATTTGAAAGCAAGAATTTAAAACGGTTGTGAGTTGTTGGAATATCTGTGATGTACCTTGTGATTGACTTGCAGGGACTAGTGATGGACCTGACTACATCCCTGTTATGACAAGCAGCAACACATTCACTGCAGCTGGTAAAACTTCTTATGAATGGTTTTTGATCGGTTGTATTTTTCAGGTTGTATTCGAGGGTGTCGTGGGCCAGTCGTATGAAGGAGATACCTCATTGGATGACATCGTGGTGTACAACGGACAGTGCCCAAGTCTTGGTAAGTCATTTAAAAAAGAAATGATTACATAAAAACTGGGCTGCTATTTTTGTTCTAATAATGCCTCCAACTTTGAAAAAGCAAGAATTTCGTGAATTTTCCTTAGTCATCACCAAATCTGTCAAAAATTATTTTCTACTTCTTTTAAGTATTCTGATGGAGTCTTGGACGAGCAGCCCAACTAGGATTAGTTTGATGTCACAAATTATGAACAATGAAAAAACCTCATTGAAAATTCAGACAATATTGGTCTCAGACTTGTGAAAGATTTTTCAGATTTGAGAAAATAAGTGATTAACTTTTCCCGATTGTAACCCTTTTTTGAAAGAAAAATGCACTACTTTGAAAGTACCTTTGCCATTTAGTATGTCTGTCATCCCTTGCATCTCACCATGTGTGTTAATGCCTATGTGACGCTGTGTCTCCCTCCACATGTCCAGTCTTCTGTGACTTTGAGCACGGCATGTGTGGCTATGCCCAGGACACCACGGATGACTTTGATTGGCTGCTTGCATCCGGCGCCACGGCGACAACGGGAACCAGTCCGCCTAATGACCACACCTACCAGTCACCACAAGGTGGGCCAGATAAACCATTAAGATTTTCAGAAGTCATTTTGAATATTTGATAGCCCAAACAAAAAAAGACAGCAGATTACCATTTTTTACCACAATTGAGCAATCATGGAGTAAAGTAAGGCTTCGTGTTTTTTTTTTTACGAAAAATTGTTTTAGACAGGAGAACAGCCACTAATGAAATGGGATGAAACAATTAATTTATAGGTGTTTCATAGAATTACAAAATGAGATACTAAGAAACAAAAAACAACTGTCCGTTCAAATTTTGAGTTTTTTCATTCTGCTGCAAAGTTGCAATTTGCGACTGGAGGTTCATTTCCAATAACAAGTCACACTCCTACAAAAGCAATCCGAGTTGCCCGCTTTTTATGATTACTTGGCTGGCTTTCCACCATAACTGAGACGCTCAAAAGCTTGCTGTGGTATTTCGCAAAATGCAGTCCCCTTTGGTGACATGTTCAGAGCTATACAAACGTGTGATGGGCGTTCAGGCATTGAAGCATGCCAGTATTGGCTACCAGAACCGTCATTTTAATTTCAAAATCAAATTGGTGTATTCTTGCTCAACTCAGGACACTATATCTACATCGAAGCCTCCGCCCCGCGCCAGTTGGGCGACATTGCCCGCGTCACCTCTCAGGAGTACCCTGCTACCATGGGAACGTGCATGAAGTTCTGGTACTACATGATAGGCAGCGATCTGGGCCAACTCAATGTGTACATTGAGGTTAATGGGAACCGGGGATCCAGCGTGTGGTCGCGGAGTACCAGCGGCTATAACCTGTGGAGGATTGCGGAGGTGACCGTGCAGACGAGCTACCCATTCCGAGTAAGATTTTGGTCTTTATTCTGTAAAGTCGTCAAAATGATGCTATATCTTTTTGTTTTGTTACTTTTTTGTTATGTGTTGTTCCAAACAGTGGCCACTGTCACAATACGGAAACAAGTAGACTTTTGACATGAGTGGTGTTTTGTATCATCTATATCAAAATAAATTTGAAAGAAAAATAGAATTAGCTGTTGCAAACTGCTTACCAACCAAAAGGACCTTTGGTATAAATGCAAAAAAATAGTTAGTGGCCTGACATTTCGACCCTAGCAGAGTCGTTCTCGAAGGCTTCGAGAAAGACTCTGCTAGGGTCGAAACGTCAGGCCACTAACTATTTTTTTGCATTTTTTTTAAATTTGAAAGTCAGACAATATCCAGATTTTATTTGTCATTCAGTATCGGATGATTGCATGCCGAGAAATGTTGAGGTTTTGATATTGAATACGGAAATTTTATTTTTTTTGTACAAATTTTCTTTTTATCTGTTTTTTTATGTTGTCTAATATGGTAGACATATTGTCTTTAGGAATTTGCATTTTAAAGTTTTGACCATCAATAAAAATGAAAAATTAAGTTAAAATGACTTGAAATTAAATGTATTCATGTTTGTTTTGGCACAAATCAGCAAAATTGCTTGTTTTGTCTTTAGATTGTCTTTGAAGGCATCGTCGGCAACGGTATCCAAGGTGACATCGCCCTCGACGACATCGACCTCTCCACCCAAGCCTGCTCCCTGCCAGCCACCTGCAACTTTGAGAGCGATTTCTGCACCTTCGCCAACATCCAGCAGGACACGTTTGACTGGACGCGCAACAACGGCCTCACCGCGAGTAGCCAGACCGGCCCGCCCACCGACCACACCCTCGGTAACGTCTACGGTTACTACGTCTTCATCGAGACCTCCGCGCCTCGTGTCCGCGACGACTTTGCGTACCTCTTCTCCGAGACGCTCCCGGCCAACACCGACATGTGTCTGACCTTCTGGTACCACATGTACGGTGCGGACATTGGGACGTTGCGCGTGTGGCTGGAGACCACGGTCTTAAACCCCGCCTACTGGACACAGGTTTGGAGTAAGACCAGTGACCAGGGCAACTACTGGCAGAATGCCATCGTGGACGTCAAGAGCGAAAACTCCGTCTTTGAGGTGAGACAAACAAGAAACGCTTCGGCATATTTCAAAACTCGGTATTGGTTCCATCTTCATGGGTTAATTTCATACGCTGCTAAGCACAAAACAAATTTGCTGAGCAAAAACCGGTTACCAGCTAAAATTTGCATTAGATGTTGCATGTTACTGGTATCTGGCTGACTTCTGTTTAGCGCATAAATTTGACGAGCAAAGTTTCTGCTTAACTGCTATGGGAAACTTGATCGTAACGGTCACATGTAACAAAATTTGACGTCCTGTCTGTAATTTGTTTCCTTTTGTATCCACCAATCAGATCATCTTTGAGGGCGTGGTCGGTCCCAGCTTTGCCGGTGACATCGCCCTGGATGACATCCAGACTTTTTACGGCACGTGCGCCCCGCCCACCCCGGCCCCGCCCTGCCAGTTCACCTGCAATAACACCAACTGCTTGACTGACCGCACCAAAGTCTGCGACTTTGTGGACGATTGCGGAGACGGGTCGGATGAGGAAAATTGTGGTATGCTTTTTCATATCTTATTTTCATTGTATTTGCCTGAAATACAAAAGTAAAGTCTGTCCCAAGCCTATATGGCCCATCAGGCCGGCGTTTATCTCCGGTTTCAGTGGCATGAAACGACTGAGAATATTTCTATTCCCCTTGGACAGGATGCCAGTCCATCGCAGGTTACTCCCCAGCTAATGCTGGTACTCATTTATACTCCTGGGTGGAGAGAGGCAAGTGGGGATAAAGTGCCTTGCCCAAGGACACAACGTATGGCCAGCAGCTGGATTCGAACCCCTGACCATCTGATCATGAGTCACGAACCCAAACCTGAAATACAACCAATGCAAATTGCTTTACATCAAAGTAGGAACGTAACTTTGATGCCAAGTTGTAAACTACAAGAAGGAGTAGAGTTGCTATTTTTTTTGTCTGATTATTACAGCTAGAGTTTTAATCTTATCAAAATTTATGACGCAATTTTCTGTGTTTGATTCCTGGCCAGTTAATTCTGGCAAGCTTGACGGTCAAGTGGTTAAGATTTCTGCACAGGAGCTGGTGGGTTCGAGTCCCACCCAAGCACGGAAATAGAAAAAGCTCATTCAAGTACTGTCCGTAAAAGGCAAAACCAAATTCTTGAATTTATTACCATATCTTGCATTGACCTCGCATTTTTTTAAATCAAATTCTCCGTTCAAAATTTCACAGGTGGAACCTGTAACTTTGAAGGAGGCATGTGCGGATGGACTGATACAAGTCTAGGTTCCTACAAATGGCAGCTGGGCTCTGGAGCCACGCCCACCTCCAACACCGGACCCACCAAGGACCACACCTTCAACAACGCAGCAGGTGATGACCAATGAAATGTCTTCTATTTATAAATTACTATTTTCTTTCAAGAGGAACATCAGTCTCAAAAGAAAACATCAGTCATTCTCAGTCTCAGCAAAATCACCCATCAACCACATTTCTTTTCTAAAAAGAGGATGCTGTACTTAGCAAGTAAAAAAATGACAAATTTATAAAATTTTAGAAAGTCTTTTAAATTGTGAAATCTGTATTATTTTGCTTTCGTGGTTATTCTCTGAAATGGTTTGCGATAGCTCTATCTTTCAAGATTTCCCATCTGCTATATTATTCCTGAGCATTAAAGGGAACATGCAATAAAATTTTGATTGCATTTTTTTTGCTTAAATCAATAAAGGATGATGTTCTTAACAATATTTTGTGTATGGCGGTGTTTATTTTCTAAGATAAATGGGGGAAAATAATTTGTGAACATGTTTGGTCAAACTACTCCGCCCCACAAAGGGAAGCTTCATTAACATAAAACTTCGCGAGGGGTATGACGCAAGCGAAGGCAGAGACTTGCCGCGCTGCGGGGGCACCGGCATTGCGGCGTGCATCATAATACATGTACATATACATTGCGGCACTGAAAGTTTTTCTGGTGTTTCGTTCTGAATCGAGGAGAAATAACACCCGATTTTCGGCCATGCCGACAAGGTGTGTGGCTGCTGGGTGTAGCAAAACTACCAAGGATGGAGTAAGCCTTCATTTGTTTCCAGTAAATCCGAAATTTGGGAGCATTTGGAGAGCCAAAGTGAAGGTAAATACCAGAGCAAAGTGGTCCGGGCCCAGTGAGTTCGCGGCCCTCTGCGCTGCACTTTGAGCCGTCGTGCTTTGATGCTGGTCTGTACAGCAACTTGGGCATGCCCCTAAAAAAACATCGAGTCAGTGTTTGAATCATTAGAACTCTGATTGGAATCGGACGAATCTGTACCATTTTCATCGGATTCGCTAAGGAAAGAAGAGGACGGTCTTCGGAACTTTTACGGTCATGACGGTCGTCGTTGTGTTCTTTCGACAACGGTGGCACCGTGGCACGTCCACGTGTACTGTACATATCCCATGTACATGTAGACACATTCGTACGTGTGCATATAATGCCACGTACGGGTACGCGGCGGCTGCACATACACACAGCACAGTAGCTTCGCTAATCCGTCTCGTACCCAGACGTCATTTACGGGCCCTGGATTTCTCTGCCTTTGTTTATGTCATGAACAGCGCCCTCATTTGGAGTTGCCGCGAAAATCAAAAAGGGGGGGTTCAATTTTGGACAGCAAATTACCACACTAAACGTACACCAGAACCATTTCTGCTTTTAATTCACATTTAATACACATAAATGAATGTATATATAAAATAAAATACGTTATGAAAATTTTGGACTGCATGTTTCCTTTAATTAAGGTTTTTCATTTTCTTAGCCTAGAATTTATGTGATTTTAAATATTTGTTTATAACTCTTTTATATAAATAGTTTTTATATTTCAGTGAATGGAGTGTATATCTTTACATCTTTTAAAACTGTAATTCCATTTTTGCTATCTGTTCAAGTGTAATTTCCTCGGACGAAATAACTTTCATACTTCATTTGATATGCGTCTCCCAATAGAAGAGGAAAATGATTCTTAAATCTCTTAGAAAATCTCAAATGTTTTTTTAACCGTTTGTTCTTGTTTTAGGTACATATTTGTACGTGAATGCAAACTCGGGTTCAGGATTCAGCCAAGCCACGCTAGAGACCCATGAACTTCACCAGGCCGCGTCGACCTGTCTGTTTAGCTTCTGGTATCACATGTATGGACAGGGTGAGCTTAAACTATTGGTTCTTGTACTGTCCCAGACCCCCCCTGCCCATTTCTTTTTGTACCACCCCAATCTGCCTCAGCACTCTATGAGAAAATACAGTGTAGTACAATGTAACACAAAGGATAATGGGTTTACCAGTGTTTCTTTTCAAAAATGTTTCGGAATGTTAACATCTCGACCTTGATAAGAGGGCATGTTTGCGAGCTGTTGGAACAAATTTTTCTGCGTGGCTTATACGTGTAAAGGTACCACTAAGGAGACACGTTATCGTAATTTCTTCGCACGATGGGAGACATCGGTCATTAAGGAGACATTTTCATGTCTCCCTAATGTCACAGCCCCCCTTTAGAGGCACAATTTTACTGTCGCAATTAGATTATATTTGTTGCTCGTGGTCTAATTAGTAAACATACCGAAATTCGTGGGAAAAGGACAAGGGAATATTGGATTAGGACACATTTAAGTTTGAAAAATTGTGTGCACAAGTCTATGGGGATGTCTCCCAAATGTCCAATCCAGGGTAATTATTTTTATTACAATCATTTTCGTATTTAAACTTCAGTTTTGTCAGTTTTGTCACACCATGTTTTAAATTTGATATGATTTGTCTAGTAACGTTTTACCAAGTGAATTTACTGTACGAAAAAAGTTTTGAAAATATCTATGCTATATGTCCTGTTGGCAACAATGTATGACAATAAAATCAATGAATCCATACAATTTTTCAAGTTTAACAAAGAATTATAAGTTGCCCAAAGTCTTGGAATGATACTAGGAGACAGCTTTCCCTTTTTTGAAAATGGATATTTTTTGTCACAGATATTGGAAGTTTGGCAGTGTACTTGGTGGAGGGTTCTTCGCGTACCTTGTTGATCTACTTATTTGAGGACATGGGAGACGTCTGGACTAACATCCAACTGGGCGTCGGTAGAGTCAATCTACCGTTTAAGGTAGTTTTGAATGATTTCTTGCTCTCTTGTAAATTTCATGCAAAAATGTAAATTTCATGCAAAAATGAATGACAATTGCATCGCTATAAACCAGAATGAAGGAAATAGCTCATGAAAAAAAAAAAAAGTTTTTTTTTTCTTGTACATTTTAAAGAGGAAAATACCCATGAGCTGCTGACAATCTTTTAATTGGCGGAGTTTGACTGAATGTTCATTGTCTTTCATTCATTGCAGATTGTGTTTGAGGCCACCAGGTCCTTCAGTGTGCTCGGGGACATTGCACTGGACGACGTCAGCTTTTTAGGCTGTGGGCTTCCTCGTAAGTAAAGGCTACAAAAGTTTTCAAACAAAATAAATAAATTAAAAAAAACAAAAACAAAGTAAAATATGAATTCAGTTTCACTTTAAAGCACAAACATGCTTTCAATTTTTTGTGTTGTCAAAATTTTTGTAAAGACGACAGTTTTGGTGATATTAAAATTTATCACAAGAATTGTTTGATTTTGGCCCTGAAAATCCAAATTGTTCTTCTTTTTTTCCCACAGCTCCGACCTCTGACCCTTGCCCCTCAGGTCAAAGTAAATGTAACCGTGGCAACTGTGTTGAGGATGGTCGGTTCTGCGATCTGACTGATGACTGCGGGGACTTCACCGATGAGAACACATGTGGTAAGACTTTACAATTTGCCTTGACGAGGAAAATGTTTTACCGGCTCTCATTGTCTGAAATTGAGAGTCAATTTTTTTTTACATTCATTTTGTTTGTTTTGTTGTCTAGGCAACTACCACTTGTGCGACTTTGAGAGCGGCATCTGTGATTGGCGGCAGCTGTCCAATGATGAGCTAGACTGGCGAACGTACTCGGGAATAACGCCCACTGATTGGACGGGACCCACCAGGGACCACACCAGCGGGCTGTCATCAGGTAGGGACGTCACCCAGAAATGCCTCATCAATGAAAAAAATAATGACTAACAACATTGATATTTATTGTGATTGCCAAACTTGAACCAAGACTATCCCCTCAGTTTCTCAGCCTTAAACCTTGTTAACTAATTGTTATCCCAAGGTACGTACCTCTACTTGGAGACATCGGCCCCACGTCAGATGGGAGACCGTGCTCGTCTAGGCAGCTACAACATCGCAGCCACAACCACAGGCACTTGCAAGGTAACGGTGCATCCCTTTATGTAGGCGTGTCACAAGAGGGGGGTTATAAAGGGGGGGGGGTAGTTCCACTTTTCCCCCACAATGCGCCTTTTTTGTTTGCAAAATTGTGTTATGTTGGCAAAACCGTGTATGTCGGCATGATGTGCCACAACGAATACACAAACTGTTCTCTAATAATTACTAGTTTCACCTGCTGAAATTAGCGCCCTGATTTGTCGAATGGTGTCCAACTTTTTCGGTTTTGCGGCAACCGGCTGACGGGGGAAAATTCTTGGCTACCGTCCAGTCTGGAGTGAATTGTCACCAAATCAGTAATGTCTTTTTATTGTTATTGGATTAATCTCTAGACGAAAGAAAACAGCTATTACCTCATAATATGCTTCAATATTACTTCTTCCCTTTTAGCTTCGGTTTTATTACCACATGTTCGGCCGGACAACTGGTTCCCTGACAGTGTACATACGCGATACGGTCAACGGTCCCCTGGTCAATCTGTGGAGTAGGAATGGAGAAATTGGTGACTTCTACGAGAGAGCCGAGATTACGCTCGGATGGAGCAATCCATTCCAGGTAATTGTGCTTCAAACAAAGTTACCTTTTAAAATTAGAATTTCCATTTTTTGATGTTATGTCTTGTATACATCAGGCTACATGCTTTCTTGGGACACCACAAATCTGCAATCTGCGAAGTGTATTTTTCTGTTCCGTTTTGAACCTCCTCAGGTCATCATCGAAGCCACTGTTGGTAACGGTATCTATGGCGACATCGCCATCGATGACACCTCCTTCACCCCCGGCTGTGCTGCCTACAATGGCGATCTGCCTGTCGTGGGTACGTCACCATGGCAACCAGTCCCGACGACGCCACCACCATGCCAACCCGACGAGTTTGTGTGTGGCTCGGGGACGTGCATCAGTCTGGGCGTACTCTGTGACGGAACGAACGATTGCACTGATGGCTCGGATGAGACCAACTGTGGTACGAGTATAAAACCTGCCATTTTTTTTCCAGAGGGTGAAAATGGACACACTCATTTTACAAAATTAACCAGTACATGCTTTTTTTTTTTAATAGATGTCATATAAAAATTGTCAAATTTATTTGAAGTTTTTACATTAAAAACTTCGACTAAGCGCATCCGATTCTTTGTGGACAAATGGTCGTAAAATGTCTGGTGTCCAGAACTAATTTCACCCTTTTTTCAAAGGCTCATTTTTGGTATTGTTAGAAGAATGTGTGGTCACTTTGAGTACTTTACATACATTTCAAGCCGATTTTGTAGGAAAGTTTTCTTGAGTGCCAGGTTGTCAAGTTTGAGCAGAATTTCAGATTTAATTCCATGAAGTCAACTTTCCTTGAGACAAGTGGAGGTAAAATGGCTTGCCCAAGGACACAACATATTGCCAGGATTTGAACCCCTGACCCTCTGATTATGAGTCGCAAACCTCAACCACTAGGCCACACACCATTCATAAATATTGAAAAGACCTGTGGAAAAAATTAGCAAAAATTTTTTTTCTTTAAATTTTTCTGTTATTTGACAGGAAATTGTAACTTTGAAACTGACCAGTGCGCCTGGGTTGCCATTGACAACGGTCGGTATCGCTGGGCCAGACTGCAAGCAGGCAGCTCCTCGTCTTCAACAGCGCCCTCTTCTGACCATACGTCAGGGACGGGGTATTTCATGTTTGTTGATAGCACAGACGGAACGTTTCAGACGTCGGCCATATTTCAGAGCCCGACCCTGGGATCTGTAGGGGCAAGGTACGAGAACAAAAATTTGTTTTAAAATGTTTCCAGAAATCTGAAGTTTCCAACCTTTTTTGATAAAAATCCTTTGCATCCCTTGAAGAAGTAAAAATTCACAAATGTAAATTACCTTTGTTGAAGAACTCTTTGCGTGCTTCGTTAATTTTCTCTTTAAAAAACAACAAAATGCTTTTCAGCGATTGGCATGTGCCAGCCAAATTTGGTGCAAACGTGAAAATGAAAATAAAAATGTTGGCTTAACTGTAAGAGTTCTTGTTGGGCATTTATAAAAAGTATACAAATTCCAATTTTAATGAATTTTGCTGCGGATGCTTCCTAACATCCAATTTGCTTTAAATATGCTTCAAGTATAAACTGGCTCTGAGTTGTTTGGAAAAGTCAAATAATTGTTCGCCTTTTGGTATTAACATATTTTAAGTTTTTGAAAAGGCTTGACATTGTGGTATTTTCTTGTTCCTGAACTTTTTCAGATGTGAGATGAATTTCTGGTACCATCTCCGCGGCAGCAACGCCGGTACCCTTCTAGCCATTGTGTATCAAGGCGTGGTGCCGGACACCAGTGTGGTGTATAGTGGCGACACCAACAACCAATGGCAACAGGGGACACTGAGTGTGGGACCCAGACTCGCGGGCCAGTACTCGGTATGTGGGTCCAGGAACCAGTCTTCAAACTATAATTAAAAAAAAAAAAATGTGTTTGGTAACATTGAAGACAGTATCAGTTGGGATTGGATTGAGTTGTTGGCAATGTGCCAATATTGTATAATCTTTGTTCGTTGCTTAAACAGATTCTTCGGGCCGTCTGTTGGATTCTGATAAACTTTCTACAGTCATATTAGAAATTTAAAAGAAAATTTGTTAGAAGAAGGAAAAATGCATAAAAAAATGTATATGGTAATTTTTTTTTTGGTTATATATTGTACAAATAAATTTTGCCAATTTTGTTACTTTTAAAAGAATTCATTGTCATCAAGTTAAACAGAATCCATCACCTCCCGTATTGATATAATCACACTTGAAAAATTCAAGATATAAAAGAAAAAACTTCTAAAATATCTGCAAACATTCGGCTTGCATTTTGGCTAAATATGCAAATTCTGTTTTGAGACGTATTGAAAACTTAGGCAATGTGGCACTGCATGGCTCTAAGGGAATATAGAAAAATTAAACAAGTGATGACACGAATTTGAACCTTGAAATACCCCGTAAACCACATAAAACCTTGTGTAACTTTGAGGTAAACCTTAAGTGACTGCCTGTTTAATTTCACTCTCTCCCATGTTTTACAATGACTAGAGGTGGACATTCCAGACAAATCCAGTGTGATACTGAACAAATGAATTGTGTTTTATGTAGGTACGGTTTGAAGCTCTTCCAGGGAACGACTTTTCCGATCCGTCTCTGCTGACAGACATAGCCTTAGACGATATCACCTTCGACAGCTGTGACTCGGACTCAGGTAAGCCTAAAGAAGTCACTTCAAACTCCAAACTATACCAACCAATGATGATGATGTCGTATGCTATGGCGATCTCGTTGTATTGTCCGTAAGCCAGTGTCTCGTTGGGTCCTTGGCCAAGTGAAGGGCTGCGATGCCACCAGTATTGAGAGGGATTGGAGAGGGATTGGAGAGGCATTGGAGAGGGATTGGAGAGGGAATGGAGAGGGAATGGAGAGGGATTGGAGAGGGATTGGAGAGGGATTGGAAAAGGATTGGAGAGGAATTGGAGAAAGATTAAAGAGGGATTGGAGAGGGATTGCAGGATTGGAGAGGAATTGGAGAGGGATTAAAGAGGGATTGGAGAGGGATTGGAGAGGGATTGGAGAGGGATAGGAGAGGGGTTGGATCCGGATTGGAGATGGATTGAAGTGGATTGGAGAGGGATTGGAGATGGATTGGAGAGGGATTGCAGAGGGATTGGAGAGAGATTGGAGATCTATTGGAGATAGATTGGCGAGGGATTGGAGAGGGATGGAGAGGGATTGGAGAGGGATTGGAGAGGGATTGGAGAGGGATAGGAGAGGGGTTGGATCCGGATTGGAGATGGATTGGAGAGGGATTGGAGATGTATTGGAGAGGGATTGGAGAGGGATTGGAGAGAGATTGGAGAGGGATTGGAGAGGGATGGAGAGGGATTGGAGAGGGATTGGAGAGGGATTGGAGAGGGATTGGAGAGGGATAGGAGAGGGGTTGGATCCGGATTGGAGATGGATTGGAGAGGGATTGGAGATGTATTGGAGAGGGATTGGAGAGGGATTGGAGAGAGATTGGAGAGGGATTGGAGAGGGATTGGAGAGGGATTGGAGAGGGATTGAAGAGGGATTGGAGAGGGATTGGAGAGGGATGGAGAGGGATTGGAGAGGGATTGGAGATAGATTGGCGAGGGATTGGAGAGGGATGGAGAGGGATTGGAGAGGGATTGGAGAGGGATTGGAGAGGGATTGGAGAGGGATTGCAGAAGGATTGGAGAGGAATTGGAGAGGGATTAAAGAGGGATTATAAAGGCGAGAGAGTGGGCAGTCATTGATCATATGGCGCATCGTCTGGGGTTCTAGTCAGCCTACTACCATATGCAAGTTGATATCGACAAGACAATAGTAAGCAGGTCGCGGTTCAAATCCAGCCTGTGCCATCCTAGGCTGTCCAGAAATACCAAGTCTGCGCAACTTCAGAAATTTGTTTTCCATATGCTTTCCTCTTTTTTTATTACTAAAACAAGACCAAGCGTTGCAAGTTTCAATGTTCCCTTTCCAGATTTGAGCTGTGATTTTGAAGGCCAGGACATCTGCGGTTGGACCCAGGACAACACGGACGACTTTGACTGGGTGGTGGCCCAGGGGGAGACGGGATCCGTGGGCACAGGACCCCAGTTTGATCACACACTGGGAACAGGTCAGTCAAACAAAAGAACACAAATACCAGTAAGGGCCCGTCTCAGTTTATATCCGAGACGAATTCCGGACAAGTTGCGGGTAGAATCATCTGCAGAAGCTCTGCATGTGTCCAGGAGATGTTCTGGGGAACTTTTTATTAACAACTGCTTGACTCACCAATACTGATAACTTCATTGCGGGAAGATTGTGGGGAAGTTGTTCAGAATCCTGCAGCTTATACCCAACACAATGTCCGCAACTTGTCTGGAACTCGTCCCAGATATGAATTGAGAGGGGCCCTAAATGGTACCGGGTGATGAGTTTCCTCCCAACAATAAGATTCCAACTTTATTTTAGAATTGAATTTGTTTTGTTCGTAGGAGCTGGTTACTATGCCTACATCGAGACCTCCTCTCCTCGCGTCCCAGGCGACAAAGCTCGCATCATGTCCGGCTCAATCGCAGCCAATTCACAGTACTGTCTGGAATTCTGGTATCACATGTTCGGTCCCGACATTGACGCCCTGAACATCTATCTGTCATCCGGCGGCACTTCCACTCTGGTGAGTCAGGTTTTGAAGTTTGTTTAATTACAAGGAGATGCTCAGCAGAAATTGCCGGAGTACCAGTCAACAGCAATATACAGGATGTGACATTTTGGCCGGTGCCCCTGTTTTTGCTTAGCGAATACCTTTTGCGCTGAGCAGAATTCTGTGCTTATAGCTCCATGAAAAGTTGTTCATGCACAAGTCCGCTGCCTGAGTTTTTAGGATCAATACCTACTATTTTTCTAAATTCTCTCTCTAGATTTACCGGAAGCAAGGCACCCAGTCTAACCAATGGCTGCGTGGCCGAGAGCCAATCACAGGCAGCTCGACCTATGAGGTCATCATCGAAGGAGTAACCGGCCAATCATTCGGCGGGGATATCGCCATCGACGACGTCGTGTTTACACCCGGAACGTGTCCGACAGTTTGTAAGCAGCCTTGCATTCCCCCCACCCCCAAATAAAAAAGTTTGCTGTTGAAGTAGCTAGATTAATTATGACTGGAATATTTTATTAAAATTTCTTCGAAAATGTGACAATCTTTTCTTTTAAAACTCAATGATTTGTAAAGTAGCATCATCTGCTTAACACTGGAAAATACTTATTAAATAATTAAGTTCACGTGCTAATAAGATAGCCCTATGAATATATTAAAAATTGTTTATGTATTCAAAATCCGAGTATATAGACGCCTTGATCATAATGGTTATCTTGTCGCTTCCATTGAACAGTTTTTCGTTTTTCATTCTTTAAAAAAATTCAAAAATCAAAACAGCTCAATGCACCTTTGAATATGACCTTTGTGAGTGGGTCAACGACGACACCGACACGCCAGGATTTGATTGGCTGAGAGGAGCCAATGGGAGCCCTTCGCTGGGAACGGGACCGGCCACCGACCACACCTACGGCACACCATCAAGTATGTCCAAGTGTCTTTTATTTTGTAGTATTCAAATGCTTTTTCTGTTATTTTTGGAAGTAGTTTTAAATACAGACTTTTTTGAAAAAAAATTCAATCATTGTAAGTCCCTTTGGTCCCAATTCCATTCGGAGAAAGCAAAAGAGAGGGTTTCTTAGAAAATTCCAAGATGAAGTATGACACAAAATATATCTGCATCCTTTTTCTAAGTCTCAGTCCTTGTTTTAAGGTCATTATCAAGCCATTCACAAGTCAATCATTAGTCAATCGTGAGTACAATCTCAAGTCTGTAACAAGCCAAAAAAAAAATCAAACTTACGGTAGTAATTTATTGATCAAGGAAAAACACTGACAAAGCAAACCATTAATCACATTTCATTTTCACAGCTTTGACTAATTGACCAGAGATTGAAAGACTTGTGATTGGCTTGTGATGACTTGTGATTTGCTTGTGACGACTTGTGATTGACCTCTGATATCTAAGGATGACTTTTAATATCTTAGGATGACTTGTGATATGTTATGATGACTTGTGATGACTTGTGAATGACTTGTGATGACTTGTGAATGACTTGTGATGATTTGTAATGACTTATGAAGACTTCTGAATGAGTTGTGATGACTTGTGATGACATATGATGACTTGTTACAACTTATGATGACTTGTGATGACTTGTGATTGACTTGCGATGACTTGCGATGACTTATGTAGACTTCTGAATGAGTTGTTATGACTTGTGATGACTTGTGATTGACTTGCGATGACTTGTGATGACTTGTGATGACTTCTGAATGAGTTGTTATGACTTGTGATGACTTGTGATGTCATATGATGACTTGTTACAACTTATGATGACTTGTGACTGACTTGTGATGACCTACTCTGCCATTACTTTTCTCCAATCAGATTTCTTTGCCTACATCAACCCCCTCTCGCCCCGTCAACTGGGCGACGAGGCACGCCTCCTCAGTCCCTACTTTTACCCGGGTACCGACCACTGCCTCCATTTCTGGTATCACATGGTGGGTGACGACGTCGGTTCCCTGCTGGTGTACAAACAGGATGAGGGGGATTCCTTCGTCACCCCCTCCTGGCAAAAGAACGGCGATCAAGGAGACGTGTGGAGATTGGGTCGAGTGACCATCTTGCCATCATTTACCCAGAAGTTTAGGGTAAGAAATTTATTCTTGTATCAATTTTTGTTGGTCACTCCAGCTGGCAAAAGAACAGCAATTAAGGAGAGGTGTTGAGATAAGGTTAATGTGACTGTTTTGCTGTCACTAATCCAGAGGTTTAGGGTAATGAGGCTTTTTCTTGTATCTGTTTTCACGTCTTCTGGCAAAAGAAAAGCAAGTAAGGGGACCTGTGGAAATTGTGTAGAGTGACAATCTTGCTGTCACAAATCCATAGGGTTAGGATAACTGAAGTTTTTGTTCTACTTTAGTTTAATGTTCACCCTTCCTGCTGGTAAAAAAGGAATGGCGATCTGGTTCATAATTGACGTTAGTGGGAAAATATATGTTACATATATTTAGAAAAAGATTTAAGAAACTAACAAAAAATAATCATAGTTTGCTAGTTGCTCATTTCAGCATACTTTTTTAAAATTCAATTCATTTATACGTTTCTTTCGTATCTCATTCTTTCACTGCATTGGTTCTTTAGTGAGCATTACGATTGTTAGTCTTGTTTTTTTCCATATGAAATATTTGGTCTTGATCATTTGTATCCTTTTTTTTTCCAGATTGTCTTTGAAACCCAGGTTGGATCCCCCACAATGGGTGACATAGCTCTGGATGACATCGGTGTCAGAGATGGCGTCTGCCAATCAGAAGGCCTCTGTGATTTTGAAAGAGGTCTTTGCGGTTGGACGAACGATAAGACAGGGGACGATTTTGATTGGTTGAGGGGTGCTGGTGGTACGCCAAGTTCGTACACCGGCCCGGCCGTCGATCACACAACCAACACGGGGAGGGGTAGGTATTTTAAATCTTTCTGCAAAGAATAATTGCTTAATGTAGACAGAAGCAATCAGCTATGACATTTGAACCGATATATCCCTCTTGCTGTCTCTGACATGTACCTTTTTGAGCCAATAGATGAGGTTTTTTTTTGGGCTCTCCAGTTTCCTCTCTCCGGAAAAATCAAACACTTTCGATCTCAGGCTGTGCTCCGTGGTCATATATGGGTCGATGTGGCCGGCAGCCATAGGCACCTTTACGTGCCAGCGGCCCGACCACGTTGTAGCCGCGTCCTTTGCAATTCAGCATACCAGCTGCGAGTAAGGATGATTAGCCTCCCAAATTATTATTATTATTATTATTATCATAATTTCCACACTCAAAACAGTTAATTGTTTTATGCACAAACTCATATCACTATCTTTGTTTTTTTTCAGGCTTCTATGTGTTCATTGAGACTTCCTCTCCGCGAGTCTCCGGCGATAGAGCCTGGCTCCTGAGTGAGCGACTCGATCCCACATCGGGTAAAGCTCCGTTAGAAATTGAAAGAAAAAATGACCAACACAGCATACCATTGTCTGATAATGATGTTAAACTCTGTGTATCTTTTGCCCCATCTAAATGTTCATATTTCATCAGTGCCATCTTCTTGAAGACTCTTCTCTTGAAGATAATTGAAAGCGATGGAAACACAAATCCAACAGAATAGAAAATAATGTCCTTCAGATTTAGGGAGTGACTCTCATCGTAAACCAAAAAGTGAAGTTGGATTTGAATTCAGGATACAGATATGGCAAAGATATCACCGTAACAATTTTCACTGACTTGCTCTTTATGCATGCTTTTGTATTTCAAAAGGACAATTTTGTTAAGTTCATTTTTTTTGTCTTTTTAATTTCTCAGGAAAGTGCCTCTCGTTCTGGTACCACATGTACGGCAGCAATATCAACACTCTGAGAGTGTACACGCAGACACCCAGCATCTATCCCAACAATCAAACTCTCTGGTCTAAAAATGGGGAGCAAGGCGACGTGTGGCTGCAAGGGAGACTAACTCTCTCCTCCAATGAGCAGTTCTGGGTAGGTCAGAGGTTAAAGTTCACAAGGTTATGGTTTGGTTGGACTTGAACCTGGCCGAAACTCATATGATGGGCAAGTGGTTAAGACATCACAAGTAAACGGCTGGTCATGGGTTCGATTCCCTCCAACTAAATTTGAAAATATTTTTTGTCCAAGCTTTCAGACAGCTCTGAGTGGACGGTCATTATTTAAAATATAATAATCGAAAGACAAAAACCCAATGTTGGATAAGTTAAAATTGTTTCAAAACTCAAAACACTTTAATTTTTGTTCACGCAGGTGATTTTCGAGGGTGTAGTTGGGATTGACTTCACGGGTGATATCGCCCTTGATGATATTGAGATAGCTGATGGAATATGCCCATCCACCATTCCACCACCGACTACCCCGTCACCGCCACCAACATACCGTAAGTTAGGATAGATCCATGATTTTTTTAGGAAGGGGGAGGGCAAACATTAATACCTCTACATCTAGGGAGTAGGGGAGTGTGGCTTAGTGATTAGAGGGTCAGGGGTTGACCGAAAGGTGTGTTCTTAAGCAAGCCACTTTTCCCCAATTTCTCACAACCAAGAATGGGATTTGGCCTAGTGAGTTTGTGATTCATGATCAGAGGATCAGGGACTTGAATCCAGCTGCTGGCTGTGTTTGTGTCCTTGGGCAAGCAACTGCACGACCATTTGCCTTTCTGTACCAAGGAGTATGAATGGATACCAGCATTAGCTGGTATCCCATCCTGGAAGAATAGAATGATATTCACAGTTGTTTCATGTCATCTGGAATCGGCGTCGGTCTGATGTGCCACATTGGCTCGGAACAAAGTTTACTAAACCCCAATGAGTTAATTATTTTTGAGGGCTTTTTATTTAATTGGCTTATTTTTTAACATTTTTTTTTTAGATTACTTTAAGATGCTGTCTAAATTGCACACAAAATTTATGCCAACAAGTTTTTCATATTTCCAGTAAGAGCAAAAATAGAATTAAAAAAAATATTCAAACTTGTTTCTCTTCAGCACCCAACTCCCACGACTGCGACTTTGAGCAAGGGATATGTCAGTGGACACAGGTGGCTAGCCCAGTCGACCAGTTTGACTGGACGCTGGCTACAGGCACCACAGGGAGCACCGGGACCGGTCCCGCTGGAGACCACACAATCGGAGATGCTAATGGTGAGTCTGGGTCCAGACCATGAGTAAAAGTTATCCTTTCAATCCATCCTTTCTAGTGTTGTCTGCCTTGCCTTTCACAGTAACTGACATATCGCCGTTTGCGAGTTAGCCACGCCCCTTAGACAACTCTATGGAATTTTGTACATTAAGTTTTGTTTGTGTCAGATTTTGCACGTTCCGCACTTATTTGTATATCATGTAATTGGACAATATTTCGCAAGCTGCATTGACGCGATTCTACCGCGATAGGTCAATTTGCTCTCACCCTACCCCTTTTGGCATTTTAGAAAAATCTTGGCTTTAATTCGGTCATTTTATTCTCCGGTTTCATCACCACAGGTCACTACGTATACATAGAGGTCACGGGTCAGGCAGAGAACGATACAGCTTGTCTTTCCTCGCAATACTTCAACGACGCGACGAGCGCTGGTTACTGCATGGAATTCTGGTACCACATGTACGGCCCCCACGTTGCGTATCTCAACATCTACACCCTAACCTACACCGGGGGAGTCCAGACGCTAGTCTGGAAGAAAATGGGTTCCTTTGGACCGCAGTGGAACCAAGGAATGATACACTTCTTGGAGACTGGTCGATATCAGGTATGCTAATTTATGCAAATTTATGTAAATGACTCTGGATTTGCTTTTATTTAACTTATTAATGAAGTGGACTCATTAAATATGGTAATTTATGCAAATTATGTACATACATTCAACTTTCTAAAATTGATATTTGTTTGGATAGGAGTGAAGCAGTCTTCATATGGGGTATGCAAATTTATGCAAATGTATGCATATTTGCCTAAATTTTCTTTTATTTCAAAATTTGATATGGGATATGGTAAGTTTTGCAAAAATGTGATTTGTTAAAATGTATACTTGCTCAGAACTCATTGCAGGTTTTGCGATTTATGAAAAAATGTCAGACGATGATACTTATTTTGTACGCAGGTTATTTTGGAGGGCGTTGCCGGGCCGAGTTACCAAGGCGACATCTCACTGGATGACATCACATTCCACGCAGGACCATGCCCAGCAGGAGGTGATAACAAATTTTAATTGAAATTTACTTTTTAAACTTTTTTTATACATTTATTTATTTTTTGACAGCTTCAATACAGCTCTGCAAGTAAGTTTTTTCTTGTCCATTTCTGACAGTTCTTTGTGATTTTGAGAATGGTCTGTGCGGTTACACGCAAGACTCCACGGAAGATTTTGATTGGACGCTGAATCAGGGTGGTACGCCGAGTCAGGGAACCGGACCGGCCACTGACCACACCTACTTGACTGACTTAGGTAAGTTCCTTGCAGAACTTGAATATACTGAGTAAAAAAAAGCTTACTTTTGAGACACTAAGCATTCGAAAATGCACATTTGGATTTGAGATTTGACAAAAAGTAGAAAAAAATACTAAGCAAAATAGCTTACGTACTTTACAAGGTTGCGCTTGCCAAGTATTTTTGTTTATTACAAAATTCTTAACAAAATTGATATGAACTGTTTCATAGGTAAATATACACCGTTTATGTGATAAAAAATATTTAAAATGTTGACATTAAAAAACTTCATATTAATATTGATAGTTCTTGATATTTTAATATCATTTCTTGCTTTTAATATTCATTTCCCCTGGTAACCATCTTCAGGTCATTACATGTATGCTGAGATGTCATCTCCCAGGGTACCAGGTGACGTGACACGGTTGGACAGCCCGGTCTATCCTGCTACCACGGGACGCTGCTTGCAGTTTTGGTACAAATGAAACAAATTATATATTTTCCAAAGTTTTTGATGATCAATGCAATACTATCTCCTTTTCCTTTTGCTGAAATATAATTTGGTAAATGATACAAATAGATAAAGAGTGTATTTCCAAAAGGCGATATATACATTTTAAAAACGTGGAAAATTTGTAAGATTTTGAAACTTTAAAGAATAAAAACATTAGACAGTTTGTCATTAACTTCACTTTTTGCTTATTAAGCCTCCTATGCAAACATACATTCTGTGCCAAGTAGTCCTTTCAGTCAAAATCAAACAAGTGACTGTTTTCAACAGTTAAGAATTTGCCTGCTTTGTCTGTAGACCCAATTTTACTAGTCGCAATGAATGCTTGCATCCCATTGAAACTCCCATTTTTTTTACTCATCAAGGTACCATAATTTCGGAGTTGACATTGGCACGCTAACTGTCTACACCAGAGCTTCCAACAACTACGTTCAGCTATGGACCAAGGATTATTCTTTCTATGACGAGTGGTACGTGGCTGAAGTCACTGTCTCATCTGTGACAGACTTTCAGGTAAAAGCACCAACTTATCAATCTTATGCTTATGATTGACTTGTGATTGAGTTGTGATTGATTTATGATGGACTTGTGATTGTCTTGTGATGGACTGTTGATGAACTTGTGATGACTTATGATTGACTTGTGATTGACCTGTGATTGACTTGTGATTGGCTTGTGATTGACTTTTGATTGACTTTTGAATGACTTGTGATGGACTTGTAATGGACTTGTGATAATAGTTGTGATGGACTTGTGATGGACTTGTGATTGATTTGTGATTATTTTGTGATTGACTTGTGATTGATTTGTGATTGACTTGTGATTGTCTTGTGAGTGATTTGTGATTGACTTGTGATTGTCTTGTGATGGACTGTTGATAAACTTGTGATGACTTATGATTGACTTGTGATTGACCTGTGATTGACTTGTGATTGGCTTGTGATTGACTTTTGATTGACTTTTGAATGACTTGTGATGGACTTGTAATGGACTTGTGATAATAGTTGTGATGGACTTGTGATGGACTTGTACTGTGGTGACTCGTGATTGACTTGTGATTGACTTGTGATGACTTGTGATGACTTGTGATGACTTGTAATTTATTTGTGATTGACTTTTGAATGACTTGTGATTGACTGGTGAATATTTTGTGATGTACTTTTGATTTAACTTGTGATTTACTTAACTACAGCGCCAATTATGAAAAATACTACCTCTTTTGTCTTTTTCCAGATTGTCTTTGAGGCAGTGACTGGCTTGTCGTGGCAAGGGGACGTCTCCATCGATGACATCCGTTTCCGTGACGACGGCCCTTGCAATCCCTTCGGCGATTGCAACTTCGAGACGGGCGACACGTGCACATGGAAGAACGCAGAGGATTACGTGGACTACTTTGACTGGATGCGTCAACAGGGGGCGACATTGTCTGATAGCACGGGACCGTCCGTGGATCATACCCTCGGAAGTGCTTACGGTGAGAATATTAAAAACAAATCTCTAATAATGTAGTGAAATACATCCACCCAACCTGAAAAATGTACTTATCGTACCGCCCCGCACAAATGACGAGGGAGTCCCTCAGGTTCTTTTCAGAGCCACACATACTCACAAAAGAGATTTATTCACATGGTGCTACCTCAAACTCATCTTGTCTTAGTATCTTTCCACCATGCAAACCTTCAAATCTCATCTAACTTAACTTCACAACTTTTAGGTATTTATCCTAACTCTCTTCACAACTTCCAGGTACTTATCTGTATGCCGAGGCCTCTGCGCCCAGACAGCAAGGCGACTACGCCTACCTGATCTCTGGAGTCTTTGACGATGGCGACTACTGCCTAGAGTTCTGGTACCACATGTACGGCAGTCAGATGGGCACCCTCAATGTTTGGACCTTGCCCATCTACTCCTCGTCTCCGGGCGAGATCGTCTGGACGGTGAGCGATGACAAGGGCGACGTCTGGAGACTGGGAAGGGTGACCGCCTCGCCGGACGGCACCTCGCCGTTTGAGCTGACCTTCCAGGCCGTGATTGGGTCATCTTTCTCTGGCGATATGGCAATCGATGATATCGTTGTGAGCAATGGAATATGTCCAGGTAGGCTTATGAGATGTGGGCACATTTGGTCTAGCGGTAGAGCACATGATTCATGATCGTGAGGTTGTGGGTTCGAGCCTCGCCGCGGATATGCGTGTTGTGCCCTTGAGTAAGGTACTTAATACCTCAATTACTCCTCTCAACCCAGGTGTTAAATGGGTACCGACATTATTCAATGCTGGGAAGGTAACAGACTCGCTGTGGAGGAGGTGTGGCGATCCCCCCACAGCAGCATATGAGTCTGGCCCAATCGCTAACGAAAGAGAGATGGGCACTCCGTTCCTGTGAACACAGGCTCGTCCCCCCTATGAACTGAGCAACAAGTTAGAGTATTAGTTTCACGCTCACAGTTTAAAATCTTTACCATTATTTTATGGATTTATTATGACGAATCTATCAAACTGTACTGATTTTTTTTTGGGGGGGGGGCAGTCCTGGGGCCAATTTCACGGCGCTGCTAAGCACAAAAAGTTGCTTAGCACAAAATAGCCTGGCCTTTAAAAGCAGGTTACCAGCCAAAACTCCACGTCAGGTATATTGCTCGGGATTAGTATTCAGCTGTTGTTTGCTTAGCATGACAATCACATGGAGTTTTGGCTGGTAACATGGTTTTATAAACCAGAATTTGTTTGCGCTAAGCCAATTTTTGTGCTTAGCAGCGCCGTGAAATTGAACCCAGGGCTAAACTTGTAGGGCAGTTTGTGGTGGTACTGCCCCTCATCCCTGACTGACTGTTCTCTCATTTTCTCCAAATTTTTCTCAGATCCTGTTGATCCATGCTTCACAACTTGTGATGACGGCACCAGCAATTGCGCATCTCGGGCTCAGACCTGCGACTTCAACAACTACTGCAGCAATGGAAAAGACGAGGAAGCGTGTGGTAAAAAGAAAACTGCTATTTCCATTTTTCATTTCGTTTAAAGCCTATAGTCCATCATTTGCAGCCATCCGAAAAGTAACTGGCGTAATTATTGTTGAAAAACAAACTTGGTTGAAAGATAGTAAGGGAACTAAACTCCCTGTGAAATGATTCTTTCTGGCAAGCTGTCATTTTGAAGTAATCAACGAAAGAAGGCATTTCCAACGGTGATTTTTAAGAAGCACCGTAGGAAAATTTAAATTTAGTAGTTCGTTTTGTTATTCGGCGCAGCGCGCACAAGTATTGGAACGACGCACACGCGTGCGCGGTTGTTATAATTCGTCGGACCAGTGCGCGACGTCGCGTATAGCTGCAATTCAAAACAATTTAAAACATGATTCAGTAACTTTTGATTTGAAATTGAGATCTTAGAATGCTGTTTTTCTCGGAATATACAGCTGAAGCTGAGCTGAAACTTCATCAAGTAAGTTGTTCAGTATCCTTCATTAGATTTTGAACACGTTTGTTGCTTCAAACGAACAAAATGCACTAATTACAAATGATGGACTATAGCTTTAACCCCAACCCTGTAAAGTCTGTGAGACCTTGCTGCAGTTTAGCCGCCAACAGTGCATAACCCGCCAATCCTGAGACAATGAGAGCTAGTCCCATTGAACAATGCCACAGTTGTATCCTGCCGCAGTTGGTGACCACAGACTCTGAGGCTATTTGGCCGTGATACTTTTGACCTGATGGATCTTGCTACACTGGGCAGGCTTGTCACTTAGACAAGTGTTACATGTTGCTGTGTTTGGTGGGTTTTTTAGTCAAAATACCCTGGAGGGTTAGGGAAAATAACGTATTTTCTGATCACTGCTTCAGCATTGATCAGACAATTGCACAAACCAATAGACAAACCCTTCCCGTTAAATGTTTTCTTTCTTTCTGTTTTACCTTTCTATTTTCCCATTATATTTTTCTAGGTCACCAGTGTACCTTTGAGTCGGACCAGTGCAACTGGGTCAACTATGACAATGGGTCCTTCACCTGGGTGCGATACAGGGGTGCCACTCCTAGCCAGAACACGGGACCCACTTATGATCACACCACGCTCACCGCACAAGGCAAGTTATTGTTCAGCTATGTCGTTTATGGGACTCGTCTGCCCTTTCTATGCAGTGGAAGAACGCAGCGCTATTTTAAATGTTTTGAAGTTTTCAAAATATGAATCTTTTTTTTTTTTAAAGCTGATACGTTGGAATGTGCTTGATGTTGTTTAAGCTTTGGAAAAGTGGAGTTTTGGATACAAATCTAAAAAAAAAGTCGAAACGTTTATCACTTTAGGTGCTTCAGTGAAAATATGGTTCCTGAGGTAGGCTTTCGTAGTTCACTGTTTAACAAAAACCCAATAATATTAAGACCGGATTCGAACCAAAGGCACAGCTTTCATGGTCAAAATATTGTTATTAATTTCATGGAATGTTAAATCTCCAATTGAAAACATTGCTGCTACAAAATTCACTTCTGAAGCATTTAGTGGCATTTTGTCAGCTGTGGCATTCAATGGCATTTAAGCTTCAATTATTAAAAAAAAAAGCGAAAATAAAAAAAATGTGTTAAAACTTAGTGAGTGAAATTGTACCCAAATCAATTTTCTACCTTGTATTGTCCATAATGACATTTAAGCTTCAATTATTAAAAAAAAAAATACGAAAATAAAAAAAATGTGTCTAAATTTTAGTGAGTGAAATTGTACACAAATTAATTTTCTACCTTGTATTGTCCATAATGACATTTAAGCTTCAATTTTTAAAAAAAAAAAAAAAAAAAAATGTGTCTAAATTTTAGTGAGTGAAATTGGACACAAATCAATTTTCTACCTTGTATTGTCCGTAATGACATTTAAGCTTCAATTTAAAAAAAAAAAAAAAAAAAAAAGAAAATGTGTCTAAATTTTAGTGAGTGAAATTGGACACAAATCAATTTCCTACCTTGTATTGTCCATAATGACATGCTTCAATTATTTAAAAAAAAAAAAAAAAAAAATTTCTAAATTTTAGTGAGTGAAATTGGACCCAAATCAATTTCCTACCTTGTATTGTCCATAATGACATGCTTCAATTATTTAAAAAAAAAAAAAAAAAAAAAAATGTTTCTAAATTTTAGTGAGTGAAATTGTACACAAATTAATTTTCTACCTTGTATTGTCCATAATGACATTTAAGCTTCAATTTAAAAAAAAAAAAAAAAAAAAAAAAAGTGTCTAAATTTTAGTGAGTGAAATTGTACCAAAATCAATTTTCTACCTTGTATTGTTCATAATGACATTTAAGCTTCAATTATTACAAAAAAAAAAATTAAAAAAATGTGTCTAAATTTTAGTGAGTGAAATTGGACACAAATCAATTTCCTACCTTGTATCGTCCAGGATGGTATATGTACGTGGACTCCAACTCCAACGCCGGTGCCGCGTGGGCGGAGCTACACAGCCCCACCCTCCGCAACTCGGCCGCCAGCTGTGAGCTACGCTTCTGGTACCACATGCAAGGGTCGGACATCGGTACCCTGACCGTGTTCCTAGTGGAGACGTACTACGTGCTGTACCCATTGCAGCTAAGCGGGGACCATGGGAACCGGTGGAACGAGGCAGTGGCGCCCATCGGCCGAGTTCCTAACGATTTCTCGGTAAGTTCTGGGCCTATAGAGTACCAAAGTGTGACGTCATTTAACCAGAAAGCGTAGTGCAAACGAATGGAGTATGTGCGCTGAATCACGCACTGAATCACACGCTAATGTCTTTTACACACATTTTGTGTGCGTGATGTATTGACTCTATTGACAGTTCCGTTAACCCAAAGAATGTAACGTTTCCTCGGATCAGCTGATTTCCTCATTTTTTACTTCACACCTTTGCCATTAAAAAATAAAAAAATAAAAAAATGTGCAAATTCTTTCTTTGACCCACGTTCGAATCCCAACTGTTTTTGGTATGCATTGTCTTGGCAATAAGTATTGAAAGAATGATTAGAAATGACTTCATATTTTTGTGCATTATAGTGATTTTCTCTATTTTTCCACTTGCAGGTTGTCTTCCAAGCCTATCGTAGTTTCAGCGTTCTTGGTGACATAGCTATTGATGACATCAGCTTCAGTGGCTGTGGGGTCCCAGGTATGGTCTCAATTTTTTGGTTTGCCTCGGGAACATTGGTAAATAAAAAATATCCATTCCCTCCCCCCTCCCCCCCCCCCCCAAAAAACCAACACAAAAACGCCATAATGTGTCAGTGAAAGATGTTTTACAAGAATGCTTAATTTTAGCCTGAAAAGTGGGTGTAGAAATTGGGACAATAGACCTTTATCATGCTGCCACCATTTCAGTCATGTTCCCTGTATCCTATAACAGTACTGAATGATACTGTATTTTGTGCAAATAAGGAACCAGACTATTTTTCCTTCCAGCCTCGCTTTGGTTATGTTGATTTGAATGGGAAAAATCAAGATGGCCGCAACATGATAATGGTCAATAGCCCTCACTGAGATCCCATCCTCCCCTGAAAAAGAAAGTTGATACTTTCAATAAATTCTAAAAATCGACGAGAATTTGTTTAAATACAGCCCTGAATGGTGTCTTAGGTCATGTCCAAATAACGTGGCTATGGTAGTGGCTGCAGTCACTTCCCATAGACTCGTGTGTAATTCTAAGCCGTAGCCAAGTAAATCGGACACGGCTTTACTCTTAGACGCTCCCCTTTCAAAATAGCATTGTGGCACTAGTTCAAAACCCTTGAGTTTGTCATTGTTCTCGTTTGGAGTCGGGTTGGCGTAGCGGTACTTTCCTCGCCTTCCACCGCTGTGACCGGGTTCGAATCCCGCTTGGGCCAATATTTAGATTGGGTTTTCAGTCCCTGCCTGATTCCGTGGGTTTTCCGCAGAATTTTCTTCTGGGCTTTTCCTCCCACCTCTAAAACTGTAATTTCTTCTCATTGTCTTCTCTCCACAGGTTTCTTCAGGCTTGCGAGCTACAGTGCCTAGGGCGCTTTTGAGGAATCCTTGGTTTCATTACCAGAAATGATTAATAATAATAATAATAATGAATTTTTATATTTTTATTGAAAACTAATTTCAGAGCCTGTATCAGGCAACTGTGGTACCAACCAGTTCCGCTGTGCCAGCCGGGCTTGCGTCAACAACGATCGGGTCTGTGACTTCAGCGATGATTGCGGAGACTACTCCGATGAAGCTCTCTCAGTTTGTAGTAAGTAAACAAAGAAAATAAATAAATAAACAAACAACAAAGAAAAAAGTTACATGAGTCCCGTTGAATTTTTCTCAGTACTCCTTCAGTACAATAAATATCAGTAGTCCTTCATATTTTGGTGAAGTTTACATCATAATACTCCCAAGTAGCCCATTTATATGATTAAATTCTAATATCCAGAATCATCATGAGGTAAATTTGCTGAACGTCTAAATTACAGAACTCTTTTGTCAAGTTTTACAATAAATTGCACTGTTCAAATGTGATCAGGAGAAATAATTTTGGACCATTATTGAATAAAGACATCCCATTGTTGTCGATTTTGAATGCCTTTTGATAGAATCCCCTTTTTTTTATTATGAAAAGAAAATTAAATTTTCAGGTTTCACTATTTTCCATCAGTTAGAGATGTTAACGTTCATTTCTGTATTTGTTATCTTAATGAATCACTGCTTCCGTTTTTTTGTTGTTGTTAGATGCCCCTCAAGCGTCCTACGACCGATGCGATTTTGATGCCAACTTCTGTGATTGGCAGCAGTTACAGGACGATGATTTTGATTGGTCGAGAACATCTGGGCCAGCGAGTGGCGATCTGGCCACCGGCCCGCTGCGTGATCACACAACTAATGGACCTACAGGTAAGGAGAATGTTTCTCTTAGCTATTTAAATTTTAAATTGTTTAATTCATTTCACACTTAGTGGCAGGAATGAGGACAGAAGGCAAATTTTGTTATATGTCTTTCCAATTTAATATTCATTTCAAAACTAAACACTTTTTACTGAAATTGTACAGAAAAAAAACATTGTGTTCTAAACTCAGATAACAAACATGAGTACATTTGAGTCCAGTAATAAGTTGACTTGCACTGGAAAAATAAAGTGCTTGGCCTTTTTTTTTAGATGGAGACATGACAATTTCAGATTTGAAAAGGAAATAATTTTCAATTTTTTTTTCTGAAAAGCCTGAATGGATGCTCGTTTTTACAAAGCAATTTTTTTGCTGAGCTCAAGACTGTTGGTGCTACTAGCTGCTTGAACATTGATTCTTGGTCAATATATCCTTAACAGCAAGTTTTTGTTGTTAATATGCAGGAAGTTACGTTTACATTGATGCCAGTAGCCAAGGTGGCGGCGATAAGGCTCGCCTAGCAAGCCCAACAATACAAGCTGTGCAGACAGGAGAAGACTGTCAGGTACCAGACCACATTTGTCAGACTATATGTGTTTGTTTGTACATCCTCTCTCAAGTAAGCGTGTCTCATCGGATCGGTGTTTGTCTATTCCCAGAAATTTTGTACTTGAATATCGAAGATGCCAGACTAGTGCAGGTTACTCGCCAGCTAATACTGGTACCTATTTCTTATACTCTGGGTGCAGAGAGGTAAATGCAGTCAAGTGGCTTGCCCAAGGACACAACATATGACCAACAGCTGGATTTGAACCCCTGACCCTCTGATCATGAGCCACAACCCCTAACCACTTGGTCACACTTGGTGTTAGACTCTTCATCAATTTTCTAGTATAACTCCAATTTGTTAATAATTTTTTATTGAACAAAGACATTGACAAAATGGGGAACCGCAACACAGGGCTGGATATTTCAGTTGGTAGAGCACCGGAACGGCAAGCCGGAGTTCAGAGCTTCAAACCCCGCTCCAGTCAATTTCTTTGTTCAACTTTAAGATTTTTCTTTCGTCAGGTATGAAACTGTTAGCCAAAATATTAAAATCGAAGCAATTTTTCTAATTTTGTTTTTAGCTTCGTCTTTGGTTCCACATGTTTGGCGCCGACATCGACACCGTCAGGATCAAAACTTGGACGGAAGTCAACGGTGATGAAAGCCTCCTGTACTCTCGCACCGGTGACGTAGGGGACTACTGGGAGAGGATTGATGTGGTTCTAACCTCGGCCCAAGATTTCCAGGTAAGGAGAGCTTAGTGACCAGCTCGCACAAAAGAGCAAACTTGCCAACAAATCTTGGAAAATGCAATCCTTCAGTCAAACTTGTTTATCCCTTTAGTAACTATACTGCTGCAAACTGCCTTGCCTTTTACTCACTGTAGCACCCGAAACCGCCCAATTTTTATGGAGTTGTCAGTAAAACAAACACAACGTAATACAATTTAAAATAAATCATTGGCACAATGGTTGTATACTATGAGAAAATGTTTGCCTTGTTTGTTTGATATTTATTATGTGATAATTGTTGGTATTTCAGTGCAGCGTTTCTGCTAACTTTTGGCAGCAGAATGACATTGCCCCCGGCGTTTACACATAACTTTACTGATTCGTTCTAGGTGATTTTGGAAGCCGTGGTTGGCAACGGTCCAAACGGCGACATTGCTATCGACGACACTTCATTCACTCCTGACTGTAAACGATCTACAAGTAAGTACACGAACCATTTTACAGTTGAAGAAAGAAAGTGACTTGAGCAGGGTTTGAACCTGCGACCTCCGGATTGCCGTTTCAGTGCTCTACCAACTGAGCTATCCAGCTCTATGTTGGCGGCTTCCCCTTGTGGTTTATTTTAAAACATTAAGAAGTTAGAAATCACACTATATACAACATTTGTTTATTGTTGAAGAGCATTTATTATTTTATTTTTGTCATAACAGATACCCTCCCGGTCGGTCCGACAAGAATGCCCACGACTACAGTCGGTCCGTGCGGTAAGAACAACTGGCAGTGCGTGACTGGGGAATGCATCAACCAAACGCAGCGCTGTGATTGGACGACTGATTGCCCCGGAGGCGAGGATGAAACCAATTGCGGTAAGACGGCTTATTTTATTGAGTCTTACGCTGGAGTTGTTGTTGAGTTCATCACAGTTCAGATCTCAAGCCAATCACAAGTCCATCACAAGTCAGTCATAAGTCAATTCACAAGTGAGGTCACAAGTCATATCACAGTCAAACTGCAAGTCATCACAAGTCAGTCATGAGTCCATCACAAGTCAAGTCAAAAGTCAAGTCACAAGTTTATCACAAGTCAGTCATAACTTAAATCACAATAAGTGACGTTACAAGTCATATCACAGTCAAACTGCAAGTCCATTACAAGTCCATCACAAGTCAAATCACAAGTCAAGTCACAAGTTAAGTCACAAGTCAAATCACAAGTCATATCACAAGTCAAATCACAAGTCAAATCACAAGTCAGATCACAAGTCAATCACAAGTCCATCACAAGTCAAGTCAGAAGTTAAGTCACAAGTTTAATCACAAGTCCATCACAAGTCCATACAAGTCAAATCACAAGCCAAATCACAAGCCAATCACAAGTCCATCACAAGTCCATCACAAGTCAATCACAAGGCAAGTCACAAGTAAAATCACAAGTCCATCATGACTCAAATCACAAAGAAGGGACCTCTCCACCAACCCCCCCATATAATTGTTATTATTCTAAAACCTACAGGATCCTGCAACTTTGAACCATTGGACCAGTGTGGCTACAGCGATATCAGCACGGGGAACCTGGCCTGGTCTCGCCAACAGGGGGCGCCATCACTCATCCCCAGTGGCGACCACACCTCCGGATCAGGTACATCATTAAAAACATTTAACAGAATTTCTCAAACTTGGTAAACGTTCACAACATTCGGAAATGGTTGCATGGAGCCCATTGCAATTTTCTTAACTGGATTTGCCTTGCCCCACTGCCTCCAGGTTTCTTCATGAAGATCGGTCCAGGCAGCGGTCTCTTTGCCAGTCCTGTCATCCTAGAGAGTCCTCTACTCAGCCCCACCAGTGCCCTCTGCAAGATCAAGTTCTGGTTTGTGAACTACGTAAGTATTTAAATAATACATTCATAAGATGGAATGTTTGCGTCGGGATGATGTAAATCAAATTAGGATTTTGCCCTGCACCGACGTATAAACACTGTATACTCCGTGTGTTACCTCCCGAGTGAAAGTTGGAAAAAATCACTCGGGTGGGACTTGAACCCACGACCTCCTGCTTTCTAGTGCAGACGTCTTACCACTCGACCACCAAGCTAATGGGATCGGTTGACTGGTTTGAGTGGTAAGATGTCTGCACTAGAAAGCAGGAGGTTGTGGGTTCGAGTCCCACCCAAGTGATTTTTCCCAACTTTTGCTGGGGATACGTCGGTGAAGGGCAAAAACCTATAATTTGATATAAATAATACATGTTATTATATTCATCATTGAAAGAGAGCCTTTTTTATGGATGCAAAATGTTAGGTTTGCCAAGTTACCCATCAAGTTTCGTGATAGTTACCCTCTCCAAACCCCTTTCCTCCCCTCCCTCCCACTGCTTCTTCCACCTGACCCTTACCCCTTCCATCTCCTCCCCACCCCCTTCCATCACCTCCCCACCCAATCCCCTCCCTCAAATTTGTCCCCTTGCCAATCCGTCCCCCACCAAACCCCCTTTACCCCTCCTCCTCCACCCCCACCCTCTCCTCCACTACATACCCTTCTGATTTTATGATTGTATTTGATCGCAGATGGTCTCAGGAGGTAGTCTGACCCTCAAGGCCCTTGATGCTACGGCGCCGTCAGACGTTGCCGACTTGTGGCATCCTACGGGGTCAGGGCTGGACCCCCAATGGCGGGAGGCTAACGTTGGCATCGGACGACGTCGATACAGCTTCAGGGTATGGATTCCTAGAGAGCACTTAAAGAAGTTCTCTCATTAAGCTTGAAGACTGTCAGTTAATTAAAATTTTAACGTTGAGCAAAGAAACTGACTGGAGCGGGGTTTGAACCTGTAACCTCCGGATTGCCGTTCCAGTGCTCTACTACATGAGCTATCCAGCCCTATGTTGGCAGTTCCCGATTTTGTCAGTTACTCTTTGTGGTTAATTTTAAAAAACAAATTGTCAGAGAATACGGGTACAATACCAAATAAGAAAATTAAGGTACAAAGCCAAATACCGTACTTTAATTAAAAGTTTGTACCGTTTCATTTTCTGTTATTGTATCAGATCCAGTTTGAGGCAGACGTGTCCAGTATCGACTCCATCGCCGTCGACGACATCACGTTTGAGAATTGCACGCTTGACCCCAATCTCCCCTGCGAGTTTGTCTGCGATAATGGCGTGTGCATCCCGGATGCACTGAAATGTGACTATTCCGACGACTGTGGGGATAATTCTGATGAGTTGGCATGCGGTGAGTGGATAAAGTTTTGCTATGAGCCAAATCGAGGTTTCGCTCGTGCCTGTGCCAACTTGCCTTAACCAGTTTGCGCCGGGATTATTTTGACATTGACCGGACCCAGGCACACCCGACGGGATTGTTTTTCAAGAACCTCAATGCCAGACGGGTTCAGCCGTCATCTGCGGGTAGCACACCCTGATATTTCCGACCTCGCTCGCTGCGAGCGGGTCACAGACGGATATTTCCAGCCTTGCTCATTGCGTGTTTATCAGTTATCCGTTCCAAATACCGCAAAACCTTTTGCGTGTATGCGTGTCATCCGACGTGAACTGTTTTACAATCCATTTTTTGGATAAACAACACATGCAATTTTATAGTCCAATAGACGTCCAGCTTTCAGCATCACATGGTTTCTTCAATCCAAAATTCTTTCCCACAATTCATTTCTCACGGAAAACTTGGATTTGGCTTATTTTTCTGACCTCCGATCATAAAAAAGTGAAATATATCGTCGCGTCAGTGCAATAAGGTCATAACTCTATTCTGCAACAAATTCGTATCTCGCGCAAATACGCTCCGTGCAACAAGGTTGTATCTCAACGTCCATTGACTTTGTGTGTACATCTGGGTTATTTTAAGCGAGATATGACCTTTTGACATTCTGAAACTCGCATTTCACGTACGGCCCATTTTAGAAGATACGACCTTGTTGCATGGACACGACGATATATTTCATTTAATTCCTAACTTGTTGCTACTGTATTGTAAATATTTTTGTTTTGTGTTTAATTCTTGCGACAGATAATTTCCTTGAACGTTGCGACTTTGAGTTGGGTCTGTGTAACTGGATGCAAGATTCTGATGATGATGACATCGAATGGTCATTAATGCCTGGTTCTGTGCTGGGCTACCCCGATCACTCTACAAACTCACTGACTGGTATGTAGAAACATATGAAGTGTTATTGTAAAATCAGACAGGAACTATGAGACATTAGAAAGAGGACTTGGTTATCTGTGCGAAGCAATTAGCCATTCCACTGCAAAGTTAAAAAATATTCGAAGTTTTTGGTAATTGAATACTTCAACACACTGAGGGAAAGACATGTAAAATTTATCCCTTTTCAGTAGTGCAATATTAATATTTGATATCCAACTTTGTTTGCATTCAGTAATTAAGATTGTTATTTAAAGACTTTTCAGTCTTCGGTCGATTATTAAAGTGAATGTAGTCATTTTCCCCCCGTTGGTATATTTAATTTATTCGAAACAAAAAGCTGTGTCCTCCCCGAGTTATCCCCTATTGCAGCATTGGTCAACGCTACAACCATTGTGACTTTGGTTAGGATTGTACTCTCTTTGTCGGCAACTTAAGTGACTCAATGTCAGCTCCTATACTTCATCATAAATGCTTTTGTGGTCTTCCCCCTCCTTCTGTACCTCTTGCCCCGCCCCTTAGGCTCATTCCTATACATAAGTACTACCGAGGTCAACCTCAAAGCCAGACTGAGCAGCGTGGTGTTTCTACAACCGCCTCGTGATGGATCCTGCAAGGTACAAGTTCTTTGCGAATTGTAATTTACATCAAACTTTTATTTGAGTTAAATAAAATATTAGTTTCCATAAAAATAAAATTTTCCAGGGGTAAAGCCCGTAGCAATTTTTTTTTTTTTTTTTTTTTTTTTTACAAATTTGTTTTTCAGTAAGTTGAAATAATGAAATTATGACCAAAAAATAACTTCTACAAATTTTCGGATGTTAATCATTTCATTTTTGAAAAATAACAGCATCTGTGTATCAACTCTGTTCCTTCACCGTGGCCTTGTGGTCTGGTGCATTGAATTCGTAGTTTGCGGCTAATTCTGCAGGTTGTGGGTTCAAGTCCAGTCTGGGCTAGGGCTGCGGTGCGTATGCCCTTGAGCAAGGCACTTTGTCACTCATTGCTTCTCCCCACCCAGGAGTAAAATGGGTACCTGTGAGGGCAGAGATTGTTACTGTGGTTGATTTCAGCTGCTTTGCACCAAAACGTCAGCATCAAGGTGTATACTCCCCAGGGAGCTGAGATGGTATTTGGAATGTTTCATTGGCCCAATGATCTTGAGCAGGGTATAATAATGATGTAGCGCCTTGAGCACCAATACTGGTGGATACGTGTGCTCAATAAATGTTATGTAATCAAGTTAAATGAGTCGTTTGTCAACCCTGGTCAATTTTTTTTTTACAAATTTGAAAAGAGCACAATCTCAGCATTACTGCTGTGAAAACCGCATGCTGATACCATCTTTAGTTCAAAAATTATGGAAGTCGGAACACCAAGAGATGTGATGAAGTGATGTGAAGAAGTGGCCCTATTTTGGCCCAAATCTCCAAATGAAAGTTTCTGACAAACTACTCATTTAGCTGGATCGCATCACAAATACACGTCATTATTATAACCCGACTCCCAATGTTCAATCTACTAGGTTCGTTTCTGGTACCGTATGTACGGCTCCAGCATCAGTAAGCTGACCGTCTACCAGCGCTACTCCACCCTGGATTTCCCATCCCCCATCCTGACCATCTCTGGTAGTCAAGGCGACTCCTGGAAACGGGCAGAGGAGAGGATTGACATCGAGGCTAAATTCAAGGTCAGCAATTGGTCGTAGAAAATCAGGAAGGAACATCGTAATACTGATTTGTCGTTTGCAGGGAATTTATTTTCAACCTGAACAGTCCCAAAATCCATTACTTCAACTCTATCAGAATTAAGAACATACTAAAAATAAACAGAAATGTGGTTGTACCTTCCAAGTAATGTGTTACTTGACCAGAAATGTCCATTGGAAAAAAATTCCCAGAATTCGATGAGAAACATCGAAAGAGGCCCAGATATAATCAAATTAAAAAAGTTCCTAGTTGCCACTGACAACCAGAATTTGCAAGTTTCTGTTTTTAACTAGACCTAAAATGTAAAAAAAAAAAAATCATTCTATTCCAAAGCAGGACTGTACTTAGCAAAAGTTGATAATAAGCAGGACAAGTTTTTATCAGAACTAAATATTTACTGAGCGACTGTAGTTATTACCACATTGTGTTACCGCAAACCGAAACGATACATTCTGTTCCAGTATAAAGCTTTAAAAAAGAAACCAATTTGTTTTATTACACGATAGTTTTACTTTAAAAATGTCACAAAATTAACCTTATTTAGGAAATACAACATACAGCATTGTACAGTGAGAAAAACGTGGTCCCTTGAATGTTAAAGAGAGTTCATGAATAGTCTTAAAAAAATGCAGCACGCTTTCCTTTCTTTCCTTCAGATCATCATTGAAGGAACGTCTTCCTCTGCAGCCAGCGGTGACTTTGACATCATGATTGACGACGTTTCCTTCACTCCCAGTTGCATGTTGGACCCGACCAACTCTCTCCCTGACCACGCGACGCCGACATGTAGGATTACATTTCTTAATGTTAGATTTCAATATGGGTTTTGAATTTACCGACTTTATGCCGTGTATAGTAAAGTCTGTTATGAGCAAATATGGCCTATCAGGCCGGCGTTTATCTCCGGTTTCAGTAGCATGAAACGACTGAGAATATTTCTATTCCCCCTGGATGGGATGCTAGTCCATTGCAGGTTACTCCCCAGCTAATGCCGTCACCCATTTATACCCATGGCGGGAAAGAGGCAAGTGGGGTGAAGTGGCTTGCCCAAGGACACAACACATGGCCAGCAGTTGGATTCGAACCCCTGACCCTCTGATCATGAGTTCGCTCATTGTTTCGGAGAGTACTGTGTACTGCAATGGTTTAATTAACTCTGGCCCTAGCCGTCTATCTTTAATTACGTCATAACTAAACCGTCTTCATCTTCTTCGTGTCCACAGCCCACCCTCAATGCCAGGTTGGCGAGTTCCGATGTACCGACGGGACGTGCCTGTCTCATGACCTCCAATGCGATTTCCGATTTGACTGCAGTGACGGATCAGATGAGGCCGCATGCCGTACGTTTATTTGGATAATTATTTACTTTTCATTTTATGGAAAACGTAGTAGAGTTGAAAGTGTATTGTCTGTTTCTCTTAGGATGGGCACAGTATTGTACCACCAGGAGCAATAATGTTATTAAACATGAGATACCAGCTTTTTAATGAGACATAAAAATTTAATGTATGATTAATTAACAGAGTAGTAAATTTTAAAATTATGATTCTCGTAAGAGAAGCTCCTCCTCTTGATATTTGTATTAAAGACATAAACAGGTTTGAAATGTAATTTCAGATTTTATCCATCCCTTTCTCCCCTTAATTTTAAAGTTACGACAACCAAAAAATTACAGGATTTGTTTACAGTTTCATTCATTTCTCCCACTTTTTTGACGTAAATTTTTGTTCACTTGATAATGTTTATTTCTCTCAGCGTCCGTGTGCACGTTTGAGGACCAGACATTCTGTGGCTGGACTCAGGTCCAGAGCGACGACTTTGACTGGAAGATGCGGGACGGCAACGAGATCGATACGTTCGGCGGTCCGGTGTTTGATCATACGGCAACCAACCCACCAGGTAATGACAGAGGGAATATAGACAGACTCTCTGTACAGCTTGAGATATATTTACTGTAGTTTGTGGAATTTGGTTTGAGCCCTTCACTGATGTGTTGCAAGCACTGTATGTTCAGAGCGTTCAAAGAGCTTCACTCGGGTGGGATTCGAACCCGCAACCTTCATTCTTGTGAGAAAGGAAGTCACTGTTTCACCTGGATAAATAGTGACATCAACAGACGAGGTTCACAACCACACTAAACCACCTAAAGCTCATGATGAGAAAATAATTCACAAATTCACTTGGGCAGGACTCAAACCTGTAACCCTCTGCTTAATTGTGTTTTAAAAGCTTGCGGAAAAGGAATTTACAAATTCACTTTGGTGGGTCTCGAACCTGCAAGTACCAGCCGACTTGTATAGGCGTCTTCCATCACCAAGTTAGCTAAAATCGGCTTGCCAGTTTGAATCGAAGGCAAAGTACCCAATATTTACATAAACCTGAATAAGATTTACATAAACCTGACATAAAAGAAATATAATAAAACTCCAGGATTTCTTTTTTGTGGCAAAGTGCCATACCTTTGCTGAGAAGACAAATCATAAAGGGGAAGCATACCCCTTGATAGAGGGTTGAGTTACATTTACACAGGCTCTTCCGAGAATAACTAATAGCTCACGAAAGATTTCTAAACAAGCCTCTGAAATGTATTCGTCCATTCTTATTCTCCTGAAGACAGACAGAGTATACTCTTCAAAACTTGGGGGAAACATCGGTTCTTTCAGAAGCAACACCGCTTCATTGAAAAAAATATTATCCTCATGGAATCGGCTGCAAACTTCATTCTTGTTTTCATCGTACTGCGCTATATTGTTTACTTGGATGCTGACGGTCACCTTTCCATTTCTCGTAGGATTTTACATCTACGTCGACGGCTCAGAAACCTCCGTTAACCAGCATGGCAAGCTTGTATCTAGAACCTACCATCTGGCCGGCGTCGGCTGCAAGTTCAACCTCTACTACTACATGTTTGGCGTGTCCTACGGCGACATCACGGTCTCCGTCCGGTATGGCGACAAGGAGAGAGTGTTGGGGAAAGTCTCTGACAACATCGGGCCGTACAACAGATGGAATATGCAGAGCACGGATATACCCAACTGTCTGGCTGATTTCCAGGTGAGTTTTGATGTCGATAGAGTGCCAAGTTTGAACCAAGATTTGACCGAGATTTGGTTGAGAAACTATCTGGAATGTTGATTTAATTTTCAATTCGTTGATTCACTTATTTCCATTTTGCTGAAAATTACAAGACATGATAATTATTTATTGAGTAACTATAACTGAAGAGTAATTAAACTAGGAGCTGAAATAAAGGTAAATTATTCTTAATATTTGAGTCAGACACAGAAATAGATGTAGATTTAATAACCAGAAATATGATTATAAGCACAAATGTATGGTTTTATATTGAAAGCTAAAGACATGAATAAGGACAAAACAAACATTGAAGACTGTGGCACTCTACTCTAGTGGTAGACTCAAATTCTGTGCCCAATAACAGCCATGAAATTCTTTTCATACTTTTATCTGAAATCAGACTTTTGGAATCTGAGTGAAAGTCATTATCAGTAGAGAAAGAAATGCATCTATCAGACCTTTTATCCAATTTTCAGAGCTTTGTTTAAATTGACAATCTCACCCCTAGATTAAAGATTGACAATTTCAGATTAAAACTCAAATGGTTCTGTGTTTCCCATAAGATTGTGGTAGACGTACAGGACCTCCAAGTGACTGCCTCAGAGTCTGGCTTCGCCGTTGATGACCTCCGTTTTGATAACTGCGCCTACAACCTCCCGACCTTGTCCAGTTGCCCCTCTGGTCAGGATCGATGCAGCTCTAATCACTGCTACCCGGTATCCGGCAAGTGTGATTACCAGCTAGACTGTTGTGACAGCTCAGACGAACAATCTTGCAGTGAGTTGCCTCGTCAGCTCGTGTACCGTCCCAAACTGCCCCAAACTGCCCTGCCTGTTACTCCCTGTACTGCCCCAAACCACCCTGCCTGTTACTCCCTGTACTGCCCCAAACCACCCTGCCTGTTACTCCCTGTACTGCCCCAAACCACCCTGCCTGATACTCCCTGTACTGCCCCAAACCTCCCTGGCTGTTACTCCCTGTACTGCTCCAAACCACCCTGCCTGTTACTCCCTGTACTGCCCCAAACTGCCCTGCCTGTTACTCCCTAAATACTGCCCGAAATCCTCCTGCCTGTTACTCCCTGTATCAACCTAAATTAAATTTTCCGACAAATAAAGCAACAGCCAATGTAAGGCTTGGTATACAGTATCAGTTGCGAGAGCACTGGTACAGTATTCGAGTGGTTTCAGGTTCAAACCCGCCTCAGTCAACTTTTCCCTTGTTCAACTGATTCTAGCAGTTTTGTAAGACCATTTTTGCTTGAATATGACATTTACAATTAAAGATAGTCGTGTACCCTTAACTTCTTGCATACCTTGAGATTAGACATTGATCGGCTGAAGCAGTGAGCCAATTTACCGACTCAACGTCAGTTGTGAATTGTTTAAATCTGCCCAGTTAACACAAGTATTTGCAAAATCAATGGTCTCAAATTTCGTTCAACTTTCTCTTAAGGTTCGTACACCCGTTGCGACTTTGAGAGCAGCTTGTGCAACTGGGAACAGCTGACGACAGAGGAGGCAGACTGGCTGAGAGTGCATGGGTCAGCCATGGGTCTGGAAGATCACACCACAGACTCCCAAAATGGTGCGTGCTTTAAAGCTATAGTCCATCATTTGTAATTAGTGCATTTTGTTCGTTTGAAGCAACAAAAGTGTTCAAAATCTAATGAAGGATATTGAACAACTTACTTGATGAAGTTTCAGCTCAGCTTCAGCTTCATATTCCGAGAAAAACAGCATTCTAGGATCTCAATTTAAAATCAAAAGTTGCTATATAAAATCATGTTTCGAATTGTTTTGAATTGCAGCTTTACGCGATGTCGCGCACTGATCCGACGAATTATAGCAACCGCGCGCGCCTGTGCGTCGTTCCAATGCTTGTGCGCGCTGCGCCGAATAACAAAACGAACAACTAATTTAAATTTTCCTACGGTGCTTCTTAAGAAGCACCGTTGGAAATGCCTTCTTTCGTTGATTTCTTCAAAATGAGAGCTTGCCAGAAAGGACAATTTCACAGGGAGTTTAGTCCCCTTACTTTCTTTCAACCAGTATGTTTTTCAACAATAATTACACCAGTTACTTTTTTGGATAGCTGCAAATGATGGACTCGGGCTTTAAGACATTCTTTGTATTAAGGTGGAGAAAGCTCTGTAAGGCTGTGTCCGAATCATTGGCTATGGCTAGCGATAACATACAAGTCTATGGGAAATGGCTGCAGCCGCTAGCCAGTGGCTTCCATGGCTTGTTATTATCGGGTGAAGCCGAGTGATTCGAACACGGCATAAAGCCCGGTTCATACTTCATGCGAAAGCGAATGCGAAGCGAATTTGGCGTCATGAAACATTCGCTGCGAAATTCGCCCGAGTTGAAATGTGTTAAACTTTTACGAATTTGCAGCGCGAATACTTGCCATGATGTCACAAATTCGCGTTCGCGTTCGCGTTCGCTTTCGCGCCGAGTATGAACCGGGCTTAAGTCTCACTACAGATTCTGAGCTTGACCATCAGGTCATCGACCCAAGACCTATGACATGGGGGTCAAATTAATTTAAATATCCACATGCAAACAGAAATGGTGCTGCATTCTTGGTTGAGTTTGGGCGAGAACAATTTGTGGAGTGGTGGTTTATTTCGTGACATAATAAAAAGCACTCTGCAACCGAGTAAAAATCACACTTCCCTAATAAAAAGTCCTCAAATTGTCACCAACATTGACTTTTTCTCATTTTTTTTTCTCCCTGTGTAATCAGGATATTTTGTCACCATCGGCACATCTCAAACGAAGAATCAGCGAGCTCGTCTAGCTGGCCCTGTCCTTGAAAACCCTTCATCAACTTGCACAGTGAGTGCCATATTGCTGCTAAGCAGAAGAAAAGCTGCTTAGTGAAGTTAGGCTGGCAACCTGTGAAAACAAATACACATATCATGACTGGTAGCCTGTTTTTACTTCTGTAAGCAGAAACGGTTCTCTTTTTATATCAGAAAGGATAAAAGTCATCTAGCTCTTTCAAATGTTTTTGTGTTTGATATTCTAGGTAACGTTTATTTAACATTGTTTGATTAATTAATGTAAATGTTTTGAAAAGGCATGTTTATTTTTTTGTCGTGAGTTACAAGGAACTTATCCGCCTTTGGTAAGGAAAATTGTTATTAACGGGGACACAAAGGAAATGGACACACACCAATTAAACTAGAATATTTTTCAAGTGATTATGAAAGTAACATAGTTTCATATTTAGAATGAGGTTTCTGCTTTGAACAAATTAGTATCACTAAATTATGGCTTGGTTATTTTAAAATTTAATAATTTGAAAAGGCAGCTACTTTTTGTCGTAAGTTCAAGGACCTTTCATCAAGAAAATTAATTGTGAATACCAGAAAAGAGCGAAGCTGGACACTGGAATTTTCTCAAACGTTAATGAAAGTAAAATATTTTCATTTTTAGAGCGAGGTGTCTAAACTACCAATAATAAATGTAACCCCATAATTATTGCATGGTTACTTTTTAATATTTCCAGATTCGCTTCTTCTACCACATGATTGGGCAAGACGTCGGATCGCTCAGCGTCTACACACGCACGGAAGTCAACGGCCCACTGACGTTGATGTGGAAAGTCGAAGGAGAAAATAACGAATGGTGGAGACGAGCTTCTGTTGATATAAACTACAATGACCCCTATCAGGTACTTGAACTTGTTTATTTGAATAAATTATAAACTATTCTTGGATATTTATATTAGGTTTGGTCTTTCATGACACATTTTTTGTTCCTTGACGTAAGTTCAACACCTATAAAAACTTTGCAGAAAACATGTGTAACTTTGCTGACTTGAACAATTGGGTGTGTCATCCTATTCTGTTATTTGACTGTAATTGTCGTAAAGTGTCTTGCCCAAGAGCACAGGCACCATGTTCCTGTCAGGTTTCAAACCCACTTTACCATCGCACGTGACTCGAACATCGTAACAGCTGGACCAAGGAGCTCCATTAATATTTCCTCTAACTTTCCTCTCGAGTCCAAACCTAAACTCCTGACTCTCGTGATTCACTCAGATCGTCATTGAGGCAGTCAGAGGAGCTGGTTCCCATGGTGACATCTCCCTTGACGACGTCTCTTTGACTCCTGAGTGCGTGCCGTCCTCATCATCCCTGCCTGTCCTCACAACACCGGAACCAGTCATAAGTAAAGTTTTCAATTTTCTACCAAAGATTATGTTCTTACATTTCTCCAAGTCAGGCAACTTTTCCCCTAACCAGCATGCTGTAATGTTTTTTTCATAAAACAATGGAGAAAGTTGTAATTTGTAATCTGAAATTTGTAATTTCCTCTGTTTTTGTTTGTGCCCTCCAAAGTGCTTACCTGCAAATATTAACCATTTTCGAAAAAAAAGTTATGATAGGATTTGTGCAACTGTTTATAAATCTATGATATAACTTGACGGATTATTTTTGTCCATATTTGATCAGTGACCACGGTCCCCAGAGTCTGTTCAGACGTGCAATTCCAGTGTCGTGACTTCACGTGCATTCCCGCGGAGCAGATGTGCGACTTCAAGATGCAGTGTCCTGACCAATCAGATGAGGCCTCTTGTCGTAAGTGTTGGCCGCGAAGGTGGAGGGGGAGGGAGGGGTGGGGATACGTGACTGAGGGAAAGTCTCAAAACTTAAACACAAAACCCATTTCAAAATAGAGCTCAATGAATAAACCTAAAATTGTATTTTTTAAATCTGATACATCCCTCATCTAGTAATGGTCAAGGAGATTACAGACTAGGAGTTTTGGATCGTTTCTCTGAATCATTAATTAGATATCATGGTTAATTGGCTCTGTCATGGACACTAAACTTCCTTTCGTAATGCTGGAATTCTCGATATATTATTTTTCCATTGACTAGACTCTTAGAGGCATTCTGAATACCTGACAAAAAGTAATCAATCGACTTTGTCGTTGCTAACTGTTTCAATCCTCGAATTCTTCACATACTTTTTCTGCCGCTACTTTTCTGTTAACCTTTATTCAAGCAGCATTATCATATATTAATTCACATCTCACATCTGCAGCAACCTTCTGTGACCTTGAGAGCGATTCTTGCGGCTGGATGGAGACTACTGTAGACAACTTTGACTGGCATCGGGCTACTGGACTTGACACCTCAGCGACACCAAACGTTGCACCCAGGACTGACCACACACTCTCTACTGACACCGGTACAGTTTTAGTGTAATTCTTTTTGTTTTCAATTTCAGAGTAACATTTGTGTAAGCTGGTGAATGGTGGCAGATTGTAGTATATAATTAGTTTGATACTGAGATTAAAACCCCTTCATTGAATATGTTTTGCCTAAATAATGAAAAATGAAAAATTAAAGAATATCCCACACAATCAGACAAAATGTTGGCTGAAAGTAGTACCCATTGGAGACAACAATATAGTATATACTGACATGGATCGAGAATGGTTTCAGTTTTGTCAAAGAGATATTGCAATTCATTATGTTTTCAAAAGTTGCTAATAACAAAAGTCTTAGTAAAAAAATGAGCACTTTACAGCTGACTGTGAAGAGAAAGTTTTTAAGGGTTAAATTAAAATAAGTATGTAAAGCGATACTGTACAGTAGATGCATGGCCAGAGAAAATATGTTCTCCACAAAATTTGTTGAGCATATCTTCCCTTTTTTGGGTATTATCCCACAGGTCACTACATGTACATTGCGCCCTTCGGTCAGACCTCCGTGGACCAAGTCGCACTCATGGTAGGCCCCGCCTACACTGTCGCCTCGGCCAATTGCGTCTTGGAAATATGGTACATCATCAACGGCCTGAATGTCGGTGAACTGCTCCTGGTGTTGGTCGACCAATCAGATCGCACCGAGTCTGTGCTTTGGGTCAACAGCGATGACCAGGGCAGCCAATGGAAACAACTGACTGTTGGTATTGGGAGGAGGCAGTCACCTTTCATGGTAATTTGGAGATTAGACCACGCCCATTTTGGAGTAGGCCACACCTATTTTGGATTAGGTTACACCTATTATGATTCAGTACAAATAAGGGTGCAAAATTGTACAAACCATTGTAGATAAGGGCACACCCTTTTTTGGATTAGCCACACCCATATTTTATTAGGGTACACCCATTTCAGATTAGACCACACCCACATATAAATTAGGCCACACCCATATATAAACTAGGCCACACCCATATTTGATTAAGGAAACAACCGCATTTGGATTAGGCCAAAACCATATTTGATTAAGGAAACAACCATATTTTGATTAACCCACACCCATATTTGAATTAGGCAAAGCACATTTTCAAGGCCACACCCTTTTTGGATTAGACCACACCCTTTTCATTCAGTCTGAAAAAAAAATCATGTACAAAACATACATAATGTATTTTTAAGAAATTTTTCTTCCTTTTTTTAAATTCCAGCTGAAATTCCGTAAGGAGCGTAATTCCAACTACCAGGGCATGATCGCTCTTGACGACATCAAATTCACCGGCTGCGCCCTGCCGGACCCCGCCCTATCATGTGACACCTCCAGTAACTTCTGGTGCGACAACAAGGCCTGCGTGGACAAGAGTCTGGTCTGTGATTGGTCGGATGATTGCGGCGATGCGACGGACGAGGATCTTCAGTCTTGCAGTGAGTCTTTGCCTATGACTTGCATTAACACAATGTCAATGAGGGGTGGAGTCAGCCACTTTCATATGCTAATGCAAATTTCCATATTCATAAGCAACAACCGTGATGTCATCTTTGGGCAGAAGTTTTTGTGTCACAGCTGCTTCAACATCAAAAGTTGGCAGAATTTACAGAAGTTGTAGTGATCAGTTTCTCTGTTTCTTGTGTTCCTATGTCTCATTTGCATAATTTTCTGTTTATTTGCATAATTTTCTGTTTATTTACACAATTTTCTCGGTTTTTTTGCATAAAAATCTGTTTATTGACATAATTTTCTGTTTACTTGGCAACTAGCCAGGAAACTAGATTTCCTTCTCAGCTATCCGGTTCGTTAGTAAAAACGTCATACACACGCGCGCACCACTGATTACTAGCGCCCATTGGATAAACACTCAAGTTGCGTCAGCTTCCGCTTCCAATGGTTGCAATGCTACTTAATGGCCAGTGGGCGTGGTTTAAAATGAACTGACGTCCAACTAACGAACCAGATTTAATATTTGACCATTCTAGACCTCTAATTGGAAATTCAAGGTCTGCATATTTGTTGTATCTCCCTCCGACAGTAACCAGCGGCCACAGGATGTGCAGCTTTGAAAACGATCTCTGTGATTGGACGCAGCCCACGGGCACGGACGGCTTTGATTGGATGAGATTAAAAGGCATGTCAGCCTCCCCTGACACAGGACCATCCAGGGACCACACCTTGGGGTCTAGTGAGGGTGAGTCATTAACCAATACAACAGAACCTCTCAGTAAAGAAAAACAAACATCTAGAAAATAAAAATTTACAAACAAAAAAACTAATTAAAGAATGAGCATATTACCTGAGGCATGCTTTCCCAATATGATCTGCCCTCTTTCAAGAGACAAGTAAAATCGTTTTGAAGTTATTTCTTGATTCTGTATTGAAAAATATATTTTGTCTTCTACCTTTGCTCAGCATTTGTGTTAGTATTACTATGAGAAGAATATCCCTAAATTACAATATTGCCTTTGGAATGATTGGGATATTAATTATCAGATATTTTGCCAAATTTTGCAGGTTACTACATGTTCGTGGACTCCTCCCCTGGCAACTTTGAAAAGACGGCCCAACTCCTCAGCCCCAAGTACACTGTGCCGTCTGGCAACGATTGCAAGGTTTGCTTGACTGATTTCTGAATTTCTAAACTCAGATCCGGTTTGAAAACTTGTCCATATCTCATTGCCTAAGATATGAGTAACGATACACAATGGCTTGGAACTGGTTTTTCTGGTATATAGGATTTAAAAAAAAAAAATTCCATCTAAATGTTCTTTAGGCTAGCAACTTTTTGGTTTAAGAATTGTCAGTTTCACGTCTGGAATTAAAAAAAGTTTGAAACATTACTTCAGTATTAAAGGGAATATACAACATTTGCAAACATCGAAAAATAAAACTACCAAGTTTTTGCGAAATACCTTAATAGGATGTTGGTAAATGACCGTCTAAAGCATCCTGTAAAATTATGGCACCTGGTATGCTGTCATTTTCAAGAAAAGTGGTATTTTTGTATCAATTTCCAACGCTGATCGGCCGATCAGCGTTGGAAACAACTGGCTTTTTTTCAAATACTGGCCCCAATTGACCATTACACTTGTTTGCAATCGATTACAAACCTATGAACGGGTACGAGCCAGCTAGACTGGTTCCCTGACCTTACAATTCCCCAATTTATGTAAACTGCTCTGTTTCTTCTTATATGGAGTCAGGGAACCAGACTACAGGAAAATGATCGTTTTTCTTGGTTTTTATAGCATTTTCGAACCCAAAACCTCCAAAAAGTCAGTGTAACTATATTTGCTTTATATTTTCAACCCCCCAATTCCATCCATTTCTGAAAATTACAGCAAAAGCAAATGATGTATATTCCCTTTAAGATACAATTTTTTCTCTTTCACAGTTTCGCTTCTTCTATCACATGTTTGGTGCGAACATCCAAGACCTGAAAGTGATGCTGCGTTCCTATGACAACAGTAACTACCTCGCCCAGACGATCTGGTCAAAGAATGGTAACCAAGCTGATGTCTGGAGGCGAGCAGAGGTTGCCGTGACAACCAGCACACCATTCCAGGTTTGCAAGTCTTAAAATATTGTCCCTCTTTTAAGCTAGCGAAATCTCTGTTTTTTTTTTTTTTAAGACTGTATCACTGAATATAGTCTTTCTTGTCTTCAGATTGTCATTCAAGCCTCTGTAGGCGACGTTGCCGGGGGTGACATCGCCATTGATGACACCAGCCTGACGCCCGGTTGCCAGTCCTACACCGGTAACCTTCCCGTTGCCCCGGCAACCTCCCCGCCTCCCACAGGCTCCGGCCAGTGCTCGGAGGGCCAGTTCTACTGCGCTGTGGACGACAGATGTATCAGCGGAATCAACGTTTGCGACTTCAAGAAAGATTGCCTTGACGGGGCTGACGAAAGCAACTGTGGTATGTCTCCATAAAGATGTCTTGTCTGGAACATTCGGAACTGAAAATTAAAATTAGCCCATGTTGAAATTAGTGTTCAGAGCTATGTCTCTGTTTATTTTCAGATTTTCATCAAACACTAATTTCTATTGGTTCATAATCAAACCTTGTCAATTTTCCCATTCTCTCACAGTCCAATCAAAGTGTGACTTTGATTCTGGCTCGTGCCACTGGGAGTTATCAGACGGTGATTTCTATTGGTCGTTGGTCCAGGGCAACGGAGGTGACCAGAATCGGCCGGCGACTGACCACACCTCACAGTCAACCCTTGGTTCGTATCCACCATTAAACGGACGATGTTTCATCAATTTCTGCTTTTTTTGTGGAATTCAAGCAATTCATAAAACAGAAATAAAGGTGTAATACTTTTGTCTGATTACGGCATTTAATGTCAAAGACTTCATGTCGTCTTGTTTTCAGGTTACTATGCCAATGCAATGAGCAAGTCTGACACCGCTGGCGTGACAGCCATGACGTCAGCTACACTCTCTGAAACAAACACGAACTGCAAGCTAGATTTCTGGTACTACATGACGGGTACCAACGTGGGTTCGCTGAGCGTCTCTACATCACAAGGCGGTGTGAATGCCACCATTGGTTACATCAGCGGTTCGCAGGGGTCACAGTGGCAGAAAGCTGAGATGGTTCTGGGCGCTGGCACCAACTACAATGTGAGTCACAGCTTTAATGTGATAATTATGCAACTGTGTTCAAATGTATGAATAATTGTTCATATTTATGCAAATTTGGTCAATTATATGCAAATTTATGCAAGTTATACATTTTGTTCAAGCTTTAGATTAAAGAAACATCATAGTGTGAACAATTAAAAAGAATATTAACCTTCCTAGCTTACTGGTTATTCATAGAAAAAAATTATTTGTTAATATAAATAAATTTATATAACATTAGAAATACCATTTCATTCTGACTTTTAAACAATGAAGAAAATTAATTTTTACATTGATAACCATATTTTTCCAATGGTTAACCAAGGAAAACATAAACGTTCCATTTTATCTTGATTTTATACCACCTAGTACTATTGAATTTACAGTTAAGCACAAACAAGCACAATTGAAATATTATTGCTTTTTTTGTCAATTTTTTTTATTGACAATAAAAGAAATTTTATCTCACTAATTTCTTGCATTTCTCAGGTGATTATTGAAGCCAGACGATCTGCGACGTTCTCGGGTGGCATCTCAATCGACGACGTCTCCTTCTACAGCTGCTCGCCTCCACCGATCACCGGAGTGCCGTGCAACGACGATCAGTTCCAATGCAGTAACTCGCTGTGTGTTGACATGACGTCATTGTGTGACTACAGGGATGATTGCATGGACGGTAGCGACGAAAGCAGTTGTGGTAAGAGTGGTGTATTCAGATATTTTCAGTGGTTACTAAATTCTTGGGCTCAAAGGAATTGTAACAGTATTGTGTACTAATATACCCATTAGCACCTGTACTACATTGTATTACATTGTATTACATTGTATTACATTGTATTACATTGTATTACATTGTACTACATTGTATTACATTGTATTACATTGTACTATATTGTATTACATTGTATTACTTTGAATTACATTGTTTTAAATTGTATTACATTGTATTACATTGTATTACATTGTGTTACATTGTACTACATTGTGTTACATTGTACTACATTGTATTGCATTGTATTGCATTGTATTACATTGTCTTACTGTGTATTACTTTGTATTACATTGTATTACAGTGTTTTACATTGAATTACATTGTATTACATTGTATTACATTGTATTACATTGAATTACAGTGTATTACATTGTATTACAGTGTATTACATTGTATTACTGTGTATTACATTGTATTACGTTGTATTCAATTGTATTACATTGTGTTTATTCACTAAAGAATCAATCAAACCATAGAGTGCTCAGGCGGTTTTCAGGTGCTACAGGGAGTAATAGGTAGGGCGATTTGGGGCGGTACTATGACTAGCTGGTTAGTGTCTGGAATCATATTTGAAACCTTGGTTGAAAGAAGATTTTCAAAATGTCCGGCTTTTTTTGGAAAAAGTTTTCGTTTGTAGTAAGAATGTCTAGGTCCAATACTATATATAAGCTTAGTAAAGGGATTTTGTTTTTAGCAAAGACAGGTTTTGCTTTGTGGAAATTGGGATTTCTTATCATCTAAGGAGAAACATACATTTATCTTGGCCAACTTAAAATGAAATTCACCCGAGTTAGTCTCTTTTCCAGACACTTCACTCAGCTGCAGTTTCGACGCAGACCTCTGCAAGTGGCACCAGGAATACGACGACGATTTTGATTGGTCGATGAGGACAGATGGAGCCGGGGGTCCGAGCGTCGGACCAATCAACGACCACTCGAGGAATTCAAATGAAGGCAAGTAATAACGGCAATATTAAAAATCCAGCCACACCCTCTCAGACATAAAATTCAAGTAAAAGAGAAGAATATTTTACAAATTTAGTCATTTAATAGGAAAAATACCCTGACGAAAGCATAATTTTCGTAGGAAAGTTCATTTCATTTGTTAGACATAGGATTTGCCCGTGGTCTCCTCAAGTTATACACAGTCGGGATCACTGGCTCCGCTCTCACCACAGCCCGTCTTTCCAAAGCTGCTGCTTTCAGTTCGGTGGTGTCGCACCCTGACCATGATGTATCTATTGTAGGAAAGTTGCAGATTTAATGTTCTGTTTTCCAATGGAAATTTACAAACGTCTAACTTTCTCTTTGCTCTTTATATTTCTAGGCAAGTACTTGTACATTGATTCCTCTTGGCCGAGACGAAGTACCGATGTTGCCAGACTTGGAAGTCCCTCAATCAGCAGACTAAGCAACAACTGCTATGTAAGCGGAACATCTGAACAATAACTCTTCAAGTATTGTTTAAATTGCCTGAATTATACGGAATGAAATCAATGTGGTTTAACATTCAGTGAATAGTGCACAGCTCATCATCGCTAGGCTGTGGCTGTTAAGCTCAGTGTTGAAAATGTTTACTATTAATAATAATTCATAAATACCTCAGACAGTTTAGCCATTCCTATTGGTCGAGAGCCCGTCACGTGGCCGGTATTAAACGGATGATAAAGACATGGCTAGCTGGTCTTAAACACTTTTCCAGTGTCACAATAAAATGTGGACTCCTAAAAATCCAGTGCCTCTTATCGTTTAATTGGTTGAACGTTCACAATCCTCACGTAGGCATGCGCAACACTACCAGGGAGTTAGAATTTTATAGTTCTAAATTCAAAACGCAACGCGCCAGGTGCGTTCTGCGCGACATCGCATAGAACATGATACGCGCGCGTCAATCTCCATAAAAGGGTTGTTTTCATCTTACTCGCCAGCTGAACACTCCATTATTTTGCAGGAGGGATGATTCAAAAAGCATAAAGTGAATTTGTTGAACAAAATCGGGATGTTTTGCACGAATTATATGATTTTTTTTTACCGAAAAGGTATTTATGAATGGGAATAAATATGTACTCCGTCGGTATTTATCACTCTGTTTAATACCACTTAGAGTCTGGGTGCTGATAATTACCCTCGCCTCCGGCTCGGGTAATTATCAGCACCCAGACTCTAAGTGGTATTAAACAGAGTGATAAAAACCTCCGGAGCACACATTTATTCCCTTAATATAGAGCTAACTAGAAAGCACTCAGAGACGCAAACCCCTGCCAAGGCTGAATAATTCCCCGCCATATTGTCAGTACACCCAATAGATATACTCGCATATCCCATGGGCACATCCACTATAATTTATTGCTCATTGCATAGTATCAACTGGTCGAGTCCATTGACCTGTTGGTTTCATGGTGTGTGCGTTATGTGCTCATAGACTACACGCTGCGTTACCTACACACGTCTCTGCATATTCGCACATACATCATGGTGAAGAATCCTTTAACAAATTCCTGCATCCAGACCCAGATCCGGATCACTTACAAAATCAAATCGATTTGTACTTGTACCAAGGACAACCCCTAAAAAAATGTCATGAAAGTCTGTCCATAACTTTTTCAGTTATCCTGTTAACAGAATAACCAACCAACGCCGATGAAAACATAACCTTCTTGGTGGAGCTTATTATGTAGCACTTTATACACCCAACTCTCTAATCACTTCGCAATTATTACCCCCCTTCATTCGGCCATGAGACTGGTTTTTGCACCTATTTGAGATCAGCGCAATCTGGTCTGTACCATCACAGGTACCCATTACTGCTATGTCGATTGTAGTAAAATGTCCTGCCCAAGAACACAAGCACTGTGTTTGACACTGTAACCATTTGACCACAGTGCTCCATGTCAAGGTCGTATTTTACCAATTCAAACAACCAGTTCTGAAAATAGAAGTAGAAAATCATTGTCCTTGGAGAAAACATAAATATCTCTTAGCACGAACCTGATGATTTTGAATTCGTTTCTAGGTTCGTTTCTGGTACTACATGAACGGGGACGATGCAGGCACCATCGTCGTCCGTCAGCGTACCTCGTATCTTAGCAACGCTTTGCCTCAGATGGATCGCATCACTGGTTCCCAAGGCGACGCATGGCATCTCAGGTCGCTGCCCGTCAACAACCCGGGGGTGGACTTTGAGGCAAGTCGGAGAAATATTACAATTTGGTTTGGTTAGAAATTCTGCACCAGCAATTTTCTTTTTGGGAACAGGGAGGCAGCAGTTGAGCCATTTCTCAGCCCATAAGCTCTTGTATTACATTGTATGACCTTGTGTTTATTGCTTGATAAATGTATAAACCAACTTGAAGGGAATGGTTTAATCATTTTTCTTTAATTGATTATCTTATCTAGATTGTAATTGAGGGAATGACAGGTACCAGTCCACGAGGTAGCGTCGCTATCGATGATGTCTCCTTCTCAACTGGTTGTGCCAAGGTAAACATCAAATTTTAGCCTTTTTTTTACAGTAATTATATGTTTTTCAGACTAACCAGAGAGTAGTTTTCCATTGTTCATTTCCCATTGTTTTCCATTATTCACTTTCCATGGTTTTCCATTATTCACTTCCCGTCGTTTTCCGGTTATTTTCCAATTTTTTTTCCGTCCTCAGGGAAGTGATCTTCCCAGTGAGCCGCTGCGAGGTGACACCAACCTCTACTGCCCAGACGGTCGCTACGCCTGCCTGACATCGACGGGATGCTACAGCCAATCACAGCACTGTGATCTGACATCGCAATGCAGTGACTCTTCCGACGAAAACACGTGCGGTGAGGAACGCAGATTCAAAGAAGGGGGCAGGGAAGGGGGGGGGGGGACTTTTTTCCCTTTTGCTGTCCAATTTATTGATACTGTTTTTATTAATTCTGGTAATGAAACTGGGGATTCTGTAAAAGCACTTGTGGTAGCTTGTAATTCTGAATAAAGTTGTAGAAAGATAAAAGAATGAAAACAAAATGTTCAGTTTCAGAGGTGGGACGAAAAATTCAAAAAAAAATATTCTTGATGAACCTCGAAGGTATGTCGCAAATAAAACCAAATTACCTTGTTGGCCTTGACAAGATTCACTGTGACGCTTGTTATTTTTATGTTTAATATTTTGTAACTTTCAGGCTCCGAGTGTCGTTTTGAAACTGACAGTAATGCTTGCGGATGGTACAGTGCCGTCTCCGACGGACTTGAGTGGCGTTATGGTCGGCCCACTGACGGGGAACCAGTGAATGACCATACAACGGAAACAAGTCAAGGTACACTGCTCCCTCATCAATGTGTCATTACTATTACCCCTGAACATCAAGCCAAGTTTATCTGGAAATTGTTTTTGATAAAGTGATGGGTGAAGTTTTTTTTTTTTTCATGTAACACATTTTACTCACCCAATTCTCAATGGATCATTCCAGATTTGGCTATTGGCCCCGCCCACCTTTGATTTGTGACCAAGAGATGTGATCTGATTGGTCAATGCGCACAGTTTGATTGACAGGCAGGAAGGGTCCATTGCAACTGGAGGTGTGTTTATGGCATTAGTTTTACTCTTTGCGTCAATTTCTTTTCTCAGGTCATTTCATGATCATCGTGCCCCAGCTGAACTTTGCAAACACCGGTCGTGCCGTTCTGAGCTCTCTGATGTACCAACGATCCAGCGCCTTGTGTGATATTAGTTTCTTCTTTTATCTCAATGGCAACTCACTTAACTCCATCAGCGTTTACTTAAAGACTGCAGCATCAACGACAACACAGGTAAAACCATGAGATTTTGAATATTTCAAAGTTCGGCATATTATTCTTTCCCGCATCACATATATTGTTTGGTAGTAAACTCTGATTGACATTACTCTTCACAAAACACTTTAAAGACATCTGCTAAAACCAAAATCTATAGTAATTGATGTCAAGAATCCTAAAATCCAATCGAAATAATTTCTCTATTTCTTATTTTGTTTTACTGTAAATTTATGTCTCATTTAGTTGACTTAAAATACAACATAACATAATTTACCATTATTCAATACACATATTATTATATATCTTTACATTTTTCATTTTTGCTTCCATTTGGTAAATTTCGTCAGTACCAACCTTTGAACATTTGGTGGGATACATATTTTATTTTCATATTTCAGAAGCTGTTTGAGAGTTCCAACCAGCAAGCCAGCTGGCAGTCCACAGGCGAGATTCAGATCGGCGAACAGACCAGCTTTGCCATTCAGATTGAAGCCGCCTTCGGTTCGGGCCAATCGGGCGTCGTTGCTGTCGATGACATCGAATTTGCTCAACAGTGCGCCATCGGTATTAAAGTCCTGCTGTTCATTTCGATCAAAACTCATGCCCACTAATGTTATTTTAATGAAAACATATTAAAGTCGTTGCACTCTAAGTATTGTCCATAATTTCTTTGAGTATTTCTTTTATTAGGTCTCGGCAAGACAGAAACGTGCAACACCGATCAGTTCAAGTGCGGGAGCGGGGAGTGCGTGATGCAGACTGTGCTTTGTGACAAGAAACCTGACTGCTTCGATGCTTCCGATGAAAACAACTGCGGTAAGACAACAACCTCATTCACTGTGTGTTTTAGCAAGAATGTTTTAGCAAGAAGGAGCGTAGCCACAATTTTGTCTATGTCTTGAGCTCAGTGCGACACAAATTAATGGTGTATATAGAGATAACTATGTCAACTCACGTTTGTTACAATTCCTGGAATTATTTTTGTACGAATATATTTACATATTTTGAAAATTCAAAAGAAATTTTTGGTTTTGTTTATTCTCCCAGCTTCTTATACTGGATGTGATTTTGACGACGGTACGGCCTGTAGCTGGGCACAGATGACTGACGATGAATTTGATTGGCTGCTTGGAAGCAGCACTCCAGCAATTGGTGACGATCATGGAAAAGGTAACGAAACGGATCGTAACAAAACAATTTCTACTCGGTCCTGAATAAATTGTATCACACTTTTTACTTTGTGATGAAGCCATAAAACCAGAGAATGCTGTTCGGGGCAGTGAAGGGAGTAACAGGCAGGGCCATTTAGGGCTGTATTGGGAGTAACAGGCAGGGCTGTTTGGGCAGTACAGGGAGTAACAGGCAGGGTGGTTTGGGGCAGTACAGGGAGTAACAGGCAGGGTGGTTTGGGGCAGTACAGGGAGTAACAGGCAGGGCGGTTTGGGGCAATACAGGGAGTAACAGGCAGGGTGGTTTGGGGCTGTACAGGGAGTAACAGGCAGGGCGGTTTGGGGCTGTACAGGGAGTAACAGGCAGGGTGGTTTGGGGCTGTACAGGGAGTAACAGGCAGGGTGGTTTGGGGCTGTACAGGGAGTAACAGGCAGGGTGGTTTGGGGCGGTATATACAGGGAGTAACAGGCAGGGCGATTTGGGGCAGTACAGGAAGTAACAGGCAGGGTGGTTTGGGGCAGTACAGGGAATAACGGGCAGGGTGGTTTGGGGCAGTACAGGGAGTATCAGGCAGGGTGGTTTGGAGCTGTACAGGGAGTAACAGGCAGGGTGGTTTGGGGAAGTACAGGGAGTATCAGGCAGGGCGATTTAGGGCTGTATGGGGAGTAACAGGCAGGCTGTTTGGGGTGGTACAGGGGACATACTTTTACCAGGGCTCATTAATTAATCTGAATTCTGTGCTTTCATTCCGTAGGTGGCAAGTTCATGTACATCAGTGGCTCGGCTCAGCAGCGTGGGGACCTAGCCAGGATGGCAACCGCTGCCGAATACCCTGCTAACAGCGGAGCCTGCAGGGTACGATTCTGGTATCACATGAACGGCGGAAACATTGGCTCACTCAAGGTAACAAATACAGCAGAAATCATTAACCGCTTTTTCGTGTGATGTTATTACATGTTGGTTTTACAGGATTAAGTGAGGAATGAAACATGCGTGAGAACTCTCGTGTTTTAGGCAAGATGCTTGTGATGGATCATAAGTCACCACAAGTCCATCACAAGTCCATCACAAGTCCATCACAAGTCCATCACAAGTCCATCACAAGTCCATCCCAAGTCCATCACAAGTCCATCACAAGTCCATCACAAGTCCATCACAAGTCCATCCCAAGTCCATCACAAGTCCATCACAAGTCCATCCCAAGTCCATCACAAGTCCATCAGAAGTCCATCACAAGTCCATCACAAGTCCATCACAAGTCCATCCCAAGTCCATCACAAGTCCATCAGAAGTCCATCACAAGTCAATCACAAACCAATTTGACTTGGGACTGTGTTACATGTGAGCGGACTTGTGATGCACTTGTGAACAATCACAAGTACCTTGACTACACAAGTGGAGAACTCAGTTGAAATAAAAAGTAAAAAACTTCAGAAGCCACTCAGGCGCCTCGGATTCGCGGATTGCCTCGTTTTTTACTTCTCATGGTTGCCATTAAAGATTGAAAAATACTGTACAAAGCCTTGTGTTGTTTGGAGTTATCTAATTTTTAAAAAAATTCCCAGTTGCATGCCTGGCAACTGTCTACATAGTTAGACTGTAAACTGGGCCTGCCATTTTGGCAACAATTACTGAGTGATGTTATCGTCCCATTCAGGAACATTTGCGAGCATGCTCCCATGATTAAAACTCATCCCTGATATTTTCCAATGCTTCGTTCTCTAATTTTACCTACAGGTGTACATGATGTCAACCACTACGTCTGTCATGACGCCAGTTTGGAGCACTGACGGTGACCAAGGCGATGACTGGGCCTACGGCAGTGCGGCAATCGTCAGCGACGGGAGCTTTAAAGTGGTGTTTGAGGGCGCTGTTGGGAGCAGCGCGGCGTCAGATATTGCGATCGACGATGTCACATTCACCCCGAGCTGTGTCAATCCTGGTATGTGTGGAGAACAGGGTTTTAAGACTTATTGTTCCTACCAATTAGTCTTGAAAAATTCCTTGAAATAAAATTTTGCGTTATCGGTGCCCGATTTAGGATATTTCAAAGGTGGGGGATAGCTTACATGTAGTTGTTGAAGTCAATACATATAGGATGTTAGTTCAGGAAAATGGACATTTTTTAAAATTTATTTCAGTGATCAGGTAATATGTCAATGATTAGCATTGTGCAGACAGCGTTGATGGGGAAATTGGTTAGCTAGTAAATTTCGACAGACAGATTTAAACCAATTTGTGATTTTTTTTTGGTTTTTTTTTTTTTTATATTTAAGGTTTTGTCTTATTTATGTTTGTGCACAAACATGAACACGTCCGTTTCATGTTTGATTGTTTACAACTAGATGTTTTTGTCGTTATTTTACATTTTCCTCTCCCCGCCCTTATACCAGAGCAACGATAATATGATTCTATAAAACTTCAAATAATAACCTATTGTATAAAGTAATCTTTTAAAAATATACCATAAAACCATCATGGACAATAACCACATGGTAGGTAAACGATCCAACTTTTGCAATTTCGGCAAGCCTTACAGTTTTTATTTTTGTTTCATTTCAACCTTTTCCAGATACTGCCGTGCCCACCCCAATCCCTGGAATGTGTGGCGTTTCAGACGGTAGTTTCGTCTTCTGTCCCAACGATCGCATCTGTATCCCATCCTCTTGGGTCTGTGACGGAGTCGTAGATTGTCCGAGGGACGGCTTAGATGAATCAACAACTCTTGGATGCAGTAAGTACCTCACTAACTGCTCTGTTGGCAATTTGAAATATTTAATCGATTTTCAAGTGTAACGTGCATTAAGCAGTAATATCTGCACATGCGCTGTTCTCACCTGGACATGCATAGGTGCACATGCAGCAATGAGTTTGAGAGTTCTTAAAGGGTAGATACAACATTTGCAAACATCAAAAAAGGAAATGATCAAATTATCACGAAATACCTCACTGGATTGTTAGGGACTGACAGTCCAAGGCATCCTGTAAAGTGATAGCTCCTGGTGTGCTCACATTTTCAAGATAAATGGTATTTTTCCAACGGTGGCCGGCCGACCAGCATTGGAGAAAACTGTTTTTTTTTCAAAAACCGCTCCTAATTTTGCATATTTAGTTCTTCTGCAATTTCTTTGCAATTGATCACACTCCTGTGAAGGGTACAACCCTGCTAGGCTGATTCTCTTTTCCCAAAGTCTATAAATTGCTCCGTTTCATCTTAAGTGGGGTCGGAACCAGACTACAAGAACATGATTGGTTTTTCTTGTTTTTTTTTGCTGCATTTACAAGCCTATAACGTGAAACAAGTCAGTTTAACAATATCTGCTATAACATACTAGTCCTCCAAATCCATTTATTTCTGAAAATTGCAGCAAAAGCAAATGTTGAACATTGCATTTAATACGTTGTCACTGATTGCCATTTTCTATTTTCTTGTTTTCCTAGGTAACACCTCAGTGCCCAATCCTCCAACAGGTGCGCCACAAACTGGCTCAAACAGTAAGTCCAATAATATCCCACCTGTTACATTCTTTCAAAAATGCTTGAATTATAATTAATTTCTGGAAATGACAAAGGTATATTCCTGACATGTATTTGGTTTGTAGTTCAATTTTTTTTATAACTAAAATGCTACCAAGAACCAACATATAGCACACATTATAACTTGTAAATGTGCAAACATTGAAGTACAATAATTGAGAGAATGTGCTTGCATAAGAAAGAACTTTTGAAATTGTTTTTTTTTTTTGTCCACAGATTCTGTAATTATAGCAATCGCCATTATCGCCGGTGTTTTGGTCGTCATCTTGATCGTGATGGTTGCTTTTCTGTACTCGAAGCGAGTGCAACACAGCAAGTAAGCCTGAGCTTCAAGTCTGTTATAACCTTTGATTTTCTTAATCCTACTTTCCTCAATCTTCCTAATTCCTCCGGGTAGTTTTAGAAGTTTTTGGAGGATTGAGGCTGAATGGCAAAAAGTGTGGGTTGATTTTCGAGTATGCATTGTGTAGAGTTCATAGGCTGTACCCAGCATTATGTTCAGCCATGCAAAATTGAGCCCTGCATTGTGCTTGATGTCATCCACACTGCTTCTGAATGTCATCGGCACTGCCTCAACCCATTAACAGTGATTGGAGGATTTTGAAGGATTGAGGCAATGATCAGCCCTACATTTAATTCAAGAATTAACGGATGATTTTGGAGGATTGAGGCTGAATCCAAATTTTGACATGGTGGCAATTGGAGGGTTAAGCTAATGTTCATCCACTTCTTCTCTTAACTTTTATAGCCAAGATTAAAAAAATGGCTGAAGTCTAAATTTCAGGGACCCTTTGCCAACACTGACATTAAAGACCACACTTTGTAAACTCCACCTTACTTACTTCATGTTTGTACCTCGTAAAAGAAAAAAAGGATGAAAAAATTAAATCCACACTTAATTCAATTAACATAATTTAATCTTATCTCATTTTCAGACGTTTTGGGGATATTCCAAGGGAACACAGCAACGTTGCCATGAGCAACCCAGCTTACGTAGGCGACCAGGCTTTCGACTCAGTTCTCACGGACGTAAGTTTCTCAGACAAGTATTGAAAAAAATTCAGCCTGTTTCTTAACTGGTTCACGTAGGATGACATGTATACACGCAAAGGTTTTGCTGTATTCAGAGTAGAAAAACACGCGATGAGCGAGGCTGAAAATATCTGTCTGCGACCCGCTCGCAGCGAGCAAGGCCGGAAATATCAGGGTGTGCTACCCACAGATAACGGCCTGAACCCGTCTGGCATCGAGGTTCGTGAAAAACAATCCCGCGCCTGGGTCCGGTCAATGTTAAAATAATGCCTGCACCAACTGGTTAAAACAAACTTCCCAAGCCTTGAGAGTATACATTTAAAAACCAAAAACTATAATAATTGCCACTCATTTATGAAAATCAATTCAATTTTAAAATACAAAAGTCCAATCCAATATGATTTCCCATTTATACAACTGTTTGTCAGTGGAATGGCCTGGGCTGGTTTACTTTTCGTAAAGAGAGGATATTCCTTCCCTGAACTCATTCTAACTTCACCCCTTTTTTGGTAATTCACTTCTAATTTTAGCCCGCTTTGTATTTCAGTTTTCAGCAGCAGGCTACGACCCAGGCATGTTTTCATCAAAGCTTGACGTGCCCCACGCTGTGAGTACATTGAAGAATTTGTATGCATAGGAAGTCAGCTGCATTCGTACTGTCCCTTGCCTTCAAGCTCCAATAACCAGGGCTCGAATATCACCCATGACCATGAGTGCATTGTGTGGGTTTTTCCAGGGATGTTAATCAGGGGCTTGCCATCTCACATTTCTTTGTCGTCTTCGGCTACCACAACATCCACAACATCAACAACCACAATAACCACATAACTACCACCCGTCCTCATCTACTACAACCACCATAACCACCACAACCCCAAACCACAACCACTACAACCACAACTGTTCCAAACCATAACATCCACAACAACATGCAACCACAACCACCACAACCACCATATATAACCCCAAACCACTACTACCACAACTACTACAACTACTACAAATACTTCAAACACCACAGCCACCCCAAACCACAACCACTACAACCACAACTGCCCCAAACCTCAACATCCACAACAACAACCACAACCAACACAACCCCAAACCACAACTACTGCAACTACTATAACCTCCACAACCACCATCACTGCAAACCACAACCACCACAACCACCCGAAGCCACAACAATCACAAACGCCCTACCACAACCACAACCACATCCAAAAACCACAACCCGAACAGCCACCACAACAGCAATACAATCTCTATAAAACTCCACAGCTGATAAGCAAAGCTGATAATTGTTACATCACGAACGAAGCATCCGATGAAGCCTTCCTCGGAAAGTCAAATACCAAAAACATGGCTCTCCTATGGTTATCATATATCGCATCATGCTATCAAGTAGTTGTTCATAAAAGTTATGTACATCATCGTCGTCGGTTTTAAGGCCGTTGTCCAGTCTGTTCTGGGTTGGCCTACTTTCTCCCTATGGCTCTCCTCTGCTTGGCCCTGTCCGTCAAGTGAAGGAGAGCCATAGGGACACAGTTGTTTATAAAAGTTGTGTACAAACTAGGATGTTTATTTTTGCTCATTTTTGTGATTTGCAGAAGCCCAGAGGTGGTAGTTTCAGCAACCCGACCTACGGCACCCATCCAGTCACCCTACCACTGGACAATGAAACAGACTCATAACTTGAACAACAAAGACTCACGGAATCAACACTCCATGAATTAGATGCTATGAAATACAAAACAAAATGGACTATGTGGTTTCTTTGAAAGTATAATGACTTCTTAAATATATACTGGTAATCACGTATAGCTTTAATTTCATTATCCTTATTACGAGTGCTTCTTTTCTTATTCATGCTAAGCTCTTTTTCTGGACAAAATTTTAAATATTAATATCAAACTTAACATCTGTCTCATAGGAACCAGTAAATGAAATTTGTGTTTTTTTTAAACAATGTTAGAACTTGGACCAAGATCTCTTTTAAATAGAAAAAAATGTGAGATTTTCTGTGTGAATTGACTTGCCGTGTGAACTGTGCACATTCATAGAACACTAAATAGGCTTAAAGTGTAACCACCCTGATGAGTTCAATAAAACTAATTTTTAGGATTTATATGCTTGTCAACAAACCAATTCGTGAATGATCTATTTGTTTGAATACATTTGTTCCGCCCTTGGTCCTTTTTAAGGGAATGGGTTAATATTTCTTGTATGTAGTATATTTGATATTCATTGTATGTAGGCTAGAAAATGTAAAACATCAGAAATTTGCACTTACGTGCATAAATATTAGATGCTTGGAAATGTTGAAACACTAAAGATAGATATAAACTTCGTATGGCATCGCATAATTTTTACACTTAAGACAAGTTAAAAATAAGTATGTTCTCGTCAAGCCTTTTTGATAAAAAATGAAAACGGCAGAATTGTTTTTCCAAGATAGTGAATTTTTCAAGGTAGCGGATGGATTTTTCAATGTTCTCGACTATTTTGCTGATACAAAATGGCGTCCAAATAGGAGCCATTACCCTTTTAACATAGCTTCAATTTTGTTAGAAACAAATAAAAAGGCAATATATTTACAATATATGCAAAATATATTACAAATGGATTTTTTTTAAAGGAGGCGGCCGGGAAAGAAAAGAAGCAGGTCGGACGAGAACCTTGTTAACTTTTTTTAACTGGCTTTTATGTTTTGATACCCATTTATATTCTGTCATTTGTTTTGCATCTTTTTCAAATAGTATTGTTTTACTTCTCCAATGTAAAGTTTACAGTAAGAAAATTGGTAATGGTTCAATTTTTCTTTGAATAAGAAAGCACTTAAAAATACCAGGGTTCGACCTTAACTTTTTTTCCACGAGCCAGGCGGGCTACTGAAACAGACTAGCCCGCGGGCATGTTCACTAGCCTGCAAGTTTTTCTTTTATAGAGTGTCTCACAAACAACAGTGTTTATACACGTAAAACGTGTATCCTGAGGCAATCTTGTTAATGTTTTTAATAAACAAATCTAATAATTTTACCCTAAACAGTTTTTAAAACAGGACACAAATTGATACATGTTTGCTTTCTGAATAGAATGGTTTATTTCTTCATGTCCTTTCATCTTTGCCGTAGACCAATATTTTTTGACTGGCCAGCCAGGCTAAGTTTGGAATAGTTGGACAAGCCCGCCGCTGGTTTAACAAGCATTTGGCTAGCGGGCTACCGTTTAAGTCGAACCCTGAATTACTATATAGACTGCTTTTGTAGGAATATGGTAATTAAAAGAAAGAAATACAAACATCAAGTTGTTGTAATTGCATGGATTTTAGATGGAATAAATCATTTTGGGGAAAAAAAATGCATTTCTGACTTGTGCACGTGGCCTCGTAGTTAAGGGCATTTGATTCGTGATCTTCGGGTTAAGCTGCAGGTTGTGGGTTCGAGTCCAGCCTGGGGTCATGGTGCGTGTGCCCTTGTGCCTCATTGCTTCTCTCCACCCAGGAGTAAATGGATACCTGTGAGGGCAGAGATGGTTATTGTGATTGAATTAGCTTCCTTGCGCCTAACAGGCTGCATCGAGCTGTATACTCCCCAGGGAGCTGAGATGGTATTTGGAATGTTTCATGGGCCTATTGAGCAGGGATAATAATGATGACGCGCCTTGAGCACCAGTCCTGGTGGATACGTGCGCTATATAAATACCCACTGTTATAAAAATTAGTTAGCTATTATGCCTACCAGCTATTGTGCATACATGTATGACGCGCCTTGATTGCCAGCCGGCGGAATATTTAAATAAATCTTGCTAAATATCATACGAAATAATTTTTTCTTTAAGTGAGCAGTGTGGATCGTACTTAGTTCTTGTCAATGAAGTGGCAATGAATTTACCGCACACTGCGACAGGGGTTCACCAATAACAACGACATACCAAAAAAGTAATGGCGAATGAGAATTCACTGGCGGTGTAAACTTTTTATGTGCATGTAGTTGCACAGATAACTTGGTCAACGATATAAATGGCACAATATAGTATACAAATATTGAGTGGCTCAGAGTGGAATGGGAGGAATATTATCGCAAGGTAAAATCTGGACTTTTTCATTTCACGAGGCGAAGCCGGGTGTACTGGGAAAAGTCCAAACATTTGTTGCTTCAAACGAACATAATTATGGACTGTCCCTTTAAGCATACAAATCAGAATGGTTCCATCACAACTTAAAATGGTAATTACAAGAATGGCTGTTTAAAGGAGAAACGGAGCACAACTTTAACACGCCAGAAATCCACTGAAAATATCATGAAAGGCACCTTGATAAATAACACCGGTAGGCTGATAAACTGTTGGCGGTGTGAGTGCGCACTTCCATCATTGCACACAAGTCAAAGGTCAAGTGCTCGTTTCAAGTGTCTTTTTATCGCGCGCGTGACTAGTTCAGTTGCTGTCTCAAGTTGTCAAAGGTCGGTTTGAACCCGTGATACATAAACTAAAAAGGCACAGTACGAAAAACACTGATCGAATTACCTGCAAGGGATGTGGTTGTTTTTTTTTACTGTGAAAATATTACACAGTTAAAGCTGAAACGATAGCGTTATACACACAAGTTTCGACCGAAGTGATTGATGAAGTACGAAGGGTTTGCATCAGGTCTGCCAAGCATCGATCGAGGTGGGATATTACCAGGGAAGTTACCCTTTAATTAGTCTGCGTAGCAGCTTTCAAACCGATCACACTCGCGTGAAATAAATCACATCTAGTAGATTCCTTATATACCTATATGTCGGTAAATTTGAACTCGAGACGCAGACTAATTGGAAGCAAGGTGAGACTATCTAAATCTTGAAACCATTCCATTCATATTTTAAATTCACAGGCAGCATTTCTTGGCTCTGAGCCAAGATATGGCCGAGGGTGGAGACGACGGGGCAGATTTCACCGCAGCTGAATTGGCATCGGTGGGCGGGAGACGATCCTACAACAGAGCCATCTCGTTAGCGTTCTCTCAAGAAGGCAAAGAGGAATCGTCGAGAGACCAGCAAGACATTCATCAAGATGAGCTGAAGAAAACATCCGAGGGAAGTGTCGAGGAAGAACTTGGTAATGCTGAGACAGAAGGAGATGATAGCGAAGATGTTGACGTGAAGACTAAGGATAAGAGTAAGGGGGTTAAGGATTTGGAAATAAAGGGTGGAGTTTCTTCCGAGGGAAATATTACAGGGGTTCAGGATACATTTGATATCCATTGTGGTGCAATAGGCAGCCGAGGTAGAAGAGGTAAAACAAAACGGAGACATCTGCATAAACAAAACATAAGACTTGACCGAAAGCAATATCTAAGTTCCTTAGCTAAGCAAATTGGCACAACTCCGGGAGAAGCAGAAACAATCAATGTGGATGTAGTCCGCCCTGTTCCAACATTAGTTGAACTCTGTCTCCGAAAAGGTATTAAAAGGGTCGGTCTTTCCGAAGGCCCACACACTAGCAGAATTGCCCCAGGTATCCGCTCGCTTCTGAAAGCGCACCAGAATCACAGTAACCTAGAGCAAATTCAGTTGAAGTGGTTGCTGGAAGTGTTGAAACAAGCTGAACAGCAGGCCAAGTGCAATACACTGAAGTTCATGGACAAGCGTGGAAGGAAGAAGGAGCTACTAGTTCGAGACTGCCGCTCCCTGTTCAGCACGGACGAAGATTCTCGAGGTGAGGCTCGAGACTCTCATCGGAAGAATAAATTCAGTGCCTCGCTAGTTCTCCCGTGTTGTGGTTTCGATAGTAGTGACTGGGCAGTGGCAGCATTGGCGCATTGCATTGATCTCTTGCTCCCTTTACAACTTCCTGAAGTTGGTGCCAAAAAAACTCAAACGATCATTGGAATCAAGCGGTTGTTGAGCAGACATTCTTCAGAGTTGGTAAACCTGTGCTTCGACACTTCTTTGGCCTATGTCTGGTGGTCAAGAGGTGAAGTTGATAAAGCCAAGGAGTTGCTATTGGCATCATGCGAGAGTATCCCCTCACACGATGAAGTGAGAGTACATCCCAAATCAGAAGAAATCTTCAGGTCTCGCACTTTGTTGGATCGCCAGAGGGCTCTGTATCACAATGAAATAGGTAGGCTGTTGTCCCAGTTTGACCAACCAGTATTGGCGGGGCGATTCTACCGGAGTGCGGTTGATGAGATTTCGGAAGGTTCTTTTGTTGTCATTGACAAGCTGGTGCTGCAGTCGCTCGCTTTGAGTGCTTCAGCTTACGATCAAGGTCTGATGGATCATGAGCAAGCCGTCAAGGCTGCCACTCTCTGGAAACTTGTGACCAGCTCTCCAGGATCCAAAAGTGAGTTGGTCCAGGCATCTGTGGATTCACTTCTGCACTGTCACGCTGGTTCCCCCGTTGGTGAAACAGAAGCCTTTCTCGATAACGCCGAGCAGTTAAACGGGTTATGGCTCTTGGAAGCAAACTCCCGAATTGCAGAGTTGGCTGTAAAGTCTCCCCAGATGTACCTCTACCAGTCATTGATTCTGTCCATGCTTGGAGAGCCAAGACGTGCCGAACAGGCGTATGAGGTGTACGTTCAGCAGAGTTGGTCCTTTGATTACGAGTCTGCAACAGGTACATTACCAACATCATTATTCGAAGATGCTAAAGCAAAGCCATGGTGGATTCTCTTTGAGTGGTGCCACGCCGAAGCTGCGATGTCTGCTTCCAAGACGCGGAAGCCCATCAACGCTTTGCCTCTTCTTTGGCGCAGAATGTTAAAACACCCATATTTTAATTGGGATGTCTATTGTTTTAGTGTCTGTGAAATGCAAGGAAAGTCAATGAACCTCCATCTGACACATGACGGTTTTCTGAGTGGCGCCATGATGCAGAATCTTCCTCCTTGGAGGTCTCTCCTCTTGGACCCTCACACAGGAAGAATCTGTCTTCAGGATCAACACCGTCAACATGAGATTCAAGAATGGGAGAACTACCCTCCAATGCATACTCAAAATTTCACTCATGACTTCTTCATTCCAATGCCGATACTTCTTTACCAAGATGCTTCCGAAAACACTGCCGTCTCCTTGTTAAATGTAAACAGCACTGTCAATTTTAGACAAGATTTTTTTTACTTCTACTCAGACACCTACACCCTACCGAACGCCAACGTTTCATCTACTTTGATCTACTCAAAGGGTGGTCAAACAGTTCGGCTCAATTTGAGACAGCTGGTCATGGAAGCAAGACAAAAGAGCATCCAGCAGCAAGTCAAGGACATAACACCCGCAGTTAGCGAAGATGTTGAGCAAGATGTGCAGGACTTACTTGATTTCTGCATTACAAGAGGTCTTCAGATCGACTTTCCTCTCGTCAAGGAAGTTATTGACGGTAAAAGAGCCGCCCTGATGGAGCTAGTAAGAAGAAAACTGTCTTCAAAAAGAAGTCGCGGACGCTCGACAGATTTGAAGACTGGCTCGAAGAAGAAATTGAAGGACACCCAGCTGCCTCCACATCAGTCTCTTCAAATACAGGAGGTGTTGTTTGTCGGAACGTCAACCGTAGTTCTGTGTCTGTACACAGCAGCTACGCCGTTCGATCCAGAATGGGGTGATCCTTGCGACCAAGACACGCTTGTCTTTCTCGACTGCAGCTCTGCAGAGACTTTCAGCAATCCAGTTATAAATTGTCCTGACTCATCAGATTTGGTGTGGATGCTGCCGAGATCTAAGTCCTGCTGGAAGAACAATCTCTTCAAGCAGAATGTCCTTTACGTCTATGCTGCGTGTTTTACCCCCTACCATGACAACGCATCGTACATGCACAAACTGAAGGCCTTGGTCGTTTTCGATGAAAGTGGGAAAGTCATTCATAAAGAGCCCATCCAACAGCGACAGGGAACCTTCACCCATGTTTACACGGCATGCTCTGGGTGGCACATCGTCGGCCTTGATTCCAGGAAGACATCGTTACGATCCCTGGATACCAAAAGTTCCACGAAACTATCAGTGCCGACGGTAAGAGTTGAAGATTTTGAGGTTGTTGCGGACATGGTTTTTGTCTCTCGGTCGTCACGTGTTTGCGTCTTGCACCCTGGCTCCTTCGAGCCTTTCCGTGTGGTGAGGCGGCCTCCTGGGAAAGCATCAGTCTCAAATACTGACGGTGTTGTGCTCCACGGTGAATCGCACCGTCTCGACATCCTGTCAACGGATACATTCTTGAAGAGATCAACAGAGGGCGGTTGCGAGCTAGTTCTCCACACTCGTGTGATCCTCGGAGTACTTAACCACGTACTTATCCTGGAAAGAGAGAATTGTTCACAGGACCCAGACCAACGTTACCTACATCACGTGGAGGTAGTAGCAGATATTCGGATCCCTGGGATGCCAGAGGAAGCGCACTTCATCAGCAAGCATGCCGGACTCGTAGTCGCCGCATCCGTTTTTGAATATCCATCTGACCCCTACTACCGTGCAAGCCTGTACTGGTTTAGTATGGAGGGCGTTATCAAGGCTATCCACCCTATACTAGGACCGCCCCCTTATTGTTTCAAGGCCATTCCGATATCGAAACCAGAAGGGGCGGGGTTGAGTGATGGTAAGATGGGGGGTGAAAGTGACACGCATGTCAAGACAAGGCGTTGGCATTTGTTCTTTGCTGATGGTCTCGGGGCCTTGTGTTGCATAAAGCTTGATTTCGATGATCCTAGTTTGTTTCATTGAGGCTATCTGTTCCGTTCACAAGTACCCCCTCACCGGCAAAGGAAGTACAGTTGGGGGTGACCGATCGACGCCATCTTGCCTGACTGCAATTTTGCCGTGACGCGCGTCCGTACCACTGTGTGGACATAGTACAAATCCCCTGGTGTACGTGCGTCACACACAAGGAACGGTGTGCGTCAACCAGTTAAATGTCCCGCCCATGGGATGTCGTTATTAGGTAAAAGGGCGCTCTCTTTTGTTAGCGCACGGCGCTCATATATCTGATGCTGTGGATTTTGAGTTGTTGATGAAACCAAGGTTCTGCTTTCACAAAAGTGGGCCCTCTTTTTTTCTCAATCTTTCTCTTATTAATTCATGCTGGCTTCTGTTTTCCCCACCCTTTTCTTGGCTCGAGAAAGCCACGTTGGCATCCAGGCCTATACAATAGCCTTTCGAAACAGATGGCAGCCATGAAACTGCCGAATTGAAACTTAATCTTAAACGGAATGTGTCTTTGATAAACGAAAGGGACCATGGTGTTAAATAAAAATGAAAGAAACGTTTCATTATAAAGGCTGTAGAAATCAATGCGAGCATTTTGGGTTGGCGATTCACACATTTTAAATCAGATTAGTAACGTGGAGCATGTTTCAAATAGGGGAAATTGTATACAAATGTAATAATTTCGGTATCATTGACAAGAGTTGATGGTTAATATTTAATGAAAACTTGTTCAATAGTGCTTGTTATAATCTTTTGCTGTCATACGTGGGTATAATGACTTGTTTAAAATAAGTTTTCTTTACATTACCAGAAAATGACATGCAAGAGTAATCGCTTAATACTTCTTATCTCGAAATTATTAGTTTACTTATCTATTTATGTGCACTTGTCAACTCAAAATTAGCTGTTTATGTTAACATTAAGTTAGAATGAATTGCATAACAATATTATCAATATTGGGTTTTTTTTGTGAGCGTTTGTCTACGGGCTTCGTCCTTTTGACTTTGAAACGATAATGATATCCAAATAGTTATTTCCTGCTTTTCAAAAGTTTAAATAGAATTATTGACCAACGAAATGCATAACAATATCCGTGATAATATGTTATAGTGTGCAGGAACCACGCGCGTCTAGCTCAACGAAAATGTCACAGAAGATCAAAATCAAGTGAATGGCATTTAGGAAATCACTTAATTCCTTGTAAAGAACAGTATTGTGATATTGTTTATCTACGTACTTTTTTACCAATAATTCTAAAATAATAAAAAGCAAAAACATTTGAAAAAAACCGAAGCTCACAAGAAAGATTTCTTGTCACTTGATGCATTGCCAATCTACAATAAAAGAATTTACTTTGAAGATACATGTGTTTTAATTATTAGTGGAATTACTAGTGGTAATGGTGCAAATGCTTAATTTAAGACGGCTGACGAAAATGCTTGTGAGAAAACATCGGTCATTTTGATTGTAGCCATGGTGGCTTACGGCAACCAGTCTCTGATAGAGACCTCGCCTCTAAATGCTATAGCATCCCAAGTCGACATTGAGCACAGTGGCGCCGAACACCTTGGCCAGCAGCGCGACGCAGCCACTGAAGTTGTTGTTTTCCCACTCCAGGTCACTCAAGTCCACGCAGACTGAAGCCAGCTTGACACCCGGCACACTCGAACAAAGCGCTGGCGGATTATGAGCTGTAATACCAAACAATAACAAAAAGAAAATGTCACTCTCACTCGGGAGGTAACACACTGTACATGTACAAGCATTACATTCACTGTGTGGACTTCCGAACCCGTGTGGACTTCCAAACCTGTGTGGACTTCCGAACAAAAGATGTCCACATAAACCAGGTATAGCAGCGACGTTGTGTGGACTTTCGTTTCCCACGTCCACACAATGTTTCCCCCTCTCTGGAAATTGGTTTAGAGGCATTTTTGGGTTAGGTTGTTACGTGGCAAAAGGAAGGGAATCACTGCAAAAATTGGGTTGAAAGAGTTTTCACAGTTTGGGTCACGAGTTTTTTTTTTTCACTACACGACAACAAAGGAATGTTCACACTAGGTATGCAACGTAAACATGTACGAGTATACAGTGTTTATATGTCGGTGACGGGCAAAACCTAACATTGATTTACATTACCCCGAAGCGAATTCCATCTTACGAATAGTTAATTCGGTACCCGCTGCCATCAGATCCGAACCGCCAACCGATCTTTAAGCTCGGTGGTCGAGTGGTAAGACATCTGCACTAGAAAGCAGGAGGTCGTGGATTCGAGTCCCACCCGAGTGATTTTTTCCCCAACTTTCACTCGGGGAGGTAACATACTGAGTATGCAAGGCAAGGGCAAAACCTAACATTGATTTACATCACCCCTACGCAATTAAATGTCCATCTTGTAAATGTTCATTGGTGTGTTATTATTTTACACCCTAAAGTCTCAGGTCACATTTGACCGGACGTGGTGTTTTTATTTGCAGCACACATCGTCAATGGATCATGATTATTCAGCTAGTTCGATGTTTATTCAGAAGAAAATAACAATGACGTCACATCATTGATATCACTCACTCATGCATGTACATTAAAGCCTTTCAAAGAGCTGCCACAGTGGTCTAGTGGATATAGAGGAGTGAACTTATGGATTGCAAGATCTGCGGTTCGAACCCGTGTCCATTTTCGTCACATACTTTTTGTTGGTTGGAATAAGTTTAATTGACTAAAGAAACACTTCGAGAACCTAAGTGTCTTCCATCCACACAGCGTGATAAATATTCATGTTAGGGTGCGCGTGATGTACGTGGTTGGTTAAAATACAATGTATGCTGCAGAAAAAAAAATACGCCGACCGCAATCTTGGTTTCATTGGGCCTGACACTTTTCAGGGTCGAACTTGACACTTTATCTGGGTCAAAATGACACGACTGCTAAGGTTTCAGGGTCAAAATGATGGCCAAAATGGTCAATTGATTCCTTACCTGACACGGTTTCGTCAATGATGGTTTGTCCGAGGACATTCAGTCTGACACGGATACCGTATTCATCTGGGAGGACCTCGCCGAGCACGCAAGCTTTTCATCAAAAGATATCAAAGAGGCATACATTTAATCAAAATATCTAGAGGAATTACAAATTTTAATAGTCGAGCTATAGACCAAATATTCGGTCGTTATGTTTCAGGTTAAGCGTATATGCGTATTTTAGCAAAAGGTGTGCTCAGGTTTAGGAAGCTAAAGGACATTATAAACGTCAACAGTGCATCGTCCCTGATCTGCTCTTTGAAAACACCTGCAAGGCCACATAACTTTCACAGTGAACGGTTTGATCATCAGGTATTCATTAATCAAGTTGCCATTATGAATAAATTATTTAATTGACTGCTTACCATCCAGATTCACTTGTTCCCAAAGAACCTTGAAGGACAAGCTACCGCAGCACTCCGAAGTGTAGCCATTTACGGAGCAGGAACCGGTTCCGCTCGGAGCACGCTTCTCCAATGCCTCTGTTGAAAGCCAGGAAACTTGGTGTAAATACAGGGTGAGTAAAAAAAAAACGAAACCCAAATTTCGGGACCATTGTTTTAGTGAAGTTCTGAATGTAGCACTTAAAAAATCTAGGATATGAAAGCTCAATTCACAATCTTTCTTTTAGTACAAGAATCATTCAAATCACTGATGTACTTTTTTTGGTTCAAGTTACGGGATTAGAAACACAACCACCGTTTTAAAGTTCTGTTCATGGATCACACAAAAGGTGTGCGTTCTTTCAGCAAAACGAAAGCAATTCACAAACATCCATATGTGATTTGTTTTCGTTTTGCTGAAAGAACACCTTCCTTTTTGTGATCCGTGGACAAAACTTTAAAACAGTGGTTGTGTTTAACAGTCCGTAACTTGAAACTGAGTAAATGAGCGATTTGAATGATTTTTGTACTAAAAGAAAGCTTATGAATTGGGCTTTCATATTCTAGATTTGGAAAGTGCTAGAAGCAGAACTTCACTAAAACAATGGTCCCGATATTTGGGTTTCGTTTTTTTTTACTCGCCTGTATAGACCCACCCGAGGCTAGCCATCTGTTTTGTTTAAAGTTCTTTAGCATTTAGAACAATGATGTAAGAGGTATGTTAACCATGCGTTGAACAAAAAAAACACACCACATAGATGGCTGCAGTGGACACGGTCTATATCCAGCCTCGTCTCTGGCTTCTGCCTTATTACAATGTATGAAATCTTTAACAAGTGCAATGGTTGTTATATCTACAAGTATATAGTACAGATGGAAATAAAACAAACAACTTGACAAACAAACAAACAAACTTGCGTCAGAATCATTCGTAAGCCTTTATGTCCGCACTAAGTGGAACTGTCTTAAACTTTGCCATAATATAATGACAGGATTTTGTTTCAGAATCTAAACATGAACTCAAAGGCGGATCCAGAACCAACGGGGGGAGGGGGCAAGAGGGCTCGATTATATTTTGTTTATCAAAAATAGGAATAAGGTTATGTATAGTATCGTGCGTTATTTCTACACCAAAAAATATGTGTACATAGCTGATGGCTTACGAAGGAGATACGCAACGCTTGTCTTCACTCCTATTTTTTTTTGGGGGGGAGGGGTAATGGCCCCCGACCGTTGGTCCCCCTGGATCCGCCAATGCATGGCTTCTACCGGCTGGAGTCCCCTACATGAGGTGTATTAAGCCTCTTAAAGGTGCAGCCGCAGGTAGAGGCAATGTTAAACGAAACCACTGGTTGACACACAAGAATAAACGTGCAAACTATATGAAATTGGTAATAGCTGGGCCTATAATACCATGCATCAGTATATGATCACTCCTTGGCGTAATACCAACTACAAAATGGCTCTAACATTCCTGCCTAAACTCCTTTAGAGAGTTAGGTATGATCCGGAATATATTTAGACAACTTACGATCGACAGTCTGTAACTGAGCCAAGTCATGGGCAGCCTTTTTAGCCAGATCAATCTCCAAGAGTTCCAACATCTCCTGGTCGTCATCTGTCAGCAAAGCCCTTTCATCGGGATTCTGCTAAACGAAAAAAAAATCAAATAACAATTCCGGCATCCTTGCACATAATCACTGAATTTTCTTATTTTCTTTTCTGTATGAATCATGGGCGTTGCCAGGACGGTTCTAGAGGGAGAAAAGAGCCTCGAAATCCCTTTACTTTTCTAGCTTATTCTTGATTTATCATTTTTCGAGGATGGGCAGGGGCACATGCTCCCCCAACCCATTAAATCAACAGCAAAATACTTCGCGCCTCTTTTTTTTTTTCTTTTCCCGCTTTTTGTTTTTGTTTTCCTTTTCCGGGGGGGGGGCCCTTGCCCCCCCCCCTCGCGACGCCCATGATAAGAATCTTCATTACAAACAGCAACACTTTGCGATTATTATATAAATCCGAGAAGTGAAAAGCCAATTGATATTCATTATAATTTAAGTAACGACATGTAATAACAACTTGGTGCATCAAAAACAACTAAATTTTACGTTTATGGAATAAAAACCGTTAATTTAGTTAAGATAGTTATCATTTGTGAAATTGTAAGGGAAACGCATTCCTCCCTTGGTACGGTTTTTGAAAAATGGAATTTATAACTGCTAACTGGCAGGTTTGATGAAATAAACAAATCAACTTTTTTAACTCACTATTTCATAAAGTTGCAATAGCTGGCCTTTTGGTACTCAAAAAGAACCTTATATGCTAACATTATTTTATTAGTCCGTACATGCTTACCATTATGGCAAACGAAGCCACCGTCGCAACAGCAGTCGCGAGACATAAGAACGTCACAAAAGCGCGCATTTTGGCAAGTTGATGCTCCGAGAAAGAGTCAAGATATGCCACAGGCCTCGATAAGATAGCAAAATCACACAGACTTCGGGAAAAAACTAAAACTAATGACAGATTTTCAATGTGGCTTCAATTTTATATAAACCTATGCCTTGCGTATAGGCGTCTATCGGCAACGGCTCGTTAATTTTCATAGACGTCTGAATGAAATTACAGGTAAGGACTGGTATCCCAAAGTCAAGCCCGCATGTTAGGCCTACTTCCTGAGAGCATAGTGCTTTTTTTAAATGTTCACACGTGTATGTAAATTTACTGATCCTAAACATTTGGATCATTACATGGTATCGCGAGTCGGACATTACCATTCGTGCATATGAATAATTAATAAGCTATAATTCCAAAACCCTTCGACCTATAGTCTTGAAATTTATTGGGTATATTCATGTTAAGTTGTTCTATGCATGCACCGAGCTTCATAACTTTTCGTCACTCAATGGCCGAGATCTAAGGGGGCGGCCCCCGGCTGTGAGATGGTCAAAATAACCCGGCCATTTTAGGGTAAAGTTGACATTTTACTATTTTTTTCTTCTGCAAAAGACATAAATACATTAAAATTGATAATTATTATAATGAAAAAAAAAAACAACTCACAACCAAATACAATATATGCTCACTTGCCTTGAAAATCTTTGCAAACCCTCCCGGAAGGCGAATTTTAGGTGAAAATGTCCCATGAACTTTGACCTCAGGTCAAGGTCACTAAAGGTCAATGGGAAAATGGCAACATCAATTTTCTTGTTCTTGTAGACCCATAAGAATGCATTTATAATGGTTGCCATAAATTAACATGAAATTTCCACGGGAAGCCAAATCTATACATGGGCCTCCTACTAGAGGTTATAGGCATCTTCATTAACGATGAATCCAACATTAGGCCAAAAAAAAAAAATATGTCGGTCTCTGGTCAGCGCGCGCGTCGATTTAAATCATGCGCGTCGATCTTTTTTTCCCAAAATGTTCCGCGGTAGCTCCAACAGCGCCCTCTATTTCCGCACCTCCTCAAATTTGTTTTACCAAAGAGCACCAAGGAATGGGAAATTGCACCAAGGCAAATGATTCAAAGCACCAAGGCAAATTATGGAGGACACCAATGTACATGAGGACACCAAAAATACAAAATAGTACCCACCTTGTCTGTACAATCCAAGCTTGAAGAAAAAAAAAAAAAGCAAAAAAAAAAAAAAAAGCCGCGTGGCCGCGTCAATTCCGGATCTTTGGTCTGACCAGAGACCGAATATTTTTTTTTTGGCCTTAAAGGTCCAGTAATTCACCTTCCAGAAATTGTTCAAGTGCATGTGCTACCTTTTCTAACTTTGTTAAACTTTTCTGTTTGAAAGTACAGGCCTATACACAGTGTCTATAGGCTTGATTTAATGTGGGGGCGTTCTATATGCTAATCGGTTTTGTTATGAAAACGTCTCGTGATTGCAGGGACAAGCAGTGATGCTTGAAGTTTCGAATCTACGGTCATGTCACGTGATGTTGCAATATACCAGTATAAATGGCTGAGAGAGACATAGAGAGCTTTACTAAATCTTTACGACCACAAATAGCCCAGCAAATCCTGCTTTCTTTCAACCAAATGATTCTCGCTTGACATGGATGCCTAGGGAATATGTCCTTTCACACCCTGAATACTTTTAGAGTATTCAGTAATATCCCACACTTGTCTGCTGTTCCGTACTAAAACATTTTGAGGGTTGTGCATAAAGGTTTATGAACATCCATGGCACAGATAGATCCGGTTCTAGCGGATGGATGGAGTAGACCAAGGGACAGGACATTTTGCTGGTATACACACAGGCCTATACTAAAGTCTTGGTATAGAAAATGGTGCACCACGCCGATTGCTGTATGGGCGGCGAAGATATTTCTAATCCGCAATTCGACTATACTGTTTTCATATTTACACAAAACACAAATCAACTTCAAGACTTCTTGACAGGGTCTTGCATGTTGGTTTACAGGCCTATGCCCGAATACGAACTTTGGAACCGGTTACGTTATAAATCAGGGTGGCTCTAAAAAAATGGAACGGCGTACTTCACTACCCTGAGACTCAAACAACCTACACCAATGCAGGGGGAATGCTGTTCAAAGAAAAATGGTATAAAGACCAGTCATTTTGGTTCAAGAGACTATTTTGTGAAACAAACTAGGGATCCAGTCATTTTGTCCCGCGCCAGCGAATTTGACTTAATTGGATAAAAGGGAGTAATTGTTATGTAATAATAGTATTACCCAGGTCATGCAAGATGTGTGCTTCGCAATATAGGCTCTGCAGCAAAAACTACTGGACCAAATCGGGAGATCTTGGTATCATATTTCTTCTAAAAAGATTCTCCATCCATTGGTACAGGTGATTTTGGTCTTAAGATAGTGGAAGTATGTGCGGCTCCGGGTTTTTTTGGGCCACACTGTATAGGCCCAAACGTTAGTATCAGCTTCAAGTTGCAAGTATGTGCCAATGAGAGTCTGGGGTATTCTGAGCCAACCGGAGCAAAGTGCAGTGACGTATATAGTGGACGCATGGGATTCAGAAAATATGAAAAGAGACTAGGAAAATTTTGTCCCAGACCAACTTTGTCTATTGTTGTCTTGGTACTTTTGGGGAAGGCTGATGCAAGTTTCACACGTGGCAGTCAGTCTGTGTCTTTTATCGAGTCAATCATGCAGTCAGTGAGATAGGTAACTGGAGGACTGTAGGCCGCTCGCGAATTATTTTTTTCCCCAAACGAAATCCGAAAATATCAAAAGAGGGCGCTCTCTCCCTGCATTATGCATATTCATGATGTCCAGGGCTTTAGATAATAAGTTATTTAACAAGGATTAATGGTGTTTAAATCACCGACGATTGGCAGCTGATTCGTGGACTGGTTGGAAGTAATCCTAGTGAGCGTTTTTTTACTTCTCATATTTTTTTTGGTTAAATTACTTTTCGACATAATTATATTTGTTATTCATATGTTTGCATTCCCCCATGCCATGAAAAGGGCACACCAGGCCCACCAAATATAGGTCACACAATATCCTGAAATTATGGCACACCAGGCCTATCATATATAGGTCACACCAGTCCTAGGTCACACAATACCCTGACATTCGGGAAATTAAACCAGACCCTGGTACAAAGGGCACCAGACTCAGCCATGAATAGGGCACACGAGGCCCACCATTATATAAGTCACACCAGACCCTAATAAAGAGGGCACACCAGACCTAGTTTGGGGGTGGGGTGAGTGTATGGTCTTGGCAAAGTGCCCGTTTTAGTTGCGTATACATAAAGTTTGCCTACACCCGGAACTTTCATCATATAGCTCCTGCCTGCTACACCCCAACGACCAAACGATCGTGTTCTTACTCTGGAAACTGATTTGCCTCTGCCACTAAAACACCGTGTCAGAAAATTTTCCTATTGCTAAGGTATGTATTCATAACTTTGATCTGATAAACGTCAAGTTGTTGCATTATGTAAAATGTTCTAACTTCTCAAAGTTTTACACATACAGATTATTTTTGCGGGGAAGGGTACCTTAAAGGGGAAAATTCCCATAAGGTTGTGCACAAAACGTTTCCAACTTTAATGACCCCTTACTAAAATTTCCCTTGGCCTACCCCCCACACATTCTGGTATATTTACGTTTTGGACCATGAGCAATCGATCTAGCCTATTTGCGACGGCAAAATGTTGCCTCTAAATAGGAGTTGAGACATTAGGCAGACATTGAAAAGTCTCCTGAATGTCCGGTGTCTCTCTAAGCTATAACTTATGACGAAAATATTTCTCGTTAAGGGTAGACTAACAGGAATCACCTTACTTAAATAATTATGTTCTGACCAGTTTGAATGAGAAGTTTTACCCTATTTTTTTTAGCATCCGGGAATGAAATACATTCCAACTTGATGTCTCTGGTTTATTGGTCGTTGAACAAAAAGCAAATTCCTAGAGGCTAACTGGAGAACAAAAGGTCTGACATAATACTTTGAAAAGGCGTTTTTTTAACTTACAATTATTGTCAGACTGATATAAAACACACAACACACAATCATTTTTGTTTGTATGTAATTTGCCACAGCTATTTATTCAACACAACATTGCCAGATACCATGGGCAAACTGGCAAAGAAATACAATATACATGTAGTGGGATACACCAGATCCCCTGGGTTGACCAGACCCAGCCATGAAAAGGGTCAGCCGGCCGCGTCGGCCATCTTGCGTACGGGCCGGATAATTGACGTGCCACGTCGTATACGTTCGCTTATGAGCATGCAGCGTACGGGCCGGATAATTGACGTGCCACGTATACGTTCGTTATGACCATGCAGCGCATGCAACAGCACAGCGTTGTTGACATGGTTGATGTATCTGTTCTCCCTTGCTCCAGTTTTCTCTTTGAACAGTAAGTCTCATTTATGATATGTATTTTTGTTTGTGAAAAGTGGTATTCTTTCGAACGCCACTGGCTTCAAGAAGCATTGTCAAATGTTGTTTGTGAAAAGTGTGAGTTTGTAAGTGTCCAATGATGGTGTAGTCTGGTGGTAGTACGGGGAGGGTTGTAGGGGGAGGGTTGTACGGGGGAGGCCTCGGCCCGAGTTTGGCCGTGTGTTTACTTAGCTAGGCTTAATGTGGCCAATTTACTGCATGCTGCATGACCTCCGCAACTACAGGCCTCACTTGGAACATGTACCCGAACATGTTTGTAGAACTTTGTCAACTTTTGATTTCACAATTGGGCTTTGTTGGTAGTTTATTTTTGGATTTTGCTTTAGTTTGTTTTAGTCCTAAGCCTAGGCCTACTACTACTACTCAGTACTAGCTACAAAAAACTGCTGCATTTGTATATAGGCCATGAAATGTACATTCATTCGATACAAATGATGCAAACTAAATCTTTGTGGTAATCTTAGAACACGGCAAATCATACTAAAAACTTCCTTTAAAGAAATGGCTTTCATACTCATAGGCAAAACAAAATTAATTTACTGCAAATCAAAGACCAATAACCAACTTAATAAAGAAACCCTCAAATCAAAATTAAAGACGTGATCAAGTTCAAACCTCAGGCCAAAAACCAAAAAATACAGGCAAAGACTAAAACCTGAAACCAACACAGTTAGAATAGTGGATGTAAGAGAAAACACTCTGGCAGAAAATCACAGGACTCGACAACAGACATGAACACAAGCAGGATAAAGAGGAAACTAATACATTGATGACTGTTCAGTGTCTCTGCTGTTCTGCTGAGATAAAATCATATGCGGGGGGGGGGGGGGGTTCACAAAAATACAACATATAAGACATGTTTCGTTGTTTGGCATGTTTGGTTAGTACTTCAGTAGTGTATTCCGCATAAATGGGGTATTGCAAGTTTTCTTCACCTTAGTCGTTATTCTTTTCTTTCTAACTCCTTTACACAGGACTCCCGATGACACCCACATCACATGACCAGCTCCAACCATGCTCCAAGCATGCTCCAGTGCATGCTTCAACCAGTTCCTAAAGCAATAATCTCAACTCAAGACGAAGACACCTATTCTTTCAAGTTCGACTGCAAGATTCCTGCTTTTTCTCTTTACCCATTCAAAACACATTTTCCTTCTAGCCATAATTTTTATTTTTAGAAGTCATGAAATAGTGCAAAAAAAATCACTCTTTTCTGCTGTTTGATGTCCATCCTTTTTTAAATTATATCCTTGGCTTAGTTGTACCCAAGAATAATGATGGAATGATTACCCGATAATTACTGGCCAAGCAGACTGTGTCGATCCTGGCAAACTTATTTGATAACAAAACAATGTCTTTGATTACCAAATTACATAATCACTCTTAAAATTTCACAACAAAATAGTCATGATCGCATACCCCTCCGTTTCTCATGAGTTTTCACCAACACTCATTAAAAAAATGTTGTCCTGTAACTTACAATGCCACTGTCATTATTTATGATTACAGCTTTTGACACAAAAAACTGCAATTGCACAATAACCTTTGGCCGTCTTGCTTGAAAGTCTTTCATGGAATGTTTGTGCCTATGGTAAACAAGCCTGGACCGACGTCCCTTGCGAAAATTGCTCCTAAAACTGACTACAATTATATCCCCTGAGTTTTGTCGAAGTACTACCCTGTACAGTAATGAATGCAAATACATTATTACAAAAAAAATGTGTGTATACCTGATTTCATTTTCACAGTTTTGTAATAAATACATTTTACATGTGGTGCTTGACATAATTATGAAGTGCTCCAATATGTCCTTTCTTTTAGTTTTACTCTCTTCTGCAAATAAACGTGTTACGATACTTTGCTGTACAACCCCATTACCATAATAAAAACACCAACTGCTATAATGACATTAACTTCTACTTAATACATAAGAAACACCCCTTCACCATAACAAATATAAATTGTTGCCCACTTCCCCGGAAATATAAGTGACCATTCACAGGTGTAACATAAATAGGCATGGGCGTCGCGGGGGGGGGGGCACTCCCCCCGGAAAAGCCAAAAAAAGTCATAGTGGTGTAAATTTAATGGGTTGGGGGGAGCAAAATGTCTCTGCCCCCCTCCAAAACTGATAAATCGAGAATGTGTTGAGAAAAACAGGCGTTTTGTGGGCAAAAATATGTTTTGCCCCCCTCTAGAAAAAATTCTGGCGACGCCCACACAATACCCAACCCCCATCCCCACTGGCTGCCCCCTCCTCTCCTCTGTTGTGAGAACGATGGATACGACGTTGTATAGGCCAAGATCAAACCGCGTTTCATCTCAATTACCTAATTGTACAGTTGGTGTATACGTCCTTAATGGTTTGGCACCTTGAAAATTCAATGTTCAAATTGACTGGACAATATTCCTGCACAACATTATTTATGAGCTTTATATAATGAGACACCGCATGAGACAATCGGTCGGCAATGAATACTTAATTTCATTCAACTGTTGACAGCAAGACCTTCCTAATCGGCGCGCAATTTAAAACATTTAAACGGTATGAATCCCAGCACAAACATAAACATCCACAATATCAGCAATTTCAATATCACCATCCCCCCTCTATAACAAAAACCATTTCTCCCCATCCCTGGAAATCTCCCCATCCCCGGAAATATTGGTGACATGGTCGACGGGTTTTACGGAAATTGGGCGTTCCAACTAGCACCCTTCACCCTAGCTAGCCCCTTCCCCTATATTGACAATATGTCCTGGACCCTCGCACAATCTCCGCAGGAAACGTTATGTACGCGCACGTTGAACGCAAATACAAATTAGGCGAGACTGATGGCGAGTCCAAATAGGCTCGCGCCTCGCGTGCAGCAGAGGGTATGATTCTTTATTTGACTTAACAGTTGTTTGGAGTTATTAGAGTTTAAATTATCGAGATTTCATTGTATACAGTAATGATTACGAAACAGTCAACTCTACCCATCTAGCGGGTGCCGCGCGAAGCGCGGCATCCCGCTAGTATCATATATAGGTCACACCATACCTAGGTCACACCATACCCTGAAATTCGGGAAATTAAACCAGACCCTGGTACATAGGGCACCAGACCCAGCCATGAATAGCAAGATTTCTTGCAACACGGCCAGATTGTGCACTCGCATGCACTTGTTCAGCAATCAGTACCCGCAGAAAGTTTTGATAGCCAATCGGAATTCCTTTGAAAACCACGGAAGCACAACTCTTTATACAACTATTGATAGCTATATACTGAATATTTGATAGCCAATCGTAATTCCTTTGAAAACCACGGAAGCATAACTCTTTATACAACTATTGATAGCTATATACTGAATATTAATCCCTTGACTGATAAAGTACTATGCTTGAAAATTCAATCATAAAGACCGTAGGCCCACTAAAGCTATCAATCCGTCCTGGCGGCGCCACAATGACAACGGTTAAATAGAATTGAACAGTGTACATGTATTGTGCATTTGTACAGAATACTTCGAATATAAATATAGTGCCGCTGGTATGCGTACCCTGGATGTCGCCTTGTGTTCTTGGGCGGAGTGCTCGTTTTAGTGGCATACTTTTACCTGAACCCACCAGTAATAAAAAAAAGGTCCTCTGCCTTTGCGTGCAGGTTTTGCGTACCCTGGATGTCGTTTCGTGTTCTTGGGTGAGTGCTCGTTTTTAGTAGCACACTTTTACCTGAACCAAGGATCCTACACACTAATGACTTGGCCAAATTCCCGTACAGGTTGGAATATCACAAATACTTGTCAACAAAGACCCCTGCGCGCGGCAGCTTTCATATTTGCAGGGCTCTGCGCCCGATGTGGTGTCGAAGTATGTCAAGCCAGCTAATTATATTTTTTAAATATTCACGATGCTACGTTTTTGGCCCTAAGTATTGAATTCTGATGAGTGATAACTACATAAACATGTTAACGCCGAGCACAATATCTTTAGCTTGAAAATGAACTATGAAATGTCGCATTATTTTGTTTTATCGGTTCGGGACCACATCTCTCTAAAACCTTTTAATGAAAGCCTTATTAAAAACGAGATTTGGGTAAACGGTGTTCTCCTCGGAAAAGTTGTCACATTTGACGTTTATTTCTCGGGTAAATACTTCACCTATGACGACAAAAAAATGCACAATACCATCTGTTATATCCTGAAGCATTAATTTTTTAACAAGTATATCTTACATAAGCAGTGGTTTTTCTTACGTTTTTATGAATATTTAAGATGTCATGCAAAAAAGAAACCCGACAAAATGACACACCTCGAACATTCGCGATTAACATGCCAACGGGTTTGAATGACCGTTATCAAGCGTCCAATTAATTAAGGCAAGTCCGTTCAGTGCATTTTGTACTAGAGCTCAGAACAGTCGTGTGTAGTATCCGTGGCTGAACCCACCGATAATAAAAAGAAAAGGAAAGTGCCTTTGCGTGCAGGTGTGCCCTTCAGTTCACTTTAGTAACTGCAGAAAGTTTTTACAGCCAATTAAGCGCCACCTTTGAAAATCACGGAAGCATAAGTCAGGGGATTTATGTCAATCTGCAGGCTGAAATGCTGAGAAATCTTAAACCCATTATTAACTTGATGCATTTCTCTTGATCATCATATAGCGGTAATGAATATTTCTTATGATTATAGGCAACAGTATATAACCACACGCTTTTTGGCGCAAAATCTTTGGGATAACCATATGAAATTATACTTTGGAAAATGGCTGATGTCGCTTTCGGGCCTATTATTCATGAAAGAACGTTTAGCCCAGAGGAATAGCCAGAGGCTTTGAAAAGGAACAACTGAGAAAACCTTTGAAGGTAGCAACAATGGATCTTCGCCATATTAGTTTAATTTCGCTTATCTTCTATGGAAGAAACAAATATTTCCAGAGGTTAACGAGGCTAAGTGCAAGAAAATCAAGATACATGTCTAACGTTTTCAGAAAAACGTTCGATATCTGTCGGCAGTTTCTGGATTTCGTATTTTATTGATTTACTTGTATTACAGATGGCGGTGAGATATGTGATTGCTTTGTCAGTCCTCATGATGTTGCTTAATTGTGACTACTGCTCCACATACAAGCCCAACATTACAGGTGAGAAGCGCCCAGAGAGTAAACAGCCAATTGTATCATACCTTTGGAGATAACTTATAGGATTAAACAACTTAAAGAATTAAGCCATTGTCCTCTTTTGCAAAGGATGATTCTCCCCATTGTGCATGTCAATATCACTTTACAAAATCCCGTGATAATGGCCTTGCTGTATGATATGACTTACAGCCAATACTGATTTATGTATATATATAACTGCACTGCCTCAAAAAATAAAATGAAGCAAAGATATAAATCAGGGCCGAAGAGGGGAGTTAAATAGAAAAGGAAACTTCCCAGCGACGCTTTGAATTTTTTCTCCCGTCTTAAAATGAAGTACATGTTCATTAGTATGCAAAGTCGTGTAAAGTACACGATTCATCATCGTGTTGTTCAACTGCAGGGTGTCCACCCCCCCCCCCAAAAAAAAAAAAAACCCAACCCTGAACCTTCAAAGGCTCCTCATTTTTTTTTACAGCTTTATAAAAAAAATACAGCGTAAAAATTGAAACATAATGTAGAGAGTATAGATCGTAAGCTTTCAAAAACGAAATAATATTTCAAATCGGGTAAATATTTATTGAGTTATGGCCAATTAAAAATAGGTGCCGGTATTTAAAAATCTGTGGACCGTCTCAATAAAAATTTGTTAGGAATGTAATCGATTTGGTGTGAGGGCAGTTTTCTTTCTTGTGGTCATTTATCCCTTTGGCAGTAATGGCAGTAACCGAAAGGACTGATCGGTTAACTTCTTGGACGTTTACTGTGCTGCTCTGTCTCTGCCCTCTACTTGGTAGCCTTTTTCACAAATGCAAGTTTCGGTCCGTGTTCTTATTGTGGCAGTCAAAATATCAGTCGCCATGGACAAAATGAATAAGCAGCGCTTGACTTCCATTGGCCGTAAATCAATAAATATCTATCAGATTGGATACAGGTTTTTTCGGTGTTGAAAAGCTATTAAATTATGTATCGATATTTGCAATGTATTTTTTAAAAGCTGTGAAAAAAAGGGAGCTTCGAGGGTTCGGTTTTTTGGACACCCTGTATTGATCTTTGCGAGAAGCAGAAAGAACCGGATGTTTTCTTACTCTCCTTGACTGGACACAACAACTTTTGTTTGAATTAGAAGACAAACATGGTACTGGCTTTGCCTTTTAACGAAAGTACGTCACCTGCCATCTTTTTATCCTTATCAATTTCAGCTGCTGGAGGAAAAGGACCCTGTGTTGTAGACGCCTGCATGACAGAGATCGCAAAGATAATGCAGAACGTCATTGGTCGTGACATCTCGACATTTATCCGTCGCATCGGCTATGTAGAGTCTCAGTTTGGTGCACATGGTAACACCTACCGCGAAAACTACCATGGTGGCATCTGGCAGCTGGATGAAGATGGATTCCTAGAAACGCAGGCGATTGGTAGCCACTCTTACTTACAAGGAAAGTTAGATTTTATTAAGACCACGCTTGGAATAGACTGGCTTAAAGTGACGTGGCAGGATATGAGGAAGCCTCTGTATTCAGCCATAGCTTCTCTTTTGTACTTGGGTAATATAAGCCCTATCATTCCACCGGACAGTGACATCAATGGCCAAGCACAGTACTGGAAAGACCACTACAACACGCAAAGCGGGGAAGGAACGGTGCAGCATTTCACTGACAACGTTCAGCTCTTGGAAGGTCCCAATGGACCTAAATGCCACATAAGGCGTAAGTCTGGTATACGCACACGTCGCCGTAGCCATGCGCGTCGGCAAAATGATTTTTTTTTTTCATTGTAAGATGATGTCTTAAAACAGCCAAACTCACTGGTTTGACTGGAATCCTGCTGCTGCACAATTTTAACGTGTTTTTAGATGGATTACGACCAAGTATAAGCTTTATGTGGCCTCTCTTGGACTCCATATATTTTGCACTAAATTTAGTCTGGCACCATTTGCAGTCATTGCCGACATTTGAAGCAAAAAAAGGTTAAAAAAAATACAATTGTCTACCGATCAGAAATGTAAAATAAACCTCAAACCCCAATTAAGGCTTACATTCTGTTTTTCATAAACTGCGCATCTTTAAGTATAAGTTTACATATACGTAGGCCTACATAGTTTGTTTACAGTTAGTTTAGTCATAATTAAAGAGCATATTATTAGTTTACTTATTACTTGAAAAAAAAAACAGCTCGCGACGCTAAAACACGCTTCAATTACTGTCAGATTGTACTTACTAATACACGGTTCCTTAAATAGCACTACATTTTGTGTTTTGCTGTTTTGTATTATATTTCGCGTTGTTAAAAGGATTTTCTCAAAAGTTGTGACAACCGTGTACCGTTGTAAAGTTTCCACAGGGAGATTTTCTTATATACATGTACATGTAGTTGCAATTCAAAATTTTGTACTTGTTATTTATCGCGCTACTCTTTATTTGAGGGATTAGTTCCAAAACATGATAGGCCTAGTCCTACAGCCCTTTGAAAAAAAGAAGGAAAATTTACACAGTTTTTAACTTTTAAAGGAAAAAAAATATATTACTCAGCTTTTAATGATTTTGTTTTTTAATTTGAGTGAAACGGAAAGAAGAGAATATTTCCTATTTAGTTAACATTGACAGAACAGTGCACACAGAAACAAAGATAGTTTTAGATCAGCTTTCGAACCACATTTTGTGGAGCAAATTCAGATTTGGTATAACTTTTGAGTGGATAAGCATTTTATTTTGTGAATCGTACAATTGTGTTTATTTTGCTTTTGTTGGTTAAGATGATTCTGAGAACCCAATGGATGTACATGTTTATTTTGGAGTTTATTTTCACAAAGTACATTTCGAAATATTTAACGCCAATGTACCTGTATTCGTAATCAAACAAATTTCCATCGACATACATTGACTGGCGAAAGAAGGCAAACGGATACCTTCATTTGCTTTCGTTACACATGACAACAGAAACGTCTTTTTTAATGTATGTTGTATCACAGTAAAAATATAAAAATAAAGAGGTGACGGTATTTTGATTGTCCCAGGTTGTATTTGTTTCTATTTAAAAACGCAAGGAAAACCAGTTTTCAAAAAGACAATGGAATCAATTTCATTTAATTGACAAGAATACATTATAATAAACATTAGTTTTTGTTTAGTTTGAGCGTCCTATCCGAGCGACTGTGAGTTGTCGTTCTTAATCGCAGACAGCATTATACAACGTTTACAAAGTTACGTCACTGAAGGGCAAAACGCAATATTCAATTTACATTACCTCCTATATGAAATGCTAATGGACATGTCAGGTTTAATATAATACACAGACGGGAAATCGCGGTCCAAATAATGTAAATTTAGCCCATTTTTATGGACTTCGTCTACATGGACGGAGCATACACGTAGTACACGTAGAGGAGAAAAGAGCACATATTGATTGTAACTACTTGTTTGAGTTGCGCTGTGATGATGATTTCAAGATGGCGCAGTGTCCGAGCCACTAGATGGAAGAGTTTCCATAGATCTCGTTTTCATGGTCGTAGTTAGCACCAACTTTTCTTCCCGTAAGGCTCTGGCCAGGCGATACTCGGAAATGGCGGTGATAAGCGTGTAGATGTACGGATTGAGGGACGAATTGATCGGCAGAAGCAGGACTACAACCCAGGCATACCCCTCAGCGCCGATATTCACCACCCCAGTCTGCGACAGAATCCCCAGGATGATGACCGGGACCCAGCAGGCAAAGTCCGTGCCAACTATCAGCGCCATCTTGACCGCCATCTTGATCTCTCGGTCGCGGTGAACGGTCTGCCGGACCCTCTTTGCGGTGCGCTTGACCTTGATAAAGATGGCGATGTAGCAACACAGGACGACTAGGAAACACAGCAGGTTTAGGCCGAGAAACAGGGCGATGGAGTAGATCCAAGTAGGTCGACTGCCTTGACCTACAGGAATAGATACAGTGTGGGTGTTACCAAGAGGATTGGTAATCCCTGCCTCCTGGAGAACGTAGCTCGTCGGTTTGGTCATCAACGGCAGGCCAATGCACACGTCTGACAGACCGTAGACATCAGAACCATCGAAACTAACGACGGTGGGCCAAACGCTCAGAGTTAAAGCAACCACCCATATGGAAGCAACGACACCAGCGGCGGACCGATCTCGAAGCTGGATGCGACTGAAAGGGAACACGATGCTGACAAAGCTGTCCAGACTGATCAGGGTGACGAAGAACACCGACGCCTCGCTGGAAAGCAACGAAAACACCCCAGCTATTTTGCAGACCGGACTTGCCCGCCATACACTGGCTCCCTGGGAGTACCTCGTACCATAGTGTACATCAGCTCCGGCTATAATCAACATGTACACCCCCATTATGAGATCAGAGATGGCCAAGTTGAGCACGAAGAAGGTGTGAGTTTTCTTCCCGCCTTTTTCTTTGCCTTGGTAACACCTCCAAACAATAACCACCGCATTGCCGATGAGGGCGCTAAAAGCCAAAACCCATAGGAAGACACGAAGAGGTTCATTCGGCATCAGACTACCACAGAGATTCAGAGGTGGCATAGCTTCTGTCGTCTGACAATTATCTAGCTCAAACCCCTCAATGGCTGCGACGAATTCGCAACATAACTGATAGTCATCGACGTACCTAAAGCAAACAAACCAAAAGCCGTCAGTACTACAGAGGTCCAACTGATAAAGATACGTCATGCCATTTCACACGATCCTCTACAGCATCGGGAAAATTGTACAACCAATACTGGATTTTCCTTCAAAACTGATCATACCCAAACATCACTTACAGATCCGTAAGGCTCACTAGATCGTTGAGGGCTTCGCGTTTAACGACGACTGGCTTAGAATTCTTCGACGTTGTACTTCTTATCAGTACCCTGAAAACAAAAAGAGGATTTTCAAGCAGACGCAGAAAAACCAGATATGGTACGCATCTTCACATTTTCTTAAGAGGGACACTTTATTCAAACTTTCTTCTGTATAATGAGACCCAAATGAAGACCAAGCTAGAGGCCAGAGTTATCCGCCGATTATTACATAAGACATACTTGAGGTGACAACTCGCACACGCGAGGGTCGTACGCGCTCTCAACGTAAATCCGACCCATAGCGTTCTCAGGAAGTACGCGCGCAACGCGATGTTAAGAAAGCCTAAACGCGCGCGTTTGACACGTGCGTGGGCGTGTTAATCATCTTTAGTAACGCCTTCTACGACTGGGACTTACAACGTCTTCAGTTTGGTGAGTCCACTGAATGCCTTGGATTCTATCGTGTCGAAATGGATGTCGCGAGCAATCCTGCATGGAATGAAAAGGGTGAAATATAACAAGATAATTACCTTAGGTTGGGTTGTCTTAACATAAATGTATCTTTAAAAGTAATGCCGATTTTCATTCAATTACAAGATGTTAGTGTTATCTTCGTGCGTAAAGTCAATCTTTCATTCAACGAACTACATTTATAACATGAATGGTGACTATCAAAAGCGTAAAAGCTAACTTTCTTACAAGGTATCCAAGCTGTTCAGCTCTAAGAAGCTTTCGGTAGCGATGGTGGCGATATAATTCTCGGATATATTTCTGAAAAAAAAATCAAGGAAAGGGAATCGCGGATCACAGAGGGAGGCAGCCGATGTTTTTCAGTTAATTACGTCTCTCATGACAAAAGGTACAAAACAAATTTAAAGTACATCAACTCACTACTTTAGTATATAATATTCAATTGTTTTGAGTAAAATATTGTTCTTCCATATCGAATACAAGATTTAAAAACCCTGTTATTCGATTCACTATAATTCAGTTGTTAGTGGTTAACTCTTTTCCTATCATAAATTGATTTTTTCCCCAAAGATCATAAAAACTTACAGATAGGTCAGATTCTGGAGACCATCAAAAGTTCCCTTCACAATACCTGTAATATTGCTACTGGCCAGCCACCTAAATTATGAGCAAACAAAACAATTACTGTACTATAAACCAAGAGGGTGTGAAATTTCAATTCTCCTTGAAAGACGCACAAGGCGACTGAAAAAAATGCTGAAAATTGTCCTTGAATTTTCTCAACCCACGAGTGACCTAGGGACGGTTGTGTTTGTAACAAGCGTTCATTCTTGTTTACATGTATCCGTTGTGAACTCTAGAGGGCGTTGTCCCTGTAGCCATGCCAGTATGGCATCCATGTTGGTTTTTCGGATTACAATACAGGCTTGAACAACAGTAAGCTCGTCTCTTGCGTCCAATTACCTCACAAACCTACGAGGACAGTTTAGTATGATACATTATAGTACACATTACATTCATTACAAAAATAAACTTCAACATTAAGAATAGTTAATGCGTCAAAATGACATACTTTGCAGAATAATAAGAAATGGCTATACCCAATGCATTCCAGAGAAGGTGACTCATAAACATTTCTGCTCTTGAAGGTGTGGACAGCCCTGATTGATACTTACAGTCCTCTAAGATGAGATAACTCCTTGAACAGGCCCATGTCAAGCACGTCCATATTTCCTCCTGAAAGAAGACTGAGAAGGACAATGTCTTATTGGTTCACTTTATCCATGATACCACAATCCTACGGTACGGTATAAGTGAGAATGACCTTTCGGTAAACTCGAATATCTATATATGTGGCTTCCGACTAGATTATTTGGTAATAACTGATTTTAGCATCCTCAGACCTCACTTGCCCCCGCGTGGTCATCTGGAATGTAATGTAAGATTAATTTTACTCACAGGCTTTCAGTCCTTCTGGCGATGTTTTCAATTGTGGACGAATTCCACCCTTCTAGGCATTTCACAGCGGCTGTGTCGATGTCACAATCACATCCAATTGGGCATCGTTTCCCTGCGACACAAAAACAAGCCAGAATGCTCAAAATCAAATCAATAGGCCTTACGCGGAGCAGCCATCTTAGAGTGCAACGCCTTTGTGTAAACATTTTGCACATTCACTGTTACTGAATTCTTATAACATTATATGCCCTGTAAGATGCCCGCTATGCAAAAGGGGTATTTTTCACGACGAGGGCAAAGGCACACAGTTAAAGGAAATTGATGCGAAATTATAGCTACAACTAGACAGGCTACCCTTGTAAAATCGATTGTCAAGTTTGACGATGTTAATATATGCTTCTGATAAATACTTAAAAAAATTCATCAAATTACTTTAAAATAACTTAAATTTGTGCAGTGTGTATGTATTATGAAGGTTTATTTACGATCATGTGTTCCATGATGAAAATTTCTTTTGTTCTTTTCAGACCTTGCATCACTCTCCCTTGAACTACCACTTCTTAGACTACAAACTTCTTCCTTGGTGTCAACCCTATTCGGGGACGGGGGTTGAATTCAAGTTTTCAAATTTGTACCAATATTGAACCATATTATTAAAGTTGTCCATGTACAACTTGTCCTTCTACTGTACAACTAAAAATGAACGATTTACCGCATTCCAAATTGGTCTCGTCATCACCATTTGGGCAATCAGGTTCGCCGTCGCACACGTCAGTCCAAAATAAGCACTGTCCCGAGTTGGCACACTTGAAGTACTCGGGACAGGTAATATTGTCTAAATAAGAAGAAGAGCAGGATACGAAAGATATTAAGGATCAAAGACAGAGGGTGGTATTTTAATGATCTAAGTAGTAGTAAATGCAATCTTACCACCGCAGCCGAGCTCATCCGATCCATCTGTTTTACAGTCTTTAAACCCGTCACATCTGGCGTCGGGCGACACGCAGGAGCCATCGCCGCAGTCGAAGAGGTCGGGGTAAGGACAGGACGTAACGTCTAAACAGTTGAAAAATCACACAAATCCAAGGTCAAGAAAGGGGCAATTTTGTGCTTATTCTGTAGCAGCATTTTTTTGGCAACAGGATCATCATATATATTTCTGAAGAAAGCAACACAATCGAGCTTTTTCTTCCTTTCGTGTGAGCACCAAATGCCCACGAAAGGTTCTTGATCTTAAACGAAAGCCGTAGATGAACGAAGATTCGTAAAACCACCTACAACTTATAATTTATGTCTCATGGAAAATTAGAAGGCCTACTTACAACATCTTCTACTGTCGTGCTACGGAAACCGATCGACGCCATAGGATATTTGAAGGTTTTTCCTAATGTTTCGGCACTACCTATTACTCAAAATGGCACTAAGTCGCTCGAACGTCAGCAATTGTGCAACCATGAACAGCGCCACCTGTTGTCCGATAGTAACCACGATCGCATGATGATTGTGCTTTGAACAGCGCCCCCTAGAACAATTGTGTCCACCCTCCCCGCTTCTTCTTTTATTGTTTCATGGAGATGGTAAAAAGACATGTCTACCTTTCAGCGCGGATGAGGCGAGTGCCTTTTTTCATGCCTACCCCAAATAAAAATGACCTTGCTACGCCACTGACTTGGTACACACAGCAGTTGCTAGTAAAATTAAACCCGAGGTTCAGGACTTACTGTCTGCAGAGTAGTTCCCCAGCAGCTGCAGGTGAAATCCGCGGAATGAGACCGTCACGTCGGAAGTGAAAGAAACCTGAGCCGAGTAAGAGTTGAAGGCCATGGTCCGCACTTTGCAGGCTCCTCGAAGCCTGAACACCACCGCCTTGCCTCCGTGCAAGGTACTGCCTTGAATCTCTAGCACGTCTTCGGACCGTTCCGTCTGGAAGTCCAGGAACACGATTAAGATGGACTTGGTTTTATTAGAGATGATGGTCCAGACGCAGTCGAGTCCGCACGGGTAGTTGGCCGGGTAGCCGGGGGAGGTGAGGTCGATGGGATCATTCCAAACATAGTACTCTCGGGGATAACAATTATCTTAAAAAAACAATAGAAAAGCATTCGTCAGTTGATGTTGTTAAGTTAAACTCAACCCTTTCCCCTGGTTAATTATGTAAAGTCTCTTACTACACCACCAGAGGAATAATGGTCCTTCCCGTACCTCCGTGGACCAGATTCGAATTACTTCCAAGTTGCCACTGGAAATGCATTTTTAGTCCTTAACTGTCGCCCGTATTGCGGTCTGAGAGCAGTGGGTGACCTACATGGGCGGGGTAGTGGTGTGTAAGACCCCTCTTTGGCTGGAAAAATAGGAATATCGTGCCAACCCCCCCCCCCCCCCCCCCACAAATGCCTGTTAAACCTCTTCTTGGCAGTTAACCAGCCAGCCGAAGGGGGGTGGGGAAAATTTCAACAAACATACACTGGGCACTCATGGTTAACGCACCCTTGGGGCAGATCGAAAGGCCATTTTCAGAAGCGTCGTTCTTGACACACACCAGATCCTCCATGCCACACGGGACATAACCTTCATCGCATAAAACTGAAACAAAACAAAGAAACAGGCATTTAATAGAGCACATCCATTAAAAATAAGTACTTCTATAAACACTTATCTTTGTCTTCAAAGAGAACTGCTTGTGCTGTGACTCAATCATGACACTAACACCATTATCAGTATTTAGCGTAGCCATTAATCACCTTCGTCTCCCATCTTCTGTTCAATCTGAAGACGAAAGCCTTCAGCACTGATGATCACGTCGGAGACAAATTTCACGAACATCGTGTTCTTCCGCGAAGCAACGCTATGTGGAAAACGATCCCTAGAAAGAAAACGGCCGAGCACGTAAATTAAGCGTTATTTTTTATTAACGATTTGAAACAGCAGTCACGACAAAGGTATATGTTCTGGAAATGTAGACGCATGACCCTCAATGCGCCCTATTTAGTATTTGTGGCAGTAAGTCATGGCAAAAACTGTTTTGATGAAACCATAGAGCTGTATCAGACTGATTGAATATAGCTCTATGGATGAAAAAAAAGAAGCCAACCCTGTTTAGTTCGTCTGCAGATTGGCAAAAATGAGAGGTGTTCCTTTAGAGGAAATGTCTTGCCGTGATATGATGATCCGTCTAAAGATTTCTATTGTAAAGACCAAAAATAAACAGTGACGTCCTTATTCACGGAACAATGGTAGAAACAAAATGGAAGGTTTGATAACCCTGTCACATTGAGGAAATAATCGGTGAACCCATTGCCGTTCCCCAAGTACAGACAGTCGTAGCCTTCCTCCACGGAGAACTGTAGGAACGTCAGGGTGATACGGAATCCCACTTCTGACACCAGACTCCACAAGCACTTGGCCCTGTCGGGATAGGCCTTAAACTCCCACCAGCCCGGCGAGGTTATGGTCGCTGGAGCGTCGTTTGTCAAGTTAAAGATGGACTTGCCGCATGGATCTTGTTAGAAAAACATAAATTTTAATTTGAAGGGCGAACCCTAATATTGATAAATTTTAAACTTAAAAGAAAATGAGCGAATGGATTTGCTTATTGACGGACTTGCAAGTTGAAGAATCAGCACCACCACTGATAATTGCCTCAACGACATTAACGAGCTATAATTTTGTGACAGTGTGGTAAAATCGCTTCCAAAATGATTTACCCGATTGAATTTTAAAATACGCATGCCCCACAGATATTCATGTGGTTATAAATAACTGGTTTGACTTTTACAAGAATAACTTTGTCAATTCCTTGTTCATACATAGTGATACAAAAAAAGACTTCGAAATCGAGATTTAGTCATGAAATACTCACCGCAGTCAAATTCGTCGGAGGAGTCAGAACAATGTTTCTTTCCATCGCATTTCTTATCCAGGGCGACGCACTCCCCTGACGAACAGGCGAATTCAGTTCCAAGACAGGGTTCTACAAGAAAATGATACTGGTACAATGTATATACCTAACTTCACCCGAAACCATCCCTTGAAATCATAAGTCAGTGACCACTTAACTTGCAAGCGGTACGGCCTTTGACTCATGCGACATGATACTTCGTGAGAACGATATTCCTGCTTCATCTCGTGTGCCCACTTGGGATTTGACAATTTCGGACGATTCACACTGCAGTGCGCCACCAAGAGTTTGCCAAGGAGAGTCTATTTTCAAGTTTACGGTCGACAAAACATGGCCCATTTGAACGAGTGTCATTAAACAACTTGAGCTAATTTGTAAGGGCATAGCGTTCTGTGCCTTACAAAAAAAAAACATATTGATAAAAAGAAAAGAAAAGCGCAAACAGATACTCGAAACATACGAAAGTACTGACCCGATAAAACTAACAATTTCAAATGTCCCGCGCTGCGAATTTGTCGACCATCTCCCACAATGCACTGGGTTAGTATTTATATCAAATATCGTTCCACGGGCAATGTTTCAAGTTTTGCGTTCGTGGATGCCGAAAACATACAAGGACAAACGCTGCTCGTTTTCAACCGTCAAGAAGTTCCTGTTGTGACATGTATGGTTTAATATGCAACTCACTGAATTGTTTACCGGTAAAAAAAATCGGTACGGAGGTTCGGTTTGAAAGAGATAAAGTAATCGACGTTAGAAAGTTAATGAAAATATCAAACTGTTACAAAGACTCACGGCATCCAATTTCATCAGAATATTCCGGACAGTCAGCAATCCCATCGCAGACTGCTGTCTTATCAATACAGGCTAAGCCAGATGCACATGTGAACTCTTTGGATGAACATTCTGTTAAAACCAAAACAAATGGTACAGGATTTGGACTACATCATTTCATTTATTTTGTTCCGTGTTCAAACAATCCTCAAAATGGTTCCTGGGTGAAAAGGGGGCCTATAGCTTAACTGGTTAGGCTACTGTATGCCCTACTTTCGACGCCAAGACTCCAGAACAAAATCACCTTGAATTGAGACTAACTTCGCTGTGCTAGGCTAAACGGCGCCCTCCTGAGGACATAATGCCTCCATGCTTCCAACGGCCATGTTTCAGTTAAATTTATGACTCGATTTGCGACACAATTTATTAGAACCTGACGTGTTAGTGATGTTGGTATCTTGGTCTTGGCCCAGTGCATTTTTATTGCCCTATTTTGTAGACAGTCCCGTGACAACGCGGTTAAGTTGCAGAGGCGGTTGAGGTCTCTTTTAACAAGGTGAATCAAATCCAGTTTTGGGAATATTGGCAGCGCTACCCAGGAAATTCCGCGCATACCTTACACGCATGCATTAACTTTAATACAGCGCGCGTGAGGTATGCTCTGAATATCCAGGGTAGCGCTGCCAAAATTGCCAAGACTGGATTTGATTCATCTTGTTGAAAGCGAACTCACTTGTCACGGACCGGCTGTAAAAGGGGAATAACAAACAAATTCATGCTGTCTGGGACCAAGACTGATAGGCGTACAACTGCATAATGTCACCTTCGTTAGTGTTCAAACAAATAAGGAAATTGTTCATAAGTACTCTTTTGTGTTTAGTTTAGGCTTTGTGATGAAAGGTCCTACTTACCCAATGGCATGTACTGACGGACAGATATAATTAATTCGTCCACCTTGTCGGCATATCCTTCGTTGGAGTTTTTGATGCATTTATTTGATATCCACAATCGTGACGCCCTGACCGATAGGGATCTTGGATAGGCCATTGGTGGTACTGCCAAGCCTGCTATTGGAATGGTATCAACTCTCCAAATGATGTTACTCCCGAGCAGGCCATGGTTAAATGTATCGGTGCTGGGGCCCGTGGCAAAGGTCAGTTCACACCAGGAATTCCGCAGAATTCTGGCCTGGATCTGGTAGCCTGGCTCAGCCTGGATGATCCACAGACATTGCATGGTGGTCGAGTAGGGCGCGACGAAGTAGGTCTGGTTGAGTTGGATGTCGAGGGTCTCGTTACCACAAAATCCTTGGAAGAAACAGATTGGGAATTGAATAACTTCACGTATTGTGCACTAGCGATTTTGGACTTGAATTGTGACATGAAAGGCTTCTGCATATTAACATTGTGTAGTTTTACCTTAAATATTCAAATCGCAAAAAGTCACATTCTCTGTAGGTTTGAAACGCAAGAGTCCTAGAAAGACATTTTGGGATGCACGCGGGACGGCTGGTACGCGTACAGAGTCCGATTCATTTGCTGACTACTTTGATGTGTGATTGAAATAGGAGCTTCAATTTGTTATTATGGGGGATTTTGCGCATACATTGCGCACTTTTTTTGGAGAATTATGTGGTTCTTCTAAGACTCACAAACTCAGTTAGCAATATGGAATACAGAGGTTTCTGCGGTAACAAATGTGTGAGACAACCTTGCAAATGAACTGAAATATGAACCAAAGTGCTCTGTTCATCTTCAGCAAATGAATCTGTTCTTTTTCGGGTCTTAGAGACCCGCAGAACTTACATACGAATATTTGTTTTCAACAGTTGTTTTTAGAGAAAGATTTCCCGAGAACTGAGAAAACGATGCTCACCGCATTGTAGCTCATCCGTGTAGTCAGCGCAATCTGCGTTGCCGTCACATAGCTGGTAACCCTGTACACAATCCTCACCGGAGGAACACAGAAATTCTTGTGGGTCACAATTCCCTTGAGAAAAATAAAAAGGGTGCTAGATCACACCTTAGAATCTATCTATTTATGAGAAGAGTCAGAAATTGGCCATCATTCAGCCTGGGGTTTGGTCGGTATCCAACGAGGAGAATAATGCTCATTGTGATTTTGGCAAGGTATGCACCCCTGTAGTTGGAAAATACGTGATAGCATTGCAGTGGTGGCAGCTTTTTGGGTGCTATCACTTAAGTAATAAAAAAATATGGCGGCCAAAACAAGCTTGCTACCAATTAAGCCGGTAACACGTATCTTTGCGGCCATTTTGAAAAAGACAAAGAAAAGTGATAACACCAAAAAAAAAAAAACCTGCCACCGCTATACACTACAAAGCTATCACACATTTTCCAACTCTAGATGTGTAAACGTTGCCAAAAATTGCTTTGACCATTGCTTTCGATCATTTGATACCGGTGGCCCAATTTTTGGACCGACGCTGATAGCCTAGATAACGTTCACTCACCACATCCGAGCTCGTCCCCATTCGCAGAGCAGTCTCTCTTGCCGTCGCACTGAAGCGACGAATCCTCCAAACAGTCTCTTCCAGATGGACAAACAAATTGACCCTCGTCACAATCTGGGGAAAATTAGGGAACATTCATGTATTCATTTTAATGTTCGGCACCGACCCTTGAGGTCCAATTAGGAATAACATTAAAATCTCTCTCGGATGGGACTCGAACCCACGACCTCATTCTTGATGGTTCAGATGTCTTCCACTTGATCAGCAAGTTTGCAGTAAGATAAGGGACACCTCAATCAGTGTCTTTGAAATGGAATTCCTTGAAGAAAAATCCTCACATTTCAACTCAAGAATTTGTTTAGCGTTTTCTCCTAAATACAGTTAAATGATTCAAATTCTTAATCAGGAAAGACTCATTGCATGTACATATACTATTATGGATAACCATACGGAAATCGACAATAAACATAATTATTTTATTATTCTGGGGGGAGGTAGGCGAAGGGTGTTTCACTTTTACGATTAATGACCTGATATTTACAGGGGCTGTACCCATACCAAACAAGACATCACACTCGTCAACTAGGACGTTAAACCAACCAATTCAACTGAGTCATTGAATGAACAACAACATAACTTTCCTGCCCAATCTACTACAGATTACCTGATTTCTATCCTTCTTACCTACTGTGTTGTACGTTGAGAAGACAAGTCTCAGCTTAAAACTTCTGAGGTATGTTGTCGATTCTTTCAAGGTGATCCACATTCCGATACCGCTGGACAACAACGTGCGGGGCAGCGGTACGATACCGGTCTCGGTATCGATTACCAAGAGTCGAAATCCTTCGGTGGGGTCGATACCGTTGCCGATGGTCAGCACTAAGTCGTCTCCCTCGAACTCGGCCACTTCGACTTGGATTCGGGTCCCGTTCGGTTCCTGCAGCCGCCAGATGCACTCACGATGCTCGACCGCTACCGAGTGGTTGGTGATGACGACCCCCGCGGGCACATCGGTGGTGTTCGAGGGAAACGAGGGAGAAGTACCCGGGTATATGGCAAAGAACCCGGTCCAGAGAGAGGTCATTCCGAAATCGGCTATGATGGTCATCGATTCTTCTGAGCTCAGGGAAATACTTGAAGCACCACAAAAGTCTGAAATACAAGAAATTGGGAAAGCTTTCACCAACAGGGGAGTAGGGTTGGCGTAGCGGTACTTTCTTCGCCTTCCACCGCTGTACTCCGGGTTCGAATCCAGCCCGGGCCAGTATGGGTTTTCAGTCCCTGCCTGATTCCGTGGGTTTTCCTCAGAATATTCCTCTGGGCTTTTCCTCCCACCTCTAAAACTGTAATTTCTTCTGACTGTCTCCACTCTACGGGTTTCTTCAGGCTTTCGAGGTACAGTGCCTAGGGCACTTTTGAGGAATCATTGGTTCCATTACCAGAAAGAAATAAAATAACAGTCGCAGCCGTTTCTGCCCTGTTGCGTATAGAAATGTTTGAAGCCCTCGCACAAGCAAGCATTGCTAAGGGAACTTTTAAACATAACAGCGTATGTTTTGAAACCTCGCAAGCTCCAACACCGAGATTGGGAGTACACCCCTTCAAAAAAGGTAACGCCCCTGCTACTTACCGCATGTCATTCCTTCGTCCAAGAAATCCGAACAGTCTGCCTGGCCATCGCATATCGAATGCAGAGGGAGGCACTTCGAATCTCGCCGGCACAATATCTGGTCGTCTCCACATTGAACTGTTTAAGGAGACATCAAAAACGCATGACAACGGACACAAGCTGTCTAAAGTTTTGCAACATTGGAAGTCGTGAAGAGATGAGTGTCATTATTATACTGACTTTTTTGCCTACGATGGTAACATAGTCATTCCCACAGACTTGTATTTTCATACAAGTTTAAAAGCGCCATTTTGAATCGGCGGCCATCAATATAGATAACGTTTCTCCCTGAAATTGCACATTTTCCTCCTCAGTTTTTTTCCGACCTTGCTATTTATAACAAGATATTAATTCATTCAACTATTTGTGGTGTGATTAAACATTATATTATTTTAATATTCTATAATTTTAACAGTGGTGCAGTATTTTTGATCGTTTGTGGAGTGGACTATTTCTTTCTAAATAGTTTTGTATTAAGTCCATGCATAGATTGGCAACATCTGGTTGGCGAAATATGACAATAAGAAAGCAAAGAAACACAGAACTGTCGTTTTTTTTCAGCAGAATTATTTACCTTTTCCGTTGATGTAGTTGGATGATCGGAAGAGGATCTGCAGGGTGGGCGTGGCGTTGACGATTTCATGTGGGCGGGAGGAGAAAGTCATCCAAAGGTGTGATCGGGACAAGTAATAGGACGTCCCATTCTTGTGTTCCGATTTGATGTTATGAATCATTGACGAGCCGATGTCATCTCCTTCTCCTAGCACGGCCGTCTCATCCTGCCAAGATTAGCCAAATCAAACACCTTAAACTCATAGGCTATCCGCTCCGTTCACAAGTACCCCCTCACCGGCAAAGAAAGCACAGTTGGGGGTGACCGACCAACGCCATTTGCCTGACTGCAATTTTGTCACGACGCACGGCCGTACCATGTACCACTGCGTGTACATAGCACAAATCCTCTGGTGTACGTGCGTGACACCCAAGGAACGGTGCGCGTCAACCTGCTGATTGTCCCGCCCATGGGGTGTCGTTGCTAGGTAAAAGGGCGCCATCTTTCGTTGGCGCACGGAGCCCATTGACCTATCGCGTTAGAATCGCGTTAGAATCGCGTCAACGCAGCTTGTCAAATATTGTCCAATTACATGATATACAAATAGACACGGAACGCGCAAAATCTGAGACAACCAAAACTTATTAGTGTACAAAAACTCCTTAGGGTCGTCCGAGGAGCGTGGCTAACTCGCAAACGGCGATAGATCAATTGCACAAAAACCACGGATAGTAGTTTCTGACACTTCCATTTTTTTTTTATCATTTCAACACTTATTTCATTCGTTTCTAGATTTAAGGCACTCTATATATTTTTCTGGTTCTTGGTAATCTTTACACTTTGCCAATTGCTCTCTCTGTTCAGTACAAGTATTTGGTCTGGTAGCATCATGCCAACGGTCTTCCGCTTTAGGCGAAGGGAAAAGGCTTAAGCACACGCTGGACTTATTTATCTAATAGAAATATCAAAGAAATTAATATAAGACGAATTTGACCTCTGATTGCAGCCATTCGGCAACAGCAAAGACGAAATAAACCTGCATTGGCAAATTTTCTGGACCTTGTCCTTCAATAGGTTGACTAAACTGTAAAACTGAATGAGAAATGACTAAATTGATTTTACCAAAAGCAACTGAAATTAATCTTGGACGAATTTGAACATAAGAATTAGTAAATTGGAATAGAAATATCAAGGAAAAACCTATAATTGGTGTTACAACTTACTTGTATATGAATGCCTAACAGATCAACCATGGTGAGCGCCGATGGGGCGTCGTTGGTAATCCGCCAAACGCAATGCAAGAACCGATTGCCAGGGGTGGTCAAGTTGAAACGATGCTCAGAGGTGAAGTTGATTTCCGACGGACCGCAAAAAACATCTGAAACAGTTCAAAATAACAAGGAAAACAGTACGGTATTATTACTCCATAGATATGTTTTAGTAGCAGCCAATTTTGTATAAAGTCTGGATACAATCTGGTATGGGAGTCCGCTATAGTTTTCAACGGTTAAACAATGCAGCCATACCCAGCCATACCTCTTTCAAATGAATTTTTAAAAGTCTTCTGCGGACGTGTGAGAAACATTTTTTGTGCATTGGTGCTGTGTGTAATTTATACGACACACACAACGCGTATCGTGCTTTGAATTAAAACAACAGGAAAAACGTATACGTAATCCGTCGTGTCCAATGTAAACAACCGTTTCCCCCCCCCCCCCCGTCTTTTCTCTGGAATGGTAGGACAGTAGGTTAGTTTTCTTTCAACTAAACCTTTTTAGTTTACGTAAACAATCCAAAACATGCAGTTTTGGGGGATTTCATCAGGCCGTCATGCCCCTTCAAGAAAGTCTAAGCGACAACCAGTGAGTCAGTGAGGCACAAATCAAAGACGATTGTTTTGTCTTGTATTGTTGGGCACATCATACTTAATTCTCAGTGTGCCTGATTATTTATTACATCAAGCTGATTTAGCCGCTATTGTTTATTGAAAAAAAGTAAAACTGCTGCAAACTATGCTGCAAACCGCTATTGTTTATTGTCACGTCTGCTTTGTTATGTTACACATTTTAACTATTGTTATTACTTGTAAATTTTATAATTAGTGTTGTTTGTCTTGTTTTGTCTTGTATTGTTGGGCACATCCACCACAAGCTTCTGCTTTTTGGGATGATGCCTCTACAGAGTGGAAATAAATGTTGCATTGAATTTAATCGAATTTAATTTAAGCACTTACCGCTTGTATCTGGTACTGGTCGCACCAAACATGATATTGAAGACTCCAATGCTGGCGGATAGACATAAAATGTAACTTGTAGGTTGTTCCTAGATGAGTAAACCTCTCTTTGCGATTTGTCATAGTAAATGAAGTACCTGTCGTCGAGCTCGGCTGTTATTAACCGAACGTAAAGATGTCCCGGATGTTTCGTATCGCACTCGCAAATCACCTCCAGTTGCATGTGAACTAGGGTTGTAATATTCCAACAGGCATAGCTGGTCGGTGGTGAATATGGGCTGGCGGTGCTTCCAACGTCCTGGGTCGTGTTAAATGTCTGATTGGCGTCCGAGAGAAACACTTCTTGGCATGTCGGTTCTTACATACATAGAGATAGAGAGAGAGGGAGAGGAGGGGAAGGAGAGAATAATAAAACACTTTCTAGGTCCTAACTTGGAAATTAGTCTAAAAAGGACTTCCCGATTTGAACTAATTAGAATGTACAATGGATTGCCAATTCAGAAACATTCACATTCACAAAATATATCATATTTAAGCGAAGGCCGCATACAGAACGACTTGCTAGCTAATAATTAAAAACAATTGAAAACAATTTCGTTATTTTTTTCGCGTGGATGATCACCAAACTTTCTTCATTACTTAACTGTATAGAATGTTATTGCCTTCTGTATGTTTAATAAAAATACATTTTATAAACATTATGTCTTGGATTCATGAAGACCGATATGTTTTAAAATTGTGAAAGCCTAATTGTGAGAAAAGCATTTTTAGACAAATGAGTTTGCTCACGTTAATAAGGGAATAAATGTGTGCTCCGGAGGTTTTTATCACTCTGTTTAATACCACTTAGAGTCTGGGTGCTGATAATTACCCGAGCCGGAGGCGAGGGTAATTATCAGCACCCAGACTCTAAGTGGTATTAAACAGAGTGATAAATACCGACGGAGTACATATTTATTCCCATTCATAAATACCTTTTCGGTAAAAAAAATCATATAATTCGTTCAAAACATCCCGATTTTGTTCAACAAATTCACTTTATGCTTTTTGAAACATCCCTCCTGCAAAATAATGGAGTGTTCAGCTGGCGAGTAAGATGAAAACAACCCTTTTATGGAGATTGACGCGCGCGTATCATGTTCTACGCGATGTCGCGCAGAACGCACCTGGCGCGTTGCGTTTTGAATTTAGAACTATAAAATTCTAACTCCCTGGTAGTGTTGCGCATGCCTACGTGAGGATTGTGAACGTTCAACCAATGAAACGATAAGAGGCACTGGATTTTTAGGAGTCCACATTTTATTGTGACACTGGAAAAGTGTTTAAGACCAGCTAGCCATGTCTTTATCATCCGTTTAATACCGGCCACGTGACGGGCTCTCGACCAATAGGAATGGCTAAACTGTCTGAGGTATTTATGAATGACAATTTAGACACTACTGTTCTCCTTTTTTTAAGCGGGGCTTTACAAACTGCTCTTCTACATCGTTTTAGAAAACCCACGAAAAAGCTTTCGAAAGAGTTAATGGCATAAACTGTAGATCTGCGGACGGATTCTTGTCTGCTTTAAACCTTTTTCTTCCACACTGACTAGTGATGCTCTATTGAAGGTCGTAAATAAACTAAACTAAAAACACCCGTTTGTTTGTGATTATTCGGCAATTGGTTGGGATAGCCCACGAATGTCTAAAGACTTAGTTCCGATGGGGTTCCTTTGGGAGAAGATGTGGAAGTAAATTACAACGTTAGTAGTGGGAGGAAGACCAAATGACATCCTTGGAAAAAAAACACGGAATCAGGCAGGGAAAGTAAACCTAATCCACATATTGGCCCATCCCAGGCGGGATTCGAACCCAGGTCCCAGGAAAATACTGCTACGCCAACCTGACCCCCAATTGGTAGCGCCAAACCCAAATGACACATATAAAAAGACACACAGCGGTTCAAAATTTTGTTCCCCCCACCCTTGTTTTCCACACTTCCCATCTTTGCTCTTTCAGGAAAAGAGTGATCTCTCCCGTTCCCTCGATCAACACTTGATTTTGGATAGAGATAAATCGACATCAGGACAACTGAGTCCGGATAAAGACTTTGGAAGGTCCAACATCGGTTGATAAATGTTTAGTATTTCATCAATGTCTAACTACAAATTACACTTGAAGAAACAACAATTTGTCAGGAACGCAATCATGAGAGACGTTCATTAACGATTGATAATGATAGCTAGGGAAAATATATTGGTATACATTTATAAGTGAAACAGCGATTGCTGTCTCACTTATTGCAGTCCAGAAAATTGCTTTTCGCAATCATGAGATACGTTCATTAACGACTGATAATGATAGCTAGGGAAAATATATTGGTATACATTAATAAGTGAAACAGCGATTGCTGTCTCACTTATTGCAGTCCAGAAAATTGCTTTTCTTCGTGTAACATCAATCAGATTTAAATGGTGTTTTGTTAATTATTAATTATTAACCTTAAACTTTCTTCATCCATATTGCCCATCCAGCCCGAGGCTGTTTTTACTGAGGTTTACTCGCATAAAGATTAAAAAATAGGTAAAAACCACAAGAAAAAAAGGTAAAAATCTATCTGAACATCAGAATCATACACATTATTTGAAGAGAAATAACGGAAATGCGACCGGAATAAAAAAGTATGACAAAAACAATTAGTTGTGTAAAAATCGGAAAATAAAAAGGCTAACATAAAAGGAATATTCACTAATGAAGGGAAATTCGCCCTCGCGCTTACGTTTGTGCATTGCTTTAATCATTGCTTATGTCATTTACATGAACAGTGATTTTTTTTTACATGAGTAAGCCTTGCTAGTTTTGGCACGCTTTGATAATGAAAAGGTGTTGCGAAATACACATGCCACAAAAAGAAACAAAGCAGATTTTTTAATCATCCTTGCTTGAACATTTCTAGTTGAACAATTATGTCACGGACACTTTCCGGTTCAATTTGATACCTCACTTGGGAACACAGTGTAAGAAATAACGAGAGCGCAAGCGCTGAAGCTCCAATAACCCCAAAACTAAAAGTTGCACCAATAGCGAAATGTTCAATGGGCATTGCAACACACAATTGAATGCGGGGTCTGCATCACTGCAAGTCAACATCCACGAAGTTCAAAGATTGTGTTCAACACTTTTACTTCATGTTTTGTGAAGCACCCCTGGCCATGTCTGTGGTATGTGCCTCGCGCGCGTAGTGTGTAAAATCGCATATGGAAATTGGCGTGCGTGGCGTGTACTACGCGAAGTGGCGCAGAATGCAGCGGTGATTTAGAGGCGGCTTAAAACCACTCGCGTGACGGGCTCTCCACCAATAGCAATTGGTAAACTGACTCAGGCATTATGTATTGCCAAGTAATATATGCTGGCAACAAGTTCACGAATGTGGCCCAAAGCTTGCCACTTTCACGAGGTTTAAACATAAGAACATTTCAAACGATGCTAGGTGAGGCATTTGTGAAATGTGACTAAATTGTTTTTTTTTTTAAAGACTAAAACACGAAACAAATACTCTGTAACTCCACTTACGGTATGCGACAATAAGAAGTACTTGTGTCAGGAGAACAGCGCATGGTAAAGTCAGACGTCCAAATTCCATTTTTCTTCTTCTAACCCGTCATTCTGAAAAGAAAATGAAAACAAAACAAGAATTGTATTCTCAAATCGGCTAGCCAGTAGATATCAGCTTAAATCAAAACGGATGATGATGATGGGCATTAACGCTCTAGGAAGGGCACATGATAACGGATTATGGTCGCCGTCGTAGTGAATTGAAGGAGTTCATGAATGATATTTCGTCTAAACCTTCATTCAATACACTGTACAGGAGAATGAGGAATGATGTACTCACCTTAACGGAGTCCGATTTTAAAGTCGCCGGTGCTCGTGTTTAGTCTCGAGTTTTTGACTGTTCAAAGCAAACAGAGAAACAAAGCTTGTGTTTGGAGTTGTATCCCGTTACACTGCTCTGTAGTCGTTCAGTAATATGCGGCAGCGCTTTTAGCGACCTCGACAGTAAGCCGTGCACGCACCCTTAATTAAACCGTCTATATGCCCATCTGTTTCTGATTGGATGAGCAGCTAAAGTGCTGTCAAGGTAGTGTTTGATTTGCAGTGACGTCGCTCTCAGGCACGATTCGTCTCATCGAACCCTTTGACGTTGACACTGATGGAAACAGTATCAAATTTACTTGAGTAAATGGCAATCTGTATTCCAACTATAGTTTCCAAATAAACCGTGCGCACAGGCCTTCTGTGTGTACTTAACATCAAGAATATGAAGGAAAAAAGTTTCAAAAGTTCGACAAAAATGTTCACAACATTGTAGTACTCAGGCGTAGATGTGTGTGTAACTATACACGGGAGTTTGCGTTTGGTTTGGCAATGATTCACTAAAATTCGTTCATTTTGAGGTTTTTGCCTGTCACCGACGCGATGATAAATTAGCGCAAAACGACTCAACTTTACAGCGTTCTTTTTTGTGTTTTTGATTTGTGTTTACGGTCGAGAGTCAATTCATCATGAGGCAAGGGGTAGTAGTTACTCAGTTACCAAGGTTTAATAATGCGGGGCTAATGATGTTTACAAGCCCTTGTACAGAAGGAGAGGTTTCTGCTAATAAGGACGGATGAAGGGGTACAGTTTTCTCAAGTGTTTATCTGAGCACTTCGATAGAAAAGTGTCCCTGTCAATTCACCGTGGTAATTTGACAATGAAGTCTTTCTCATTTTGGATGTCATCCCTTTTGCATGTTATTACATGGCAGCGACGTTCCAGGTTTTTCATCTTAGGGCGAGGGTGGGTCGGGGGGGGGGGGGAACGGGGGACTGGATGTTAAAGCGGCACCCAATTTCATCAGTGCAGAAAGGTAGACTGGTCTTTTGCCACCGCACACCAGGCCTCCGTAAAGTGAAAAAGTGGAGGAGGGGGGAGGGAGGGGGGGGGGGGTCTGAGCTGGACAACATCTCCCATGGGGCATGAAAATCATGGTAAATTCCAAACAAAAGGTGGCGCTATTCCATTTCCACGGGAGGTTAAAATAGACAAACAATCGCGAAAAACAGGTTTTTTTCCGGAAAATTAACAGTAAACGTGTACAACAGGAACTTTATGAACCACCCGCTAATAATGGTAACTTAAAGGCCTGTGCTATTTTCCGGTTGCCAAATTTCCAGGGGGGGGGGGATGGAATTTTTATTTTTTTTTGGGGGGGGGGGAGGCGGTGCGCACCACTCCCCCAAGCTACGCCGCTGTCCGTTGTGTTTGAGAATTTTACATGTGCTTAGTGTTTTAGTGAAAGGCCTTTAACGATTACTCGACAAACCTACACTAAACGTATAAAAAGAGACATGACACCAATTAAATTGTGTACTCTATTTTTTTTTTTAATTTCAGAGTATTTTTCCCTTACAGCATTTACAACAGTTATGTATTTTACAAGGACTAAAACAGTAGTGTTACAGCATTCTAATACTTACTTTAATTGCAAAGGCATATAAAGTTACATTTGGTAATTCATATGAAAATACATTTTCACTTATAATTTCCAGTTTAAGTAACAATATTATTTTATTCGAGATAAATCATTTAACATCGTCTTTTGTTATCGAAAATACTTTTTGACGTGTAAAAATCCATTTTGGTGTGACGTTTGTGAAACAAATATTCAAGATGAAGTTATGGTGAAAAGTAGATTACAATGCCACGGTTAGGAAAAAGCTATCGGCTTTCTACACGCCTTTAAACACAGCAAACTATATCAAGATGCACAAGATATACAAACAGATTACTCATTGTACTTAGGCCTATCCCATTGATTCACAAATTACATACAGGGTGAGTAAAAAAAAACCGAAACCCAAATGGCAGGACCAATTTTTGAATGAAGTCTAGGATATAAAAGCCCAGTCATTAAGCTTTCTTTTAGTACAAGAATGATTCAAATCACTCATGTACTTTTCAAGTTACGGCATTTTGAACACCGTTTTAAAGTTCTGTCCACGGATCACAAAAAAGTAAGTGTTCTTTCAGCAAAACGAAAACAATTCTCATAGGGATGCATGTAGAACGTATTTGAGTTTCAACAATTCAGATAAATAATGTCAAAAGGCTATAAAGCCCACTACAGAAGAATGACAATTAATTTAATCCACGTAAAAGTGTCAGAATAAGTTATGAAATGTGAGTAATTTGAAACAGCTTGTTTTTTTGATAAATAAAAAAAAGCAATTACAAGTTTGTGCATATCACAATGTTTAAGATGATTTAGTATCTGATATGGTTGAGTGCAGAGTTTCCAAAGATTTGGTCTTCATTTCAGTCGTGAATCGAGTCTTTTGACTCTCGGTGCTTTTAGCGAGACGCCGACTCGCCGCGACGGTGTAGAAGGTGTACATGTACGGATTGAGGGAGGAGTTGATGGGTAGAATGAAGACTACGATCCAGGCATACATATCCGGACTGATATCCACCGCCCCAGTCTGCGACAGGATTCCCATGATGATGACCGGCATCCAGCAGGCAAAGTCCGTCCCGACTATCAGCGCCATCTTGACCGCCATCTTGATCTCCTGGTCGCGGTGCGCGGTCTTGCGCACCCGAGAGACAGTTCGCTTGACCTTGACAAAGATGGCGACGTAGCAACACAGGACGACCAGGAAACACAGCAAGTTGACACCGAGAAAGAGAATGATGGAGTAGATCCAGGCAGGCTGCTTGCCTTTACCCACGGGGACCTGGATGGTATCGGTCCCGACTGGGTTGGTAATATCGCTCTCCTCGATCTCGTAACTCGTCGGTTTTGTCAACAGTGGCAGGCCAATGCAGACATCAGAGAGGCCGTAGATTTCGGAGTCTGAGCCCACGAAGACGGTTGGGCCGATGCTCAGACCCACGCTAGCCATCCACAACACGAGGACGGTGATCGTGGCTGATTTTTCCCGGAGCCTGATCCGGCTGAAGGGAAAGACGATACAGAAGAAGCTATCGAGGCTGATCAGGGTGACGAAGAACACGGAAGCCTCGCTGGAGAGAACCGACAACACCCCAGCTATCTTGCACACCGGACTCGCCCGCCACTGGTTTGCCACGCGGGAATACTTTTCACCAAAGTAGATATCGGCAACGGCTATCATGAGCATGTACACCCCCATCATGAGGTCGGACACAGCCAGGTTCAGCACCAAGAAAGAGTGAGTCTTTTTCCCGCCCTTTTCTTTGCCCTGGCAACACCTCCAGACAATAACCACCGCGTTGCCAATGAGGGCGCTCAGACCCAGCACCCACATGGCAACACGCAGGAGGGTGTTTCGCATCAGGCTTCCGCACAGATTCAGCGGGGGTTGCAACTCCGTAGTGATGCAATTCGACACGTCAAACCCAATTGATGAAACGAACTCGCAGCACAAACGATAGTCGTCAACGTACCTAGCCAAAAAATGACAAAAATTAAACTGTTAATTTAACATGAAAGTTTCACTGGCTACTAATTTCTCTCGAGTTACTCCGAGCAGTACAACCTCATCCTAGCTACAGACAAACCAAAGTGTCTCCAGAACAAACATTATACCATTAGATCTTTCAGTGGGGCAGATCAGGGGAAATATTTGTGGAAATTGGTGCCTTTGATGATACAAGCATGACATTTGGCACACAGTCAGAGTATGTCATAAGAAAGATATTTGGCTATAGGGCCATCGGAGATTTGTCCACTGAAAACATATAGATAGAATAACAAGCAATTTTCAAAATTTCAAAATGGCTATCATTGCTTGTTATTCTACCTACATTTTTTTTCAAAGGACAAATCTGTGATGGCACTATAACCAAATATCTTTCTCATGACATACTCTGACTGTGTGCCACATGTCATGCTTGTATCATCAAAGACACAATCCCATCACCCATCTGCAGCTGTACTACTTAATCTCGGAACAAATCAAAAAAAAAAAAAACCACACACACACACACTTCTAACAAACCTCAACACTTACAATAAAACTTTACTGAATGAAAATCCTATCTTCAGCAACATCAATCATCATCAAAAAAGTGTCTATCTAACAAATATTACCAAAACCAACACGAAAACCACTTTTGACAAACATCCAACGAAATAGAAGGCGCGTTATTGCAGATAAAATAAGCTCGGGATATTACATTGATTGATTGAGCTCACGAGGACTTACAGTTTTTCCAAGCTCAGTAGGTCCGTCAAAGCGCCGTCCATGACGTTAACGGTTGCATCGGCGGTGTCATTGGATGCACTACCTTTTATCAAAACCCTAAAGAAAAAAAAAGGATGAAGTTCAACGTTCATTTTGACAATCGCTATCATCAGGGTGCACACATAATTAATGATGTAATAGAAACTGTAAACTGTCACTCAGAAATGACCAACAGTGCAAAATGTAACTTTTGATTTCGGTGTTGGAGTGTTATTGACTGCATACTTACTATTCTAGTTCTACGTGTGTTTCTTAGTCCACCACAGTGTTAACCGGTACAATATTGTTATGGTAGAAATTAATTTATTAGATTAAAGGCTGAAACACAAACATACTGTTTGTTTTTAGAAAGAAAAAACTGGCAGTCTGAAGAAGTGACTCACATAATTCGGACCTTCTTCAGACCATCGAAGGCCTTCTCCTGAATAACTTGAAGGGGGATTGCTGTTGCAATTCTAAAGATAGGAGGCAAGATACATTTCAATTAGATTGATTTACAAACTCTAAGAGAGACTCAAGTGGCATGTGGTTGCGATGGGATGGCGGGTCGCGAAATAATTTGTTTTTCCAAACGAGAACGGACAATATCAAAAGAGGGCGCTCTCTCTGCATTATGCATATTCATGATGTCCAAGGCATTAGAAAACAAGAAATAATGGTGTTTAAATCGCCGACAATTGACAGCTGATTTGTGGACTGGTTGGAAGTAGTCTTGAATTAGTATCAGGTGATTTGAGCTCGAATCGGCGTTTTTTTACTTCTTCTTTTTGTACCTTTTAAATAAATAAAGTGAGGAAGGGATATTTCTTACAAGACGTAAAGCCTATCTTGGGTTTGAGTTGAGGAGAACAAGGCATTAGATATGCATGTAATGGACCAATCAGAAGATGGAAAACGGATGTCGTTTGGGAAAAAAAGAATACGCTGGCGGATCACCTTCACCGAAAGGAAAGTAGGCCTTTGCATCTTCCCGCGCAGTGAAATGGTAGTTGAAAATGACAATAACGTTACAGACTTTACTTTGTTTGAAAAGGAAACAATATCGACATTTGTTTTTAGAATGTAAGGAATTAATGTTCAAAGTATGGTTATCCATAGCTTTCAATTGTCTTACATGACGTCCAAGCTGTGCAGTTCCAGGAAGCAGTTAGCGTCAATGCTGGTTATGCTGTTGTTGGAAATGTCTCTGTAGCATTTAAAAAGAAAAGTTGAAAAATGAAAAATAAAGTAAAATCACAACAGAATATTGTTTCAAATGTGATATAAATTAGAATCATGTAAAGATGAGCCCCTCTGTGAATGAATTTCAAAAAGATCAGTAGAATAACGGCTTCCAGATAACTCAATCTGACATTTGGAGTTAAAAAGAGCGAATGTGAACCACATCGTCCACTCAAAGAGTTACAATTTTCTTCCCCTTTTCCATCCCACACTAAAAGTCCTTTGACTTTTAGAGGAGACAACATTCTGCTTTGACCAAAATGATGCTGCTCCGTGTCACTTGTAAATCGATACGCTCGAGGCGTCATTTTGACAAAGTTTTGTTTATGTTGTCTTCTGGCAGGTGCAAATTATAAACAGAAACAATGCAAAGTGGGTGCCAGCATTTGCAAGGTTTTTTTAAGATTGGTAAAACTTACAAAAAGGTGAGATTCGTCAGACCAAAAAAGGTCCCCGGTTGGATGGTGTGCATGTTGTTGTTGTTCAGCAGTCTGTGGAATAAAATAATCAATAACTTAATTTGTCACATTCACTTACTTTGATAATAAACCTCTGTTCTGATGAGTCACACTTTGTTTACATGTGCATTTTCCTGTGGAGCCAGTGGGGGCCCAAGGTCCACTGAGCACCATCGGAAATCACACACGTAAACAAAGTGTGATGTCATCAGTACAGAATCTTATTTAATTAAAGCGGCAAGGGTGAATCTTGATATTAGACCAGTTACTTCTAGAAGTGTACCTTTAGCAAAATGATAAAATAAAAAAAATATAATAATAATAGGAAAAGATGTTCTATTAAAATTGATTGTCCACTTACAGTGACTTCAGGTACGAGAAATCTTTGAAGAGACCCTTGTCTAAAGTACTGGCGTTCGCTCCCGATAGTTGGCTGTCAGAAACGAAAAGCAAACCAAGCCGTTAATTCCCAAGGTTGGCTAATTAATATTGCTTAATAAGAACGCTAATTAATTGATTAGGTTGCAGGTGTCTTACAGGTGGCCCGTCCTCTTGACCAGGTTGGCCAGTGTGGAATCGTTCCATCCATGCTTGCAGTTCACGTGAACAGTGCCTTCATGCACGTCGCACAGACAGCCACTCGGGCACCGCTGATCTAAAAAAAAATGAACAAACAAACACTGTGAAGTCAAAAATCGTCATCCTTTGCCTTCTCGAACTGTATTCACTAGACTTGATACTGGCATATACATCGGACACTTCGTTATTGACTAAAGTGTTGTGGCTGCTATTTTGATTGTGAACACCAATAAGTGAACAACTGTTCAATCAAAACGTAGACATTTATTTTCGATTCTTTTCTCAAAAAGATATCATTTGTCGTATATCCGCCTATCGTTTTGTCTTTTGTAATATGTCATTTGTCATATGTCATCTTAGTACGTCACTGTGCCATTATCCTTCTGAGTGTTAGTTTCTACCAAAACAATTACGGGAAGGAATTTTAATCTGCCACCTCCGAAAGAGCTAACCTGTTGTTTGATTGATCGTACCTGCTTGGAAATGAAAGAAAACTCCATCTTTTTCTCTCTAAATTTGAAAAAAATTGTTACAACCGCAAGGAATTAAAACGAATGTCTTGTTGAATTTGGGAAACAAAATACGATACTCACCACACTGAGAATTTGTCTCGTCGTCTTGGTGAGGGCAATCTGGTGTGCCGTCACACACCAGGGGCCAGTGGATACACTCCAGAGAATCTTGACAGTGGTAGAACTCGGGGCAAGTTATATCCTCTGGGATTTGAAAAAGAAAAAGCCAGCAAGAGCCATTTTAATGTAATTGGGAAATCAATGTTGTTCCTCGTAATTTCTTCTTGCCAAGATATAGATTTATGTGCAATCAATTAACTGAATCGGAAATCATTATTACTGATTTTGAGTAATTGACCTTTTGACAGTATCTTCGACGACATTACAGGGGAAGAATAAAAAGTCAACCTTTTGGCTTCCATAAGTCTAATAGGCTTATCTGTTGATGTTTAGATATGGGCTCCGTGCGCCGACGAAAAAGGGCGCCCTTTTACCTAGCAACGACGTCCCATGGGCGGGACATTTCGCTGGTTGACGCGCACCGTTCCTTGTGTGTGACGCGTGTACACCAGGGGATTTGTACTAAGTACACGCAGTGGCCGCGCTTCGCAGCGAATGAATTGCAGTCGGCAAAATGGCGTCGGTCGGTCACCCCCAACTGTACTCTCTTTGCCGGTGACGGGGGTACTTGTGAACGGAGCGGATAGGCGATGTAATGCACATGAAAGCAAATTTAAAAAAAAGAGTGCACAAAATGTCATCAAGATATCTCTGGTATCCGCCGTTCCGGTCACTTCCTTTTTTTTCAAAACATTTTCTTTCATTTCAGGGTTTAATTGAAGCTTTACTTGAATCGTAGTCAAACACAAAACTTATAGTTAGCAACTTTACTTCTTTGTTTTTGCTGCAAAAACAAAATAGTCTTAAATTTGGTTGAAGGAGTTCCATGGTTTTTAGAAAATGCTTGAGAAGACTTACCGCAGTTAAGTTCGTCCAATCCGTTCGTCTGGCAGTCTTTAAACCCGTCACATTTGGCGTTGGGGGACAAACAGGAACCGTCCCCGCAATCGAAGAGGTCAGGATCGGGACAGGAGGTGTTGACTTTAGCATAAGTAGAAAAAAAATGATTTCTTTAATACATGTATTTTCAAAGAGTGAAACAAATTAGCCCAACCCTTTGAAACTACGGATAAGAGCATTTAGGATGATCTTCATTCAATCGAATAGATTGACTTTTTACTTGATTCTTTACATGATCGATTCTCCTCTGCGGATATTTCGATCTAAAATTAGAGTGATCTTATTTCATCTTGTACCCTGTTTTATTGCTTCATTTTATGTTCGTCCGAAAAGACACTTCCATTCATACAGTGTCTTTCTTTCCCAAATACTGAGAGATGTCGTCTCGAGTTGCGATTTTAAATCCAAAAATATCTTCCGCTCACCGCTTGCAGAGAAGTTCTTGAACAGACGCAGGCGAAAGCCGCTATCCTCCACCGTGGAATCGGTACTGAAGCTGATGGAGACGGACGTCGAGTTGAAGGCTATCGTCCGCACTTTGGTGCTACCGTCCAGCACAAAAGCTACGGTCTCTCCCCCGTGAAGCGTGCTCCCCTGAAATCGGACCACATCTCGAGAGGGCTCGGTCGAAAACTCCATTATCGATACCAGGATGACCTTCGACCTGGCCTCCCACTGACAGGCGATGTCGGAGGGGTAAGGGTTCGGGTACTCGGGTGAATTTAGATCTGCGTAATCTCCGAAGATGTAGACAACTCGGCTACCACAAGAACCTTTGATGTAAAAACGAAATCCTTATGCAACTAGTGATGTATTAAAATACTACTACTAATAACAATAATGCGTACTTGTAAAGCGCACGTACCAACCAGTATTGGTGCTCAAGGCGCTACATCATTATTACCCTGCTCATTGGGCCAATGAAACATTCCAAATACCATCTCAGCTCCCTGGGGAGTATACAGCTGAATGCTGCCATTTTGGCGCAAAGCAGCTAAAAATCAACCACAATAACCATCTCTGCCCTCACATGTACCCATTTACTCCTGGGTGGGGAGAAGCAATGAGTGACGAAGTGCCTTGCCCAAAGCCAAGGTAACACGCACCAAAGCCACAGGATGGACTCGAACCCACAACCTGCAGAATTACCTGCAGACCACGAATTCAATGCTCCAGACCACGAAGCCACGGCACTTCACTAGGGTCATATTGTATAGGGCCTCTTCGATGGTATTCAATGGGCTTTGATCGATTAACAGGTTCTTTCTTTTTGTTGTTCTCCAAAGTCTGAAGGTCTGAGCTAGGTTAAACAAGCAGTGCCGGCCTTGAGCTGAGGGAGGGGCTGGCTATATGCCCTCTGTGTTCCGACATTGCACGTCCCCCCACAAACTGTAGGGTCGAATTGCTAGAGGAATATAAAGCATATTTTGCTCCCTATTTTAATTGTTAAAATGAATAATTTCTTACCTTGAGAGCAAAGCTGGAGGCCCTGCTCGGAGCTGTCGTTCCTGACGCAGATCAGATGGTCCGCTTTGCAGGCGATCTGACCTTCACCGCAGGAAACTGTCAGAGAGACGCAAACACTAGAGTCAGCACGGAACACTTCTGGCTATCCGTCTGTTCATTGATATTACTGAGTTCCATAGATTCAACACCAGACTTTTCTAAGATGGCGTACTTACGAGAGCCAAGGAAGGGCGCATGGCGTGCTTGAATCAGGCCTATATAATTTCACAGACTTTCTAAGCAGACATTACTGCATAACAAAAGCTATGCACTAAGCCGAAATTATCAGAGTACCAGTCACGAGCAATACATACATCACACGAAATTTTGGTTGGTAACTTTTTTTTACAAGCCGATAGCTTCTGTGATAAGCCTTTTTATGTGCTTAGAAGCCGCATGGCGTCAATCCCTGGTGCTCGCGCAATGGAAATGGCTCCAAGTTAAAACAACAAGCTGACAACTGAGTGACACATAACAGATATCCAAGAGGGCATAATTATAAAATGTATCATACGATTTTATATTCACATTGCATTCTCTGAAATCTTGTCTTTTTGAAATTAATGTCCAAGGTATTTTTTCAAATGCCTCGAATATCAAATAAAGACGTAAATTAATGATAACATTGAGCCATTTTTCAAACATAGGTTGCTATATTAAACGAAGCAGTACCTGTTGGTGCAAGTTTCTGCTCAAACTGAAGCTGAAACCCACTTTTTTGAACGGAGTAATCCGAGGTGAACTTCACGAACATTGTATTGTTTGTGCTTGAAACGGAAAGTGGGAAGCGACTCCTACAAAAAAATAAGAGTCAAAGCATTAATATAGTTACCTTGTTGTAATGAAAGACATCGCTATTGTATTCAACGGCTTAAGTAGCTACTGCATTGAAATACGATTAAGTGACCAAACAAATTCACGACTATGCATGGCAGACCAAAAACAACACACACGAAACCAAACGACATGATGGGACAAGGCACGGCATGACACGGTGCGACAAAGCATACTAACAAACACAACAGGAAACAATCCAGGACAAGCCGATACATCAATACAGCAGAGCACAGCACATGTTACGACTTTAAGCCCCAACTTACCCCAACACGACAAAACACGATTTAGGTCTACACAACTCAACAAATGTGTACGCGAAAGAAAACGCCAACAAACATCTTAAAAACATGTTTAAACATTACGTTCTTACCCTGTGACCGTAAGAAAGGAGTCTTGGAACCTGTCACCGTCACCACAATACAGATAGTCGTAGGATTCCTCCAGGAAAAACTCAAGGAAAGATAACGTGACTCGGTATCCCACTTCTGCCACTATTAACCACAGACACTGCGAATCTCGGGGATATTCTCTCCCAGGCCAACCCGGTGAGATTAGAACCGTAGACGCACGGCTTGATGCGTCAATGTAAGAGTCACCGCATGGCGCTGGTGGAAATATAAGAGACAACAATTTGCATCTTACCAAAACATGTCAGGAATAAATGTTTTGCATTTGAGTTTTGCATGTGCAGTTGAATTTTAAATTGAATTTTGTTTACATCACCGTCAATGACAATGTTATTACAAACAATTATATATAAACAGGATGGTAGTTACGGATACGTGGCGTAAGCTGGACCATGAACAAGATCTGGTTCCTTTATTCATGAAGGATGGGCACACCATAAACTGCCAAAACTCGACAAGTAATCAATTTACCAAATCGTTTAAATACATTTGGCGAGAAAAATGAATCATCCATTATTTCTGGTGACGCATTTTCCCCAGAAACTCACCACATTCAAACTCATCGGAGAAATCTGGGCAGTCGTTTAGGCCGTTACAGAGGCTATCAACCGAGACGCAATCCTGCCCCGAACGACAACTAAACTCACTCGTAGAGCAGTTTCCTAACACATAGCAAACCAAAGGCAGGTTAAACAAAACCTCTAAAGAAAAGAAAAGTATTACATTTATTGCTTACGGTCTCTTTAAATAACAATATACTTTCGATGACTTATAAGAAATCGTATGCAAGAGCGTCCGGTCCACGTCATATGTGGACGTGATTTGCAGCCGCCAAGAGTTAGAAAAAACGGCGTAGTCTGCCGCCACCAAGAGTTTGAAAATGGATGTTGTCTGCTGCCATCAAGAGTTTGGAAATGGATTTTTGTCTGCTGCCACCAAGAGTTCGAGAATGGCCTTTGTCTGCTGCCACTAAGAGTTCGAAAAAGGACTTTGTCTGCTGCCACCAGAGTTTGATAAAGGATAAAAAGACCAAGAGTTTGACAGTGTGCTGCACTGGAGATTACAAATTTGATTCATTTGAACTATGTTGACAATGAACGTTAATAAGAGTAAGTGAAACAAGGAAGCGTCCTTTGAATTCTTTAAACAGCTAGTGAATTAAAGTCTTGGTTTGGCTCTAAAACTCACCACAACCGATCTCGTCCAAATATTCCGGGCAGTCCGCTCGCCCGTCGCACAGTGCATTTTCCTGGATGCAGCTGAGTCCGGAAGGGCACGTGTACTCGCCAGAAGAACAATCTGCAGTTACGACAGTAAACTAGCTTCTAAAAACAAAGAATGTGCGGGCAAGTGTTTTACCAAAACACAATCCGCGAAATGCATCCCACGGATAAGTCATGGTAAAATGGTTTTCTTTTTGATCTGTTCATAATGTTCTAAACGCTGTTTCTCACAGTGATGTCAAATAACCCATGCATGCAATTAAAGTGGCTAAAAGGCCGATGTACCCGAGGTTAAAAGTGTGCGAGTTCTGCAGGCGAACTAAATTACGCAAATTGAGAGTTAGGCCATCTGAGTCGGAGCACTTCCTCAAAGAGGTTTTGTCTGCATGCGACCTTGTTTATTCATGTTATAAGCTGTTGTCTGTGACCGATCTCCAATGCAATTCTGGTGTAAATTCCAGCTCTGAAACTTGCGGAGAATTGCGAAACACTTACCAACGCTTGTGTACTGACGAACGTCGACCTGTAAGACGTCACCAGTCGGAGCATAGTAGTACCCACAATCAATGTCGATCCACATAATGGATACATTTGCTGTAATAGACCTCGGATATGAGTTCGTAGTGTACTGGTAGTAGTTGTTGACGTTAATCTCTCGAATGATCTCCTGCCTTACTGGACTTGTCGAATCGTAACCTCTCCCGAAGGTCAGTTTGCAGGCCCGGTCCAGATGGCGAATGGTGGCCTGGACTTTCCGACCAGGCGCGGCGATGAACACCCACAGGCACGCCACGTCGGAGTCGTCGTGCCGTAGGACGTAGGTCTCGTTTTGAGACAGGTTGACAGTCTCATTCCCACAAAACCCTGCAACGAAGTCAAGAAAATGTCGCGGGAAGTAAAGTTAACTTGTTGACCGAGAACTAAACTCTGTGATGTCTTATTCACTGGTTGTCGTTTCAGTGCGTGATTTTATAGATTCCTCAAAATGTGCTTCCAGTTTTGAGTTAGATGTCACTCTGCAAAGATTTCTATAAGTTTTCTGTTTTTTTGTTTGCATCGATGAGAAATATCTCGGAAGCTGCGGGTCAACGAATTCGTGTTCATGCATGAGTCACGTGATTGCGCGATTACGTTTTGGAAGGAGTAGTGTTTTGTCTAAAAATGTTAGGTTTTTGACCACAGTGACCCCTGATGACTTTTGACCCCAGTTTGGTCATGTGACATGTTGGAGCTGGGCTACTGATACTTTTGTCAAAGTTTGGTTGAAATCGGTCATAATATGTAGGAGCAATAGACAATGTCAACGTTTGTTACTAACTAACTAACTAACGGAGAGACATGATGATTTGTTGAGCTGCTATCCCGAAGCTAAAAATACAACATCTTACCACACATCACTTCGTCAGAGTGGTCCTCACAATCAGCATTACCGTCGCACAGTTTGTAACCTGGCACACAGGCTTTCGTGAGGGCGCACTTGAATTCCCACCGTCTGCACTCATCTGTTTGGAAAACGTGTGTTCTTTTTTTCTTCGAGGGTATTTGACACAAACAATTTACAATTTATCAACATGATAACAAATGGTTTCAAACATATAGAATCTGCCCTTCACCGAAGTAAATTTTACACACAGTTGCACTGTAACAAAATGATGACAGAGGTGTTGCGAGACAAAACAATTACAAGGTTACTCGGGTGGGACTCAAACCCACGACCGCTTATGCAGACGTCTAACCAGCTAAAAATCGTCTGTAAAACGTTTTTATAAGAGACCTTTATCCATTATGTTATACAGCTTCTCCACTTTAATACTATATCTGAGTTTTCTTCAATTTGTATTTCTTTTTCTTTTTTACATTATAATACTTGTTTTTCTTTACGCAATACTTTGAACTGTCTGTCCGTGTGTATGTCTTTTGTCCTGTCTTTGTTTCCTCTCATGTTTGTGTTGATTAGTATGTGTTTTTCTTTCGTCCGTCCCTGTAATTTGTAAGGCGTTTCTCTACGAGCACCCGGCTTCTGGAAATGCCTCCATGCTCTTCACTCTTAAGATTAAGTTTTTGGTTATTTTGGAGATTTTTAAGTATGTATTCTATTCTTTATTAATACAAGTGTATACAAGTGTATATTTATCTAAATTAAATAGTATTTTGTTTGTGTTTATTCAGAAGTTGTTTTTAGTACGAAGTGACAGCATAGATATAAATATCTATCTACAACTCATTCATTCAACCACTCAACCACTGAGCTGTTTTAATCTTAAGGTGTCCCAAAGTGTTTAGGGGTAGACAAATAACGCTTCAACGGTACCTACCACAACCAAGCTCATCCCCGTAAGCGGGGCACTCCTTATGTCCATCGCAAATATGGGAGACGTTGTCTAGGCAGTCCAAGCCGGACGGACAAGGGTAGTGACCCTCGTCACATTCTGATAAAAAAGAGAGGAAAATAGGAGAAAAAAATAGAAAAGACAAGAAAAAAGGGTGACTTTCGTTCTTGACTGGTATTAAAGTAACTACACAATTATGTTTTTATCATTTCCGGTAGAGATTATGCAACGCCTGAATAACTCTCATTCATTTGATTGGTGGGTCGTTGATCACGTGTCATTGAATTATTCGTCCAAACCCACGGCCAGGCCGCAAAAAGAGAAGTTCAATTCAACGGTAAATGGAAGTTCCATTGCATGGTCACCCCACTACCGATCAGACTGATGACGAGGATTTATTCAGGCCATTGCACTCATAAACAATCATTATTTGTACACGATAACACAAGCTTTCATTTCTACGCGTTGACGATAATTGTGATATTATTAAATTCGCCTTTCGAATCAGGACATCTCCCAGGTCTGGGACCTAGAATCCCTTGAAAAGTCGGAGACGGAGACCAAGTCACGCACATGTTGCACGCGTTCTTGGTTTGAGGCGCGCGTGTAATTAACAACCCTGATTGGTCGAGGGATCACTTAGCGCGCGTACCACCTGCGCGCGAGCGTGGTGCCATGCTGTTTCTAGCAGTATTACAGAAATCAAGTCTGAAGATAGATATCAATATAAATATTAGTTTTAAGCCGTAATTTGATCGTTGTTCAAAACACAAAATTAGAAACAAGCAGCCCTTTTGCTCTTATTGTGTTCTAGGAAGCAAAACGTACCCGTTATGTTGTATGTTGTAAACACGAGCCTGAGCTTAAAACTAAAGCGAAACGAGCCCTTATACGACTCTTCCAGTGTGATCCACACTCCGGAGTCGATCGATGGCACCTCAAGAGGCAGCGGTATGAATCCGTCGCTGGCGTCAAGCACTACCCCTGGAACGCCCGAAGGATCGAGGCCGTTCCCCAGCTTTATGATTAATCCCGGTCCCTCGAACTCGGCCACTCGGACCTTGATACGAGTTCCCTGCGGCTCGGTCAGCATCCAGACACACTCTAACTGGGAATCCACCCCGGTGTAGTTGCTTACGATGACGTCACCGGACGAGGTGTCGTTGGGGATGGTCTCGGATTCGCCCGGGTAGATGGCGAAGTGGCCGGTGTAGTCTATGTCCCAGGCGTAGTAATCGTCGGACGCTGGGAAACCTTCGAAATCGGCCAGGATCGTGATCGGCTGGCCGAATCGTAGAGAGATGTCCGATATCCCACACCGATCTGAAGAAGAAAAATAATTATAGCAAACTTGTTAAGAACTATGATGACATGACGTTGAAAACCATGCATGTCGGAAAGGTAATCGATCGTGTCCCAAAATGTCATTTCCTCCTCTTCGACCGAACAATGGCACTGAAACATGCACAAAGTGTGTGTTTCAAATTCATTGTCAGCGAATGTGGAAAGGTGTTTTTATTATTATAGTGATTCTGAATTCTTTGGAAAAAACACCAAGCCGGCAGCCACTGTAATGTGTCTGATGAGACCGGCTTAAAATAGTTTAACATTACTGATACATGTTATACATAATGGTAAAATGGTTTTATTCGTACTAAAATATACTTATGAACGGGACGATAATAATATGCCAAATTTAAACCAATGCAACTGTAAAAAGGATAAGACTATAGAGACCTATTCTGAAACTGCGTGTAGTTTACAAAACGAACTAACGTTCTATATTCAAAATGTCGCTTTCTAGGTTTGCAACTTGTTTTGCAACAAACTGTTGCAGATTTTATCATGATAGTTTTTTTTTCAAAACTCACCACAGGTTCCGGCCTCGTCAACAAAATCTGAGCAGTGTTTCTTGCCGTCACAGAAAGTATGAAGAGGGAGACACTTGGAGTCTTTCCGGCACAAGATCTGACCCGATCTACAATGAACTGATTTTGGAGAAAACAAAATATCGAAAAGGGAACTGTGAATGCAACTTTAAGGTGAATGACAAATTCAACCGCCAAGTCAATTTCATAAATGAATAGAGTAGTCATATTCCACACAACCGTCTCAGCCTCGCATTCCTTTTTTGAGTGTTTTTAAGTAGAATTTATTCTCTTCAAGGTTAGTCACCACTGTTTTTTTGTATTAGAAGTATCGTTCTGGATCTTTTTTTTTAAATTCAGTGATGTGTTTTTGTTTAAGGCGTGGACGTTATAGTTACAATGATCGTGAAAACACGTAATGCACGCTGGAAATGACAACACCAAGTACACGATATAAATCATTTACTAGCCAATTGCGGTATCGAATCAGGACACAGGGGGAAAAGGGTTCCCATCCCGGGCTTACTACTGGAAACGAGGTTGGAAATAAAGGAAGCACTGGTGGCGAGGTAACCCGTTCTTACTTTCGCTTGTATAGTTCTCAGACCGGAGAAGCAACTCTTGTGTCGCCGGGTCGTTACCGTTGTCGTCGTGCAGAGAAGAAGAGAAAGTGATCCAAAGGCGAGTCTCGCCCTTCAAAAAGAACGTCGCCCCAACGTTCGACTGGTACTCGGTCCAGTCGATCGCCAGAAACTGAGACGAGACGTTGGTGGGGTCATGGCCGCGCCCGAATGCGAACCGCTGACTGTAGTCATGTAAATCCAGCCTCAGGACATCGATATAGATGACTGCTTTCGGATCGCTGGTAACCAACCACACGCACTCTTTAAACAAGGGGTTACGAGGCTCAGAGATGCTGAGCAAGTACTCGTCTGTCAAGTTGATATTTTCAGGACCGCATAGTGAGTCTGTAACAAAGGAACATTTTTAGAATAAAAACAACGTGGCCCTGAAATCTACTACAGACTATGGCTTTTATTATTTTTGCACCACTATTACTTTTCATTACTCAGAGGCGACTAACCTTAAAGAGAATAATTAGGTAAAGACACAAAAGAAAAGCGAAAAATAGCAAAATGCTTTCATCAGTCAAGGGGGGATCCAGAACACAATTTTTGTTGGGGGGGGGGGGCAAACATCCCCCCCTGAAAAAAGTGGGTCCAAAATGTATGGCGTGTTTTTTTTTTGGGGGGGGGATTTAAGATGCTCTGTGGTGCGATCTGAGGCAATTTTTGACAATTTTTACCATTTTTTTCAAGCAAAAGATGGTGGTGTAGGCCTACGCAGTGGCTGCCTTTTTGCGAAGTCACTTAACAAAACTAAATTGGGTTCGGGTTTGGTTTTTATTTTTTTTGGGGGGGGGGGGGAGCATGGCCCCCGTTGCCCCCCCCCCCCGGAACTGCCCTTGTCATCATTTGGTTTTGTCATTTTAGATGACAACTTGTTATTTTTATACAAGGTGTTTTTGCAGCAAACAAAGATTGAAATTGGACTTGATGTAGCCATGCACGTCGAATTATATATATATACAAAAATTATTAAAGATATCTTTTCGAGTGAACATAAGCGGAGTGCACCGAAGTTTTCATGCGATAAGTGAGGATAAGCATCAAATTAAATGGGTAAATTTATATACCAACACCCACCCAAAAAAAATCTGGTTGGGTTCAGACGACAATGAAATGTACACCAATCAAAGGGGGGCGGGGCTTATGTCTAATCGCCTATTCTTACCTTCTCCAGTGTAATTCTCCGCCCGGAGAAGCAACTCTTGTGTCGCCGGGTCGTTGCCGTTGTCGTCGTGCAGAGAAGAAGAGAAAGTGATCCAAAGGCGAGTCTCTCCTGTCAAAAAGAACGTTGTGCCAATGATCGGCTGGTAAATGGTCGAATCGATCGCCAGAAACTGAGAAGAGTCGTTGGTGGGGTCGTGGCCGCGCCCGAATGCCAACCGCTGACTGTAGTGATGGAGATCCAACCTCAAGACATCGATGAAGATGGTTTTATCGGGGTCGCTGGTAACCAACCACACGCACTCTTTAAACAAGCGGTTAGCAGGTTCAGAGATGTTGAGCAAGTACTCGTCTGTCAAGTTGATATTTCCGGGACCGCAAAGTGAGTCTGTAACAGATTAACATACAACATTTGCAAACATCAGAAAATAAAACTACCAAATCATTTTGAAATACCTTGCTGGACTGTTAGTGAATGACAGTGTTAAGCATCCTGTAAAATCATGGCACCTGGTATACTGTCATTTTCAAGAAAAGTGGTATTTTTGTATCAATTTCCAACGCTGGTCGGCCGACCAGCGTTGGAAAAAACTGGCTTTTTTATCAAATACTGGCCCCAATTGACCATCGCACTTGTTTGCAATCGATTACACACCTATGAACGGGTACAAGCCAGCTAGACTGGTTCCCTGACCTTACAATTCCCCAACTTAAGTAAACTGCTCTGTTTCTTCTTATATGGAGTCGGGGAACCAGACTACAGGAAAATGATTGTTTTTCTTGGTTTTTATAGCATTTTCGAACCCAAAACCTCAAATAAGTCAGTGTAACTATATTTGCTATATATTTCCCACCCCCAATTCCATCCATTTCTGAAAATTACAGCAAAAGCAAATGATGTATATTCCCTTTAAGATCAAAACAACTTGGCTCTGAAATCCACTTCCAATTATGGCTTTGATTATTATTGCACCATTATCAATTGTCATTGGTCATTCTAGAGAAAAAAGACAAAAGAGAAAAAAGCAAAATGCCTTCATCAGTCCAGAACACATTTTGTTTGGTGGGAAAGGGGGCAAAAATATTGGTTCTTACCAAAACGTGGGTCCAAAAATGTACGGCGTGGGGTTGGGAGCCCGCTTAAGGGCCTTGAATTGTTATTTTTTTCAGATTTTAAATGCTCTGGTGCGATCTGAGGCAAATTCTGACCACTTTTACCAATTTTAATTTCGAGGAAAAGATGGTGGTGTACGCTGTGGCTGCCTTTTTTGTCGACGTCGCTTAAAAAACCCAAGTGGGCTGGGTTTTTTTTGGGGGGGGGGGGGGGGGGAAGGGTGGTTGCATGGCCCCCGTTGGCCTCTTGATTCACCCCGTCATCAGCTGGTATCGTCATTTGAGATGACATCTTGTTGTTTTCGTACACAATTACTTTGCACCGGACACAGACCGAAATCGGTTTCGACGTAACCACGTACGTCGACTTATATTTTAAAAATATTATAGATTCCCTTACGTGTGAACATAAGCGGAATCCACTCAAATTGTCTTTCGACAAGCGATTATAAGCATCATACTAAGTGGGTTCAGATAACAACACCCACCTCCCCCCCCCCCCCCTCCCCGCCAAAAAAAAACAGTTCGGGTTCAGATGACAGGAAGTCGGTATCCCGGATTAAATGACCTCATGATATCTATACAAGAATAGTATATGATAAAAAAACATACGTTGGTGTCGGGCAAATACAATAAAGGTACAAATGACTCTCGTTAATCCAAACTCAGCGGGACCTAGCCAAATTGTTTGTTATATCAGAATTTTGTATTAAGAGGAACATCAGTCCCATTCATTGCATGTGCACATAAAGCACAGTTGAGACCAACGTTTTATGTATGTTATAACCAGAATTCGTATTAACAGTGTTTGTATTATTAAACGAGAGTTTGTATTAACGAGAGTCGACTATGCGTATTGAATAATTACCGCCTGTGTCGGGCACTGATTGGATCCTGCACGCCATGGACGCAAAGGGATCAGCAAGGGCAACCGAGATCGTAAGCTGCGGTCCCGTGGCCTCAAACTCTCTAGGAAACCAATCAAAACTAGAGAAAATATTCCCGAAGTTGAGGTAAAGGCTAAAGAAGTACGAATCAGGCTCAGTTAATTGGTACTGACAGGTTGCTCGAAACTGACGCTCATTTTGAGTGGTGAGGTTCCAGCAGAAGAATGTCAATATGGACGGGCCAGAGTCGATGTCTGTGCTATTCCAGCCATGAGTTGAAATCGACACCTTCTGATTCGCTTCAGTCAGGGAGACGTCGTGACAATCATACACGATCTCTGTTAAAGAACAACATTAAAAGGCAAATCCTTTAAAGCTTGTCTCACGCGGCGCACAACATGGTATTCAATGAAATCATAACTGACTCAAACCTATGAATAATTAAAGACTCTAGGTAATTTGTGTATAACATGCTTTTTCATGATCAATTCAGTCATTTCAAAAATAAAAAAAGAAGTTGTGCTAGTACATTGTGTTAATAGAAATTAGGACCGTTGAAGGTAAATCAAATTTTGAAAATAAATTTCCCCGTCGCAGCCCCTCGGCCCTCCAAAAATAAAAAAAAATAAAGAAGATCGAGTCATTCATTAATTGTTTTCCCAATAAAGTCTCACATGTTGGGACATAAAGTTGTGCCACTTGGACACAAGGTACAATCAGTAGACTAGTACCTAATGACGCAATGGCTTTGTTTACATAATGTGACCGGCTCCACAAAAAAAAAAGGTATTAAGTCGCGCTGAGCATTATTGTGTAATGGCCTACTCAACATTGAGAGGGTGAAAATTTCATCAAAATGTGATTTTCATTTTTGGTCATGAATGGCATCTTTAATACCTACGGTTTCAGGTTTCATTCACAGAAATGTTGATTTTGATGAACAAATTGGAACAAACAACCACTCGGTGTTGTTCTTCAACAAAGCCAGCTATTTCAAAGCCTGTTTTCTCAGTTGTGTAATTTGAATTCCAAGGAAGTAATTAATAGTCAAATACATCTATTATAATTATACCAAATGAAAGCTTACGTTGTGGGCTTTCCAACCATGCAAATAACTCAATTTTACATTTTTTTTGCGACATAATACCCTTTTTTTGTGGAGCCGGTCACATATGCGCTTTCCTATGGGAGCAAAGTCGGGACGCCAGCAAAGCAGGGCCCGTGTGCCACATTGGAAAGCGCACATATAGACAAAGCGTGACGTCATTTGGTCCCAAGCCTATTCCAACTCGGAAACAGTACGGCGACAACAAAGACGGATCTCCACCATAACAGATAATTACTTTCTAGGCTGATAAAACGAATTCTTGCATATCTTTCCATCAATCCATAAACGTTTTGGGAAGAGTCATCGTTGTCCACTATCATACCAAACGCTCTATACAGCTGCAATGTCTGGTTGCTATGTACTTACGTGACTCGACGACAAGCACAAACAGGCCCTGCGCCATTAGCGCGCTGTAAATAAGGGCCAGGCGGCGCATTTCAACACTGGACCCTTATGTGCTCTGTTGAAAACAAGAGACAAAGGTACAGCGTAAGAATGTGCTACTGTGGCACATGCACACCCAGTTCATCCACATGAAAACGAGCAGGTGAATATCGATCAATCAGTTATTAATTTTTAATGGTTTAATTGTGTTATTCGGTGATGTCAACTCACGATGAACTCAAACAGTAAACAAAACTAGAGACAATACGCACATGGTATCATTTAAAAGCCACAATACTGGTTGGAACTTCAATTTGGTTTCGTTCAGTTTTTTTTCAACCGACCGACCCTACGTAAGAGGCAAAAATATGAGAACCACGGAACGACGGAGCCACAGTGCCGTGGGTTCAAGCCCGTGTCTGGACACTTGTGCCCTTAAGCAAGCCACTTGATCATTATTGCTTCGTCCTTCGGATGTGTAATGCAATACACTGAAAAGAACCCGGTAACACTTATCGCTAAGAGAAGGGCTTTGCCCCAGTGTTTCTGGCCTCCTGTTAAAACTCCCCTGCCTTAGTCCTTAGGAGAAGAACCGACCAAGTACCGAGTAAGTACCAAGTCAGTACCAAATAAATACAAAGGGACGCCCTAAAGATTACCGTAACTTTCTTTGGTGTTGATATATTTTTTTTAAAAACATTTGGTGTGGTGACTACTATAGTTATTTCTCGGCGCGTGCTTCGCCCGCTATTCATGTAGGTTCTTCGTATACAGAGGCGATTCCCAATTACCCACGGCTCGATCATTTTGTTCACACGAAAGGTGTTTTATGGCGATTTATGGTCGTAGAGGATATTTTAGGAAGGAAATACGATCCAAAACCAAATAAAAAAGACCATTAATTAGCCGAAACGTGCCTTTCGGAGAAATTGGTAGTAGATAACTCTAATAATCCTCATCGAAAAGGAGAAATGTCTTCTCTCTCCTCCTCAAAATAAAAAAAGATGTCTAGTTCTATTGTCAAAATATCAGCAATCAACCATGAATCAAATCTCTTTCGAGCACTGCAGCTTTTTTTGAAAAAAGAAAGAAAAAAGGAAGGAAAACATGCTTCTGAAAGTCATATTTTGACTAAGCCTATATACACGATATCGATCGGTGGTGGTGTACAAATGAACAGCGCACGAAGTATCACAGGGGAACGGCACAGGCAATCAAGCATGCACCTGCCTCCGTTGCCAATCTTAGATAATTGCCTTCGCCTACCATGTAAATCACAGCAACTGAGATGTGCCTTAGTAATCTCGGTATGTAACCGGAAAACAGAACGGGCCGAATTGACCGTAGTAATCACGCACTGTGTGCAGGAACCAGAGGAGAGACTCAGGCAAAGTGTAATACACATCTTAATACAGGGTGGACCAAACCAGCCCCCCACGAAACTGAGATATTATTGCTTTTTTGAACAGGCTTAGGGCGCATGTGGGTCAACGGGAGATATTTTCTGTTAGGATTGAATCTCCTCTTTAAAATGACACCCTGATCATGTCATTACATTCACGGTTGACTGAGCAGTGACCAGTTTTATGAAAGGGTCCATTTAGAGAATTGCGCCACTTTTCAATTGTGATTTTTTTTGTGGTGTCTTTTGTCAAAGAGTGAAAGTCTATAGTTGCCAAGAAAGGCAGGTGGGACAAAAAGAGATTTCACCATGAAAAGTGGCGCAATTCTGTAAAAAGACCCTTTCGTAAAATTGCTCAGTCAACCGTGGATATCAGGACATGATCAGGGTTTCATTGTAAAGAGGAGTATCAACCCTAACAGAGGATATCTCCTTTTGATTCACATGTGCCCTACTTCTGTTCCAATAAGCAATAATATCTCGGTTTCGTTTTTTTTAATCCACCCTATATAATATAAATTAGCTTGATCGTTGCAGCGGTGAGGGGGGGGGGGGGGGGTGCGCACCCCCTTTGTTTTTTCCGATACTCGACATCAATATCCAACTGTTAAACACGAAGGGCCCAAGCTGTGGAATTATTTTAATCCTTCTCTTAAAAATGTATCAAATGTATCATTATTCAAACGCAAATATAAAACCCAATTAATTAACAAATATGTTGTGGAATAATCGCCTTTTGTAACACCAAATAATTCGTATTACCAGCTCCGTAATATTTAAAAAAAAAACTTCTGTCGTTGTTCTCGTAATTTTAATTGTTCTTTGTTAATTTCACACAGTGGGGTCTCTACTCGACAAGCTCATGCTTTTTGGAGACCTCCATCCATTCATACACAATTATTTGAATGTTATTGTATAGGTACATAATGTGTTGGTAATAAGAAAGATTTTGATTGATTGATTGATTTAATATTTTGAAGGGACCTACAGCGCTGGCGTTCACTCAGTACATTAATTTAAATGTACGTTTGTTTGTGTAATGAATAGCGCCGAAATCAGCGGTTGAATGATGTTCCTCAGGGGCGGATCTAGCTTTCAGGGAATGGGGGGGGGGGGTGAGTGAAAGCGTGCCGCAGACACGCCCTGCTAGGTGTCCAGGGGCTTTCCCGGACATTTTTGAAATCTGCGATGCTTTCTCCTGCTTGAGAATAAATTTTGGAACTTTAGCATTCCATTTATTTTTTGCCCAATTTTACAGTATCATTACATTTAGTTCTTCGGGTGTTCGGCAGATGAGCGTTCTGACGCGAAAATCACTTTTCTAGAAAATTGCATTGATAAGCTTCATTGTTCTCCCAGGCGTATTAAAAATCCAATGTTCCTCCACGCGTTTATTTGAATCATACCAAATTTAAATTCCCACACTTATGAATCATAAGTTTGGAACAAATTGTGTTAATACCCATTAAAATATGTTTGAAGCAGTTTTCTGCATATCTTTCTGCCGAAAAGAGTTAGGTGATAAGGCGTTTGTGCGTATGGCCGTAAGAACCCCTACATCCCCCTGTCAGCCACACGACAAATTCATGACCCTATTACATTCGCCTTTCCTCCATTTTCCAATTCCATATAGCTGGGCGAACAAGAATAGGGAAAGTTATAAATCAAGACCTTTATTTCTCAAGGAACTCTCTAAATCCAAAACAGTGAAAGCATAGGGACTGATGAAACTCACTGTAATGTTAGGTTGCATTGCTCTGAAAAATAAAAGTGGTGGGCAGCTGTATTAGTCAGTCAAAATCAAAACCGAAACTCGAGTGAAAACTGGATCTACTCGATTGACTGACTTTCACTCTAAAGCGTCTGGTGTCTAGTTTCAGTCGTTGAATTGTCGCTCAAATAGAGTGAGTGTTTCTTTCTTTTGGAAATCAGAGAGAACTGAAAAATCATACTCATAAGGGATGTGATTAATATAAAAAACCTTCGTAAATCGGGAAAAAAACAGTTCGTAAATCGGAAAATAAATAACAATTCTTCGGAAAAAGAGATGGTTCCTTGTAAGTAAGTTTCTGGAGTATAAAAAAAAATTACAGAATTTAAAAATCAAAAAAAGGCAGAGTTATTGAAGTGTGTGTCTTTGAACTGTTGCATATTCGCTTAAAAAAAAAAATCTCATGCAAGATCGCATTTCAAAGAACCTACCATCGATCTGTCAACCTCAAATGAATCAGATTTTACATGACTCACCTTTTAAAAAACGATTTCCCTCTGATGACTTCCGTCGAAAAACTCCGAAGCTGCGTGGGTTATATTTCCATGAAAACGGCCTGGGCTCTGTGGTCTGTTGTACGTTTGTCGTCCACGGAGATAATAATGAGCGCGATTCGAGTTGGTAAGATATACGCTATGGGATCACTGTATGCAAAATACGCTCGATCTGATTGGTCACGATCGCATCAAATTTGCATATTTTTTTAACTCTCACCATTGCTTTGGTTCTACACCGAGTGTGAGCAACATGAAGAGTTTAATGTTATAAGTATTACTTTAATAAGCCACACAGAATTTCGGCAAAAAATCGAAAGCGATTTGCCCAAAATTTATTTTGGACAAATCTGAATGACGACTCATATCTGCTTATACAAGTTAACGGACCTTATTATGAAATTTAGTTCAAAAGTATCTTAGAAAGCTTGAAGAGTTCATTAAAAAAATCAAAGCAAACGAACAAATGAAGCTAATGAGCGAGGTATTAAAAAACAAGCTAAAAGTCCTAAATATTTATAAAAAATCATGATAACCAATTTCAGGTTTGTGCTATTAAAAATGGGTCATTCAAAATGGTTTTAAAAGTATGATGCTTGATACTAATGGATAATAATGTAACACTCAATTGAAGTGAGGTCATTGAAGCTTGTGTTCTGCTGTATCAATTTGTTTTTAATTTTGGATCATTCCAGAGATGATCTAGACCTCGAATGCCGACTTCTTTCCCAGTCGGAGTCGTGTTCGCCGGGCAACGGGTCCGGCTATTTAATCACCGGCTTGAGTTTATATCAGCCGGCCTGCAGGGAATAAAGCATCACCGGTGGCCGGGAATTTAATAAAAAAAGACGGGTCGGTCTTTGTTCAGTCAGGACATCGATCAAACAGCGGAAAGCATTACCTGGTTAGTTTATCAGAGACGTAAAGTACACAGTCTGAACGCCGTCTCTTCTGCAGTTACGCGTCAGAAATCGGTGAACGGATTGGTGTGTTACATGATGACCTTCTAGAGCAGGGACAGTTAATTTGCATAGGCATTTGGGCACAGCGTCCGCGCCTACTGATGAGCGAAGCCAATCAGCTGGCAGGATAGCAAGTTCGTCGCGCGTGCACGCGCGCATTGCAGCACCAATGAAAACTCCGAAAACGAGATGCTGTTCATTGCCCGTCTCGTCCGAGGGGGACACGTTGCCAGTCGATGCAGCGTACACACGACAGTTACCGAGTTCATCGACGAAATGGCGCGTTTGTAGTTGACCGATGGCGTGTATGCATTTAGCGGGGGAAGGTGTATTTGGACGACATCAATTTAACCGGCACTGAGCTGGAAGTGATAGACTGTAATAAATTGA